TTGTCTTTCTAGATGAAAGTACCGGATTTAGAAGGGTGGTTATATGCATATATATATATATATATATATAGCTTATAGTGTTGAAGTTTAGAAGATTAAAAATATAAGTGATTTTTTTTTTTGCTTGCTCATTATTTTTATTCAATAAGTCACACATACGTGTTTGAAGTGAATATTTAAATTAAGAAAAGGAAGTAGGAAATGAAAAGGATATAGTATTTATGGTGTATCTTGGTAAGGACCAGGAGATCAGAAGGGGCCACAATGTCACAAAGAGGACCAACAATGAAATTAACTCCTCAGCTGGACTTTGCTATTTTGGCTCCCACCTTTTCCTTCCACACATATGCACATGTCTTCATGTCCCTCTCCTTCTCTCTCTCTCTCTCTACCCACACAATTTAAATATGTACAGACACATAGACATACAAAATCTTTATTTATAAATATATACTCCTCAACTCCTCAATATCCACCCATCCCCTTCTCCATAACTCTCTCTCTCTCTCTCTCTCCTTCCAAACACAATCAAAAGTTTTTCTCTCTCAAGAATACAAAAACAAATGGCTATAATGAAGAAATCTTCAAAACTCACTCAAACAGCAATGCTGAAGCAGATTCTAAAGAGATGTTCGAGCTTAGGTAAGAAGAATGGAGGAGGGTACGATGAAGATTGCCTCCCACTTGATGTACCAAAGGGACACTTCCCTGTCTATGTCGGAGAGAACAGAAGCAGATACATTGTCCCAATCTCCTTCTTGACTCACCCTGAGTTCCAATCTCTATTACGACGAGCTGAGGAGGAGTTTGGATTTGACCACGACATGGGTCTCACCATTCCTTGTGATGAACTCGTCTTTCAAGCCCTAACCTCCATGATCCGATGATAATTTAAGTTAAATCATTGGAAGAAGAAGCAGAAGGAGATGGTTAAAGAAGAAGTAGAAGCTTCTCTTTACCAAAAAAAATAGCATCTCTTCTCTTTTTAAGTTTTTTTTTTTTCTATTTTTAAGCCCATCTAGGGTTTTTTTTACGAGTTGAATTACTCGTCTAACTAGAAAGACACCCGTATGAGATAGAGATTATATGGGTTTAGATCTGTAAAGAAAAGCTTGTGATGTTTTCCTCACAGATCTTGATTCTGAGAGAGAAGTTGATTAATGCAAGAAAAAGTATTCTTCTATTTGTTTAATATTTCCCTAATAATTTATTTGGATTCTTGTGCCACTTTGTTGTTGTCATTTACCTCCAACAAAAATATAGGTATTTTTCAGAGATTACAGTACATTCCAAGAATTTAACAGAAATAAAGGTGTTTACATTGGATTAAGTTTTGTTATAAACATAATCAGAAATAATTTGAGGCTGAAGTTTCATGTGATAGCTAAATAATTAGGGTTCTTAAAAGAAATAAGATTATATGTCAAATCAAATCATATGAATGGATACATAAGCTTTTGAAAGTGCATGCTTGAACATGCGTTTGTCAGAGAATGTGGGGTACTTTATCACGTACGGAACCAGATAAGATTTTTTCTACGTTCGTTAGAAGAAATTGGCCTCTAAGATTAAGGATTTTTATTTCTTTAAAAAACAATAAGATCCATTGACCATTAGTTCGGAACGTTCACCATATACATACTTGTCACACCATTCAAATTTAGCGGTGTTAGGGACGGAAACTATGCCACCAATATTTATAAAGACGTTTATAGATACAGTCACGGTAACTATAATACATACTTGTCACACCTTTCACTAGTATATACACCATTAAATTCCACAATAGTGTATAAATACTAGTGAAAGTTGATTCATTCCTCACCCAACAAAGCGCTGACTTCTTTTTTTATCAACTAGAGAAATTAAATGCTAAACATCAGAAAATTTGATTTCACTTTTAAAGTATCTACTCATTTACAATATACCGAATATATTTATATTAACATAAATTACAAAGCAAAGAAAACCCATTTATAATTTACAAACATACGTTATATAAACATGCACTAGCATAAAGCAAAGAAAATGACTCATGCATGGTAATGGAAGTAGTTGTATCGAAAAAAGACTTTACAAATAATATTGAGCTGTTTTCCAAATATGCCCGCCCCTTAATCATTCTTAGAGTCAGCATTAAATATATTGACATATACATATACTGTACATATATATATGGACTGCATGCGCAATCAAACGATTCCTTCTTCTACGGCTTTTTCCTGTTCCGTACAATTAATTAAAGCGTAATTGAACATTTATTTAATTGATCGAAAAAAGATTAGACCTCCCATGCCTCAATATTAATCATAAGTATAACTGCTAAATAATTCTATTGTGTGGATCTCTTTTGAATACTTCGTTAATTTCGAAAACTGATGCAAGATTTATTACGCATTACGAAAACTTAACTAATGCATTGCTCTGTTCCGTGCATCCATCGTCTGCGGCGATTGCGACAGCGCTAAATTACGAATAACACATTAACAAACCAAAAAAAATGACTAGGAACTAGGAAGAACACAAAACGAACGATATAATGTTAAATGATATTTATTTTGATCGAGTCTAGTTGTCTATGCTAAAAAATCTCATACACATCACCGTATCTAAATCCGAAATATGATGCTCTCTAGTCTCTACAATACTTTTTTGTTTGTTTGTAACATTGCATTGTTTGAACGTCGATAGTGAAAAAGAGTTATTTTCTTCCATTTCATCAAAAATAATTGATTTTTTTTTAATCTAATTCTATGACATTAATTACTTGACAACTATTTATACAACATATTGGTATCGATCCTTAGTTGTATTATCAACATGAAAAAACCTATCGAATGGAGATTCTCACTGAAATGTACTCCAATATTCGGACGGAATAGTATGACGGTGTGGTGTATTTAAACCCAATTACCAAAATATATTGTAATTAATTATTTGGATGGATAAACAATTTGCAAGTTGTAATTAACAAAATGACGAATGTCATTTGCAAGTTAATAATTTAGCAGACACTATGATCTCTCGTGACTACTTTTTAAAAAGTAAAGCATAATAATTTAGAAGGATTATGACGACACATACTACTCAACGAACGATCTACAGCAAATAGTGTCTTACTTTTAGTAGGTTACGAAATCTCCGAATTCAACTTGCTCATAAACAATAATTCACCAGCGTACCTATTGACTTTTAATTTCGGTTGGATGATTTGATTGGTTAAAAGAGTTCAAATTCTCCAGACCGTAATTCTCGTTCAACTTGTTATGCATTTTTTATTTAATTGCAGATTCTATATTAATCTCTCGCGCGACATTTAGATTTTTTGTCCGCTCTCGGCCGATTTTTAGGCTAACAAATCGAGATCAGGTTAAATCGGATCCATAATTTACTAATCCTGGTAGAGCTGGACCAAGTTGAGTACTTCAAAAAGCAATATATATAAAACAATGTCGATAATAAGAAATGAGAATACAAAAAGATGATAATAACAATGATATATTCCTAATCTTGCATGTTTCTTCAGTAAAGCCCTTAACATTCGACTGTAGAACAAATGCCATATGACTATTTCTTTTTAGATGTTTTTAGCTAAAATCGAAAAAGATAAAATAGCCCGTTGTAAAAATTATTAAATTGCTTAGTGCTTTGATGAATACTCACGCAAAAGCCAGGTGATTTACTAAGATATGCTTGTCTACTAAAAGCACAATATTTATCCATTTGTCAACTATTTTTACTGAATTCTGGTTCACTTTTAGTTTAATTATGATTAGTCGGAGATCTGAATATTATTTTTCAAGATAACAATTATGTACGTATGATATTATCACATTTGATAGATATATATATCTTTGTTTGCGTTCAACGACTTTTCTTTGTAAGTCTGATTACTTACTTGCAATATCATACCAAAAAAAAACCTTCACCCATATTAGACAAACAAAAAATAATCATTTATCATAAGTATAGGTTATTTGTTACAATATTAATACTATGTATATATATATATATGCTACTTACTATAGTCAAATAAACGCTGTACCAGATCAGAAATACGAGATTCTTTATAAAAAAAAAAAAAAAAAATTGGGAGACTTGCATTATACATAAAATACATAAAACTTTCAATAATATGTTAATCAGTTCTTACGTTATATAAGTACATTAGGTTCTATTAAAAAAAAAAGAACACGATCTTATTCATAGTCGATTTTCTAGTCTTGGAATATATAGTGACAAATTATTCTACGCTAAACGTTATTTGAAATGATTTGTACGTAGATGTACTATGTATATGTATTAAAATATATATTCTCTTATAATAAGACTCCTAATATACAATCTATGTTTCGTTTCTTAGAAGGTGGATAAAATGTAGTATGTGAGAGATTCTTTAACTGAACCAGCGTAACACATATAGCTCAGATCATTTGGTGTAGGTACCACGTATTACGTATACCGGTATACGGTATACCGTACCCATTAATTTATATTATAATGTTGGTCAGGTTAGAGAGACAGAATATATATATTTTAATAGATTTCATATTGGAAAATATTGGGTCCTCCAAGGAAAGAAATAGCAACTTATTTATATTTTTTTATTATTTTATAACCAGCAACTTCTTAAAATTTATTATTCCCCTCAGTTTAAAAATCCAGAAATCTGAATATACAATTGAAAATAGCCACAAGAAATAAAATAAGGATCTCTTGACCAAATCAAAAATATCTAAAATAAAAATCTGAGGCTTCTCTCCAAACACTATCTCCTTCAATCTTTTCAGTTTGGGATGACATCGGCGGCGACAACCAAAAAAAACAATCAAACCCTAATTGCCATCTCCCAGTCAAACTAGAATCATAAAATGAGCAAACAGAAATATATAAAACAAAGAAGAAATCTCCAATTAGAGATTGAAAAATTATCCCTAACCGAAGCTTCAACCAAATCCGGTTTGCAAATCCCAGTGATTCGTGTTTGTCCTCTTTCACAATTAGCATACAGATTTTTCAGCAATCCCAGGAAGCAACGATCGAGATTCGCACGGATACTCCGCCTTCTTCGTCACCATCCCGACGTGGCTGCATCTCCGGAGATCCTCCAGCGTCGCCGGATTACCTCGTCCTGATGACTCAGACCGTGTAACGACGCTAATGATCTCCTCGAACAACGACTCATCGCAAGGGATCGCTAACGGACCGACGTTGGAGAATCCGTACTCCTCCTCTGCCTCCGCGAGGAGCCGTCGGAAGATCGGATGGTTGAGATGCTTCGCACGGACGACGTATCTCCGCCGATTCTCGCCGACGTAAACCGCCACGTGACCAGGAGGCACAACGGAAACAGGATCAGTATTGGATCCGATGTGAGCTTTCCTCTGCCATTGCTTGAGCATCTGACGGATCCTCACAACGCTTCCGATCTTATTGTTCTTCCCCATCTCACTATCGACAAATTGCTTCCTGGCTCCCCAGAAAATGAAGAAAAAAGGTTGGGAGAGAAAACAAAAAAAAAAAGGTTAAAGAAGAAACATTTTAGGCGTTGCGTTCTCCAAAAAAAAATGTTAAATTTCGGCAAGCAGGGGAATATTGAGGGGGAGCGTGGGATATTTAAAGGTCACATGTAGGTTTTTATAATGCCCCTTAACTTTCCGTAAATTACGAAATTACCTCTCTCTTTATATATTTTTGGTCGTCAAATTATCAAATTACTCTATATTTTATTTTTAGCTCTTTTAAGCTTTTTTTTCCTTTTCAATTTCTTATTCTTATCTCTTGTAAAACAAAATCAGCCACAATGTGTGTTTTTTATAATATACAATGGATTAGTATCCGCACTTATTAATTATGATTATATAACAATTAGTTCTTTGTTTAATGTTTATATATATAGTGTCTATATAATCAACAACAAATTATATTAGATTATTTCATGTATTTGAATGATTGAATATATAAATAAAACAAATGGCCAGATATTTGATTCATGCATGCAAGTGAAATCTTTTATAAAAAAAAAATCTCTTGTAATCTGTTGTTGTTTTTAAGTTATTTCCTAAAATCTGAAGAGCAGGCTGTCGAGGCCGTTAAGAAAGGTCATATGGCTTTAATTTGGGGAATAATATTTTTTCTGTTCAAATAGTTTCGGAAATTAAAATTGCTTTTTCAAAATGTTTACCAGGACTAATATTCTTGATTTGGAAACGTTGGACAAAATCGTAGTACTATTATGGGAATGAATTGAGAAATGAAATCATACATTGTATTTGTATATGTGCCAAAGGCCGTATCCTTTTTTTTCTGTTTCCTTCTTTTTTTTTCCTGGATCACTCCAATTTTTAAAGAAAGAAACTAACCACCTCAAGAATACTGGTTTCTGTCAATTTTGAATAAATAATCGGAAACTTGTTGTTTTAAGGAAACTCTTTTAAAAATCTCCATGATAAAAACCGATTTAAACGTTACAAGAAAAATATACAGTTTGAGAGAGTATTAGCTTTACAAAAAGAAACACATACAGTTTGAGAGGGTATTAGATTTGGTCAAAGCGACGAAATGATGTTACGAGCGGTATATAACCGAGTTTTGAGACTGATGCCAATCTCAAGACTTTGATAATCTTTGCTCGCATTACTCTTTTTTTTTTTTTTTTTTTTTGAACTTTTGCTCGCATTACTTGATCCTTCAATTTTGTAGTGTTATGTTGAGGATGTAAATCAAGAGTCGTGAAGTTGCTGCGTTGAGTTTTGATAACAACTTCTTAACACTCTCGTGACCTTAAGCACAAACATGACGATCGTTCGTAACATCATTTCACGACATGCACCATAATAGCCACCATAGATGTGTCTAAAATCCTTTCTTACCAAAACCAACATCTCTTCCAAACAAATCGTGGGCTTTAGACCGACTTTAACCAAATCCAATCCGGTTCGTTTGAAATTTGCATTTGAGCTTTTGTTTTAAGCCACAAAAAATGCATTCACTATTTCTTGTGGCTAGTGGCTAGTGGCTAGTGGCTAGTGGCTACTACTCTCAAGTCTCAAAAAAAGATCCATACAAAGCGGGACCCACGTCGAATACAATAGAGATTCTTCTTCTGAAATATCAAAGGGCAGAGAATTAAAGGCGAAGGAAAAAGATTCGAGGGTGAGGCGGTCACTTCACTGACGTGTGCTCTACATACACACAGTCATTAACCCTTTCCCCAATTTGACCCTTACAGCAAAAAGAAAAAAAATTAAATTAAAAACAATAAAACAATAAAAAACCTAAAAAGAGCAAATTGTTTCTTCGCTTTGCCCTCACAAACCTCAAATCCTCTCCTTCATCATCACCATCCATGGCGGCCACTTCTAGCTTCTCCTCTTCCCTCTCTCTTAATGCTAAACCCAATAAGCCCTCTAAGCCTTTCCGTTTCCTCCGTAATACACTCCTTAAACCCTCATCTTCTTCTTCCTCCTCCTTCTCCCCTCTTCCCGCTTCTCTCTCTTCCTCTTCTCCTTCGCTTCCGCATAGAGTTTCTTCGTCCAGAAACGAAACCCACCCTCTTGCCCTTCTCGCGGCGGACAACGATGACTACGACGAGAAGCCTCGGGAGGAGTGCGGCGTCGTCGGAATCTACGGCGACTCGGAAGCTTCACGCCTCTGTTACTTGGCTCTCCACGCGCTTCAGCACCGAGGACAAGAAGGTGCAGGTATTGTAACCGTTAGCAAAGACAAGGTTCTTCAGACAATCACAGGTGTTGGTTTGGTCTCCGAGGTGTTCAACGAGTCCAAACTCGACCAATTACCTGGCGACATCGCCATTGGTCATGTCAGGTACTCCACGGCCGGTTCTTCGATGCTCAAGAACGTCCAGCCGTTCGTCGCCGGTTATCGATTCGGCTCTGTTGGTGTCGCCCACAACGGGAATCTAGTCAATTACACCAAACTGAGAGCTGATCTGGAGGAGAACGGTTCGATTTTCAATACTAGCTCTGATACTGAGGTTGTGCTTCATTTGATTGCGATTTCTAAAGCTAGGCCCTTTTTCATGAGGATTGTTGATGCTTGTGAGAAGCTTCAAGGTGCGTATTCGATGGTCTTTGTCACTGAGGATAAGCTTGTAGCTGTTCGTGACCCACATGGGTTTAGGCCTTTAGTGATGGGTAGGAGAAGTAACGGAGCTGTTGTGTTTGCCTCAGAGACTTGTGCTCTTGATTTGATTGAGGCTACTTACGAGAGAGAGGTTTATCCTGGCGAGGTTTTAGTTGTGGATAAAGACGGTGTGAAATCTCAGTGTCTGATGCCTCATCCTGAGCCAAAGCAATGCATTTTCGAGCATATATACTTCTCGTTGCCCAACTCGATCGTCTTTGGTCGGTCTGTGTATGAATCTAGGCATGTCTTTGGCGAGATTCTAGCCACCGAGTCCCCCGTTGAGTGCGATGTGGTGATCGCCGTGCCTGACTCTGGTGTTGTGGCTGCTCTTGGTTACGCGGCTAAAGCCGGGGTGGCGTTTCAGCAAGGTTTGATTAGGTCTCACTATGTCGGAAGGACATTCATTGAGCCGTCTCAGAAGATCAGAGACTTTGGGGTGAAGCTGAAGCTATCCCCTGTCCGAGGAGTATTAGAAGGGAAACGAGTTGTCGTTGTGGATGATTCCATTGTTAGAGGAACCACTTCTTCCAAGATTGTGCGTTTGCTGAGAGAAGCCGGTGCGAAGGAGGTTCACATGAGGATCGCGAGTCCTCCTATCGTTGCGTCTTGTTACTACGGTGTGGACACGCCGAGCTCAGAGGAGCTGATATCGAATAGGATGAGTGTTGATGAAGTTAGGGATTACATCGGGTGCGATTCTCTTGCGTTTTTGTCGTTTGAGACGTTGAAGAAACATCTTGGGGAGGATTCTAGAAGCTTCTGCTACGCGTGCTTCACCGGGAACTATCCAGTGAAGCCCACGGAGGATAAGGTGAAGCGAGGAGGAGGAGATTTTATCGATGATGGCCTCGTTGGAGGGATTAACAGCATTGAAGGAGGTTGGGTTCGATAGACTGCAAGATGATGATGACGATATCTTGGGTGCTAATGGAGTTATATGATGACGAAATCTTGTTGAATTTTGATCCATTTGACCTAATTGCTACGTATTTACTACTATTTTGAGTCTGGGATGGACAAGGGGTTGTTCTTGTCTGAACCTTTGAAAGGTTTTTGGTTCTTTTGTCTCATTTAGAATTCAAATATTTTCTTTGTTTTCATTGCAATTTCTTGAGCAAAGTTTTGGAAAATCGACATTGTATTGGGTGGGTACATGAGAAACATTTCTATGATATTTCTAAACTCATTGCTTTTAACTTAATTCATGTGAATATATACCGAAACTCCAAACTTCATGACAGTTTTTAATTTTAATTCTTAGAACTAAAGTCTAAAACCATGTGAATTAGTACAGAAGTCACGAAGTAACAAGAAATGTTCAATGCTATATGTTTGGTTATGTTTTCAGTTTTTCCATATTTCGATTTTTGAAAAATGGCAATCGTAGGGAACTTGATCGATTTAAAAAAGAAAATTGGTTGGTTTTGGTTTAAAATCAAAAATCTTGTACTAGCCAAAGCGAAGTGAGCAGAGTGAGGCTGGATGCAACTCTTCCACGTCACCATTGATTATATAAGATTACCACAGTACCCTCAGTTACATATCTAATGGATATTGTTCTTGTTTGGTTACTTTCTTCTCCGAGTTCTCCCCAAACGAATTCACAGCTTTTCAAATCCAAAACACAGAACAGAGGAATCGAGAGATTTAGGATCTACTGTGGCGATGCCTAACGTGCTCCACACCCATCCATCCACCTTCTTCTTCCTCCTCCATCCGCCAATCTCCACCGTCCGCTCCAAAACGCAGGCTTTCCATTTTCCGCAATCAATGGCTCCGGCTAGCCTCCGTACGAACCTCTCCGTGCGCCGGAGCGTAAAGTGTATGGCGAACCCGAGACGAGTGAAGATGGTGGCTAAACAGATAATGAGGGAGCTCTCCGACATGCTTCTCACTGACACGGTTTTGCAGCACGCTGTGTTGCCCGAAGCTGCGCTTGGAGCCGACCGCTATCTATCTTCTCTCACCACAATCAGCGATGTTGAGGTCTCTAATGATTTGCAGGTCAGAAACCCTAATTGGCCCACTCCTGTGTACAAACACCTGTGTGTATTCATTGCTCTTGTATGCAGACAGGAGAATAAATTTAGGGTCTTTTCACATCTTTGCTTCCGGAATTTTAAAATTTGCTCATCAGTTCTTGGCACAAGCAATTCATTTTTATAATTGATGATGAAACTTAACTATAGCAAATTGTGCACCTGCGTGGGTTTTAGAGTGATACAGGTATTAGATAAGACGTAACAAGCTGAAATGGGTTACTTTGGTGTTTTGTAGGTGGTTAAAGTGTATGTGTCCGTCTTCGGGGATGATAGAGGGAAAGACGTTGCCATTGCGGGTTTGAAATCAAAAGCTAAGTATGTAAGGAGTGAGCTTGGGAAGCGAATGAAGCTGAGATTGACACCTGAGGTCAGATTTATTGAGGATGAATCCATGGAAAGAGGAAGCAGAGTAAGGGCTTCTATACATATAAACAAACTATATCCCTGTGTTTGTAAATAAATGTCTCAAATCAATGATACCTGTCAAAATCTATAGCTTGCTCTCTTTGTTGATAGAATTATCAGAGACTGATTTGGAGATTGTTTCAGGTGATTGCAATACTGGACAAAATAAAAGCTGAGAAAGGAAGCGGTGATGGTGCAAACGAAGGGGGAGCAGAACCAGAGGATGATCAAGATTGGGAAGTGGATGACCCTGACGAAGACATCATCTATGTAAAGTAAATGGCCTGAAGCAGTTTAAACACCGAGCACCGAGTGAGTCATCATAAGTTCAACTCATATACGAGCTAAAGCTTGGGAGGTTGTGTAGGTGAGATCATTCATCTTAGTACACCCGTAACATCATCATTTCAGTTCCAGTTATTGGATATTATATGGTGTAGAAAAGTATATGAAAGAAACAAGGGTTAAGCAATCAAATCCATGACTCTTAAGAGAATCATTTTTCATGTTTTGTGTGAAGTTTGGACAAGATTGTAAGGCGAAATGGATAACCGGAGAAGATGAATACCAATGACAGGTACATGGTCTCTTCCCCGGCATGGAGCCTGAAAGCTTCTTGAGATCTCTTTAGTGAAATTTTTGTTTTTTTTTTTCTCCCCAATTTGGATTAGTCAGTGTAATACTGTAATCATAAGCCCCTTGTCTGTATGTTGTTCTGCTGGTAGAAGAAATAAACCGATTTGGTTTCAAGTTTCTTATTTTGTAATCTGAACAAACCCAAAACTAAACCGACATGTGAAGAAAATAAACCGATGTACAATTAATTTTCTTTAAAATACCAAAACTAACCAAGAGGTTCAAAGTTCAAACTCTGAGACCAAAAGAAAGCTTTGAGATGATATTCGAAAGTGGGCTTCAGGTCGAGGCCCAAAATGACGTGGTCGTCCTTGTTATAGAACAAGCAACGTTGTTCCCTTCCACTCATCCGAAAAAACAAACAAAAAATAAATAAATAAATAAATTCACAGCGATATATCCACATCTCTCCATCTCTCTCTCGCCAGATTTCAATCATCGACCCGATATTTTTTTTTTCAGATTTGAGATCCCCAGATACAAACTTCAACAACATGTCTACGTTCAGCGGCGATGAAACAGCTCCCTTCTTCGGTTTCCTTGGCGCTGCAGCCGCACTCGTCTTCTCCTGTAATACCCCTTTTCTCTATTCGCATCTGTTTCATCCTCTCCAAATCTTAAATCTGTTTTTTCGAAATGTTCTACGAATCCGTTTGTTCTGTTTTCGTTTGATCGTCTTCATAGTTTCTGGGAAATAATATGTCTGAGATTTGTATAATTGCTTGAGAAACTGCGGATTTGTGTCGATAGTTATTTGCTACTCTCGCATAATAGCATTGCAGATCGCTCGTCTGATTTATTTAAGAATGAGTATATTACGTTCGATCTGTATCCAGAAACTATGATTGATTGGATATGATTTGCATTTTGACTTTAGAACATTCTGATTGAGCAATGCTTTAATCAGAGATTCGATTTGATTTGATTCGATCTAATTGTGAATTCATTGAAAATTGGATCTTACGGGTTGCTTCATTGATCATACGAAAACCATAGTTGGATTGATCTTGTGGGATCCAAATAATGATTGTTCATCTGTGTAAATTTCATTGGATGTATAGGTATGGGGGCTGCTTATGGAACCGCAAAGAGTGGTGTTGGTGTGGCTTCAATGGGAGTGATGAGGCCCGAGTTGGTGATGAAATCGATTGTCCCAGTTGTTATGGCTGGAGTTTTGGGTATTTACGGATTGATTATCGCCGTCATCATCAGTACCGGGATCAACCCCAAGGCTAAGTCTTATTACCTCTTTGACGGATACGCACATCTCTCGTCTGGTCTCGCTTGTGGTCTTGCCGGTCTTTCCGCTGGAATGGCCATTGGGATTGTCGGTGACGCCGGTGTCAGGTTTGTCTCGTCCTGGAACTTGAAGCAGATTCACATATGAATGTATATATAACATTTGGTACTTGACTTGTGTGCATTTGCATTTCTTTTTTCAGGGCTAATGCACAGCAGCCTAAGCTCTTTGTCGGGATGATTCTTATCCTTATCTTCGCAGAAGCGCTCGCTCTTTACGGGCTTATCGTAGGAATCATCCTCTCCTCGAGAGCTGGCCAGTCTAGAGCAGAATGAGAAAGTAAACACAAGATTTGCTCCAAAGGTACTTTCCTTTTACTTGTGTGTGCGTTTTGTTTTTATCGTTCTTTAGTATGTATCATCGGAGACCGAAAAAATTTACTGGATTCTTGGAACTTTGTTTTCGGAAGCAAACCCGCCTATTGTCATCTCCCGGTGGTTGTTCTCCGATGTAGGGTTTTTTTTTTTATTGTTTGGTTCTGTAATAAAGAGCTCTCTGAGGAGCTTGGTATGTTTTTGTATTCTTGTATTGTCCTGAGGAAAGTTAAATACATTTATTTGTAAAGAAGTTTGCTTTCTGAAACCATCTTGAGTCTTATGAAATTAGTCTGCGATTTGTTCCAACTTTACTGTTGTGTTTTCTTGGAAAAAGTTAAATTTGATTTTTACAATGATGAACAATACTCATGTTGAAAGTTTTTGTGACAAAAGTTTTAAGAAAAGAAATTCACTTTGACCTTAACTCATCTTCCGATGAAAATTGATTTATTATTAATCAACACATAAGTATTTATCTATGATTTTGGTTTATTTTCAAAATTTTAAAGCAAAAAAGTTTTGTCAATTTTGAAATCAAATACACTAAACACATACGCTTTACAAATATCTTTGTACGTAATTTCGAAAAAGGAAAAAAATACAGAGAAGAAAAAAGCTAGAAGTAGCGTCTGATGAGCACAGTACGGGGCGAACACAACTTCTGAATGGTATTTCTTTGGCCACTCCGAGACAAAAACACGAAGATTCTCTGACTTTAGAAGCCAACACAAGAAATCATTCATCATAAAGTTCGAATCAGTTTCTACTTTATTCACTTTTATGGCTTTGACCGTAGTTTATTAGAAATAACAGGTCTCTTCTGAAAATAATTTGGGGGGGCCAAACCGTAAATTTCCTTTAAGTTACCTTTCAACTCTCTGATTCCCAGTTTTCTTCTTATAATTTCTCACTCTCTCCAACACAGTTCCAACATCTTCTCTCTGATTCCCAGTTTTCTTCTCACAAATTTCTCACTCTCTCCAACATCTCCTCTCAATGGCTGACAGTGATTACATTCCTCGTTTCTGCAAAGTTTTCATCTCCCATTGCAGCTCAGACTCCTTGGTAAGACATTCTTTCTCGATTTGTCTTTTCATGAGAAGAAGTAGAAGAATAAGTCTACTTGTGAACAAATGGACTCCTTTTTTTTTTGTTTTGTTTGTTTCTTAGCCTTGAGATGTCTCTGGTGTGAATGAGATTTTGAAACAACACTGAAAATCCTGTGCTTTCCATTTGCTTTTATGGGTTTATCTGCACTTAGTTCCTGCATAAGTTGGTTTCCTCTGTTTTCTAAGTTGTAAAAATGTTAACTTTTATTTATGGACTTTGAATAAGAGATGTCTGAATATATGGTGGGTTATATCAAAGTATAGGTATTTGTTCTACGATTAGTTTCTGTCGATGAGTACACACAGATGTCCTGCTTCCTCAAAACTTGTCTGGTTACTTTTTTGTTGCTGTGTTTTGTACAATATAATGAGAATTTGAATGACTTTCTGAGTTTGTATGCTGGAAAGTCCACTAATTTAACTGAGTTTGGTTCATTTTTGTTGAGCAGCTCATCCCGGTTTCCTACTATGATGAGTTGCCACGCCGTTTGCCTAAAACGGCGCTTCTCCAAGGAACCGGTGGCGGCTTTTGGAAGGTCGAGTGGATGAAGAAGCGAAATGAAGTGTACTTTGGACAGGGCTGGTCCAAATTCGTGGAGGACAATTCACTTACCAGCGGTGACTTTATGACCTTCGTGTACAATGGAGACCGCATCTTCGAGGTCAGCATCTACGGCGCTGATGGATGTAAAGAGGTTAGAGCAGTTGCTGAAGTGGAGGATGTCGAAGAAGACAGTGTTTTGTCTCTAAGCAGCGATGATGACACAGATACAACAGTCCTGAGAAACACAAACAATGGTTTGTTGGCTTTATTTTCTCATCCCTTTGGCCGTTGTCCATGTGATTACTTTACATACACGAGCGGTTATATTCTCTCTTGTGGTTTTTCCAGGAAAGTCGAGAGTGGGAACTGCGGAGGAGTCTGATGACGAGGAAGACAGTGTTTCTACTGACACTGAAGCAGTCTCTCGTTCGAAGATGGCGAAAACAATCACGAGAAGCAGAAACAAAGGTTCAACACATTGTTCATCAGTACTTATTTACTTGGGCTGCTTTATGAGGATTTGCTTGATATAGACAAAGCCCTGTTTTGTTTGTTGAGTTTTTTTTTTCCAGGAAAGAAGAAAGAGAGAGCTGTGGTGTCTTCTGCTGAAGACAGTGATTACGTTGAAGCTTTTGACAATTCCGACAGTGAGAGTTCGCATGCTTCGGATTCGGACGAATACACAGTCACTCGTGTCACACCAAATGTGAAGAAGACTCTGCAGAAGAAGAAAGGTAAAAAAAAAAAATACATTTTTACTTACAGCTTTCACCACTTTGATCACTTATGTTTTATCTAAAACACTGCTTTTTTCCCCCGTGAGGTTTTTCAGGTGGAAGCTCAACAAGGACGAAGAAAGGTAACGTCAATGCCTAATTTCATTCATCAATTGTCTCTTCTCAGTTGTTAATTCATTTGTGTGATGCTTTAACACAGAAATGTTTCCTCCTTTGTTATCTATAACAGCAAAGCCCATGATCAAAGACCCGGAGGCGTATTTGGATGATCCAACGAACATTCATTTCGAGACTGCGATGAAGAATAGGAAATTCGAGCTGGTAAAGAATCGCAATAGGGTTTTCTTTTCATTATGGTTTATATATTGGTTTTTAAAACGTAAAAGCAGTTCAACTAACGTTGTTATTGTGTTTGCTCTGTGTACCTTGAATACAGTTGATTAATGCACAAACGGTGAAGGATTATTCCTTGGAGTTTCAAGACAAGGTTCTGTACATCGACAATCACAAAGACGGGAATCTTGAAGCGAAAGCGTTAAAGTGGGGGGATCAGCGTGTGTGTATCAAAGGTTGGAAAGTCATCTGCAAGAGGAACGAATTGACCGAAGGGGATCGAGTCTTGTGTGAGCTCTTTCGCCAAGGACGTTTGGTTTATGCTGTGAAGCTTCACATCGTGAGGGAAAAAGACCTGTAAAACGTCTTTTCTTTCAGAACTATGCCAGAGAGAGAGAGAGAGAGAGAGAGAGAGAGAGAGAGAGAACTTGGCTGGTCGATTTCAAAAAACTTGTTTTGATTTTATTATGTCTGTTGGACTACTGTTTATGCATTCGTGTCATCATCGTCTTTAAAACGTTATTAGGGGTTTGGATTTGGTCATCTTTATAAATCAGTATTTTCATAATTAAATTTCTTTTACCTGTTCTGCTTTTATTATCATATAGACCATGCTAAGTTAGTTAATCCATTGCACTCAGTTACATTTGAATTTCTCGTCGTTTTTATTCCTTTCAGTTTTTCCGTTGTTTAAATACCAAAAAAAGGAAGGATCTTTAATTGCAAACCCCAAGTCTTCTTTTAGTACATGGGATTTACAATGTAAGAATATACAGTGTCAAATGTCATTAAATACTCTTTTATACATACTAATGGAGTAATACTTAATGAAGCCACAAAGCTAAATCAGGTTTTGTATATCAACTTTTGTGAGAATATAGTGTTTAAGACTCAAAAGGTCAGCTAAGTACCAAACAAATGTAAAAGTTTATTATTTTAATGTTTATTATACTATAGACATGGTAGATGTCAAAAAGCATAACGAAACTACAAAAAGGTGCGGTCACAATTTAAAAGACTATTTAATTAATTTTGTATTTTCTGTTGGGCCAGCTTATTATTTTCTTTTGTTTCTGCTACTTTTCTGTATTGCATATTGTTATGTTTAGTCAAATAAAATTTTGATGAATGGTCTTTACGTGATTTTTATGCAGCGAATCAATGATATGCATGAAAAAATGCGTCAAATTTTTTTTTTTATTTTTTTTTGACAAAAGTTTAATGAGTCAAATTTATGAAGAACACAATCAAAAGCGCCGACGATTATCATATTAGGTATATACCAAAGTATTGGACTTAAATTAAGGTTAGCTGTTTACACCTACAAAAAAAACTAGGATTAGGTAAAATACATATTTAAAAAAACTTATTAGATCAAACTCAAATACGTACGTATTGAACTCTTCAGTTAGTCTAAAATTGGACAAAAACAGTCTTGTTTTTTTTTAACCATCCAAGATGTCCTTATGATTTATATTTGACAGAATTTCATAAACTAATTTTGTCTCTAATTTAATATGAAATTATACACAAGAATAAATACATATATATATATATATATGTTAGTTAGCCAGAGATAAATTGGTGTTGCGAGTATCCCATAACTCATTCACCAAATTACGCGTAAACTTTTTTTTGGCATTTGCATTTACAATTTACAGTTAGTGTATATATAGCTCGCCAGATAAACTGACAAATTTACGCATCTCAAAATATAATGTAAACATCAAACGCGCAATAGAGAAAAAAATATTCCGTTTTTATTCGCACTTTACTGAATTATTTTAGGAAAAACTAAAATTCTATTATCTTTTTAAAAACTATTTTTTAAACGCAGGCACATATATACATAAAAACTGCGTTTAAAACAACTAAGACTTCTGAGTCATATTTATTATAACCACGGAATCACAATAACAAACAGAGTACTTGGAACGTTGTATTGTATATGCCATGAAATATAAATAGTATGAACGTATAACATATGATTAGAAGTTTGGGGAGGGGGAAGAAGAAGAAAGAAAGAAAGAAAGAAAGAGTGGATTTAATACACCGAGTTTGACACGGCACGTTAGAAAGTAGGATTATCGAGAGTATCAAAGCCAGATTGCGTAGCCTTAATTTGACCATCAGTACGAACATGATAATGAATCTCCAAATCACACGTCACGTAATTAAGAGTTGTATGTTTGGTACGTTGAGCCGATGGGATATTGGGATTTACGTGCGACGATCTCAATTAAAGATTTTAGTAGTATAATTCTGTATGACTCATTACGAATATCACTAATTTGAGGAATAGCACGAATATTTTTTGATAGGAAAGACAAAAAAAAAAGAAAAAGAAAAAGAAAAAGAGGAATAGAATTAGTGGAATGAAAGAGTATTTACGATAGCCATAAGAGGAGAGAGTGTACGTGTGCCGTTCGCGTTCAGTAAACGGCCGTTTACCGCCGTCAACGCGTTTTCCTTTCCTTATTCTATATATTACTTTCATATTCCAATTGAAAGTTGCTCAAACTTTTATCAGTCATCAACAACATAGATCCAATAAGTTGGGTGCTATCTCTTTTTCACTCTTACATTTTGAATATGACTTTTGATATTTTTTGTATAATAAAATACCAAACAATCGAGAAACATAACAGGATCACATAGAAGATATACAAGTATACTGTATACACATACATATAACAAATTAATTGCACGTATAAATACAGTAGATGGATAGATTATACGTCATCAAGAAACAGAGAGCGTTGGAGAGCATTGAACTAATATAAACTATATAAAAGAGGAATGGGAAGACTTTTAATAAGAAAAAAAACAGCACGCCCACTCCAATATATCAATGCCCATTTATTTCGTTGCCGTTGAACAACTGACTCTTGAAAAGCCGAAAATGATCGTCAAATGATATATTGAACAAATGAAATCAAAACCCATGACAACGAAATGAAAACAAATGATATATTGAACAAATGATCGTCAAATGTCACTTCTTCTTCTTCTTTTCACGGTTATCTTGGTGCGGCTTGAACTCTACACCAAGCGACATTTTCAAATGTTTGCCAAATTTAATTTTTATATAACTCTAAAACTATATAAAATGTTTTAAACAAAATTCTTAATTAAGTATCCGATTTGATAAGTGATTAGGCGTTCGATTTACGTCAACATGTCGCAAGTTCGTGAAAAACATGTCAACTCAGCGCCAAACAAATAATTTTGGACGAAGGTTTAACTTAATAAAGACTCCTGCCAAAAATTTATTTACATGCTCCCAAACAAAGTATGGTCCAAGTTTTTGCATTTAAAATAGGAAATATGGTAGCAGCACCCAAGAATATTAATTGGTAGTAACATCCCAACAATACCACAGACGTGTGGCCATAATCTGATCCGTTGGACTGAACATATACTTTCATCTCCTTAGATGAAGAGTTTCGGATTCGACAATATCGTGCCAGACGATAAAAACAGAGAGCTTCTTAACTCGCACGAGCAAAGGAGGAGTGACGCATTAAAAGAGCAGAAGCAGAGAGGAAACAGCATAACGCAACTACTCCCCCACGTAACATCACCACGCGGCGGCTCGTAACCGAGTGTTCGTGACCAAAACAGAATCTTACTCTTTTTAATAAACCAAACCGCAACGAAACCAAATTATTATTATTATTATTTTATCTGAAATGCCAAACTTTATTTCCTTGGTCAATTTTATTGTCTGATTTTTTCAATCTTTTTCCAACCAAACATTTGAATTTTTTTTTAATTAAAATTACTGCTATTCTTCCATTAGAAATATCAGGAACTGTATTGTCTTGATAACATGAAAATTTATCTCAAAATAAGTAAATAGTATTCTTTATGGTTAACAAGAAAAAGAGACAGAAATGGTCCATTAGGTACATTACCCAATTATTGGTCATCCCATGTGTCACCTTTAGACAGTACAAAGATCATTGGATCAACGGTCGGATCCATCTTTGATATAAAGTTTTACAAAAAGAAAACCAAATTTTTCAGTATACTAGACAAATTGAGCTACACAAAAGATTATTCGAATAGAAATGTTACTGATCAGTAACTCTCAAAACATAAAAATAAATTTACTTTTACTTCCAGTTTTGTTCTCTAAATGCTTAAAGATTATTTTTAGATTTATTGCTATAATCTTCTAAAGATTCTCTTTTGTATCAAAAATATTTCTTACTTTTGAAATTCTACTAAAATCAGTACTAGGATTAGTACTTTTAATGTATATTATGAATATTTTTTTCAAATAAATTGCTTTAAAATATGTCACTTAAAGATAAAAGGAATATTCTTATGTACGTATCTTGATTTATTTAATGACTTATGAACTTAATTATTGATGAAATTGTGCAAAAATAAGAGCCAGGTAATGTGGAAAAGGTGGACCAGTAGAGAAGAAACAACATTTATCTCCTTTTTAATACATCTCATATGGATTTGAATCCACGTGATGCTATAAAATTTTGCTCACATATTACAAAAAATATTGATATATAAATTGAAAAGTAAGTAAGTATTCATAATTGTATTCGTGAATGGAATATATATCGGTACTATATGTATCTGCTATTCGCTAACTTTACACGTTTCAGAAACAACATTTAAATATTGGATTAGTCATCTGAATTGATTTAGATAAATTCAAATCTTAGGAAACTTTTCAAGAATTTAAAGATAAAAAATAATTTAATCAAATCTTGCATTGAAAATTTTCTCAAATTTACTGGTTCTTAACTATAAATAAGTCATTCAAATCATTCCAAATTCTTTTTGATCTATATTTTTAGAGAAATCTCTATTTTCTAGTAAGATAAGATTTTAATTTTTTTTAGAAAGGTTTAATCCAATAGTCTTGGATTTTAAACAATTTTAGCAAATGTTAAATAACATAAGATTTGATTTTAAAACATTCTACAAAATCATTAATACAATAAGGAAATAGTTGGTGGAAAATTAAAATTATACCAAATTATTGATGAAATTTGTCGCTCTAGTGATTTAGTTAAACAACACCTGAATCTATGACGTAGGAAGCTAAATCTAAGATAAGATTATTTTTATGTTTTCTTTATAGGGTGAAAAGTAAAAAGAGGATGTTTGAGAAAAAAAAAAAAAAAAGTTAAAAAGAGATATAAGAGCAAATGGGCCCCACGGCCCAAGTCCAACTTGCCTCAGTCGTAACCTTCTCCCCGTTCGGTTGCTTCCGAGCCTATTTTCCCCTATATAAACAAGAGCTATTCTCTTCATCAAACTCACGCTTCTTCTCCTCTTCATTTTCCGTTAAGCCCCCCTCTTTTTCCGCTAGGTTTCCGTCTCTGTTTTCTTGGCGTTTTCCCGAGAAAACTCCACATTCACATTCCCCCTTTTTTCCGTTTCAATTCTTCTTAAGCTTTTCGTATTGATAATTTTATGCTCTGCATGGAAGGGGAATAAAAATTTGTTGTTGATTTCAGATTTGGAAAATTCCCTTTTTCGGCTTTTTTTTTTCTCTTGAGATTATTTTCTGAACGGTCATCGTGGGGAATCTCGGATCAGGTCGGGCAGCGAGAGGGGGGTTTCACGGCGGGGATAGATTCATCTTCTGTCTTCTTTTGAGGGGGTAGCCGGGGCTCCGGCCTCGGCGGTTTTTAAACCCCTACCTTTACAAAATCTGGGAAAAAATAGATCTACAAAAAAAAAAATTCGTTTGATAATCTTCGATTTTTCGTCTCTCTCGAAAAGTTTTTTTTAATTCGTGTTCGAGAATTTGTCTGTAAAGTAAATTGCGATCGTTGCTGAAGGAGAGTGAAGAAGATGCCTGCCTTAGCTTATGTCGATACTCCCTTTGTGCCTACGGGCTACGCTTTCTCCGGTGATGGCTCTCTTCCCACCGCCGGCGACGTGTTCATGCCGGCGTCACCAACTTCCGCTGCCGCCGTCGTTGACAGCTCCTGCCGCTGGTCTTCGTCTCGCTCCTCTTCTCTCTATCGGATCGACGGATGGGGAGCTCCTTATTTCATCGCCAATTCGTCCGGTAACATCTCTGTTCGTCCACATGGGTCCGAAACTTTGCCTCACCAGGAGATCGATCTGCTGAAAATCGTTAAGAAGGTGACGGATCCGAAATCCTCCGGTGGTCTGGGATTGCAGCTCCCGCTCATCGTCCGGTTCCCTGATGTATTGAAGAACAGGCTCGAGTGCCTCCAGTCTGCGTTTGATTTCGCGATTCAGAGTCAGGGATACAATTCCCATTACCAAGGTGTTTACCCGGTGAAATGCAACCAGGATCGCTTCGTTGTCGAGGACATCGTCAAATTCGGATCTCCTTTCCGATTTGGATTGGAAGCTGGCTCTAAACCGGAGATCCTCCTCGCCATGAGCTGCTTGTGCAAAGGTAACCCCGATGCATTTCTCGTCTGTAATGGCTTTAAAGACGCCGAGTACATTTCATTGGCTCTGCTTGGGAGAAAACTGGCGTTGAACACCATGATTGTGCTCGAGCAAGAAGAAGAGCTTGATCTGGTGATCGATCTTAGCCAGAAGATGAACGTGAGGCCCGTGATTGGGTTACGTGCCAAGCTGAGAACCAAACACGCTGGACATTTCGGTTCAACTTCAGGTGAGAAGGGCAAATTCGGATTGACCACTACACAGATTGTTCGTGTCGTGAGGAAGCTGAGCCAATCTGGTATGCTCGACTGTCTCCAGCTCCTGCATTTTCACATTGGGTCACAGATTCCATCGACGGCGTTGCTCTCTGGCGGTGTCGCCGAGGCTGCTCAGCTTTACTGCGAACTCGTGCGTCTCGGTGCTCATATGAAAGTTATCGATATCGGTGGTGGTTTGGGGATTGACTACGACGGGTCTAAATCTGGAGAATCGGATCTATCTGTTGCCTATACTCTCGAGGAGTATGCTCAAGCTGTCGTAGCTTCCGTCCGGTTTGTATGTGACCGGAGATCAGTGAAACATCCGGTGATATGCAGTGAAAGCGGAAGAGCAATAGTCTCTCATCATTCCGTGCTCATCTTCGAAGCTGTTTCGGCGGTTAAGCCAATGGCTCATCATGCGAACCCGGATGATATTCAGTTTCTCCTCGATGGCGAGGAAGCTCGAGCTAAGTACGAGGATCTATACGCGGCTGTGATGCGTGGAGACCACGAAAGCTGCCTCCTTTATGTCGACCAGCTGAAGCAGGGATGTGTCGAAGGCTTCAAAGATGGTGTTTTGAGCATCGAGCAGTTAGCTTCCGTTGATGGGTTATGCGAGTGGGTGTTGAATGCAATAGGCGCAGCGGATCCGGTTCAAACATACAATATCAATTTATCCGTCTTCACTTCGATTCCTGATCTCTGGGGGATTGATCAGCTTTTTCCTATAGTTCCTATCCATAAGCTTGACCAAAGGCCAGGGGCTCGAGGGATCTTGTCGGACCTAACGTGCGACAGCGACGGGAAGATTGACAAGTTCATAGGCGGCGAGACCAGCTTGCCGTTGCACGAGCTGGACAACAACGGCGGTGGTGGAGGAAGGTACTTTTTGGGTATGTTCCTTGGAGGGGCTTACGAGGAGGCGCTTGGTGGAGTCCACAATCTGTTTGGTGGGCCAAGCGTTGTCCGCGTCTCGCAGAGCGATGGACCACACAGCTTTGCGGTGACCCGAGCGGTGCCTGGCCAGTCCTCTGCGGATGTCCTCCGAGCAGTGCAGCATGAGCCCGAGCTAATGTTTCAGACGCTAAAGCACCGAGCGGAGGAGGTGATGCAGACCAAAGGCGGTAGCGATGAAGGCGAAGAAGAAGAAGACGACGATGAGTTCAACAATGTCGCGGCCTGTCTCGATCGTTCATTCCACAACATGCCGTATCTGGCGACGGAGCCGGCATCTCCTTGCAACTCTCTTTCAGCTGCGATCAGTAACCTCGGCTTTTACTACTGCGACGAAGATGGTGGCTTCGATTACCTCTCTGCTTAAAGGAAGGTGATCGGGGTGTGGTTTGTCGTTGCATTCTATTATCGTAAAATCGTCATTGTACCGTTTTTTTTTAAAGTTTATTTCAATAAATTCTCAAATAATAAGATTGGTTAGATCCATCACTGTTTAAGGTTTCAAACTTTTTAGTTAGATGATCCGAATGATGAAAGCTCCTCTTGTGAAATTCGGATCGTTGTATCTTTATTTTATTTGTTGTTCCCGTTAAAATGTAAGCGCTCCGGCTTCATTTATTAAATGGATAGACCATTTTATGAGCTTTTTCTTCTTTCATTCAAACAATGAACAACTTTCTGTTTTCTTGTCTGCCATTAGTCATATCTTTTCACTTTCATATGAGTTTCTTTCAAATCTATAAATTGAATGCAGTACGACAAAGTTCTTGTCACCATGTTAGTCTTTAAACTTTTTTAAGGGGCTTAGGTTTGGCCGCATCTAATAGACTCGAACGGCGTCGTGGACTCGTGGTTGTGAGTAAAGAGAGAGAGTGACAACACAGAAGCAAGTTACATATGCTAGATTCTGACATGTATGTGTTGTTATCGACTCACATATTTTATTTATTAGGCTTTGGGAAGCGGTTGACTGATCATGTGGCTCATGTTTGTGCGTTTTTAGGTGATTGCGTTAATCGAATATATTTCTTTATTTCTGGGTCACGTCTTGGACCGCTTGGTGGAACATATTTCCTTCTACGTGGAAGTTATTTTGGACCCAAAAGAAAAGAGAAAGAAAAGAAATGCATATTCGAGATAATGTGGTTTTCGTGTAAGTTGTCCGGTTGTTGGCGATCATGCAAAAAAAGCATATAATTCTCCTAAAAAAAAGAAGGATTAAAATTTAAAGGTGGAAAGTTTTACGAAGATGGTATAGTATCCTACGGTTCATGTTATCAATTTGTAGATGATTGTGTCACTTTGTGGTGTGTATTTGTTGGTAAATATAGAATGTGCTACTTTAAAAAAGAAGTGAAATGAAAAATAAAATTAAGAAGATCAAAATGATCGCTAGGTGCCTATTATATAATTTAAAACGATTTTGTTAAAAAAAAAACACATGAAAAGAACAAGATAAAACTATATGAGAATATGTAGGATACAATTTTTACTCATCGTGATAGATGGACTGAAATTCATAGTTATAAAGAAAATAAGAACGAGAAAATCAGATGATTATATTCTCAGCTCTCATGTCAAGTTCGATTGTCCGGAGCCTCACGAGACTCTTGGCGTAGAACCAAATGGTTCAAGTTATGCATCTCATTCAGTTAGCACCTTGTCTTTTAGAGAAGATAAAGATAGCACGTTACTCTATATCTTTCATTTTGAAGAAAGATTAAAAAACTAAATAGCATCTTCTTTTCATTTATGTTTTCTTATTTGGGGTTAAGGAGACAACTTAAAACTGACAGGTAGTGTTTGGAATACTTAGACAAAGACATCATGCATTTCTCAACTATTACATGTCGACAGGCAACAGTTAAAGCGAAATCGTGTTCAATCTAATTTTATTAATCTTAGCCACAAGCTCTATTTTCTTTGGCTACAATTGTTGCACCCGTGTTTGAGTAGTATCCAATCCTACAACATCTATGCTTTGAATATATCATCAATTTGGGTTTGGAATCGGCATTTTGTTACCAAATACCAAGTGGTGTGTGACGACACCAATTTGTTGGGACCATTCCAAATTCTCAAGCTGTTAAATTGAATGGTTGAACTGATAATACTACATCCCTAATAACCCAAATCTTCGGATCTATGGTTCAAATTGGAGTGAGTTGATACGCTGCGTTTCTACAAGTATGAAGGAAGACAAGTTGATATCTCAGAGACTAAAGGACTGTAACGGGAGAACAAATCCTGTTCGAATTAAACCAGAAACGTTAAAAAGCTGATAGATTTGAGTTCCAAGTATTTATTATGCGGCCAAAGTAAAGAGAACACACTTTCTTTTTTGTTTTCCTGAAAAGTTTTCATGGTCGGAAACATCCACGATTCATGAAGACATGCTTGGCAGCTAAAGAGCAACCAGAAATATTTTGTTTAGATGGAGATATATAAAACCAAGTCTCAAAACAAGATTTGTCTTACTCGAAAGAAACATCTTTGAAAACTACAATTGCGGTTCCCTCAAAGTCTCAACCTTGAAAGTCTTTAAACTTTATCTGCTGAACCATAGGCACCAGATGCTTCTTCAATCTGTAATATAAACAACATGAAACTTTTACTTGTTAATATATCGAACGGGAGATTCACGAGGACGAAGAGAAACTATATATTTAACCTGAGCATGTGATGATTATCCAACTTACTTTATTGAATGGGTATGAAAAAAGAAGCAAACTAGGTTGATCATGGGTTGTCTTCTAGACCATAGTTGTACACAATCTCAATCTGCATGAGTCGGTCACAACAAGAGGAGATGAGCACTTACTTGCGAATGAATAAGAACAATGACGATGAAAGTGAGATTAAAGTGGTGAGAAGAAGAAGACTTACCCCGGCAGGCGGAGTCGGGTTTCTACAGAACTTGGAGCCACCAGGAGCCCATGGAACTACAACACAGACAATGTGGGTCATGTCATTTGGAGGATCAAGTTTGTTTTGTAAGGGTCGAGACTCGAGAATGCTTACCGATATAAGGATCAGGGTGCCTAAATTTGTCGTATTCTGCTTCACCACGAGCAATCAGTTTGTCGATTCTGTCGACATCCTCCTACAAGGGACAGACATTGAGAAACGAAGATGAAAGAGACTCAAAAGGTACATTCACACAATCACCAATGTTGCCATTGTTGTCAGGTCAGCTGTTGAAAGAAAGAGTTTCATCCCTTACATATACAATGATTCTCAACTTTACTTTGCAAAAAGGTACATTTCATAGATTTTGCACCGAAACTTAATCATAAGCTGATAGATCGATTGCGGAAAGCAGAGTTCTATATAGACCAACTCTAACACATCAATGAAACAAGCTTATTCACTTTTCGATGGAGTTTCAATTCAGAATATAAGGAAAACATAAACACTTTCCCACAGACTTCAAATTTGATAATAGCAGAAATCTGAAACAAATGTGCAAAAAAGAACAAGCTTTTTCCACAACAAATTTTCTCATCCAAACCCAGTTCTCTAAAAAGTCTTTCTCTACCAAATTCAAATCAAACAAAACACAAAAAACCTCCATTTCCACATTTTATCGACAAAAAAAAAGACGAGAAGAGAACAAACCACATCTTGGTTCTCATTGAACCTCTGGCGCAGATCAGAAGCCTGGAAAGGAACGAAGATCAATGAATTAGAATCCGAAATGTGAGATCGGCCAAACAAAAAGAAAAAATAGGAAGCCCAAGTCCGATTCGGAGATCTGAGGACAAAAAAACTTACATCTCGGTAGAAAATATGGCGGTGAACAGCCCAATTGAGAGTATCCTTAAGGGCACGGCGATAGAGAATTCGAACCTTCTCCTTCTGCGCCGCTCGCCGCGCAAAGTACGCCGCCGTCGAAACTCCGCTCATTTTTCTGATTCCGATTGATTTCGAGTCTGTCTCTCTCTTTTACACTCTTTTCTTCTTCTATCTGATTTGCATTTTTCAACAGTGAGAAAACCTTCTGTCTTGTTCAGAGGGACCGAAAAAAAAGTTTCAAATGGGCCTTTCAAAGGCCATTTATTTCACGGGCGCACCCGTTAACGAAATGAATTTAAACAACTTAAATGGGCAGGGTTTTAAATGGGTGGAGTCTAAACGGGTTTGGGCCGCCCATATTAACATCGCTAGGCCTTTGATAAAAGCTTGGAAATTACGAAAATAATTTGGCCCTTCAGTAACTAACGGATTTAAGGAACAACCTTTCTTTTTTTTTTAATCAAAGGGATTTAAGGAAACTTGAAAGAGATTGAACTAAACCGAAAAACGATGTGTATTACAAACCGTCCATAAACGAGAAAAAAGTTTCCGACCAAAAAAAAAAAGAGAAAAAGTTAGACTCCTTTGCCGGGACTCGAACCCGGGTCTCTCGGGTGAGAGCCGAGTATCCTAACCAGCTAGACTACAAAGGAATTTTGTTCTAGTCTGACAACATTATTACCTCTACTTTTATTGGATACAGAAATTGACAATGATGTCTCTGTTTTAGTCTTGATTGCTTTGCAGGTTAGAAAAGATGACTGTAGCCATACTCGGTGGAAGGAAGAGGAATTCAATTCTTCGTAATTAGTTGGCATCATTCTCTGCTTATTTAATGAGTTTCATAATTCTTAATCTTATTGTATATCATCTACATGAGATTAATTAACTGCCAAAATCTATTTTGAACTGCAAGACTCTAAAATCTTTGAGCCATATAAATGTTACATATTCCAATTTCTCAAATTATCGTTGATAAAATTTTGAGAAGATTTCTGTTGAGATATTTGTAATCTTCAAAAGATATGAAAGAGAAACCCCAAAACAATTATTTTTGTCTCCATAATCTCATAGAATTAAACAGTGAAAATTTCCAAGGTAAGCAAGTGAAAATGCATTCTATAGAGACAAATGGTTCATAAAGCAACAGTGGGTCTTTAAACAGATAAACAGCAAACAAAGCCGAAAGATTCTAGCCGTGTGTAGCCCTAGTGTAGATCTGCTGGCTTGAGTGTGCGGAGACCATCCTGATCGTTCCCTTAGCCATCAACTCCCTGATCGCCCTCCGAGCAAGCGATCCATTGATCTGTTTCAACACACGAGCTCTCATGTCACAACCACAATAGAGTCTAGAACCAAAGTGCATGTAAGCACCGAAACAACAAGAACAAGAGCAATCTCCCAACATAATTGATGATCAGGACACCTTAATCACTGACGAAACAAAATACTAAGGTTTCAGGGATTCACCTATCACTTACTACTTGAAGTAATCGTAAATATTGCTTTTCTCACAGCAAATATCGGCTATAGATTGTTGACTCATACAGTTGTGAAGTGATATAATCATAGCGAAACATTTCATATCTACAATCTGGTGATGAACAACAGAACAACTAAATCTGAATCCATAGTCACTGAATAGACCCTTCGGCAAACACTAATGATCAACAAGTACCAACACTTAACTAATGCGTGACCAATCCATTTCTATCAGAGAAAAGTTTCAAACTTTCACAAACCCAATAGAGAGAGAGAGGAGAAGAAGAGAGTGTTACCCTCAAACGGTCGGAGAGGATAGAAGGGGTGATCAATTTGAACTTGGGAGCCTCGGAGAGAAGCTTGTCGTAGGTAGCTTGGTCGAACAGAACCATGTTGTTCACTTTCTCCTTTTGCTTTCCTTTGCTCCACTTCTGTTCATTCCAAAACAGGTCCGTGTGATGCTCAGATCCAAGCTCAATCCATAATTACGATTCTAGAGAGGTAACTGAGAGGCAAAAGATAGCATTTTTAGAAGAAAAAAAGGTGACCTTCTTCTTTTGCTTGCCACCACCGGATTTGGCGGGTTTAGATGACGGAGGGGGAACCTTGTCCTTCTTGGGTGCCTGACATCGGACAGAGAAGACATTATAAGATCACCCGACAATACAAGAGGCAGAGAGAGATATGATAGTTGCGAGAGTGAGAGAAAGTGGACACACCATTGGAGCTGGACAAGAGAGAAGCGGCGCTACAATGAAGAACTGGAACAAGAAATTGAAACCCTAGAGGGTGATGGGCCTTTGATTGAAAATTCCATTTCTATCTAATTTCCATTTCCCAACAGAGAGAAAATTCTTTCAGTGACACCAAGAAGAAAGTTTGGGATGGGCCTTTGATTGAAGCTTGGAAGTTGGAATTACGAAAAGAACTTAGCCCATTAGAACAACTTGAGATATGGATAAATAATACAGGAAAGCCATGAAGGGTTAAATGGTACGAGTTGAAGTAAACCGAACATATAAACTGAAAAAGTAGGAGATCAAAAACTTAACTCCGTTGCCGGGACTCGAACCCGGGTCTCTCGGGTGAGAGCCGAGTATCCTAACCAGCTAGACTACAACGGAATTTTGATTCGATTTGAAATTTTACTTATTACGGCAGAGTTTCAGAAAACACTAAATTTTCTGACCTCACGTATATAATCATAATGAGAGACTTTCTAGTCCAAACTTTTGACTTTATCATTCGTTTCACTCTCTACTTTCATCTCAATTCTTGTAAGATCGTTTCGCTATTTTGGAGATTGTTTAGGCACAACGTATCAAGAAGTTTTGTAGTTGAGTTTGTATTGCTTCGCTTCGAAATAGAAAGATCGAAAGAAATTAGACTTCTTTATTATTAACTTGGACTTGAGGATCAGATCAGAAAGAGAGAAGCACATGATAAAGCTACTTTTTCCTTGAAACCTAGTTGATGAAATAACAACACTTATGAAACAACAGAACCAAAGGTCCATTGATGGTACTGTGGTCCTTATACTGTAAGTCTTTATGTAGCAATTGGCCTAAATTAATTATTAACTTGTAGCTAGAATATTAATGCGGGTAAATGATATGTGTTTAATCATGTTGTCACCATAGTCTTAAGCTCCAACATTATATGCTTGCAAAAAATTGTGTTGCTTTTGAGCACACACACAAAAAAAAAAAATTAAACTGCGAAGTTATGACTTCATAATCATTTTACCGTTTTCCAACTTGAGACAGAGAATACTCAAAATGGAACTAAGTTTTGTTAACAAGCTTTTGCCTCTCTTATCTATTATAGCATAATTGTTGTGGGATTTTCAGAATGGCTCTTTCATATTGCATTTGTTTTTCTCAAAGTATTATTAGCTTTTATATCCTGCAAAACACTACAAAAAGTCTATGGCCACTTCACATGGACCAAAATCATCTTAAGTAGTAGTGGTGGTGGTCTCACATCGCTAAAAGAAAAACATAATTTTGCTAATAGAAAAAAAAAAACCCACTTTTCTTAGACTAATTCCAAAACAGTTTCAAATGTTACGAAGCAAGTTGTTAAATTACAACACTACGTACAGTACAGATAATGTTAAAAAGAGTAGGTTTATATTTTACCTAAGTCTTCTCTACCACTTTGCTGCCAGATTTGACTTGGTCTGATTTAGTAGTAGCTTCACCTGTTTCTTCACCCAACTCTTTACTCTTTCTCAATTCCAGAACCTTCCTATGAAGATTCGAGTGGATCTCATTCGAGAACGTCGGACTATCCGCCGGTCTGTATTCCGGGCATAGCCGACCTGACTTAAACCGGACACCACAGGCATTACACAAGGTTTTTGGACCGACCGGACCGGTTCTCCACTGAGGTGTGTTGTTTGTGCCACAATGGCTGCATCTTCGTTGAAACACGACGGCCGTTTCTTGGTTCTTCCTCCTTCTCTGCTCTGCCGCTGCATGTTGATTGGTTGAAACGAGTGGCCAAACCCGGCCACCGGTTAGGCTGTTGCGAGACCGTTTGGTTCTTGGTTTGACCGGAACTCGAGATGAGAAGCTTGGTTTGGTTTTGTGGGTTGGTGTGAAGAGAAGTGAAACTTCTGGTGAAGAACAATCATCCACAACCCGAGATACCCATTCAAGCTCTTCCACATCTTCATCCTAAAAATATCAAAAAGTACAAAAAAATCTAAAAAAGACTAAACTTTATTTGATTTTACTCAAAAAGCTTCAAAAATCAGAGAATTAACCAAACTTCTTTATAATTATATAAGGAAAAGAAGCTTCTAAATAATTACCGGCAAAGAAGGAAGTTGATCAAAGATGCAAGGTTTTGAACTAAAGACGCAATCTTGTTCTTGTTCTCGTTCATGTTCTTCTTGTGAAGAAGAAACAGATAAAAGTTCTTCTTCTTCTTCTTGACCTTCTGAGAAATCGAGGAAACACTCAACGGAGAAATCTTCAGCAGAAGGAGTTCGGCTTAACTCTTCCGACACAATCACTTGATGCTTTATGGCTTCGCCTCTTAGACTGGCCTTTAGGGCTCTTGCTTCTGTCCACAGCTCCATTCACTCTTTCATACATACATATAAAATTCTTAAAGAGTTTCAATTATCACTCGACATAGTCTTTATTCTCACTATTACAACAACCATACACATAACATAAACAAGAGAAAAAAGTAGCTAAAAGGCTAAAACTTTATGATCTACAGAACCGTCTGCGCATGCAAACATTCGAGAAATTTAAAAGAGGAGAAAGGTATGTGCAGGGATATGCTCATCGTAATTCTTTACCTGATAAAGACGAGGAAAAAGGTGAGAGAAGGCGAAGAAACAGAGGAGGAGGAGAGAGACGGGCAAAGTAAAGAGGCACTGAAATTAAAGGCGGATTCTTGAAGGGGTTAAAAGGTAAAACAGAGACTTTTCATTTTTGTTTTTGTGTTTGTGCTTCCAATTCCAAAAGTTAAAGCTCTTTTTTTCCATCTTTTCCCCTAATTTCTAGTTTGTAGAATATTACAAAATCTTCTTTCACGAATGATACTAGAATTGTATTTCAGAATCAATGCTTTTCCTTCTTCTTTATTTGCCTCTTCATTTTGGTGTAAAATGATGTGTCCTTTATTTCTTAATTTTCTTATCAATTTTAGAATATGGCTTATTTCTCAAAAACCATGGATCAGCTCTTAAATAAACATAAACTCGTTGTTTTTGTATAAATTAAAACCAGCACTAAGCCTCAATATTAATGTCAAAATCGGGCTTCATACAACAAACGACTGCTCAAATCGGGTTCTGTTTTTAATTGTTTTGAGACGTCAAGATTCTTTTTTGTTTTCCTCCATTTTTTCTTTGGACCTAATCAATGAGTTCTCTACGTGGATGTTTTTGCCTTGGGCTTATCCTTCGTCAGATTTTGATAAGTCAGGTCCGTTTCACATTATTCAATACAATTTGATTGATTTCTTGAATTTTATAATATGTTATTTTGTTTAATTATTGTGAAGGGTTATATCATGCACATTGTCGATGCCAATTTAGCTTGTCTTGTCAAGGTTTGACCATTTCTTCTTACGAAATGCTGGACAGTTTTTTAAATGGTTAATTCATTTCTAAATACTGTCGCTTTAAATAGGTAACAATAATTTTTTTTACATGCGTTATTGTAACAAACATTCCCATGCAGTCCCTAATGGCCATATATAATCCGCCCAATCGTCGTCGATGTTCTACAATCTTTTCTTCTTCTTTTTAGAGGATCAGATTAGTTAACCAAAATGAGAAAATAGTATTCCGATAGAAACATTAAGGTAATAATATAATAAAAATTTCATTTGAATCAAATGTCTATCTAGATTAACTTGTTTTGCACTAAACCGAATTAACATAATCTATATTCAACTGAAAATTAAATAAAATTTTAACGCAATCAAATTCGATTCAAACACTCCTTCAGCCCAAAAACAGCATAAATAAAGTTAAACTAAATGAAAATTAAATAAAGTTCTTTTTCAAAAAAGAAGAAGAAGAAGCTCTTTAATCTATCACTACGCAAAAAAAAGGAAGAAGAAGAGAAGTGTGGGTTTTGGTAGTGATGGGAATGGAGAAGATGCAAACCACCGTTGGAGTGGAATTCACCAAAGCCACCACTATAGCCAAATCCTTTGAACAATAATAAAAAAAAATAGCTTACCATTATTAAGTTTTTCCTTCTCCAACTATGCAATCTTTCCTTTTTAGTTTGGTTTAACATAATCTCCACCTCATGCCGCTTTTAAAATGAAGAAGACTAGTTCGGAATATGTATAATTAACTCTTAAGTTTTATAGACTAGTTGGTTTTAGACGCTCGTCCATTAATGAAACTGGATTCTAATCTATGAATTTAAACTCAAACTTAAGATTATGTACCTCTTTAGACTTTACATCCCCCAACTTTCAAAAGTAGGGTTCAGTCTAGTTTTAAATACACATTTTTTCACTAATTTGATATGATATAAGAAGTATAATCGATCATGGAAAATAATAGGGATTGGTTATTTGAACGAGTTGTTACAATCACTTAGTTTGGTAGTGATTTTTTTTTGCCGACCTTAGTTGGTATGGTACGTAGGAGGTGTTATACTTATATTTGTATTTATCTATTATACAAAGTAATGTATTATAAAGTTTTATTTGAGAAGTTGGTGTATATATTCTTTTTTGGCTAATCTTTTTTTTTGCAAAAGCATAAAAGAATATATAAAACAAAACAGAGGGAGCATGCTGGTAAGGTGAGGAGTGACGAGGGTGTGATGGGGGAAAAGGAGAACGTGTCGCATTTTCCTCTTAATCGTCGATACAATTTGCATCATCACTCTTTCCCCTTTTTTCATTTTTTTTCTTCTATAATTTGTTTGTTACTTTTTTTTTTTTGACGTATAGAGGAAATGGACCAGCTTCAAATCCTGTAAATCAATGCAAGTTGTTTTACGAGTTAGTGATCCTTGTATTCTTGTGTTCCGAATATCTATCATCACTAACTTGGGGAAAGTTTGCTTAACACTACCCAATCTATAAAGTTTAACCTAAGAAAAATCTTAACACTAAAATAAATAAAATACCCTAGAACTTAGTTTTAAAGTGACCGATATCTTTAAATCGCAAATTAGATATTAGATCATAGTCCTTTATTTCAATGTTCTGTTCTACATTTTCAAACAAAAAACTAACCTAGAATTTGAAAAACAACTAGTGTAAGAGAAAACAAGAGTAAAACGGAAATGAGACAAAAAGAAGTGAAAACAAAAGTCACAAAACATAATCATTGAGTTTTAACAAAACATAGTCCATTTGAAGCACTGAATACATTGACAAACAATGTAATCATTCGTCACAAAGCATTGTTAAAAAAAAAAACAAATACAGAAGAAAATAAAATATCAAAATCCTAGCAGACTAAACATGTCTTTCTTTGAATAAATGAAAGACGAGCCAAAAATCGTATAACAGAAATTATGAGAATGGCGGAAGAGATGGTGAAAATTCGACTGTCAAAACGAGAACTACGAATTGCATAACACATATCATACAACAATCAGTATACAATAAAAAATTGCATTCCCATACATATCTATGTAATACATTGAAACATCTATCATTTAATTTAATCATGGTTTTAAACTAGCCAATTAAATACAACACCCATAGGTGTAATATCGCCATATCTGCTTTTACGCATTTTTATATTCATTTCATCTTAATCATAATCGTCAAAAATCAAGGAATGATGAATAGAACTAGCACATTTAAATTTAAAAGAGGTAACATGATAAACAAGAACAGTAATAATAGATCCATCAAAAAGGAGTCCAAAACCAGTCACATGAAGTAGAGAATTCTTTTACCAAAAAACTCAAAAAAAGAGAGAAGCAAATCTATAAATCATCTAAGCTCCGATGACTTCAGCAGGATCCTCAGGCACTGTCTCCTCCGCTGGCCTGTCTACCTTCACACCAACATCCTCTGCAGTGTAATCACCATGCACCTTACAAGATAAAGAACAGAACAAAATTAAACTGCTTGTCATAATGGCTTTAGACAAAGACCAATGTTGAAGACAATAATGTGAGACCAACTCACCTCCAAGAGCTTTCCGAGGTCAAACTTGGGAGCCTTGAGAATCTTCACTTTACGGATAAACACGTTCTGCAATGGGTAGATTCCCTGTGTGGCCTTCTCAATCTCCATTCCAATGGCCTCAGGGAGGAACTTGGCAACAAGTTCCTTGAGGTCACAAGATGAAGCCTCCTTGACCATGATTTCACTCATCTTCCTGCGGATCTACAACCATCCAACAACACATTACATGGCATAATCCAAGTCTCTAATGATTCCTATTAAATTTCTTTCGACAAGGACAATAATAAACACAAGTTATATCTCGTTATTACCTGGCGGATTTGGCTGGACTGAGCATAACAAGTACGCTTCACCTGGTTGGCACGCCTCTTGGTGAAGGCGATACAGAACATCCTCAGGGTGTAGCCGTCTGTGGTTTTCACATCAACATGAGCTTCAATCAAAGTCTGCCACTTCTTCACCAATGACCTAAGCTTGTCGGTTGTGAAATCCATACCCTACCAAGGATTACAAATAAACAGCGCATTAGTTTCCTACTTTGCAAAATCAAATCTCAAAAGCTTTTGTTTCTCCAAGTTTTCTATAAATCTTACCCAGAATTGGGTCAACACATTCCTGCCCTGAACATCTTCAGCCCTAAGACGGATCTTCCTGTATGCCTTATCCTCGTCTCCTCCTTGGAGATCAGCAAGAGAAACCTCGAAAACTCTGTGTTTCAGTCCCTCAGAGGCAATCTGTTTACAATTTCGATTCCACCCACAAAAACACAAGTTATGTTTGGCTAAGGGACAATATGAAACTACACACAGATTCCTCAAACTACAAAAATGAAAACAACCCAAAAGTGAATATCTATATCTAAAACTCACAGGAAACCTAACAATGATCTAAACCATTTGAAAGAGACAACAGATCAAGCGATTTCACAGTGAACCCTAAACTATCCAGCATAGTAATAGACAAGGACATTACCTTGGTTCCCTGTGTCCTTGAAACAAGTGTCTTCCCAACATTTCTCACGGAGAATGAAGAGGGAGCCTTCACGTCATACCAATCCTTCTTGGAGAAAGGATCAACGCTGCAACATCGATTAAATTGAGACTCTTTATCTATATACAGACTCGATAGAGTATTATAAATCTGGGAATATGTTACTTACATCTTCTTCTTTCCTCCTTTACGACCCTTAGAGATCCTCTTGTTCTTCCTACAAAATGAGGAAAAAATGGAGATTAGAACATGGTACTCGAAGATATCGAATGAGAGATTCTGATGCAGGATATGAAAGGTAGAAGAGTGTACCCGACAGCCATGGATAGGGATCTTCAGATGGTGGCGACGTCCAGCAACAGCGAAGAAGAAGAAGCGGCTTCAACAACTGAGAGAGAACCCTAAAGCTACTGGCTTTCGATTTATATATATATCTAGGGTTTTGATCGGCCCAGAATTTTTGTTTTCCTTCCCTTTTTTTGTGTCTTATTAAAAATCTAAATACCTACTGGATTTGATTTTTCAAACCCAACGGGCCTTACAAAGCCCAATGGGCAACCAGTTTTGGAAACTTCTTTCTCAGGCAGAGACTCTATCTTTGATTTCTTCGTTTAGGGAAAAAAAAAAATGGAATGAAAAAGTTCGAAAGTAGAGAAATTTCTTCGGAGCTCAACGACATTTCACGATTTCGAATCTCTTCTTCGCCGAGCTCATCTTGGTTAATCGGCGGGGAGCTCGAAGGTGGAAGTAAGGTGGAAGGGTAAAGAAAAAAAGAGAGGAAGATTTGTGAAGAGCTTTAATCAGGTGAACAATGGATGCAATAAGAAAACAAGCCAGCAGGTTGAGGGAACAAGTCGCAAGACAGCAGCAGGTGAAAGTTTCTAACTTTCTTTTCCCCGTTTGCTTAGATCCCGTTTCTAACATTGCCCAGATTCTATTTTTTCTTTGTGATTCCGTTGATTTGTTGGTTTTTGGTGAATCAATCAATAACGTGATGATGAAAGGCTAGCTTTTTTCCGAATTGATATTTTTCGACTTAATGAGTACTTGGATCTGAGTGTGCCTTCTATTTTCGGTTCTGAATTCAGTTGATTGCGATGAATACTTTGATTCGATGTGAGATTGGGTAAAATCCTTCTGGTTTTGGGGGATGCGATGATCTCGTAATCTGCATAATTTCGTATTATCAAATGAGATGCTTTTGTCAAACGGTTATGTAGCATTTGTTTGCTGTTATATGTCAAGATCAGAAGTTATTAATGAGTTTTGGTATAAATACGTTTCTCTTTTGTGAGCAGAGTTGAACGATTTTGTAGTCGTGGATTATCTTAGTTCTTCATAGTTTCAATTTAAATTCATTTTAGCACCTGAATATAGAAGTTATGTAATCACGGGAGGTTTGACATATATTATATTATCTCCTGTGTTGATGCTTTTGCGTGATGCTTGTGTTTCAAACTATGTTATGTTGTTTTTGTTGGCTTCGTGTACCATGAGATCTAGTGTTTGTTCCTCAAGTCTGAGAATTAAGTCGTACACTGACTTAGTTTTTGTGGAATGGTGAAGGCTGTCTTCAAGCAATTTGGAGGAGGAGGGTATGGCTCTGGTTTATCGGATGATGGAGAACTCCATCAACACCAGAAACTAGAGAAGCTTTACATATCCACCCGTGCTGCCAAGGTTTTATTTTAAAGCATTTAACTATTTGAAGTTTTCTGTGCTATCAAATTTGGACTCATACATTCGTCGCTTTCAGCATTACCAAAGAGATATAGTTCGTGGTGTCGAAGGTTATATAGTCACGGGGTCAAAACAAGTTGAAATAGGTGTGATTTTACTGACCCTTGAGTGTTATTTATAGTATCTTTCTATGTCTGTTATAGACGTGAATTTGCTCACATTGTGCATTCATTGTTCGTCAGGGACGAAACTGTCTGAGGATAGCAGGAAATATGGTTCAGATAATACATGTACGAACGGTAATGTATTAACAAGGGCTGCATTGAGCTACGGACGTGCTCGGGCGCAAATGGAGAAGGAGCGTGGAAATATGTTGAAGGCTCTTGGTACACAGGTTTGTTCTTTTTCATCTTCCATCAAAGTGTTAAGCAAAGAATTACTTAACTGCCATCGTTTGAGTGACTGCCATTTGTGGGAAGATGTATTGCTTTTCTCTGGAATTTTTTTGTTCCATCAGTTAGTGTCATGCTGTTCACTTGGATCTTCTGTATTGCAATTTGACTTCTACAAACAATCACATGTTAATATGGAATCTAAACTTGAAACTGTTAGGTTGCTGAGCCATTACGGGCAATGGTTTTAGGAGCCCCGTTGGAGGATGCTAGACATCTTGCCCAACGTTATGACAGAATGCGCCAAGAAGCTGAAGCTCAGGTACCACGGACGATATTACCATTAATCAATATGAGTGTTTTTCTCTTTTTAGAACTAGACATTTGTTATTACTAGCATGATAGAATTTTACTCATGCACACAGTTTAAATTTAAACAGGCTACAGAAGTTGCCAGACGCCAAGCAAAGGCAAGAGAGTCTCAAGGTAATCCTGACATCTTGATGAAACTGGAATCTGCTGAAGCAAAACTTCAAGACCTAAAATCAAATATGACAATACTGGGGAAAGAAGCCGCTTCTGCTTTATCTTCCGTTGAAGATCAACAACAAAAATTGACTCTTGAACGACTTATTTCAATGGTAGCGTGATTGGCTATAAACTACTTTTTTTAGGTCAAGTTTGATTTACTTAACCATATGTACTTACTTTTGAAACAACTACATTGTTCATTCCTCTTCTCAAGGTTGAATCCGAACGTGGCTACCATCAAAGAGTCCTCCAAATCCTTGATCAGCTCGAAGGAGAGGTTGGTGTGCATTAGTTTTACAGTCAGTTCATCATTACATGAGTCATCTAGGTCAAAAATTAACATCATTTGAACCTACAGATGGTATCTGAGAGGCAACGTATTGAAGCTCCCTCTACTCCGTCAAGTGCAGACAATATGCCGCCTCCTCCATCATATGAGGAAGCTAATGGAGTGTTTGCATCTCACATGCATGACACGTCAACAGATAGCATGGGTTACTTCTTAGGAGAGGTATGCTACTCAGTTTTATTGCCGTCTAGTTCCTTTTTCCCCACAAATAACCGAGTAGCTTTGGTAGTAGAAGTTTTATAGAGATAATGGTATTATATGTTCTCTACGTATGAAGCGGATATTTATAAACTGTTTCCGGGAAGTGAGAGACAGGCTACATCTGAATTCTTTTTGGTCCTCATTTGATGTTCCATTGTAACATGTTATTCCCTTTTTCAGGTCTTGTTCCCATATCACGGTGTGACAGACGTCGAGCTCAGCTTATCAACTGGTGAATACGTTGTGGTTAGAAAGGTTTGATTTTAAACCAACCCCCAAATGGGAAAACCAACAATGTCTCCTTTAATTCACATTTATGATTTAACCAGTACGGTTTTAAGAAGTGTTTGTTTGATGTTTACATTTTTGTCTGTTACTCACTGTCAGGTTACAGGCAGTGGATGGGCAGAAGGTGAATGCAAAGGCAAAGCCGGTTGGTTCCCTTATGAGTACGTCGAAAGACGGGAACGAGTTCTTGCTAGCAAAGTGTCCGAAGTTTTCTAAGAACATTTGTGGTTCCCTTTGTTGGTTATGGAACTGAGTTGTTTCTGTGGAAGAGTTGTGTGTGTGATACGTTGAAAGTAAACGAAAGGGAAACGATGCACCTGCTTAAACAGAAGTCCATGTTCTTGAAGATCAGAGTTGATGCGGCTTTCTGCGAATTTCTGAATCTGACAGTGGTGCCACTAGAACAAGAGCTCAATTTTAGGTATATTATCTCAATATTTGGATTTGGATCCTCACGGCAATATCTCTATCTATCTTCATATGTGAATACACTTCTTTAGGGGTTTTATTTGTGGCTTTTATGTCCAATTACTTTCACAGAGTCATTCTTTGGTCTTGCAAAATTCTGGATTCATGTTGGTTTTTGTGTATTATACACAAGTAACATTTGTCAATTTACAAAAATTCATGAGCTTGATGGAAGATCTTAGATCTTAAATAATAGTATATATGAGATTTGACCTCAAGATCTTATGGATTCAACAAAACAATTGTTTATTAAGGAAACGGGAAACAACAGTTCAGTAAAAACACTGACAAGAAAAGAGAGTGACGTAAATAAAGATTTTGATGAAACCTTCAAAAGAACCTACAAAGTATGTTCATCATGATTTCAACATCTTCAAGTGTTGCATTTAAGAGTCACTTACAGTGTTTTTTTTTTCAAGATACGCTAAGAACAATATGGCCAGTAGAAGCACAAGCATTGCAATCTGCATATTCGGGTATGGCGGAGAACGATAAGTAAGCAGCTATCCTAAACAATTATGAAGACCGGATTAACAAAAAAAAGTAGTTAACTTACAAAGATTGTCCTTGATTGTGTTTCATCGTTACCATAATATTTCCTGCACCACGTATAAGAAACAAAGATTTCATTAGGACCTTAGCCAAAAAAGTAAAAGATCATTCTCTTATTGAGATGCCTTCCTCCGATTTTCAAACGCAAAGAGTATATATCCAAATGTGGATTTTCTTTAAAAAGCAAGAATTCCTCGTGATAAATGACAAGAATGGTTAAATGGCTTTGGATATTCTTTCGATTAATGGAAAGAGAAGAAGAAACCAAGTAAAAAAAAAAGTGTTACCTCTTGTGAAAAACTCCATTTTCTCTGCAGACTTTCTTGATGGTTATAAGCCGGTTTAGTATTTTCATGGCATTTGGATCATTCTTGTCAACCTATTACAAAATAACACATATATTTATTTATTTTTTGAACAACAAATTTCATTTTCTAAAACAGGAAATATACTGAAATATATATACCTTTGCTTCTAGCATGCAAGAAAAATCATAGAATGCACCATAGGCATCATCCATTGTCTTTAAACGATCAAATACTTTAGCCATTAGACCTAAATATAGAAAGTTCATGACTAAATCAGTATTCACATACAAGTGTCTGTTACATAACTCATTTATTGATTAACTCAGAAACGTTTAGCCTTTGATTCTAGTTAAGCCTTAGGATTAAAATGATGTAATTGTGTTAAAAGATTGCAAAACCAAACTCAAGAAAAAAAGATAAAAAAACATATTACCTCGCCTCAATTTCACAACGCCTCTAAATACTTGTAAATTGTTATAACAATTTGCAAGTGTTCCAATCGCCAGGATCTACTCGAAGAAATATATTTATATATACATAAAAGCAAATTAATATGTTAATTAGATAGGAAAAGATAAATAAATTTGGATGAATTTCAGTTTCTCTAACCTGAGGGATGGCACACGAGCGAAATATTGCAGGATTCCGCAATGAAGCAATGGATTTCAAGGAATCTTCAACATGAATCAATGCATTAGTGACCATCTCATTCAAACACTGCACTGCTTTTGTTGAGTTCCCTTCATTTTTGAAGTCCTTACATTATTATAAAGAATCCACACACAAGAAAAAAGAAGTCAGATTGTGTGTTTTAACGTGAGATCTTAGATGAGAGCTTGAGAGTATGCACACCTCGAGGTTGTCAACATATTTCCCCCATATCTCACGAGGCCAAAACATACGTGATTTTGGTATCTCATTAATGTCCTCAAGGTAATCTCTAATAATATTCGTTTTCTGCAATATAACATAACAAATGTTTTTTTTTCAAAAAAGTGCAAAAGATCTGAGGAAGAAACCTTGTATTAATTGTAAAATGTCATAGTAAATACATTGTTGTACCTGTAGAAATGAACCCGAAGAAATTGAAATCTGCTTCCAATCTGGAAATGAATCTTCTAATCCCGAAGCGAGGATGAGTTTTGCCAAACCCAAACCCACAAGTCCAGCAGCATAGTGGCAGTATTCATCATAATCCTCAACCGTTTCTACCTGTGGGAATACACAAAATCATTTCAGCATTCAACAAAGCAAGTTGCTTAATGACAAAGCTAAGCTTGAAACACATTAATGACAAAGGTAAGCTTGAAAGTTTGAAACAAACAAAATCCACAATTTACAAAGTATTCACAAAACCTCCTTGCAAATGAATTTGGCCATTCCTGCACCCATTCCTTTAGTTGTATCTTCAATAACCTCTTGATACCTTTGTGTAATTTAGGAAAACAAACTCAAGTAGATCAATCCATTTATGAGCAACAAAGACATTTAATATAAGCAGAACAGAGTTGCATATAGCAAATGCTGCAGAAACCTTTTTTCAAGATCCAGAAATGCTGCAGAAACATGGTGAAATTGGTCCATTAGAACCTTGTACTCCTCTGTACCACCTAAAATTGAATGAAGCGTAAATTAAATTAAAAAAAAAATAGCACTAGAAATACTAAGATGTGAAAAAAAACTTTTGTTACTTGCATGAAAAATGCCAGTCACGGTCGAACATGTGACGGTGAAAATCTATCAGAATTGGAACCTTGATCTCCACTGGTATGCTAGTGTCATCCTCTGTAGTGACAACAACAACAACAACAAAATTTGATGATATTAAATTAATATCTTAAAGAATATTCCGCCATTGAAGAAAGGATGATGGATGTATATTGATCAAAACATGAATACATATATATTTATTTTTAATAAAAAGATTTGGAGAAGAAGAAGACTCGTCAAATCAAAGGTTATGAAGCACTAACCAACAGTATCAAGAGCCCGGAGAATCAAGTAGAACACACACACCTAATAAAACAAATTATAAGAGAAAATATTGCTGTCAACTTATAAACTAAATGAAATATAGGAAACAAAATTTTCAGCAAAATTTAGTTGGCCAAACACAAAGTCGAAATGAATATCATTCTACATACGGCGTTACGAAGCTCGGGACCTAGTTGGTGAATAACAAGAGAAAAGCTTCTAGAAACTTTTTGGAGCAATGAGTAGCAGAAAGCTAAGTGTGGATCAAGTGGGATCTGATTCTGAGCTTTCGTGATCGCATTTTTCAACTTCAAGAGCGGATATATCTCATCTGGGTGTCTCAGAATCGTACTCAAGCTTCCCATTTTCACGAATGCTAGTGTTCAGAAACGGAGGAAAAGTATTTATCTTATTTTGAAACAAGTGATAACAATAGTGGTGGATTCGTTTGGGGAACACAAATGTAAATATTGTATTCAAAACTCTTAACTTCACACACACTGATCGATGTAAATGGGTCAAACGATGTTTCGTTTTACTAGCATTTTAAATACCGTTAAAAAATTACGTCTACAAGTCATATTTTTTTTTTCTTTTATATACTTCGAAGAGAGATCTTTTTTGGACAATTAACTTTGAAGAGATTTCACATTGTGTTGCCGACATAAAAAAAATGGCCCATATATTGGACGAAGGGGTAGTGTATCTTAAAACAGTAACCATATAACAAAAGAATTAGTATTAATTTGAGTAGAAAAGAACAAAAAAGAAGAAACATTTAAGGAGAAAGATAGATGAACAAAATGACGTTTATTCCAACTACAGATAAAATAAAATAAAACGGTACAAGACAAAGAAGGCAGTAAGTGAATCCATGGTTTTAGACCAAACCAAGTTTAAACTCTCTTGTTATGGAAACAATCTTAAATAAGGATTTGGTTTTCAGAAAAGAGAAATGTGACGTAAATAAAGCTTGATGAAAACTTTCAGAAGAAACTACAAATTATGTTCATCATGATTTCAAGATCTTCAAGTGTCACTTACATTACATTGGTTTGTTTTATAAAAGACGCAAAGAATAATATGGCTAGTAGAAGCACAAGCATTCCCATCTGCACATTCCGGTATGGCGGAGAATAATAAGTAAGCATTTATCCTAAAAAGTTAATTACTTTCTATGATCACCAGATTAAAAAAAAAAAAGTTAACTTACAAAGATTGTCTTTGATTGTGTTTCATAGTTAACATAATATTTCCTGAACCACGGAAAAGAAACAAAGATTTCATTAGAACCCTCAGCCAAAAAGTAAAAGATCATTCTTTTATTGAATTATTCTTCTGATTTTAAAACGCAAAGAGTATAAATACCAATATGGATTTTCTATTTTTGGGGGTAAAAAAGCAAGAATTCCTCGTGATAAATGACTATAAAAAAAAAAGAATGGTTAAATGACTTTAAAAAAAATCAAGAAAAAAAAGTGCTACCTCTTGTGAAAAACTCCATTTTCTCTACAGACTTTCTTGATGGTTTCGAGTCGGTTTAGTATTTTGATGGCATGTGGATCATTCTTGTCGACCTATTATAAAATAACACATACCATCATTATCTAATACTAAAAATAAAACAGGAAATATACTAACATACCTTTACTTTTAGCATGCAAGAAAAATCATAGAATGCACCATAGACATCATCCATCGTCTTTGTGCGATCATATACTTTAGCTATTAAACCTAAATATATAAATTTCATGACAAAATCAGTATTCACATACCAGTGTCTGTTACACAATTTATTAATTGATCAACTCAGAAACGTTTTAGCCTTTTATTCTAGTTAAGCCTTCGGATTAAAATGATATAGTTGTGTTACAAGATTGCAAAACCAAACTCAAGTAAGAAAAGAAAAACATCTTACCTCGCCTCAATCTCACAACGCCTCTAAATACTTGTACATTGTTATAACATAATGCAAGTGTTCCAATTGCCACTATCTAATCGAAGAAAAATATTATATGTCAATACATAAAAGTAAAAAAACACTGCTCAAACTAAATATTTAAAGTAAAATGTTAATTAGATAGGAAAATGCTAATATTTCTCTAACCTGAGGGATGGCACACGAGCGAAATATTGCAGAATCCCGCAATGAAGAAATGAATTTCAAGGAATCTTCAACATGAATCAATGCATTAGTGGCCATCTCATTCAAACACTGCACTGCTTTTCTTGAATTTTCCTCATTTTTGAAGTCCTACATTATTATAAAGAATCGACATACAAGAAAAAGAAGTCACACTGTGTTTTAACATGAGATCTTAGATGAGAGCTTGAGGGTAATGATAATATGTATGCACACCTCGAGCTTGTCAACATATTTCCCCCATATCTCACGAGGCCAAAACATGCGTGATTTTGGTATCTCATTAATGTCCTCAAGATAATCTCTAATAATATTCGTTTTCTGCAATATAACATAACAAATGTTTTTTTCAAAAAAGTGCAAAAGATTTGAGGAAGAAACCTTGTATCGTACAATGTCATAAAAAAACACATTGCTTTACCTGTAGAAACAAACCTGTAGAATTTGAAATCTGCTTCCAATCTGGAGTCAATATTTCTAAATCCGAAGCGAGGAAGAGTTTTGACAAACCTAAACCCACAAGTCCAGCAGCATAATGGCAGTATTCATCATAATCATCAACCGTTTCTACCTGAGGAATACACTAATCATTTCAGCACTCAAACGAAGCAAGTAAATTAATAAGTGTTGATAATAGCTTAACTTCTCATGTATCAAAACTAAGCATGAAACAAACAATATCCACAATTTGCAAAGCTTTTTTTCGTGTCGCAAACCTCATTGCAAATGAATTTGGCCATTCCTGCACCCATTCTTTTAGTTATATCTTCAATAGCGTCTTGATACCTTTGTGTTAGTTGTGTTAACACCATAAAATTAGTATCATATAGCAGTAGACCAATCAATTTATGACCAAGAAAGAAATTTAATAAAAGCAGAACAGAGTTGCATATAGCAAATAGTAGAAGTAATTAACCCTTTTTCAAGTTCCAGAAATGCTGCAGAAACATAGCGAAATTGTTCCATTAGAACCTTGTAGTCCTTTGTACCACCTAAAATTAAAAGAAGAGTAAATTAAATAAAAAAATATAAAAAACGATATGAAGATGTGAAAAAGACTCTGGTTACTTACATGAAAAATGCCAGTCACGGTCGAATATGTGACGATGGAAATCTATAAGAACTGGAACCTTGATCTCCATTGGTATGCTTGTGTCATCCTCTGTAGTAAAAAATCAGATGATACTAAATTTATATCATAAAAAATATTCCGCCATTGAAGAAAAGGAAGATAGATCTAGATTGATCAAAACATGAATACATATATATTTATTTTTAAAAGATTTGGAGAAGAAGAAGACTCGTCAAATCAAAGGTTATGAAGCACACTAACCAACAGTATCAAGAGCCCGGAGAATCAAGTAGAACACACACACCTAATAAAAGAAAATATTGCTGTAAGATACGTACATGAAAAATCTTTCAACAATATTTTAGTTGGCCAAACAAAGTCGAAATCTAAATCATTCTACATACGGCGTTACGGAGCTCGGGGCCTAGTTGGTGAATAACAAGAGAAAAGCTTTTAGAAACTTTTTGGAGCAGCGAGTAGCAGAAAGCTAAGTGTGGATCAAGTGGGATCTGATTCTGAGCTTTCGTGATCGCATTTTTCAACTTCAAGAGCGGATATATCTCATCTGGGTGTCTCAGAATCGTACTCAAGCTTCCCATTTTCATGAATGCTAGTATTCAGAAACGGAGGAAGAGTATTTATCTTTTTTTTATTTGAGACAGTGACAACAATGGCGGATTCAGTGGGGAACAAAATAGAAGACTCTTAACTTGTCAGGGTGACAGATGTAACTGGGACAACGATGTTCTGTTTTGGCATTTAAAAAGCTTGCCGCGTGCTACACGCGAAATTTCTTTTTTAAAAACACAAGAGTCTATCGTTTGAAAGAGAGATTTTTATTATAATTTTGAAGAAATTCAACATTATGTTGCCGACCTAAACAATGGCCAGTACATTATTTTGGTGGGGTAGTGAGTCTTAGAACTGTAACCATATAACTCTCTTACCATTACACAAAAGAGATATTAAATTGAGAAAGAAAAATGAAGAAGAAGAAATATTTGAACACAAGGGAGAAAGATCGATGAACAAAATGACGTTTATTCCAACTACAGATAAACCAAAAATAACGGTACAAGACAAAGAAGACAGAAACTAATATAGAAGAGATGGTTTTGGACCAAACCAAGTTTAAACTCTCTTTGTTACGCAAACAATCTTGAATAAGGATTTGGTTCTAAGAAAAGAGAGTGGCATAAATAAGAATGAATCTATAAATCACTCAGTTTGCTCTGAGATATGCCAAGACTATGGCCAGCAGAATCACAAGCATTACGATCTGCATTTTCGGGTAGACAAAGAGGATGATGAGTAACGTACTTTTTAAAAAAAATAAAAAAAATTGAGATACTCCTACGGAAAAAGGGGAATATGTTACTTACATAGATATTTAATTGTCCTTTGTCGTTAACATACGATTTTCTGTACGGAAGAAGAAACAAAGATTCATCACAAACTCAACCAAAACGAAAACTTATGATAAGTCTTTGAATACTTGGAAGATTGTCTAATAGACTGTACCTGTTTTGAAGGACTCCAGTGTCTTTGCAGACTTTCTGAACGGCTTCAAGTCGGTTTAGTGTCTTACTGGCATTTGGATCGTTCTTGTCGACCTATGTACATATATGTCAGAGATATAAAATTACACAGAAGGGAGTGACAAAGCAACTCACCAATGAAGAACGATTCTAGCGTACCTTTGTTATAAGCATGCAAGAAAAATCATAGAATGCACCATAGACATCAGCCATTGTCTTTGTGCGATCGATCACTTTAGCAGTTAAACCTTTATAATAGAAAGATATATTAGCTTTCAGATGGCAATGCCTGTTACACGTTCTCAAGCTTGTTGTTGACTATAAATGATAATGGTTTTCTTCTTCACAGAAATATAAAACAGACATTGACCCACAATTTCTTTACTCAGGCTTGGGATTTAGATGATGATAAGGTGAAAAAGAGTGCAAACCATACTACAAATGATAATGGTTTTCTTCTTCACAGATATAAAAATCTTACCTCGCCTCATTTTCACGACGCCTCTAAATACTTGTACATTGTTATAGCATAAAGCAAGTGTTCCAATCGCCATGATCTGATCAAGGAAACACATCCAAGCAAAGCGATATTAACTTCCAAGACATTCTATATCAATGCAGGTGCAGTTAAATAGGATAATTTTGAAACTGGTTTCATTTTATAAGGAAAACAATACAAACAGTTCTGAAGGCAAAGTAAACTTTAGATAGGGAGACAATCAAATCTGTGATATAAATTAACCTGAGGGATGGCGCAGAACCGAAAAATGGAAGGATCACGTAACGCAGCCATGTACTTCAGGCAGTCTTCAATATGCGTCAATGCATTGGTGACCATATCATTCAAGCAGTGCACTGCTTTGGTTGAGTTCTCCTCGTCTTTTAAGTCCTACATTGGGTTTTATAGTTCACCAAAGAAGGAAGAACATTGTTAGAAAATAGTCAATATGGGTAACGTCAGACCTAAGCTAAGAGCTTGAGAGTTGTATGTATGCACCTCGAGCTTGCCAGCATATTTGCCCCAAATCTTGCGAGGCCAAAACATGCGAGATTTTGGTATCTCATTAATGTCCTCGAGATAGTCTCTGATAATGTTTGTTTTCTGCAAATAAGACCAATGTTATGAATTATTCGAAGGTAGAAATTGTCACAGGTTTCAATAGATTTGAGGGAGAAACATTGTACATGTCATAATACGCTGTTGTACCTGAAGAAATAAACCCATTGAATTGGAAATATGCTCCCAATCTGGAGTCAGAACTTCAGATCCTGAAGCAAGGAAGAGTTTAGACAGACCTAAACCCACAAGTCCAGCAACATAGTGGCAGTACTCATCGTAGTCATCAACCGTTTCTACCTGCATATAACAGGGAAAACTGGATCGGTACACCTAATCATTTCAGTTCTTGATAATGTCGTGATTCTAAATAACACAGAGACACCACCAGTCTAGCTCAAACCAGCTTGTCTCCAGCGATCAAAAATAAAGCCACACTACAAAAATGTTTTTTATCACAGACCTCCTGGCAGATAAACTTAGCCATTCCTGCACCCATTCTTTTAGTAATTTCCTCGATTGCCTCTTGGTACCTTCATATACCAAGGTACAAGTCATAAATTAGTGTTGTCAGAAAGCAGATGAGAGTTTCGTAAGTTCAGTAATCAATAAAACAGAACAGAATTGCATTTATTAGAACTAACCCTTTTTCAAGTTCCAAAAAAGCTGCAGCAACATGGTGGAATTGGTCCATTAAAACTTTGTACTCCTTCGTACCACCTGAAGTTGAATTGAGCAGAGTTTGTAAATTAAACAGTCATATATAGTCGGCATGTGAAAGATAAAGATGTAAAGAGACTCTTCAGACTTGCATGAATAGTGCCATTCAGTATCGTATATGTGCTGGTGAAACGCTATCAGGATGGGAAGCTTTTCATCAGTTGGTATGCTTGTGTCATCCTCTGTAGTACAAACAAGATATGAAATTAGCGGGAGGAGCATGTATACATTTCAAAAACAGAAGTTTTGCATATTTTTAGAGAAGCCTCGTCAAATCAAGATAGTGTTGGAAGCATTAGTTAAGAGACACTAACCGACGGTATCAAGAGCTCGGAGAACCAAGTAGAACACACACACCTACAAAGAGAAGAGGCAAATGAATAAGAAATGCTGCAAAGTTTGGATATGTTTAGAAACAACCTAAACCTTCTTATATGCGTTACATCCAAGAAAACCTCACACGATATAGCACAACAAGATGTAAATTATCAACGTATATAGGAATTTTTTTTAAAAAAAAAGAACCCAAGCTGAATTTGCTGCAGCTCACACAAACTAGACAATATCAATTTATAGCAATCTGCAGAACTAAGTGTAGCACAAACTCTAAAGATGTGAATGTCTAATCACACAGAGATGCATTCAAAGTAATCGATTCTACAGATGAAGCCAATTAATCGCCGACGTACGCAATAAATGTGAGCTCAGATATTTGGTTTCCACCACAAACCAACACGTTTACCACACAAATACCACCAACATACGCAAATATACGTACACACATGTACCATACAAATGTTTTGAGAGAGAGAGAGAGAGGAGAAACGTACAGCGTTACGAAGCTCGGTACCTAGCTGCTGAATAACGAGGGAAAAGCTGCGAGAAACCTTGTGGAGCATCGAATAGCAGAAACCCCAGTGTGGCTCAGGCGGGATCTGCTTCTCCGCCTTCTCGATCGCTCGTTTCATCTTCAGGAGAGGGTATATATCATCCGGATATCTCAGAATCGTGCCTAAGCTCCCCATAGTTTCAGAATTTGAATCAGAAACAGAGCCGAATAATCTCCACTTGCGACGTCTCTCCTTGAATCAGTGACAACAATGCACTGATTCGTTGGCGAGCGAAAGCAAAAGCTATCTCTGCGACGATCTGTGAGATTCAGAGAGACCACTTGGGAAAAAGCAATTTCAGAAATGGGAGAAGTTGCAGGAACCCTCACCTGCGATGTGGATCGATGCAATTCGGCCAGCGAATATTCTAATTTCGAATATTTTTTCGAAGGGTTAATTTATTCATTCATCGATGAAAACAAAGAATGCTTGCTAGTACAGGCTTTTTTTTTTTTTCCTCAAAGCTTCACATTTTGTATGTTTAATCTTTATGAGCTAATGAAACAGAGGCGCACACACACAAAAAAAGAGAGAAAATTAAAATTTTGGGGAAAATTATTTGTGGGCATGAAAATAATGAGTGGAGGAAGAAACGGGCCCTCTTTCTTACGGTATCATTAACTAGAAAAGGCCGATAAAAAAAAACTAGAAAACAAAAAGATTCAGTGATATCGATATTTTATAATCATCCGTTATTCAAAATGGATAATTTTATAATTTAAGAAATTATATTACTTTTCTTTGTTCAGATATTTAATTTAATATTTTATTCTCATAAATAAGACATGTGTTAAGCAAATCTAATTAGAATTTATCTATAAGTATTCAATTTAAACAAATTTATATGTATATAAAAATAAAATAAAAAATAAGATATTAGTTTTTTTGTTGGAACGGAAAGGGTATCTTCTTCATTAATGGATGAGATCGATTTACAGTTCCAATTATATTATTTTTACTGGGCCAACTCTGAGAACACGCTGACATGGCAATAAGAAGGATAACGTGGCGAGTAATAATTGGCTTTAATTACGTATCCTCTCCAGTAAAACTACCAATCGCCACACGATAGCACACGGTGGTTTCTCTCCGTTTTTGCCTCTATTAAAGGGTAACCTCCTCCGATGAACAACAAACAGTCTTGAATATTGAAATTAGAAACAAAAACACTCGAAAAATGGCGAAGCGATCAAGGGTTATCACCATGTCTCCTCTCATTCTCAACCACGAAGACGATCTCGAAATCGATCTTGATCTCTGGGAAGTCGTTAACCCCTCAGACGGCGAGTACTCTGACGATTCCTTCTCCGTCGATAGTCTTTCCGATGATGACGTCATATCCTTGGACGACGATTCCTTCATCTCACCGTCTGTCAGTTCTCCGCCGCCACAGACGGTCCCTGTGGATGCCGGTGGTGAACTCGCTGCGGATCTGGACCTCGACGGTCATGTCGATGGCGATGGCGATGGCGATCGCGATCTTGATGATGTAATTCGCGATGAAGTTGTTGACAACGACCTTGGATGGGCTCAACAGCGGATGGTGTTGCTCCGTGGAGGCACTTATCGTTACTCTGTTGGTATTACGTACGGAAATTGTGTCAATCGCTATGGGTGTAATGATGACGGCGAGGAAGATCGCGGCGGTGATGATAGTGAGTACGACGATTCCTATGATCTAGAGGAGGAGCTGGTGCCGCGGAGCGTTTGTAAAAAGCTGGGGAGGCAGAGGATGAGGAAACTGGGGAAGAGAGCAATCGCGAAGACGTCTCCGTATTCCCACTTGAAACATGGCTGCGTTCGCGGTAAGTATGGCCTCGGCATGAAGTTCAAGTGCTGATCTCCGATTCCAAGTTCCGATCTCCATGATTTCTTCAATAATCAAGAAGCATAATAATGGCTGATTTAGTCTGGGTCCGCTTTAGATTTCCTTAGTTTTCTGGGTTAATTGATATGTAAATAGTAGCTCAATTGCTTTATCCTTTTATTCCAAGTAAATCTGATTCCTCTGAATATTTCATTTGTACATGAACTCCATCTTTAATCAGAGGTCACGAAATTGTCAGAAACAGGTTATTGCGATAGAAATTAGGTTATGGATCGTGACTATGCATCTTTAGTGAACGTCTTCTTGATTCAAATGGAGAGGTTGATGTTAAAATAGATGAATCATAGAATTGAGAAAGATATCTAAACTTAAGCAGTGACTCGTAGCAAGAAGGTGTTTGTTTGGTGGTGGTTTATTTGGTTATCTTTGTAAGCTTGACAAAATTGTGAACGCTGCTTGCGTGTCATTCTCGTTCGATGGCATCACTCTGATTTTCGACACGTGAGTGGTTGAGACTTGAGATAACTTTATTTTCTGATTATATGATTCGATGCCTTGTGCTTGTGGCTTATGTAGGCCTCGAAACACTCGAGTCTGATTTGTCCCATACTACTGGTCTAGTTTTCTTTTCTTTTAGGAGTACATGTTAACGAATCCATATCAGTTTATTCGAATGCAAATAGTCGAATCTTAAAATCAAAATAATTGAATCAGCAGAGCTTATAAAAATTAGAGCAATTTGGATCCTGATCACAATTTCACCTTTAGAGGAAGAACTATGGAAAGAAATAAGTACGACATGCCGTTTCTAATGAACTTAAACGACACGTAGTACGTTCACGTGACTATAGAACGTTGCGAAGTCTTGATATTTGTTGTTGTTCAGCATTTCTCCATGGTTATATAGAAGAATACGGATAGGGGTGAGAAGCCAAAACCCAGCTTATAAACCTTACTTATCTTCTTCTCCGTGTCATCAATTTTCAAGCAGAGGGCAGCAGAAATGGCGGTGAAAATCAGGCTCGCGCGTTTGGGCTGTAAAAATCGGCCCTTCTTTCGTGTAGTTGCCGCCGATGACAAATCTCGGAGGGACGGCAAACAAATTGAGGTTTTAGGGTTTTATGATCCACTGCAAGGTGAGTCTCTCTTCTCCTCTTGCTTCCTCACTTATAAGAAAATTCAATTTTTCTCGATGTCTATGCTTACATGAATTTGCTTTTGTACTATCCTCAGGGAAAGACGACGCGAGGAGAGTGAGCCTCAAATTCGACAGGATCAAGTAAATGATTCTGCCTGAGTGCCTTCTACTCTCTTTTTTTTTGTTGGATTGTTTTCATTTTCCTGTTTGCGTGTATATTTGTGTGTGTTTAAGGTGATTAGATGTGAAATTCACAGTTTTCCGTATTTCCAAGCACTGGAAAATCATGATTGTTTGATAAGGCTGACAATATTCAGATGTTTCTTTGTCATGCAACCCCGAAAAAGCTTCAATTTCAAGTATCGTTATAAAGAATACGGATTCGTTTGGAGATATATAGCTATGGATTGCGTTTTCTTTGTCTTTCATCATCTTAATCAAATTTTCCTGTATTCGGTAAGCTCATCATGAGCTTGTTCCTTGTAGGAGTGTTACTGCGTAAGTGTCTAGATTGTATTCTTTAATGTAAACAGTTCTCTTCGATGTTTGTGTTGGAAGTAACTTTGGTTTTTGATGAAATATGTTTTCATCTATTTGCTTCTCAGTCCTTCTATTTCTACACCTAATGCATCACTAAGGAGTGTCTCTGTTATTCTTAAACATTTTCCTCTCTAGCCACTGAAAACAATCTCTTAGCTAAACTCTTGAAAGAAAACCGGTTTTCACAGTTTTGGTTTTGTGACGATTTGGTCACTTTTGCAGGTACTGGTTATCGGTTGGAGCTCAACCAACAGACTCGGTCGAAAATATGCTCTTCAGGGCCGGTTTGATTCCCCCAAAGTCTATGGTAGTAATGGGTTCCAAAAATGGACAGCAATCTACAAACCACCATGTTTCACCCATCACAGGTGAAATCTTGAACTAGGATCGTTGATGTAATGAGCAAAGAGCTAGCTTTTGTGTTTACTAATGCTCGTTTAGACTTTTGTATCTTGACAAAGAGTTCGGTGAATTCTCGATATGGGTTATGTCTTCAGAAAGTGTACTATGACTAATTGGGCTTTGGTTATATAGGCCCATATTTTTCTGAAATCGAATGTTACATTTTTCTTATGAAAAGTATTTAACCGTCGCGATTACCTGTAATAAAAGGAAAAAATTGAACCGTCGAAGGACAGGGCACGTCTGAGAGCAAAAAGCTTGGGACATTACAGCTCTCTTGGCCCAACAAAATCTCTCGCTTCGTATCCCATTAGATTCTCTCTCTCTCTCTCTCTCTCTCTCTCTCTCTCTCTCTCTCTTCAGAAATGTTCATTGTTCGTATTATTTACCTCATATCTGACTCTGACACTCTCGCTGCAACATCTGTCCCAATCCAGGCAACTTTTCCTTTATTTCTATTCTACACCTTCTAGTTTATGTTTGTTCACAAATCCACTCTTAACTTCCTTTTTCATTACGAAACATCCACTTTATGTTTGTGACTTTGTGTTAATGTTGATGCTCTGAAGTTTCAGCCCATGGAACTAACTAACTAATATGTCGGCCTCTAGTTATTATTACAACTTTGAAAATTAAATCAATTCTTTTCATGATAAATCAGCTAAAGAGATTTTAGTTTTTACCAGGTTAGGATATAGACATACTATACTATCATATACATATAGAGTATACACTTCTGTCAAGTAAGAAAGTGAATGCTAAAATTAGAAACATTTGAAAGAAAAAGTACCAATCCGTAAATACCTACAAAGTGTTCCAAGTAAAAGACAAAACTCAGTGGGGAAAACGGGCACTTATGGTGTTTTTTACAAAATTAATAAATAAGAAAAAGTTGTGTTTGTTATTTTCTTGGGACCCTTTATTTCTTTTGATAGTTGTATGCAACTATTACGCCTCTGGAGTACCACAGTCCACGAATGTACTTTCAAATAGCCAAAAAAAAAAAAAAAATTGATAGAATAAAAAGACAAGGAAGAAGAAACCATAATGATTTACTTATAAAAGTAAAGTAGATAATGCTAAAATTCCGAATATGCATTAGTCAGTCATGTACACGTTTCTAACGATAAGTTGATGACTCCATTCATAAGAAAACCATTAACAGATTTGATAGTTTTTTTTCTGATATAATAGATGTAACAGTTCGTGTTAGAAATATACTATATGGTAGTTTTTAAAATTATGATAGAACTAAAACTAAAGATGAAAAGGTTTTTCTTCAGTTTTGAAGAATTAGTAACATCTTCGATTCTTTATACTTTTCAACTTAAATAAAGTTGCAGTATATGTGATTGTATGGTGGATATTGATTCAATCAATACGCTTTTATGAGAGAGAGAGAGAGAGAGAGAGAGAGAGAGAGAGAGAGAGAGATAAGGATTAGGTTAAGGATTAGGAGAAAGATGAAGAGAGGGGTTTAGGTCGACCAACTGGTTGTTAAAGATAGAAACTCCTTAACCATACATTTATAACATTTTCGCAATAATATTCTTCTCTTTACCAATGACTTGATTCCAAGAATCAACAAGCAATAACCAGGAAGTTCAAGCACCAACCAGATTATGGCTTCATGAAGCAAGATTGTTCAGAAAACAAAGTTTTTATCTGATATTTTTTTTCCCTCTTATATACTATATTAAATAAAAATAAAAGGTTTTTATTTGCTTTTTTTCTTCTGGGGGAGGGAGAGAATGATATGGGTCTTTCACGTGTGACATTGATGATGAATTCAAATTATATACCATTAGAAGAAGAAAAAAACACAAGAGAAAAAGGCGTAACCTTTTATTTCTTTCTCTTATAATTTTTGGGAGAAAGCAACAAAATCTTTCACATTTTCGTAATTTTGGGATCATCAATTATTTTTTTTTTCTTCCTAATTTCCTTCGAAGATTTGGCTTGGCTTATCTTCTTCAACAAAGCAGCAGAGTATATATCGAGTCCAGGTAAACTTTCTAATCTTTCTTTATTTCTCTTTTCAACTCCTGTTTTTTCGAATTTCTCTGAATGTTGCTTACATCTCCATGATTGCATGCATACATAAATTCAAAGCATGATGAAATCTTCATGTATGGACGGACCCTGCTCTGTTTCAACTTTTTCTGAATCTTTTTTTTATTTTTTAATTTCAAACATTTCCTCCATTAGTTAAGTTCTTATAACTAGATGGATCCGTATTTCAAGAATGATGAAAAACCTCAAGTTTGTGTTTGATCTGAAGGTTCCATGCTTCTATGACCTAATCTCACAGGAGTCAGAACAAAGGAACTATGGAACTCAACTGATCCAAGAAAGACACTCCATTGATGGAGAATTATCCGGAAACTCGGTTTCTTCCCGGAAATGCAATGATCCACATGAATCCTACCGTTTCTTACTCGGAGGAATTAGCCGGTAGACAAAGAACCGAGGCTAACAATGTCTCATCTCCACAAGAGAGGCAAGTATTGTCCAGATTTGGCGGAATTTCGCAAATGCAGGACATTCAAGATTTCGGTTCTTGGAGAGATCAAACCAGTGACCGGAACGGTTTCCACCAACCAATGAGCGCAATGGCAGGCGCTACGGGAGTTCATCAGACCGGTCAGGGATTGTCCCTTAGCCTCGGTTCACAGATTCCCGCTGGAATTCATCAAATGAACCATCAAAGTATGGCGCCAAGAGCCGAGCATTTTAGAGGCAATGAGTACGCAACGCAGAGCTTTCCGGGAGGGAATCAGAACATGGATGTTGTTGTGAGAACAATCCCCAACTCAAAGTATCTCAAGGCGGCTCAACAGATACTAGACGAGGCTGTTAATGTAAGAAAAGCTCTGAAGCAGTTTCAGGCAGAGGGAGATAAGAACAGTGAGAACCCTCAAGAACCGGATCAGAACCCGAGCACGAATTCTCCCGCTGAAATCTCTCAATCGGAGAGACAAGAAATGCAGAGCAAGTTGACAAAACTCTTGTCAATGTTGGATGAGGTAATGACCACTTGATACATTTCTTCTTTTGCATTTGTGTTTGCTTTTGCATTTCCATGTTATAATAGGATTGTGTTTTTTTTTCTTCAAAGAAATTCATAGCTTTTATACTTTAAATGCAAATGGCAAAAAGTTGATTTTTTAATGAAATGTTTAATTTTTTAGAAAAAGCATATCCATAGCAAAAAAAAAAAAAAAACAACTATGACCATAAATAATGTTGAATCATTTTTTGGTATTGGATTCTTGTATTTGATTTTTGGTAAAAGGTGGATAGAAGATATAAGCAATATTACCAGCAGATGCAGATAGTTGTATCCTCCTTCGACGTGATAGCAGGTTATGGAGCCGCTAAGCCATACACAGCACTCGCTCTTCAAACCATTTCGCGCCATTTCCGTAGCCTAAGAGATGCGATATCCGGACAAATCCTAGCGACAAGAAAATGCCTCGGGGAACAAGATGGATCAGATGGGAACAGAGTTGGGATAATAAGCAGGCTTAAGTACGTTGACCAACATTTAAGACAACAGAGAGGTTTCATGCAGCCTCAGGCTTGGAGGCCTCAACGCGGTCTACCTGAAAACTCTGTTTTGATCCTCCGTGCTTGGCTCTTTGAGCATTTTCTTCACCCGTAAGTATCTTCTTGAATCTTTTTTTTCTTCTATAGATTCTTCGTTAAAGAATTCTGATTGCTGTTTTGGAAACATGATGAATAGTTACCCGAAGGATTGCGACAAGATCATGCTAGCAAGACAAACAGGGCTGAGCCGTGGTCAGGTACCAAATGGTTTAATTTGAGAGATTGTTTCTTTATATATCTTCATAGTTTTATTTTGTTTTTATGTTTGTGATAGGTTTCGAACTGGTTTATAAATGCGCGTGTGCGTTTATGGAAGCCGATGGTGGAGGAAATATATAAGGAGGAATTCACTGAGAATGATTCCAACTCTTCCTCTGAAAATACACCAAAGGTGTCTGAGATTGGACCTGCTGCTGCTGCTGATGATCAAGATCGAGCTCTAGAGCTTTCACAAGACCGGACCAAACCGGACCATGGACATGGATATGGTGTGGAGGCTTGTGGCATGGTCCAGGGCGATGAAATGGATGGTGGCCGGTTCGTGTCGACGGTTGAGCCTACGTATCATGTGGCTGAGATGTCAAGATTTGGAGGTGGTGGTGTGTCTTTGACTCTAGGGCTTCAAAACTCTCAAAGACATGATGCTAATGTTGTGGCTATGTCTAGTGAGGCGTATAATAGCTTTTCCGAGGTGGATAATTACGAGAATGCCATCCCGGGAGCTGAATTGGAGTATGTAAACCCTGGGAGTCGCCAGAACCGGATGCATTCTTCAGAATTGGTACATGATTTTGTAGCTTGAAGAAGAAAGCAGTGGGGGAGGAATAAAGAGTAGGTGTGAGTGATGTTTGTGATCAGTCTCAATTCTCTCTAGTGGAAGTTGGTCAGAGAAAAAGTTTTAGAAATATTTGTATAAAGAAAACATTCTTTTGTGTAACAAAATATAAGTGAGGTTAGGTCATTGGGACCAAACGTACAATATGGGGGAATGAAAATTTGAGATCTACAAGAGATGATGAGCATTTATACCTTATCATCCATTAATTGTGTGATAACCAAACCATATACTGTAGTGATGAAATGACATGGCATGCATTATTCACCAAACTCACACTCCTAATAGCAAAGACTATAAAATCGTTTACTAGATAACATATCTTCAAACTTATATGATAACTGGATAATTATCATTCAAACTTATTGCAATGTTAGTCTTTAGGAATATATATATTGCATCTCATCTATATATATATATAGTCGATCCGTGTCCGTGATATGATCAGTTGGGAATGAGCTTGGAAGGAGGCCTCACGAGCTTTGGTTTAGGACTAAACTGACCATAGTCTCTTGAATTCATCCTCAGAATTCTTTCATGTTCATGAATTCTTATTTCCACCACCTGTCCACGTATATAACATAATTATTCCCCAACGTAGTAGATCATTCTCATTGAAACCATCTAACTAATTCTTATAAATTAAAGTGTTTTACTTTACAAATTATAACTATAAATATACAACGCAGCTAAGTTGGCAAATTTTTGGGGATCAAAACGACTAACCTCATGATTATCGTCTTGGCTATAAATCAGAATAGATTGTCGGCCTACAATAAAAAAAATCCCAAGATTTAATCACTCCAAATATTGCTAACATGTATGTATAAAATTTGGCCATTAAGTGTTTAGAGAAGCACATGTGCAGCACAAGTTCTTGATTATATATAATCTTACTTTCTAAAAGACTGAACAAGTAATAGGCACATGAAGTTGATGAGAAAAGCTGCAAACAAAGGATATATATGTAGAGAGAGAGAGAGAGGAGTAAGAAACAAACCTGCAGAAGAGAAAGCAAACGCTGAAGCTGAAACAAGAAGAAAGATGAAACCTAGTTTCTTCACCAATGGCAATAAACCCATCTTCTTCTTCTTTCAAATTTTCTCTATGAAGAAATAGCAAGGTTAGTGGAAGTGTTTTGATGTGCACTTAAGCTATACCTTGTGGATTTAGATACACCTTATCAAAAAAGAGAAGCCCATGCGTTAGGTTTATCACTATATATAATCTCTAAGGAAATAACATTATTACAAGTTAACTCATTCGCTTTATTTAACAAAGGCTAGGTTTTAATTTAGAATACCTTTAAGATTATTTTGTGTTTAGAATGAGATTGCACCAAAAATCATATATATAAATAAAAATACCATGGATTATTCTGATTAGTAAATATCATCTAAGTCATTCGTACGAATACCTCTTAATGCTTTTTGGGTTTAATTATTAATTGTTCATGGAAATGGTGGAATTGGAGAAAAAGTTGAAAGGAGACCACTTTCCTGTTGTTGGCCACAATAAGTCTAAAGAAGTTAGTGGCTGGATTATTTTAATATGAGTGGATTCATTGTTTAATTTGTAGAAAAACAACAATCATAACTCAATAACCAAACCATCATGTTGGTAGAATTCTTGAAGACTAGATATCCAATACCGGTCAATGTTCTGTTTTTATTCTCTCCAATCAAGAGGACTCCCTCAGCCTCATAACGTATTTGTATCATCACTCAGATATGGATCCGATATAATTTTATGTTGCCAAAAAGTGAAAACCATCAAAACATGCTTGAGTTTATTTTTCTATCGGCTTCTTTGAATAGCGTTAAGAGTCATAATCTTTTTAAAAACATAATTATGGATGATGGATTGCTGATTGAAATGATGGAAGAGAGAAAGTTGTTTTGTTTAAACTTTGCTTTGATGAACAACTTCGCCACAATACATAACTTAAATGGATTGCTGATTAATTGATATCATGGAAAGAGAACAAAGTTGTTTGAACTTTTCTTTAATAGACTGATTCGTCACTACTATTAATTATCGACGTATTATCGTATGATTTCACTTAAAATAAGATGTAAAGATGATGTAGTGGATGATGACCGGACTCTCATTTTTGACCCCTCACGATAGGTTACGTACTTTAAATCGTCACAGTGTAAATCAACTAAATCTGTTGGATCGGCTAAACTCTTTAAAAGGCCCGTAGAAGTTAGTGGGCTTCATTGTTTGATTTGGAGAAACACAACAATCATAACCGAATCAACATAATGGAATCATCTTTAATGTTATATATAGTCCAATTAGTCTAACTTTTATGGGTTAACAAACTTGTTAAAGGAACAAATACCAAAGCCTACAGTAACCTCGGAGATGACTTATAAACACGGTGCACAATACATTTGGATTGGTATCAACCCTAACATGCGACCCGTCTCTAAATTTCAGTGAAATAATTAACCGAATATCACTAACTTCACTTAGCCAACTTCCATTGACAACAAGATCACAATGAAAAAACTCTTTAATTCTTTATAACTCATCAGTGCCTACGTGTATCTTCACTCCATCAACTTCGGAAGGTAGAACTATACTCTTTACTTACACCAACAATAATTCCAAATGTTGTTCTCTTTTCCACGCAAGATATAGTATCTCTAAGATGTATTTCACAAAATTCCAAAAAAAAATTATATTTCACATGTCATTTTTGTATAAAAAACGTTCTAATTCTTTGTAAAATATGCATAAAAATATTACAAAATTAATATAAAACTTTCAAAATCAAGAGATCTTCTGATGGATTTTTTCAGCTTGGAGGCATGTGTGGCTCTTCTCTCGGTCATCAGCCTCACCTTCGTGAATCTCAAGTTAGTAATAAGCTACTTTTGTAAGTCTTTTTTTTTTAATTGGTTCTATTAATTACTTCATGTTTCCCAATGAACAATTCAGCTGTGTTTGGTAACTAATTAGAAATCTGAGAATTTGGTGGGCTGTTTTATATCATTCTTTCCACCACATGTTCACGTATATAACATAATTATCTACCAACGTATATCATTCTAATTGAAAACATCTAACTAATTCTTGAAATTTTTTTGTCCTATTTTACAAATAATAACTACAAATATACAACGCAGCTACTTGGCAATTTGGGGGGGGGGGGGGGGGGGGGGGGGGGGGGGGGGGTCGGTCAAAACGACCAACCACATCACTATCATCTTGGCTATTTAGTGTCATTCTTGTGCAAAAAAAATGTTGTAATTCTTTATAAAGTATGCATAAAAACGTCATAAAATTGATACAAGACTTTGAATTTTAGAAAAATCTTTCAAGAAAATTACAATATCCCTAACATTTAATTTCTCATAAAAAAACTGCATTTTAGTTTGGATTGGTATCAACCCTGCTAACATGTGACCCATCTCTGAATTTCAGTGAAATACTTAACTAAATGTCACTAACTTCACTTAACCATCTACCATTGACAACAAGATCACTATGAAAAAACTCTCTAATTCTTTATAACTCATCAAAATCACTATGAAAAAACTTTATACTTTTTTATAACTCATTGGTGCCTACATGTATGTTCACTCCATCAACCTCACAAGGTATAACTATACACTTTACTTACGCAACTAACAATTCCAAAGATTGTTCTTTTTTCCATGCAAGAGATAGTATCTCCAAAATGTATTTCACGTGTCATTTTGTGTAAAAAATATTTTAATTCTTTGTAAAGCATGCAAAAATGTCATAAAATTGACATAAAACTTTCAAATTCAAGAGATCTTTCTCTGCTTTAACTTTATAACATTGCAGCATTGACTCATTTTACTCACTAGACATTGACATGGAGGAATTCGATGAAAATAGAGTTTCAGCTTAGAGGCATGTGTGACTTTTCTATCTGCCATAAGAAAAGTTTTCCAAACCTTCATTAATCTCAAGTGAGTAATAAGCTACTTTTGTAAGTCATTTTTTAAATTGATTATATTAATTACTTCAGGTTGCCGAATGATATGAGGATGCATAAACAATCTGAGAATTTTTAATATCTAAAGAAAAACAATTCAGCTTTGTTTGGTAACTAATTAGAAATCTGAGAATTTAGTGGATTGTTTTATATCCTTCTTTCCACCACATGTTCACGTATATAACATATTTATCCACCAAAATATATCATTCTAATTTGAACCATCTAACTAATTCTTAAAAGAAAATTGTTTACTTTACAGATAATTACTACAAATATACAACGCAGCTAGTTGGCAATATTTGGGGGTCAAAACGACCAACCTCATCATTATCATCTTGGCTATTTCACGTGTCATTCTTGTGCAAAAAATGCTCTAATTCTTTGTAAAGTATGCATAAAAGCATAAAGGATTGGTAACAATGATAACTCAATTACCAAACCATCATAATGGTAGAATCCTTAAAGACTAGATATCCAATATTGTCAATCTTAAATGGATTGTTGATTGGCTATGGACAGAGAAAGTTCTTTTATTTAAACTTTGCTTTATGAACTGATTCGTCATAATAAATAGCGTAATTGAATTGCTGATTAATTGAGATCATGGAAAGAGAGCAAAATTGTCACTATAATTAGTTATCGATGTATTATTTATGGTTTCACTTAAAATAAGATGTAAAGATGATGATGTAGTGGATGATGACCGTACTCTCACAATTCTGAATTTCTGTTTTGATATGTCACAAATATTTTATTATAGTTTGGCCCTCAAGACAATTTACGGCTACCTTTTAAATCATCACATTATAGCGTAAATATGTTGGACCGGCTATACTATTTGAAAGGCCCATATAAGTTAGTGTTTTGTATAGCCCAACCAGTCTTTACTTATATAAACTTGATGTCTAAGAAACAGAAACCCTAAAAGCCTAAAGTAGCCACGGAGATGACGAATAATCCTACAACAGCTCCCCCTCCTCCTCTGCCATCGTTTTCGTCAGTTCCGGACGATATAATCGTGAGTTGCTTAGCCCGGATCTCGAAATCTCACTACTGTTCCCTCTGTCTGGTCTCCAAGAACTTGTACTCTCTTCTCTCATCTCCAGAGATCTTCGCTGCCCGATCCGAGATCGGAGCCACAGAGCCTCGCCTCTACGTGCGCCTATGGTTACCGACGCCCTCCAATCATAGTCATAGCTGGTTCACTCTCAGCGAGGTCGAGGATGAGTTACGTTTAGTACCGCGAAGAGTCTCTTGCTCAAGTTTAGTACCGGCAAGACTCTCTTCCTCGTATTCGCTCGATCGGTTAAACTCAACCACTGTAGCAGTCGGTTACGAAATCTACCAAATCGGCGGAAGCAACAAGGACATGCGGTCCAGAGCCGTTCGAGTTCTTGATTGTCGGAGTCACACGTGGCGTAGAGCTCCTAACATGATGGTGCCAAGGAAACGTGCCAAGGCATGTTTTTTAGACGGGAAGATATATGTACTAGGAGGATGCATGAAAGGTTCCATGAATCAGGGTGAGGTTTTGGACCTAAAGACTCAGACTTGGAAGCCATTGCCTACGCCTGATTTGAATGTCGAAAAAGTTGCAGCTTTTGGAGCAAAGCTATACGCTTTTACCAATAATAACAACAAGTACGCATATGATCCGAAAGAAGGAAGATGGGTTCAAAAGATGGGGTTTGTGGGTGAAGAGCCTATAAGGACAACTGGACCTTGGTGCGTTATAGGAAATGTGATGTTTGCTGATCATGACCGTACGTTAAAGTGGTATGACTCAAGAGGCCTTAGAATGTGGCGTAACGTTGATGGTATGTATGATCTGTACTCGAAACAAGCTTATAGGCACCGTACGATACAGTTGGTTAACCATGGTGGGAAACTGGTTATTATATGGCAAGAGTGGACCGAGCGTCCCAGCGACACCATGAGAATTTCCTGTGCGGTGATTAGTTTGAATAAGCGTTTCACTCGATTATTAGGCACCCAGATTTCGGGGGAGATCCAAAGCTGCAATCTTGTTCTTCTTACAGTCCCCAAGTCTTGTAAGCTCTCGAGCTGCCAATCGGTTTCGGTCTGAAACTCATCTTTATATTCGAGTGTAATTACTGATTTTTCTTTTCTTTTCTTTTCTCAACTTGAATTACTGCTGTAGGGATTAGTAGTTAAAAAGAAAATTGAAGCAACTTGTGTTCTTATTTTTATTTTAGTTGTTTTTGTTTTGTCCTATAATTAGGATCTTATCAAGCTCTTTAATTTTGACAAGAAAAAATATAAAAATAATTCACATAGACTTTCTCTCTCCAGCTAAAGCACATAAATATTTTGGGGCCAACGTGTTTAGTTAAATTCCTATGGTGCAATTGTTTGAGTTAATCTGCATGGTTTCTATGTGTGCTGGTTTCTATGAGCATTATTTTTGGGGCCGGCACTAGCTTTAGCTTTACTGTAACATTGCAGTTGACTCAGTTTACAAACAATACATGTCAGATTTTTACGAATTCTACTCATGACACATACTGCTCACCAAACTGTTTTTACACATGTATGAGTATAATTACATGAAACTATCTCAATGTAATTATATATTTGTGTAAGTTTTCGTTCACAAAATCCAAATTTGCAATAAGGTTCATACTTGCCTAATACATGTTGGTTCAAACATGTTAACAACAGTTGAAACTTGAAAGTTATCATCATTTACAAAAGACTTGAGAATCATTTCTGGTTGTTAACATGTTTGGTAGGTTGTCTTTGCCGTCGTTATCATTGTTATCACTAGGATGTTAATTCGGGCCTGGAATTAGCGAGCTTAAACCGGCCTGTTATGTAAACATGAAACCGTTTAGGCCCGTTTATGAAATAAAGCTTAAAGGGTTTTAACGGGCTAAATGTTTTATTTTCAATTTTTTTCCAGCCAAACGGCGATGTATTCTTCTCTTCGAGGATCATTTTGGTTTGCGGGTCATTCTCTGCGATTAGATGGAGCCTGGTTATCGCGAAAATCATGAAATTAGGAGTTTTGGTTGGTGGGTTTTGTAGAGAATCGTGAATTAGGAGAGTTTTGGTTTATGTGTGTTTACAGAGAATTTTGGATCCACCAATTTGTAAACATCCCTATACCCCTCATCACATTACAAGGCTTACCTACAAGACTGCTTGACGAAACGACTACTCTACGAGCAAGGGCGTATCCGTCATTTCCCATCTTCTTCCCGCTTCGTTCTTCATTTGTCTCCGGAGAAATCGTACCACCGGCAAGGTTTCGGAGAAATCGTACCACCGGTAAGGTTTCGGAGAAATCACCCTTCGACCAGGATAACATGTCCATGTACTGATGTACATGTCTATGATGTACATGTCTAGCACCGAAGATATCGACCGATCTTACTCCCTCCACTACGCTTTCTACCAAGAATCTTGTCCTTCCGCCGAGAGGTATTAGAGAAACCCACAATGCGAGACCTAGCATAGCTCCGTCTCTCAGTCAGATCTCTCTGATTTGTTGCTTTTCTCTTTCTCGTCTGTTCTGATATAGCCTAAGTAATCTCGAGAAATTTATGTAAGATTGTTCGTGAAACATCAAACAGTTTCTTGTTTCGGGAGTGTTCTGTTGTGATATCTCTGTTTTTTTTCAATTTAAGTTCATCGATGTCAATGGAAGTGGAATGCTGCTCGGTCAATACGAATGTGAACAATCTATGCGTTTGTTTCTCTGATTTGATGTTTCCTTTAGCACCTCTTGCAATTGTGTTTGCCTACAGGGATGTGATGCATCAGAACCGAATTTGATGTTTCCATTAGCATACTTTGTGAACCGAATTTGATGTTTCTCTGATACTTGTGAGAAAGAAGCATCTCCGAACCAGTCCTTGAAAGGGTTTAATGTGGATAAGTCTGAGTTAGAGAATGTCTGTCCTGGAGTTGTTTCTTGTCTTGGCTGCAAGAGAAGCCGTCTCTTTTTCTGGTTTGTCCATGTAAATTTATCTGTAACGCTGAACATTCTTGTCTTCGGAACTCTCTCAGGCTGGTGGTCCAATTTATCCACTGGAGACTGGGAGGAAGGACAGAGCAGTGGCCTTTACAAGCTAGTCTGTCTGTAATTCTTGCATGCTTTGCTTCCATAGGATTCAACAAGACATTTTTTGAGGACCGGCTATACAACTCCTCAGGAACGGGGAAGCCTGGCCCTGAACTCAATCCCCTGACACTGGTTTACTAAAATGAAAGCCAAAATGAGGCTTTGTGGGTTTGATTTGAGGACGCACGTTTTATCTCTTCTGGAAACTCAGTTATAAGTTTGGTTTAATCTTGTGAATATCAATCACCATTGCTTTTCTATCATTGTATGTTCTCTCTGGATTCAGTATCATTCAAAGTCGACAGTCTTGATGTTAGTGGTTATAACTGAGGATAACTTTTTGCAATTAAGGCAGAGGAGATTCTCTTCTGCTGTGAAGTGGGCAAGAAAAAACAAACGCAAAGAAACCGAAAGCATGATGAACAATCAAACAAAGCAAGAAAGTTGTAAACCGAAAGCATGAACAATCAAACAAAGCAAGAAATTTGTAAACCGAAAACATGATGAACAGTCAAATAGAGCAAGGAAGTTGTATCTATGGAGAAAAGAGTATGAGAATTTATCACTTCACTATGGGTCGATGACCTCCCCACCATCATCAACCGAGTCTGAGCCAGAGTCAGAACTAAATTCCTCATCACTGTCAGAAGCATCGTCTTCAGAAGAATCTTCACCACCATCATCCTGATCATCGTCTTCACTGTTTTCATCCTGATCATCGTCTTCCCCATCATCATCCTGACCATCGTCTTCCCCATCATCATTCTGAGCATCGACATCCTCTACAAAGCCAATGTCGTCAGGGGGCACCATAGATGTTGTTCCATCCTCCCATCCCACTATGACAACATTATTACCACTATCGATTCCGGAAACTATTCCAAAATATGGCAGATTCCCTATATCTTTCTTACGACAAACCAGATCTCTTATCTGAAACTTCCCATCAAAAAACCTAATTTCAGTGTCGGATCGAACCAATTGGCGTGTATCAACCTCTTCGTCTTCACCACTCTTCCACTTTATCGTAGCAAAACTGGGATGTACATTGCAGATGAAGAACTCTTTTCCCAAAAACTTGCATCTGGAGCCATAAGTCCAGTCTCCACTAGAAAATATCGGAGCCTGAAAAAGTCTTACATCGCTTGCTTTAACGATTTCAGCTGGTTTTTCATCGCCTGCTTGCCTAAGGAACCAGCTCACTCTAAGTGTTAAGACCTCTCGGCTAGTAACCACGGCTGCTTGTCCAGCAGCTTTATGTAGTACCCTCTGTCCTTTGTAATAGCAGCCTGTCTCTACAGAGTTTTTAATAAAAGGTTCCAACTCACTGGGTTGAACACCCCCCACACATGCCCCATTTCTGAATCTCAGTTGAATACACCACTCATGAATAGCACGAACTTCTCCAAGCCATCTTCCACTAATGACAAGATCATCCACATAAAAGTCAAGAGTTCGTCGTAAACCCTCCGTGCAAACTTCCATCTTCATACCATCATCATGTGAAGCCAGATCGACAATCTTGCTTACGGCAACAACAACACCGTATTTTGCTGTCCCTCTCAGAGGAAAGACAGTATCCCCAAGCCTTAAGTCTCTAGACAGAAGCGTTACGTCCGCCTTTTGGAATGGAAACGGGCGGGGCCGAGAAAGAGAATGCGCAAACAGTTGTTGTTCGTGGAGTGCCACGAATCCTATGGTTCCTGTTTTATGCATTACGATATCTCTAGGATGAAACTCCATCGCGTCGAATGCATATTCAACCTGGACAAAATTGGCTGTTGTAATGTCTAGAACACACAAAAGGAAAAAGAATACAAAAGGAGAAAATATACTTTTCTCCCAGGAACAAAGGTGATGTCAGTCCCACCAGTAACCTCCACTGCTACCACACCAGCAAGCTGAAACACAAGATTGAGTAAACTTTTTAGAACTGATCTTCAGAACGTCTGAAACTTATAAAGAAAAATGGACAAGCGACGAGAATACAAACAGCACAAGAAAATATGATATAGGTTCGAGTGACAGACATGTGAATACTATTCAATCCAATTCTTAAAGTGAATAACCCAGATGGGTTGAATCATTTGAAGAATCTAATCATCTAACTGACAATGCCAAACTCAGGAATTAAATGTCAAAACTACAGGAAGGATAGGACAAGGCAGAATTTTCTGCTCAATAATTAACATTAATCCCAAGCATGGGTAATAGATTGAGGTTAGTGTTAATAATTAAAACCAAAAATCGTAATCACCTGATACAGGTCCGCATATGTGATTTTGGGATGTTTAGCTTTCACGCCCTCTGAAACATCAAAGATAAGATCTGTTTAGAATAACAAGACCATAAAAAAGATTACGTAAAGTGAAAGATCACAGAACTATGGCTATCCAAAACTCAAGATCATCTAAACCACAGACTAGCAACTCAAGTTATCTTGAAATCCATGGATCATGCAGAAACTGTGCCAATATAAAAATCAACAGAGCACACTAATTGAGTCTGCGTATAAAGTAATCTCCCGTCACCTATGACATGAACAGTTATAGGAAAGGGAAACAAAGACGAGGAAAAGTTATCCAGATAACGAATCTACAGCTACTAGATCTAAACCCTGAATCCAAGAAGCAGGGGAAAGAGAAACACACCACAGAGATCGAAAGCGATTTTCAAGTCACTATTGTCACCGTGAGTGTATCCCTCTCCGTTCCCGTTAGAGCGATTAGGTTCACCGGTCTTCGATTGAGAATCGACGATTTCAGTATCGCGCCATCTTCACAGACCAGAGGAGGCAACATTTGAACCGATTAAACGAGCGAGATCGAGCGATTTTCGCAAACTAACTTACAATCCAGTAGTTTTCCAGGAAAAAAAAACAATCCAAGTCGAATTCAACATAAGCGAAGCGAAGAACCCCTAGAAATAGAAACTTACGCCAATCGGAGCACGATCGGAGCGCAGTTCTTTTTCACGATGAGGTTCAAGAGTTCACGGCGAGCTTTATCGATCTCTTGCAAGTAATCCGCGTCATCAGTCGGTGCCTCCATAGCTTCTACTCGTCTGGGAATTTCGAGAGAGAGAGAGAGAGAGCGATGAACAGAATAATGGTGGGAAGATTTTGATTTAGAGAGTTTGTTAGGAATGGTGGGAAGATTTTGATTTAGAGTCGGAAACGAATTTGATTGGTTGGGGTCAGTTATCTGCTGTTTTCCTCACATACACCTACGGTGGACCTTTTTCGCTTATAACGTACGGCTTGTTCCTATCAGACTCCATGCCGTTTTTGTGCACAACAATGACATGTGATGCTATAATATATATGTCAAACGACGTGCATGTTAACCATGAAAAGATGCGTTCATCAATTTTTGAAAAAATTACAATTACAGGGAATTGAAAAAGATTATGACACAATTAGAAACGATTAGAACCAGCTCCATGTTATGTTTATTTTCTAGTTTCTACCATAACAGTTAGTTAACAAAAGCAAACATATTTTGAATGTATAAATAATGTAGGAACATTCAGTAAAAACCTTTTATTTTGTTTCTTTGGTAAGTTGTTACTTGACAGATCATATTCGAATATTTTACACATGCAATAGCATTAAATTTAAGAAATGATGTCAAAACACTTTGAAATTTGTCTATGAAACAGATAACATGAACCATTCAAACGAACCATATATCTGATAATGATGATATATATACGCCCACAGTTTCTCTTGCCACGACCACATTTGACTTGCACGGCAAGCGTCTTCATAATCACAACATTCTTACATGAATTTTTCTGTTCTTGTTCACCGTAATCACACACTGATTTTCCCAAACAATGCTCTGGAACAGTTTTTTTCCTTTTAAATGCTGGTTGGTTACTTCCATCACAAGCTACACATTATCCACAAAGAACAAACAAAATATAAAATTTTCCCTTTTCAACGACTTGCTTTGAAACAAGAGCAATACACGTACCAAGTGTGAAGTTTCCTCAAACATCGATAGGGTTTTCGAAACTAGCGAAGGGTACAGTCTTCTTAGTGCCTGAGCATTTGAGAGTAGTCCTAGGAGTCAGGTTATCGGTGATGGCTTGGACCTGGTCTTGCTTCCTAGTCCAGTGTCTAGGACTTCGAGCTTCAGTGGATCTTTCTCTGCTTTAGACTTACTGTAACATTGGAGCGTTGACTCAACTTTCAAACAATACATGTCAATTTTGCAAGTCTACTCATCACATACTGTTTACCAAAACTGTTTTGTTGATCTCAATGTAATTATAGATTATTGCCATAAGGTTCACACTTGCCTAATATATATTGGCTCAAACATGTCAACAACAGTTATAAGTTATCATCATTTGCAAAAAGACAATTGAGAATCAATTCTAGTTCTATCATTGGTATGTTGCGGTTGATCGTCCCCTGGATCCTGCCCATATATTGTTTGATTATCGACGCGTAGGCTTAAACTTTTTCAATGGCACATACATTGGAGTCAATCAAGCATGTAGTAGATCCGCATTTAACATATACCTCCGGCTTATGTTTCGAGTTTTGAGGCTTTGTAATAGTTGTGCTTTCCTTATTTGATGTTGGGCCTTTCAATTTATCAGCTTTGCTTTAACACTGGTCTTCTAGGTTTCAAAGGCTTATAGGTTTATTTATTCAAGTAGGAGGTTCTACTCATTTATGTGTGCTTCAGTACTTGTAGCATAAAGTTTAGACTTTAGATGAAACGTTCCAAGTAATATTTGGTTCCTCAACTCTAAGTTAGTGTTTAAATATACGGGTGTGAAGTTTAAACTTTCGAGTTTAACGACTACATCGTTAGCATGTAACTCCATCTCGCAGTCTCTTGTGAATGCATATTCAACCTGTCACCCAAAAAATGAACTTGTCTAATAGCAGTTAACAACATAAAAACAGGACAAATGAGTGGTAATGTCAGGACTCAGGTACACCATTCCCAAGGAACGAAACTGATGTGGAGTCCACCACTAGCTTCCACTGCTACCACACCAACAAGCTGAAACAAATGACTTAAATTATTCAGATCCAAAACTTGATTGCCATTATCAATCTTGTATACTTCCCTTACGGATATACATAAAATATTGATCGTAGATTCGATGAAATGAAGCATAAACAATTACACATGTAGAGGAAAATTTAACTGCGTATCGTTGGCTCTGACTTTTGACTTCCTAATACTACAATATAATTCAAATGGGATTGGTTTGGAATGGACTATAATAACTTAGCCGCCTCTGCTTTTATTGTCGCAAGAGGCAGAATAAATTTCCAGTTTATAACACCTTAGCATAACATAAAGACAGAACATGACGTTTGCCAATAAGTCTTGTTATTTAAAAGTTTTAACAGAATAGCAAAGCCCTCCAAAATTTATCATTAATACAATATTTGTATTTGTTTTGCCAAAGCTTTTATTTGCTTTGAGCCTTTATACAAAAAAGCACCGACTTCTTCCCATTATTGGCTGGTAGTCTTTTATTTTTGGAGGCTTTAAAAACACTGTGGACTGTGGTTCCTATATGGTTGTTTTATTTCTTACATATATGTATAGTAAATAATATGATAAACGAAAAAAAATCAATTACGAAATTATGGATTAAATTTAATTAATAAATATGGTGCAAATATATTTTGTTAAAAAAATATTACGTGGTATCATCATATTTTTTCATTCACATAGGTAAACATATAATTTTTTTAAAAAATTGATTTACAGTATTAATTTTCTTTAAATTCACCTTCCTAACATGATTGAATTTTTGGTCAATTGTTGAGGCTTATTAAAGAGGCCTTGAGAAAGTCACCAACGGAACTATATATGATGGCATATTGCCCTAATTTAACATACTTGTAATTTAGATAACGACAAATTATGATTTGGACAACCTTAATTTTGTAATCCTTTGCATGTACGTGGGAATGCTAAAACAAATATGCGACTAGCTGACAAAAACATCGTCCTTTCGTTTCGCGATCCAAGCTATAACAACGAGAAGCGTTTTTAAGCATCTCTTTATTTTGGAGGGGTTTTGTTTTCTCCCTTTGTCTAATCGTTTGTCTAAAGCTCTTCTTTTCTTTCTTTTCTTTTCATATTCTAATCAGAGCATATATTTCTTTTAAACTGACGGAATCTTCAAGGATATCCGGAGACATTCGTTACCAAAATGCCTCAATCCAATTGAAGTTCGACCCACGAGTCTACAACCATCATGAAGCTCCTATATTTCTCATGAGATTGATAGGTTTTTGATGAACCAATTGTTATACACCTAACAAAAACCAATTGTGTAGTGTAGCAAGCATCGTCTAACATAAAAACCACTAAATCTGTTAGATTGATAGCATGGTATTGTACACTGTGTATACGTCAATTGGTTATTGGAGTAATAAGTAAGATTTAAGAATTGATTATATTTGTTCAGGTAGATCTAAGCGAAAGAATGTTATAAAATCATTTAGTTAGGAGATCTACTTGTTAAAGTCGTTAAGTCATCATGTGAATTAGGTCAAGTACCGGCAAATGTTGTTCCCTTCACATGACAATTTTGCCATAATTGATTACTGCTTCTTAATTATTATGTTTCCTAATTTTGTAATAGCCGCTATTATGAAAAGGTGAATTTGCTATACAAACACATGGGAGATGTTTATTTGCAAATTATTCAGATACACAAAAAATGTAACTATAAGCGAATTATATAAGGTAACGTATTATATATTTATATCAAATATTCATTAAAATAATTAATTTGTAATTTTTCTAACATACACAGTTATTTCCCATTTATTTTTATTTTTTTAAAATGATACACCATCATTTTAAAACATACACCATAAATCATCATTTTAACAAAACCTCAACTTCTCAATGTTATCAAAAGCCAAAACACATAAGACGCCCTTCTTTTTTTTCTTAATCTCTCGAGTCTCTCAACACATGCACGATACGCTCAAGAAGGAATACTAAAGGTACAAAAAATTGCAATTATCAAATAGGACTCCGTTATATATAAAAAAATGAAAAGAGGCTTCTATTTGTAATATTCATGAATGAACCATCCGTGATCAATGGATATAAAACAAACTACGCAGCATCTAAATGTATAATACTGCCAGGAAAAGGGTAGAATAGGATTCCCCATTATGACTCACGATGTAATATAACCATTGTTTTGTGATGTACTGGTGTATGGCTCTATTGGTGATATGTCGAACTTCGAAATTAAAAATTAAAGTAGATAAGAAAAATCAGTTAAAAGATGAGATGTGTAAAAGCAAAGTATACACGATGCTAGGACTTACCTATAAGTCTAGTAGACATCAAAACCTCCCAAATTCATCACACTTAGATTTAAGTGACCTCCATACATTGAAATTATTCCTTCTTCTTTTTTTCCATTGAAATTATTCTATTAGACTATATATATATTATTTTTTTTTTGCACCAGTTAAAAAACTATAGATTTCTTCTTTCACCAATTCAACACCACAAATTTTATATGTAATAATCAATATGAAACATAAACCTAACAACCCTCACAATTCATCTATAAAATTCTTAAAAGTAAGTCTTCTTATAAGTAGCCAAATCTACAAGAACATAGAAACAAAAAAGATATGTATACGCTACAAAATTATACAAAAGAATGCAAGTGATATTTTGGTCTACAACACCCGCTAAAACCTTACCACTTTTAAGTGAGATATCTACCAATTAAGTTAAATAAAAAATATATTTACCAATTAATTGTTTACTTTAATCATGACTGTTTGAAGTCATTTACAATTAACACTCAAGAAACTATATATAAATGGGATAGTACTTAAAAGTTAAAATATTAAAAGCATACTAGTACAATATTAAGAAAACACTTTGTACTCATGCGGCAACAGAGAGCTTTTATTACAAACACACTCATAACTATGCTTTATTATATCTCTACCGCCAAAGTCGGAACAAAGCAAAATTTAATAAAAATATAGAACAATCAAACATTCCCATTTTTATACATAGCTATTCTCTCTCTCTTTTTCTCTTTGCACAATCAGACAAAAATAACGGCCTCATTTTGTAATTTCAAGGTTTTTAGGTCCACATTTGACATTTCTAATACAGTAACGCATCAGAAGACGCCATGAGAGGCTGGTTCATATAAAACATGTTCATATTCATCTGATTCACGAGGAAATCATCAGGCTCGGGACCAGACAGAGGGTTCGAACAGATCCCGTTGGTATTGTCGAGGAAACCGATGATGTCGTTGAGCGATTCGAGCCTGTGGCTGAGTTCGTCGAGCTGAGCTCTGAGAACAGAGTTCTCTGCTTCGACGGTGAGGTAGTGCTGCGTCGTGATGCTGACACTTGTCACGATCTCGCTGTTCTCCTTTTTAAGGTGATTAACCTGAGCCGTTAGATCGTCGAGGAGCTTCTGTTTCTTCATCCTCGATCTCCTCGCTGATTCACGGTTTGAGAGCATCCTCTTCCTTTTCCTCTGTTCCATGAGATTCTCCTCCGATCCCGACGACGTTTGAATCGTTGATGAAGTTGTTCCCGACGACGACGATTCCATTCACAAACAAACAAAGAAGCCTTTTTTTACGAGAAGAGATATAATAATAATAATATTAAAAATGGGCTTTTTAGGGGAAATTAAAAAACAAAAACAAAACAGGACAGGACCCAGATCGATGAAGAACACGAAGAAGAAACAAAAGAAAGATTTTTTTTTTTTGGTTTTAAACAAGGGTTTTAATTATGCGTAAATATAATATATATGGAAGATTAAAACTGGAGAATTTTCGAAATCACGAGACGTAGTAAAGCCAGTAAAGGAAGACGACAGAGAACGATTGAACGAGATGGGTCCTGCGCCTGATTGTGGAGTTTAACATAAACCCAGAGAGGAAGATCTCACTGAGTATAATCGGAGACATGTGTCTCAAACACCAAGAACTGCTGATTAAGCATCAATGGTTTTTCGAATTCTTTGATAGATTTATTCTCACGAAAGCTGAGAACTTTATAATGAATCTTCGGAGAAAAAAATGAAATCAGGAGAAGAAGAAGGAAAGCGATATCTTCGAATGGGGGGAAAGAGAGAGAGCGAAGGAGAGAAGGGGAGGCTCTGAATGATTTAGGAGAATGAATTTATAGAAGAAAAATTCAAGAAAAGTGTTTGAGTGTTTGTGCAACTTGACGAGAAGAGCGATACATTTGTTTGGATTCCATTCGTGAAGAAGATTCTTTATTTATTTTTTATTTTTTTCCTTACTTCTTCTTTTTTGAAACATTTTTTCCCAACCCTTTAAAAAAGGTTTATAAAGGAGTATCTACATAAATCGGCAATATTTCCAATATTATTACTTGTATAAAGAGAAAATACAAGAAAATCATCAACAGAACAAACAAACAATTGGTTGACGAGTAATTGCATATATGAATTTAGGAAATTTTCTTAAAAAATGGTATTTTTATAATATTTTATCATTATGTCAAAATAAAACAAATTTAATTTCAGCAAATCATGCATTAAGTAGTTAGATATTATAATTCATGCACTTATTATTTGTTAAAAAAAATTACCAATTTTTTTAGTACACATGCGAACTACTGTATACTTAGTACTTACAATTTAATTAAAACCCATGCCAAGAAGAATATTAGTATAACTTACTAGTTTGATATTTTCAAATAAAATGCATATTCTTCCTTTAATGCAATGAAAGTGCAAAATTTAAAAGACTATATAGATCGAAATTAAATCGAAAAGTAGATAGATCAAGAAATTAAACTTCTTCACCAATGATAAATACCTGAATCACTTTTTTTAACTCAATTCTAAAAAGCTGTCAGTCGAAATAAATTGCTTACTCATTAAATTTTATTACTATTATTTTTCTTTTAATAGGATGGTTAGATACACCCCAGTGCTTTTTATTTTTTATTTTTTATATATAGACCCCAGTGCTTTAAACATTACTTTGGATTATGCAAGTTTTACACTGGAAAGTATAATTTTGTTAATGTTTTTCGAAAACCAAGATCACACATATTGATTAATTTTAGAAACTGTAAATGTAAAAAGTACACACACACTTAAATTTTTTGAATTTGCCTACGAGGAATTCAAACAAAAGTATCACAAAATAAGTTACTGTGGTTTCTTAAGAAAATAAAGAAAAAACAAAGTACAGATTCTTTTGCAATTAGAATGCAGATGAAAACTTGTCTTTGTTTTGTCTTTTCTTTTTCTATCCCTAAAAATAAATAAAAAATATTAAGTTGAGGGAAAAAGCGAGAAATTTAGTCATTTGTTGAATTTTCTAAAGTAAATCACATATTCATGTAACGACAAGAAAGAAAGGAAAAATTAATAATATTCGTCGAATGTGCTATTATTTATCTTTTTAAAACTCCCTAAAGCCAGAATCTGTCTGCAAAATCTATGAACACACATTTAATTAAAAAAATTAAGTACGACCAACACTAAATAAAAAGAGATTAGAAACAGAAAGGAATCTGCGCTTAGAGTAAAAATGAGAGGAACATGTGTAAGTAGGCAGCAGAAGAAGAAAAGGTGAGAGGGACATGTGAGGTTGGGAAGAGAAGTCTCCAGACTCAACACAGCTGTTTCTTTTCTTATTCTTCCCCCAACTTATTTTTTCCTAATTTTTATTCTTCTTATAATTATGCTTCTAAAAAAATTATACGAATTTTAGTGTTTTGAGGGGATGGCAGGTTCTCAAAGCATATGCTAATTAATGTATTTCCACCGTCCTAATCACAATTGTTTTTTCTCTCTCTAAAAAGCTGTTTTACAAAACTCAATTTACGATCAAAATCATTACCCTTATTTCTTCTTTAAATTTAATTACTAATATTTTGGGAAAAAGTGTGCAAGAGATCCATCGATTCAGCCCACTTCCCAAAAACGATGCATGAGTTTCACCAAACACTTTCACTCTAAATGCTTTTTTAGCCTATTTATAAATAAATGTACACAATTACTTCTTTTTAACCTGTCTACAAAACTGACAAAAAAAAAAATTATAACAACAAAAAAGAATTAAAAAATATAACAATCCTTCTCGAGATCCTTGGTGTCACAGCACAAACGTTGAGTGAACAAACATGATAATTTATAACTTTCTTTTTTCATCGATATAAAATGTTCTTCGGATTTCCAGTAGCAGAAATTCTTTATTCAGAAAATTAACCGATATACAGTTAACCGCTGCTCTCAAATGATGTTAGCATTTGCATTATACTATATCATTGATGGTATTGATGTTATTCTAGATTTGACAAACGTCTGTCCGAAATCCTCAAAAAGAATCTGAGAAAGTACATGTGTGTCCACTTACTACACGCTCACGGCCCACTTGATTACAATTTTGATTTACATTTAAATTTTGAATTTTTTTTATAATCCCAAAGTACAATTATTATTATTTTCACAGTGGCTACGTACTGACCTTAGTTGAACACCTTTCGGCCTTTAAAGGAGTAAATAAGCCTGAAGCATTCATGAGATCCTTTGTGTTTTTATTTTCACTGTAACCTCCTTTGTGTATTTCGCTAGCTTTAAGTTTAATAATTCACGTATAAAGCTATGGGAGAGAGAGCGAAATTTGTAGAACATCCACTGCTTTGGTTGATATATCAACACGTGTTTCCTTTTTTCTATCTCCTTTTGATTTTATTGCTAGAAAACAAATTCGTTCGGCAACAAATTTGATTTATATATACATACATCGACGGACATGGTGTTTTCCTTGTATAATTATTGTAGAAAAATATAAAAGGAAAAGTATATTGTTGCGCGAAAAATATGATCCGTAAATATCATGGAAGGTACATATAATCTTTGGTGGGGACTACCAAAAGAAAGACAACGAAAGAGAGAGGACCAAGAGGTAAGTAAAAGGCAAAGGTGAAAAAAAGGAAAACAAAAATCAAATTTGTGTTCTATCTATCTTTTGCAATCACATGACCAAACAGCAAACCCTACATCTATATTTCTCTTTAAGAAAATCGGATAATAATTCCAAAAATCCGTCACATTTAAGTTTACAAATGTCTAATTTATGGGGCTAGTAATAGTATGTTACAGATGGCTGATACAAATCCAATCAAACATATATTATCCTTTGATGATATCTCGTCGACAAAATCACAAGAAACGTCAAAGAGAAATTGAAAAACAGACACACACACACAAACAATGTCACAGGCAAAAAGATACAAATAGTTTCACTTCAGGTAAATGTACAAGTCTGTTGCTTTAAACATGAATCTAGTACTCATTTTAAAAACAAAATCACAAACAAACTTTCTCACTTTGATTCAGCCCCTTGCTTTATGATCTCATATCTTCTCTCTTTTCACCACTTTAGAATCCGAAAAACTGAAATTATGTAAAAACTGTTATTATGAACAGAAACAATAATGAAGGAAGCTAAAACAATAATTGATGTTTATGAATGTTTGGTTCTTACGAGCTTCTTCTTCTTCTTCTTTTTCTCAATGTATGCCAATATCTCTTTCTGGCTCACAAGAGCTTCTTCCAAAGCCTAAACCGAAAAAAATTATCCAAAATATCAGATTTTTACGTTAAGACTCAGATTGTTTTTTCAACACACCTAGTAGTTTTGTTTTGTTGTTAAAAGGCTTTCTAACATTTGTAGTAGGTTAAGGCTTGTTTTACCTTCTTGGTCTCAGTCAACTCTTGCTCAAGTGTTTGAACACGATCAAGCGCGGCCTGAAGTTTCTCCTCTTTTTCAGATTCAACATTTGCGGGTTTCAAGTCAAGGAACATGCACTTATCTTCCAGCTCAGCCATACGTTTCACCATCAACATATACTCGGAGCTCGAGACTGGCGCTGCAAACTGAGCTTGATTTTGCTTAGACATAGTTTCCTCATAACAAACTGAGTTTCCATATAAAGCAGCCTCGGTGAGTTTGCGTGGAACGTCTTTTGATAGCCTGACCATTGCAACAATGCCCATCACAAAGGCCATGACTCCTCCCACAAGTAATCCGTCCCCTTTCTTTGGTGCCCCCTTCCTCACGTAACACTCTAGCCCTAGAGAAACTTTAACTTTAATTTGTGCGGGCAGAATTTTTAACTGAGCTAAAAATGTGAGTGAATATACATTACCTTTGGATATTGGAAAGTTTTCAGCTTTCTGAGTTTTTGCAGGCCATGCCATATCCATGGACTTGTCAATGGTAGTGATTTGCTTCTCATGCGCATTGTCTTCATCCCTTTTCTTCTTGTTTCTCTCAAGAGTCTGCGGCGTTGATCATCTCAGTATAAGCTTAATTACCCTATGAATTCTAAATATTATATCTAAGATATATTATTGTACTTTAACTTACTTCCGGAACTGAAGTTGATCTTCCTTGGTCTACATGCTTGTGTTCATCTTCTGAAATCGGTGAGCACTTTGCTTCCCGGTTTATAGCCATCTGTTTCCATTTAAATTCATGTTTTCGTATATATGAGATTCAAGAAAGTGGTTTAATGTAATAAAAACTTCAGTTCCCAATTATGGAATATGTGTATTGTTGATTACCTTGAGAACCTCAGGATCATTCCATGGACCTTTGTCAGAGCGCATACAACCTCCTTTGTCTTCACAAGTGCAAGCGCCTCCAAAGAACTCTGGCAATTCACTGTTTACCAAAAAAAGAAGAAAACATTTTATGAATATTCGAGTTCCAAAAGCAGAGCAGAACATATCACCAATGATTTATGATAGTGTGCGTGATCTTACCTTGCATCGATGACTTCGAGCAATTTGCTATGATATTTGTTCCCAAGAACATGAATCTTTGCTGTGGTCTTGGGATCAAGAAATGATTTAACAGTGCTCCACAAGAGCCGGAACCCAGAACCAGCATTGATAATGAACATCCGGTTCAATGTCTACAAGAAAACCCAAAGCTCAGACTTGGATTGCGTTTAGTTTACTTTTCCCAAATGATGAAAATTGTTTTACATTTTTCTTAGAAAAATGAAATCTTTTTTTTTTGAAATTTGTTCACATGTAAACTAAACAAAAAAAGAAAGAACAAGAGTATATATTAACGTTTGAAACAATCGAAATCTAAAGTATACATGATTTTTGGAAATATGAGATTTTGATGATTGATCAAATTATATATACCTCAGGGTAATTTTCATTGTCAATCTTGAGAAGCCTCTGAAGAAGTTCTCTCGCGGATTTGCTGAAGTTCTTGAGCCCCTAATCACTCGGGAAAAAAAAAACAAATATATAATTTTAGACGATATAAAAATGAGCCCTTTTGAATTTAAAGACATGAAGGATGAAGATCGTATACATACAACGCCTTGCACGTCAAGAATAGTTGTGCTCTGATCAATGTGCTTATTGGCAGCGATAGAACAAGAAGGGAACTTGATCTTGAATGTCTTCTCGAACTCTTTGACGTGATATTTCACGTACCGGTCCATTGTAGTCACTTGAAGCAGCTTGTTCGCATCGATTTGACCTAACCTCTCAATATAAACCGGCCTGCCTTCCTTATCTACTCCATGATAGCCTTGAGGGTAATGCTTCATGACATCATCGATCTCTTCAAACTCAAAATCCTTCATCACAATTATAAATCTACATTACAGAACTTTTCAAACAATATTGACCAATATGAGATGAGAGTTGCGTCCATAATGCTCCGAGATTTTAGGAAATAGATTCACCTCGATGATTGTGTCAGCACCGAAATCTTTCCTCCATTGAATCATGTCACTCCACATTTGCTTAGCTTTCTCAATGTCAAACTTTCTTGCCCTCAAGAACCTGTTTTATGTTCAATATAAAAATTTAAATCTTCTGTATGGAATTCAATGTCTTTTTTTTCTCATGAAAAAAGAATCAAATAAGAGGGATCATCACGATATCAATTTTTAATAATATAGAAGATATACTAACCCTCTTTTTTTTTTTTTTTATCTTAACTGTTTAAGACTTGTTGTGATGTATCAAACATTTTATTTTGATTAAAATGTAATTAACAGCGCCTACTGGTTTGTTTCTATCCACTAAAACTATGCTGTGGATCCAAAGCCCAACCTATCATTGGTCTAAGATGCTGGGGACAAAAAATAACTAATGATGGTTGCAAAAGTTTAGAATAAGCCAGTCTATAAAAGAATAGTTAACATAGAATCATTATCATATGTAGATGATGAAGAAAGAAATTGATAAAAATTTCGAGTTTCTAACTAAACAGTATGTCTTTTTTATACAGAAAAACATTTTATCATAAAATAATAATATGGAAATCTAGTATTTGTTGTATGATCGGCCCATCCAGATATGGTTAGGTATTTATATCCAGTTTGAACTAATTTTTTTACTAGGAAGCCATAATCATGAGAGTAATTGCTTGACCAATATGGGATGAGAGTATTAATTGCTTGACCAATCATGAACTTTTATATCGGGTTTATAATTTCTAATCTAATCTCATGATTGGTCAAGCAATTACTCTCATGATTATGGTAAGAAATTGAAAGAGAATGAATGGTAACGATAAGAAAACAAAAGGGTATATACCGAAGCATCATGTGGAGATTATCGAGGTTGGAGGGCAAGAGCTCGTCAAGGACAAGAGCTTGACGGAAAGCATCAAGAGCTTGAAGGTCTTCTGCGTCTATGTCGTCCTCAATCGGCACGGACATGACTCTGCTGCTGCTTCTTCGACCCTTTTTCTTGAATGAGTTCTTGAATCTGTTCGATGCGCTTATAGCTTTCTTCTTCAGAGAACACATCTTCACTATCTTCCTCTCCTCCTCTGACATCTCTATTTCTGATATCAACACATTCAATCTGCGTGAGTCTTGACTCTTGATACATAATTACATGTATTAAGACAAAAGATGAAACTACTAACCAGGTTTGGTCTCAGCCATGGGTAGATTAGAATTAAAGCACTCTCTGTTTCACACGGCAATCGGATACCTACCAAGACAAAATTGTGAAGATCATTTAAAAAAGCCAAATAAAAATATACGAGAGATCTATGAGATGAATCTAAAGAACCAAGATGAGTTATAAACCAAAATGTGGTTTAGGATCCAAAAATGATGAGAAAGATAGAGAGATGAAATGAGAGAGATTTTTTTTTTAATTTTTACCTTATTGGAGAAGAGTGTTTGAGGAGCGACAATGGAGGTTGAAGATCATGGAGAGGCTCATTTGAAACTACTTCATAACATGTAGACAACTCTTTGGTTTCTGATTCTATCAACTATATATATATTGACATGGTCCTAAAGCTTTTTGGATTATATAGATACGATAAAGAGAAAAAAATCTGACTCTATTTAAAAACTAATAGTAGAGTTGTAACTAATGAACAACCAATCGTTTATAGACAAATAAATTAAAATATGAAGACAACCAAAATATGTAAATGGATTAAATATGAATATAGGAGAAAAAGCATGTCGTTGTAATCGGCGAAGTGCATCCCACTACTTGAACATTTTGTCTATGTTAAAAAATCTTGATGTCAACCAAAGTATCTGATGATATTGTTTTTATTTTGTAGTGTTCTATCGTAAGGTTATCTACCAAATTTAAATACATACTGAGAGTTTGGGTAATAAGAAACAATATATATATATATATATATATATAACCAAAATAACAAAGAATCTTATTATTTAAAAGATATAATGACAAATATACACTCCAATAGTTTCGTATTTGTGAATAATAATATATCCCATGACCACATGCCGATATTCTTCATAGACGGTGCTGAGATACATAATTGTTTCTTTCTTCACTTATATATCAATTATCGGTTCATGAAGGAACTATAAGTTTAAACAAAGCTGGTCTTTCACATTGTACAACAAGCCAAAATTCCGATCTAAGAATAAGTGATAGAGACATCATACATATGACACACAATCTAAAATATTTATGTATTTATTTTATGTCAATTTGATAAATATTTATTATTCGTTTGTAGAAATTAACATTGGAATCGTTTATTCATCATGGTCAACTCAAGCAACAACAGTTTGGATCCAATTTTACTGTTATTAAGTTATCAAATAAAAGGCCTATTTTTAGCCCATTTAGGCCCAATATATTAATGTTCGAGTCCATTAAATCACTTAACGAGTTAGCGACTAGCCGTCGTCTCCCGCCGTCTGCAACCTCTCGGAAAGCCTCGAGCGGCAAAGACGCGGCGTGTCACTCTCTACACACCGCCTCGAATCTCTTATCTGAATCTCAGGTTTTTAGAGTGATTATGTTTTGGCAGTGTAAAATCAAATATGATTGTTGAATCTGTTTTCTTTTTTCGATTTAGCGTCTTGTTTGCAATTTATGAATGTGTAGATTCACTTTGAATGCGGATTGAAACTGGTGAATTCCAATGAGGTTAGTTATTGGAAATCATTAGCAGATTTTGAGCAATTGATTGTATTGATATGCAAAAATGCTTACTCTTATGAACAACATCGAATCTGTCATTGTTCTGGACTTTTGGTACTGTGCGTTTTGTATTTTCCTCTCCCTCTCAAAGAAGCTTTCTCACTTGTAATTGAAATCCTTTTAATTTTTTTGTCTGAGACTATCGGTTTCTCTTTTTAGGTGTTTGCACACTCCCACAAAGATTCTACCTTTTGCGTTTAGATCGGTCAGTGGTGAACTTAGTTGTCTTGAAAGATGTAATCTCGTGATTGCATGAGCTTTGCTCTTTTATGTATTTCGTCAGAGATTCTGTTGCAAATATCAAAGCTTGTTCATCTTCTCAACTTCTATTTATGTTCATTTTCTCAGGCGTTGCTGCCTTTGTCTCAAAGGTGGCTCTGTAAATTTTCTCCCAAGCTATCACCATTGGCAAACATATTAAAGGTTTCGATCTTGACCATGGCAAGCAGTCTCAATGGAGGACATGTTACCATGGCTTCAGAGCCTCAGAGAAGTTACCAAGTTGTGGTAGCTGCGACCAAGGAAATGGGGATCGGTAAAGACGGAAAGCTTCCATGGAAATTGCCTTCTGATCTCAAATTCTTCAAGGATCTAACTCTGACCACTTCGGATTCCGGCAAGAAGAACGCTGTTGTGATGGGTAGAAAAACGTGGGAGTCTATTCCCACAAAGTATAAGCCACTCTCTGGTCGCCTCAACGTTGTCTTAACTCGCTCAAGCGGTTTCGATATAGCCAACACAGAGAATGTTGTAACTTGCCGTAGCATAGATTCTGCTCTGGATTTATTAGCTGCACCTCCGTATCGTCTGTCCATTGAGAAGGTGTTTGTGATAGGAGGTGGTGAGATATTGAGGTGTGTGTTCTTTACTACTCATTACTCAAGGCTTCTTTTTTTTGTGAGTTCCTTCTTCTGTGATCATGTTGACGGTTTTTTTTTTTTTGTAATGTAGGGAATCGTTGAACAGGCCGAGCTGTGAAGCCATCCACTTAACTGAGATTGATACAAGTATTGGCTGTGATACATTTATTCCCGAGATTGACTCTTCTGCATATCAGCCTTGGTGTTCGTCTTTTCCAATATGTGAAAATGGACTTCGATTTTGCTTCACGACTTATGTTCGTGTGAAGAGTTCCTCGGACGAGAGTGATTCGTCAAAGGCCCTTCAAGTTGACTGGAAGAAGTTTTCTTCTTTCCTTCCTAAGAAGATTTTTGAGCGGCATGAGGAGTTTCTCTACTTGAATCTGGTCGAAGGGATCATCTCAAATGGAAACTTAAAGAACGACAGGACAGGGACTGGTACATTATCTAAATTCGGTTGCCAGGTGCTGTACTATCTCTCACTATGTTTTCCAATGTCTTTTCTGGTTTGCTTGTTAAGGTTAACCAATCGCCACATCTTTGGATTTACAGATGACATTCAATTTGCGCAGGAGTTTTCCACTTCTGACGACAAAGGTATGCTTTAACTGCACATTGACTTGTCATGTTTAAACCCCTCAAAAGATTTTGCTTTGTCTTCCCTGCGTATTCAAGCTTACGAGATCTGTTTGCATTTTATTTGCAGAGAGTTTTCTGGAGAGGTGTTGTTGAGGAACTTCTATGGTTCATTAGCGGTTCAACCAATGCAAAGGTAAGAACACAGATTTCAGTCATCATCTTCATACCTTAAAGCACCGTGATTGAGCCACATTTGTGGAGTGTATGCGAATGAACAATCTGTTGTTTCCTGAGAAGCTTGTGTAACTGGCAGGTACTTCAAGAAAAGGGTATCCATATCTGGGATGGGAATGCGTCAAGAGCGTATCTTGATGGGTAAATTCTAATCGGCGCTTTTCTTTTAAAAGTCAGAAACTTTGTGGCTATCACATTGATAAACTGAATTTTTTTAATTTCAGTATTGGACTGACTGAGAGAGAGGAAGGTGACCTTGGACCCATTTATGGATTTCAATGGAGACACTTTGGTGCCAAGTCAGTAGCTTCTCTGTGATTTCTTGCCTTTTTTTGAGTTTTTTTGGCAAAAACATAGTTCTCTGTTTACCCATTTCGTTAACCTCTTTTCTACAGGTACACAGATATGCATGCTGATTATACAGGCCAAGGATTTGATCAGCTGTTAGATGTAATTAACAAGATCAAGAACAATCCTGATGATCGACGGATTATAATGTCGGCTTGGAATCCTCCTGATCTTAAGCTGATGGCACTTCCTCCATGCCACATGTTTGCACAGTTCTATGTTGCAAATGGCGAGCTTTCATGTCAAATGTATCAGCGGTCAGCTGATATGGGTCTTGGTGTACCGTTCAACATTGCCTCATATTCCCTTCTTACATGCATCCTCGCTCACGTCTGTGGTACGTTCAAATTTCACTACAGAAAGAGCATTATTTTCTTCTTAATTTTGAATTCCGCTATCTATTGATGTTATGTTGATACCATGCAGATCTTGTTCCTGGTGATTTTGTCCATGTGATTGGAGATGCTCATGTCTACAAAAACCATGTCAGGCCTCTGCAAGAGCAACTTGAGAACCCACCGAAACCTTTTCCTGTGAGTATATATATGATCGATGATTCTTGATCTTGTTAGAGTTTGATGATTGCATAATCTTCCAATTAATAGTTCGTTGCAACTATATCCTTATTTATCTTTGCGGCTGTTTACAGGTTTTGAAGATAAATCCAGAGAAGAAACACATAGATTCCTTTGTCGCGGCTGATTTTGAGCTCATAGGCTATGATCCTCACAAGAAAATAGATATGATAATGGCTGTTTAGCCCGAAAAACAGGGTTCTTCTTGGTTTTATAGTTAAAGATTGAACCAGATCTTCTTTATGTGATGATTTTGAACCTTTGGGCTGAGTTCCTTGACATCCGAGAATACATTCCTTTTCTTTGAGTGGTAAAATGTTAAAGATTGAAATAATATGCATCCTGGCCTAATCCCAAAGTCAATTTTGTAAGTAGTTAGTTTATAAGTAAAGAGAATAATTAGATTTTGGAGATTATTCTCGTCGATTTAAATGTTAAGTTTATATCAATTGGTAGACATAATATCTTATTCATAAGCTATATCTATCAATTAGTTATCAGATGATGCATAGCCGTTGAAAAGATGTTCGCATATAGTTTAGATAGTCGACATCCAATATCCAAAAGGTATATTTTTCCCTCTGCCAAAATATCTAGAAAATTGTAATGAGGGGAACATAGTTTGATTCAGTTAATAATACAAAAATTATGCTAAAGGAAAAATTCTAAGTGATGTTTTGTTTTGTCTATGTGACATAAGCAAATGAATAGGATCCTGATAACCCTAAAATAGACAATACGTTATAGGGGATAAATTCTGCTTCTCGTGTATGATATACGCATACATCTCTTGATTTTATTGGATACTTTTATGTCATTATAAATTTTAATATGGTGACTAAAAATTCAAGTTCGATCTGATATTTCTTGGATAAGAAAAACATCTTACAAACTACAATAAGTTCAAATGGTGTGGATGTTTGCATATAATATAAGAGATAACCAAACGTTATGCTACGTTTTTTTTTTTAAGTAAAGAATTAAAATATTCATAACTATTTTTTTCCAATAATCAACTAATCACATGTAAGTAAAAACGTATAAAAATTAGTAAACAAACTACAAGTATTCAATATTATATGTGAGAGTTGTTCGTTGTTCCTTACAGGTTTTTGTCGATCTCACGTGTATTCGTCATTCTCATTAGATTCTATAGATTTGCATCAATCTTTTCTCATCTAATCGAGCATATATTATCTCTTAACCTTTCCAGATATTGCTTCCTACGCGTCATATACTTTCTCACGCAGTGAATCAAAAGCAGTCATATTTTATACTTCTACTAATCTACTATATATTATTCTTAACAAATCGATTCAAAAAAAAAAAAAAATCGGTTATTATCTAACTACGAAAGAGCAGGGTTATAATTATGATTTGTAATTATGATTTGATATGTTTATGTTTATAAATAGCGGGTTACTGTTGCCAAACAAAATAAGTGTGTTGTTACTTGTTTTAGACGTTAACTTATGTAGTATGCACCATGTGCATTTCTACGTGAGTGCTATAAATAGAATATTATAGCATGGTATATGTAATTTTTTCCGGTTTTAAAGATAACTAAATACCACTTTTATCATTTGGAAAAATAACAAAATCGTTGTATATAAATCAAGATTCCTCAATTTTCTTTGACATTTTGCAATAATAACCAATGTTCTTATCAATTTAAGGTGAGTTTACATGTTCTAGTCCGACAAGCTTGAAAATTGAAATTTAGTACTGTTACGTGATTCATATCTTGGCATAAATCTCAATCATGTCCGATGTATACCTAATCGCTAGTTGGTTCAAAATATCAAAAGAATCAATACTCTTGTGCTGGCTCATCAATATATAGCAAAAAAAAAAAAAATTGCATGGAGTAAAGAATAATTAAGTTATAGGATTCCCAATAAAACTGAGACCGAGATCAATGACGTGAGGACATATATAGTACCAACAATTCCCTCCTCTATAATGCATTCTATTCCCTTTGATCCATAACCCTAAATAATGCTATCCAGCATTTGGAAACACCGTTTATATATGCTTTTCTCTATCAACTTTCTATATGTTCTCTCCAGATTAGGAACCAACTTGCTACATCGAATATTCGATACTCTAGTGTAACTAACCACGTCTCTGCTATAGCTATATCGCATTAAACTCAAACTCGAGCTGTGTGATCAAATTTTCATCTCTTGCGATCAACTTTATAACGTTCCACCATCACTGTCAGTGTGCCCCACGTTGTGGATTCCACACTCGTTATTCCGTTTTATTCCAAAAATTTGTGGACTGGTCATGTAAATCACCACATTTCATCGACGTCAGACTATTACATCAGCAAATCGGACTCGGACTCACGTTAGCTAGTTTACGTTGTAGCGACTGGTGCATCGACTGTAAGTAAGTTCTAGCAACGCTAGGTATGATACCGTTTGATCACACACCTGCCAAAAATAGTATGGTTTATATATATTTTAAAAGTATTGTAGATGGAAGTTTTGTTAGAAAATTCAACAAATATGAAAGAAGCATTAATATCCAACTCTTGGTATTAGTGGTATGATTATTCTTAGATATATTAAAATGACATAGATATATACAACCATAGCAAAACGAAAAATATTACATACATAATATAAAAAAAAAGAGAGAGAGAATCAAAATTATATATCGTAATTAACAAATGATACAATACAAATTCTATTTTCATAAATTAGAGTGAATCTGAAAATGGAGATTTTTTATCTCACACACTCGTTACCGCTAAATTATTCTGAAAATAGCTTTTGATTAAAAAAAAAAAGTTATAAGCGTCATAAAACAGCACATGAGTTCTATGAATGTTTTCAATTCAAGTCATTAAAATTGGGCCATCTCATGTTTGAGTCTACACTTGAAAAGGCAAATGAAATATCCAATACCTTTTTTTGTTGTTGTTCAAAATGAAATATCCAATACCATTTGTACTATTTACTTAAACGACCTTTAAGGTTTACAAGAGTTAAGATACAGAGATTTTCTAAGGCAAAGTTACAACATAATGAAATGTTTAATTTAAAACAGATCATCCAATTTTATAACCAAAAGGGGGAAGAAAAAAAACAGAAACAAACATTCACTAGCAAAGAGGATCTAGATTATCAAGTGTTCTTCATCCTTTTGAATTCTCTTTTGTCTGGCAATGAAAGCTTCAATCTTTGTCCTAAATTGGTCGTTGCTCATTCCATCTTTTGGTTTCTTGACTCTCACCTCTACTTTCTTTTCCGAGTCACAAATCCTCATATGCTTCTCCGATGCATACCTCTTCATGATTTTCCCACCACATGTACTCTCCAGCGGCTGAACCGCCTCAAACGCTTTCTGCGATTGGCTTCTCGAGAAACTAACCCTTTTCACTCCACTCGGCTTCTTCGGTGGTTCTGTTTTCGTCTCATAAACTTCAGATCTCTTCTTCTCACTCTTGTGAAGAAGAAGTTCTTGGTAATGATCGTTGCTTGCAGCTTCTGTTGTCTTTGGAATAGCCTCGTGAGCCGAGCTGTGTTGTCTGGATTTCGCAAAGAGAGTTATGACGATTGCGTTTCCGATGAAGAAAACGAATCTCGGGCTAACGAGAAACATTGATGCTTCCCTGAAAATGTCACCGGAGAACTTCACTGAAGGGAAAGAGAGTTTGGAGATGAAGATTAGAAAAAGAATCAGTTCGATCAGTCTGAATAAGGTCGTGAACGATCTTATTGCTTGGAAGTTCAAGATTCCTCTCGGTTTCTCCAGCTTGAAGTGTTGTTGAAACTGAATTGGATTCATTGAGAACAAAACAGAGGAACAAATAAGGGAAAAAGGGTTTTTACTTGAAGAGATTGTATGAGTGAGAGTGATTTAGGTCACTCGAAAGAAGTGAGATTTTCGGTAAAGAAGCTAGAAGCAGAGAGTTTTGCTTGCAAGAGAGTAAACAGAGGAAGAAGAACAATAGTCATGGTGAATAGTTGCCAATTTTTGCTGTTATGTTTCATCAAAAACAAATAAGAGAAAAACAGAGGAATGTTTGTGTGAGGATCTCCGTTTTTTTCTATATGTTTTCTTCTTGAGGCCGTTGGATTTTGTAGGTTTTGAGTTGGTTTCATGTTCTTATTTATAGACTACGGAAGTAATAGTTTTCAGTTATTTATTTGATTGCACTTTATCTCATAGACTATGCAGTAAATATGCTCTTACCGCAATACTCCTTTTTGTGTGTCAGAACTGCAATACTTTTTATTTTGGGGAAAAAAATAGAAATACATTGGAGTAGTATTTTCTTTTCTTTTTCTCATGAAATTCTGAATGGCATAATAGTTTTCCCTAATGTATTTGTTTTTTAAAAAAAAAACTTTATCCACAACATTATTCTCAGTGCTCCCAAAAGTTGTCCTTGCTTATTGTTCCTCTCCATGAGCCATGAGTCATGAGGCCATGACTAATCAGTAATCACATCTTCTTCTTATTATTCCCTGCTTTTATCATCATTTATTCGATATTCTTCAAACATATTATGTGAAGTTTTTTGTAAAAGAAAATTTAAATTTGGTTTAACATTATATGTTAGATTTTTTCCACAAAGATTCCAAACACTCTCGTTAGTGAAAATGTAGATAATCAATCCTTCTGTTTTCTTACATATATATATGCACTGTATTCAGAAAATGAGGTGTTACAAAATATGGTACAAAATCGTAATGTTTCGTAGTTGATAGCAGTTGATGTTTAAAAATGAATAATAGAACGCAAGATTCTCAGCTTCAAACTCTAAGATAATGCCTTAACCATAGTCGTCCCACTCATGCTACCTCGAGTTCGTACCTCTCCTTAAGTTCGTATGCATATATATACAATACCACTAAATAATTTCGTTAATCTGAAACAAAAATGTTAATTTGTTCAGACCAACACCAGAGTAAAATGTTAATTTCGTTAATTTTTCATAATTTACGTACAAATTAACACATGTCAGCAAACCGATCCACACCACACACGTCTTATTACATACACGTGAGGAGGCTGCGGACTCAATACGTATCTCTCTTTCTAATTACGTACACATGCAATTATAAGTATATATAAAAATCTATCAAATTTGAATTGACAATCTAATGAAAACTATTAAAAATGAAAACGAAAAAACTTACATTATAAATCTAAATAATAGAAAATTTCTTAAAATTGCTAATTCACTTGGCACTTTCAAAAATAACTTTGATATTCAAACTTATAATTATATGCCGTAGTTAACAAAAAAAATCACATCACCACAAACAACATCATACCAATACAATATATAAGAAAAACTTTTTTTTAAGAAACAAAAAACTTATTTTGTTGATCCCACAAAAAGTAGGAAAAGCCATTAGAATACATATTCCAGAAATTATGCAGGTTTTATGCCAATAGGTTTATAGATTATCTATTTATCTTGTAGCAGAAAGTCCATTTGACAATATGGACACTTAGTGAGAGTGATTTCCTTCTTCACTAAGACATACTCAACATTATACACTTTTTCGCCTCTCTCTTTTATTTTTTTTGGGGTCTCTCTTTAATAATTTATGAACTTTAACTTTGCTTTTCCATAATATGAAAGACCCCACCTTATAATAAACACAATGCAATTAACATCTCCTTTTTAGAGTTTTTGACTCACTAAAGTTTTCCGTTATGGACATGATTGGTTTATAAAAGAAATCTTCAATTCATATGGATATGGTGGCTGCTGGCTAAGTTGATATAAAACTCTTCCATTTCTTTAGATTATCCATTTGTTTTGTAGACTTTGTATCATCCAAATTTTTCTCTCCTTTTCTTTCACAATTCTGGCGTTTTATGAAACCTTTTTTGAACACATATTGAAAAATGAAAAGGTGCAAGTCATATACGAATCGTCCCTCTCGTAAAGGAAAAAAAGTCATATAGGCATGGTCCTTTGTGCTAAATACTAGCTTTTATCTGACTCTGAAATATATGGTTGTAACGAAACAAATTACGTATCTACAACATATTCGCCTAATTTTAAATAAATGTTTGATTGTAAACCTAGTTCGAACCAATGTTTTTTTAAGTACATGATGCAATAAAAATATTTGCCATAGTAGACTACCCGCCTAATTAGCAACCCAAATGAATTCAAACCCATCTCTCATGTAGTGAACCCAAATCAGTTAAATAAGGCCCAAATGAATTCAAACCCATCTTTTTCATGTAGTGAACCTAAATCAGTTAAATAAGGCCCAAATGAATTCAAACCCATATTTTCATGTAGTGAACCCAAATCAGTTAAATCAGGCCCAAATGAATTCAAACCCAATTGATAAGGGTTTTATTATGATTAAAATATAAAATTTAAAGTATTTCCCTGTGACATCGACTAGGGTTTCAATTTCTTGTTCCAGTCCTTCATTGTTGTAGCGCCGCTCCTCTCTTGTCCAGCTCCAATGGTGTGTACACTTTCTCTCTCTCAACTATCAGACTTTTGTATATCTCTCTCTCTGTCTCTTGTATTGTCTGATGATCTTATAATGGCTTCTCTGTCCGATTTCAGGCACCCAAGAAGGACAAGGTTCCCCCTCCGTCATCTAAACCCGCCAAATCCGGTGGTGGCAAGCAGAAGAAGAAGGTCACCTTTTTTTCTAAAAAATCCTATCTTTTGCCTCTCAGTTACCTCTTTTGAATCATAATTATGGATTAGCTTGAATCTGAGCATCACACGGATCCGGTTTCCTCTCTGTATTTTTTTGGAATGAACAGAAGTGGAGCAAAGGAAAGCAAAAGGAGAAAGTGAACAACATGGTTCTGTTCGACCAAGCTACCTACGACAAGCTTCTCTCTGAAGCTCCCAAGTTCAAATTGATCACCCCTTCTATTCTCTCCGACCGTTTGAGGGTAACACTCTCTTCTTCTCCTCTCTCTCTCTATTGGGTTTGTGAAAGTTTGAAACTTTTCTCTGATAGAAATGTATTGGTCACGCATTAGTTAAGTGTTGGTACTTGTTGATCATTAGTGTTTGCCGAAGGGTCTATTCAGTGACTATGGATTCAGATTTAGTAGTTCATCACCGGATTGTAGATATGAAATGTTTCGCTATGATTATATCTCTTCACAACTCTATGAGTCAACAATCTATAGCCGATATTGTGGTGAGAAAAGCAATATTTATGATACTTTAAGTAGTAAGTGAAAGGTGGTGAATCCCTGAAACCTTAGTATTTTGTTTGGTCAGTGATTAAGGTGTCCTGATCATCAATTATGTTGGGAGATTCTCTTGCTCTTATTGTGTGGTGCTTGAACGCACGTGGATTCTAGACTCTATTGTGGTTGTGACATGAGAGCTCGTGTGTTGAAACAGATCAATGGATCGCTTGCTAGGAGGGCGATAAGAGAGTTGATGGCTAAGGGAACGATCAGGATGGTCTCTGCTCACTCAAGCCAGCAGATCTACACTAGGGCTACCCACGGCTAGACTCTTTCGGTTTTGTTTGCTGTTTATCTATTTACAGACTCAGTGTTGCTTTATGAACCATCATTTTCTTTCGAGAATGCACCTTCACTTGCATACCTTGGAATTTTTCACTGTTTAAATCTATGAGATTATGGAGACAAAAATACCCTTTTAGGACCTAAAACAAAATTTTGAAGCAAAATTATTGAAGTGTATAATACATGGTTACAGTAAAAATGATAACATGAGAGTTGTTGAAAAGTCATCGTTTTTGCAGACTTCCAAATTTATTTGAAGTAGATTCTAGTTTGGTACCTTGTGTTTCGGAAACCAGCAATGCAGTTGCGAATGTGTTTACCTGAGACCTGACCATTGTTGGCCTTTCTAAGACGACTCGAGTTTAAATATTCTCAGAGCCTTCACCATCAATGACATTGCTCAGATACTCGGAAACTGCTTCTCTAGCACAGTGCCCTTTGTGTTAACTTCTTGCCCTTCTCCTAGCTCACGAGTCTCTGCTGTATTTTTCTTACACCATCTCTTGGGTTTATTTATGCTCAATGATCCATGTGTATCAAAGTATTCACCCCAATTTTCAATAGGTTTGGTTCAAATCTCATCATGCAACTGGAAGTACTGTACTCTATAGTGTAAATAAATTCTTCATAAAAGTCCAACACAATCTCGAATCTAAACATAACCCTTAAAGCTCTCCACAAAGAAAGGTCTCCAAAATGTGACCCCTTTGCTATTTGGTTATCATCCATGCTAGAGAAGAGTATCAAGAAACTCGCTCACGGTCATGTATTTGACATCAGGGTAAAGCTCAGTACCACTCACTCCACCAGAAGACTCAATGTCGAAGTATGTGTGATCTCCTTTGACAAAGACAGAGTATATGAAGACCATCTCCATGTTATCCGGATATGGAGTCTCTGCACAACAGAAACAGAAAGCTGAGAGTTGCAAACAAAGTGTTTTGCAAAATTGAAGAAGCAAGTAGACGTGCTGATGGGTGATGTTATGACGGACCTTTGATCTTCTTGAGAAGTTGATTTTCTGTAACAAAAGTTTTCACTAGCTTCTTCTCAATCTTTCCCTCCCAGAGCTCAACAAGATCATTCATGGAGCACACGTTTCCGGGCGGTCTAAGGTACAAGGTTTTATTAAGTGTTCGAGGATCATCTATCGTTTTGATGGTGAATGCTGCAGCATCAACTTCATTCACGAAAACAGCTACCAAAACACACACAGAACAGAAAAAACAAGAAACCTTCAGACCATGAGATTCGTATGTTTTCAAAAACTTGAAAGTTATGGAATTGAGCAAAAAGGTGAAACCTTTAACGTTTCCATCTCCAAAAACGGTGACTTTGTCGATCGGAGGCGAGTCAAGCCCCGGTTGCGCAAGCGATGGAAGTAGAATTCTCATGAACAATCCGCAGCAAATGTATGTATGAGGAATCCCCTCGGATTCAATCAGACGCTTGATCTCAGATTTCTTCGCGTAGAACCCGTGATCGAGATCCGAGACTTGTGTTTTATCCGGATCTGCTCCATATTCAGCAGGAACAAACCTCTGCAAAAGTAATCAACCATGTTCTGCTCTAGTTAGAGATCTATCAGCAAATTCAAGAATCAGTGTATAATCCTCCAAAGCTCATACAATTACTGAAATGCGATTTGTATTAAAGATGTGAAAGAGACCTTGATGGATCCAGCTCGTTTGATGACTTTGATGAGGAGTTTCTGATCAAGAACATGTTTTGATGGAATCGCAGAGATCACCACATCTACTTTCCTCACTGCTTCTTCTAAGCTTCCCTCATCCTCCAATGAACCCTAAACCCAACAAAACGCAAACCAAGTCAAAACAAGAGCTACAAAGAGCAACGACCCAGAAACTCCCGAATCAGACCCTAATGAGACAATTACAGAGATGTTTTCGAAGAGAGAGAGAGAGAGAGACATTGAGGAGAGTCACGCCGGCGCCGGAGAGAGATTGCAGCTTAGGGGACTTGGAAGGATCGGAGAGAGTGGAGTTTCTGATGAGGGCGAAAGTCGGGTGACCCGATTCGATGCTGAAACGGGTCATACATTGCCCTAATCTTCCAGTTGCCCCGATGATCAAAACTCTGCTCTTCTTCTTCTCCTCCTCCATTTCCTCTTCCCGTACAATTCGTGGTAAAGATACGGTTTTTTTCTTCTTCTCACTCAAACTCAATTCTCTTATACTTTGACTTAATTCAGACACCACTTTTTGTTTTTTATGTCATACTTCTTCACTTCAAGTTCTAAGCAGTTGAACACTCTCGAAGACTCGGAAACTCAATAATTACATAGTCTAAATATATAATAACATAAGTATTTTTATATTGGGATTCAATATTTTTTGAGAATTAGTGTGAATATTTAGAAGAATGTATTGGAGCAAATATATGGTCTATGAATTTTGTATATGATGTGGATAGTTGTAGATAGTAACAGACTATTTCTTTTTCTTTGTTATTAAATTTCGTTGTCTTTGATTTTCTGTTTTAGTGTGGTACAGTGGTCACTGAACTTGTGACATTTTATCCAAAAAACTCAATATGTACATAAGAAGACGAGAACACACTTTGAAGGACTACGTGCACTGATAAGAAAATATTTTATTACTGTTTTGCATCTATACACAGCCATGAATGTACATTCTAGTACTAACAATATGGGTGGAAACAATTCATAATTTTTAAGTCAATTCAGTGAAATTAGTAATAACAAGGTAACAAACTATAAGTTCCTCTCTCTTCCGATGAAAATAATATGAATTTGATCTTGTGGATCGTTCTTAATCAAACTCCTAAACTGCTATAAAGATTCTGCACATCAGAGTCCCACATCGAAGGAGCTTGCCCATTCTGCAACATGATCAAACATATATAGGAAAAAAGATTATTAAACCAATAAGTTAAATGATAGATCATAGTAAAACAAAAAATAAAAACATGACCTACGTTAACGTTAAAGCAGGACAGTGGGTCAGAACTGGTCACCACTTGCTGCACTGGATTGAAATGAAGATAACCGGAATTAACCATCTCATGAGGATAACCGGAATTAACCATCTCATGAGATGGCATTACAGTGTTTGGTAAGTTCGTCGTTATTGGAGCTGAGACAACCTGGTTTCAGTTCACATGGCATATTTTAGCTCATCTTATCGATATTTAAAATTTAAGCTTTTTAATATACACAAACAAATCATGAGGCTAACCTCTTTCGCAAAAATGTCATCGATATCGAAATCAATCCTTGGACTCACAGCTGCTAGTTTCATCGACAAGAACTGTTTCAAACAATATCAGACATTAGAGCAAAAATTAAAGAAGCTAATGAACATTTTTATTCTTAAAAAGACATATTTTTATAATCTAGTGGAAATGAATTTCAGACCTCGACTTGTCTCTGAAGAGACTGAACATAGTTGATGATCTCGTCCAGCATCCCTGCTTTGCCAGTGATCTTGTCGCACCCAGGAACTAGATCTTGAAGATACTTCATTCTCTCACTGATCTTTTCTCTTCTAGCCTTCAAAATTTAATAATTAATGATTAGTCTCATGCAATGAAAGGATTAAGTTGAGATTAAGTAATGAGTTTCTCTCTCTCACTCGTTCTGCTATGCTGTGACTATCAGTGGCTTGGCCTCGCCGTGCACGGACATGAATATAATCCGTTTTCTGCAATTCCTTGGTCACTTTTGATGAATCCTTAGAGCAATTGCTTTGTTCTTTTTTGGATTTATCCTTCATCGTCATGGTGCTCTCATTGTTTTGCTCTGTTATTTTTGACTTCTCTTCTTCTTCTTCTACTTCTCTGTTCATCATCACTTTCTTTGCATTACAACCCTAAGAACCGAGAAGAAACGGATAAGTGAATCTCAAAGTAACATCTGTTTTTTCAATTATAAAATTGAAAGTTTTAGTTTTTTTTGAAGCTCAAGAACAGAGCTATGTATGTACGAACCTTCGACTCTGTAACGACGCTATTAAACTTCCGTTTCTTGAAATTTCCAGACCCAAACGTCGCAGAAGTTGTTATATTATCCGGCGAAATTGAGAGCCTCGAATCACTCCCCGTCGCCGTCTCCCCGTAAATCACTGGAAAATCCGAACCGCTCGCCCCCATAAAGCCGCCAAACTCGCCGCCGTTGATCATTGAAGAATCGGATAAGAAGCCGGCGAGAGTGGAATCGAAGCCGGGATGGTGGTATTTGAGTTGGGCTCTTTGGCGCTCTAAAACCGACATGTCCGTATAATTGAGGAAAAACTCAGATTGTGTAGCTCTATCCATCATCATCTTCTTCTCTTTCAGATTGAGAAAACAAATAGCAGAGCGAGAGAGAGAGAGAGAAACAGAGTAAAGATGAGGGTAGAAGAGGAAGGGATATTTATAACAAGAAAAAAAAAAACATCTGCTTTGTACTTAGTCCAAATTCATCGCATCAAATAAGGTAGGGCCAGGTACAAATCTAGAAATTATAGATGATTGTGATATTGAAGATTTGGGATGATAAATAAATTTTAAAATAATGACACAAAACCTTTAAGAAATACAGTAACAAAAAAATTAATAAGTTTTCTATAAGTCTCTGTTTAACTAAAATTGAAAATCATTTTTCAACATTTATTTTGGAAAAGAAATTTAGACAAAAGACTCTTTTTTTTTTTTTTTTTTTGCTTTGTGGGAAACTTTCCTATATATAGTAAACATGAAAAATTACTCTAAATCTTAGGTGTTAGTGGAAAAGCACTCGAGTGTAAAGAAGACTCTTTAAGAGCTGGAAGGTCTCAAAGTTTCTTTTATTATAAAAGCACGTGAACGTCACGTTCGAGTAGTTTGGGATGCTCTTTAACTCGATGTCGGATAATCTTTTCTAATCAAGAAGACAGCTTCGTTTTAATGGTGACAATTAAGGTTGTCAGTGTTTGAGTAGGATGTTATTACTGTGTAACATCCTTATCCATTTTAGAAAATATAGTACCTTGTATAATAACACGGTATCTTTGGAAGCTAAGTACAAAATGAAATCCACTAATTATCCATCTAAATCAGATGGTACAACAAATAAATGAAAACACTTGACGTCACTTTAATAACACTGGTAATTTGGCTACGACGCAATCTTCACATGAATTTATGACACAAGAGGTTTTCTGAATCATTGTTATGGAGATCGGTCCTGCGTCTGATCGCCACTCTATTCTGATATTGGCTAATACTGGGACGGCGCAAGAGAGTATGCCACGTGATCGCCATGCTCGTCGTTTGCATGTGGCTTATGAAGGCCCATCACATAAAATTACTCACGAGTTAGTTTTAGACCACTTTCACCGAAAATCGGTGAGCAAATATTTCCAAGAAAACGACCTCTCAAAAACAGCGCATGGCATTGTTTATTTTTTAGATTCTCATTTATCCTCCTTTTTATTAGAAAAACCTTTATGTGATTGGTATAGGACATGAAAGCTTCTCGAGTCTAAATATATACAATCTCCATATTATTTTGTGTATGTTTAATCTAATTATTTATCAAGTATTTTTTTAAGCACGAATATGGAGTTAGTAGATAAGGAAAGGGGAGAGGGTGTAAAGTTGTTTGAAATAAAGAAACGGTCTTTGCTTTTTGATGTGATGAATTTGGACTAAGTCCATAGAAGATGAAGGCTATTTCCCTATCATACTATAACATGAATACACAGATACACTGTCATTGTAATGCCACACACCTAATATGTGGGGTTCCCCATATATCCCCTTTCGTATATATTCATGCATATATGTTTATTACACAATATGAAGATGTCGACACTTATTTCTGGTGTGTTGAATCGGAGATAATATTCACTATATTTATTATACAAAATTACACAGTATTACAATATATAAATGTGTGTGTGTGCAAGTGTTGCATCATGTTATGTACATCCCATAATTCATCAAACGTAGAGAGACTTATGTAGATTGAATAATAATGTAAGGAGATCTGAATCCAATGGTCATGAATGATGGAATCCTAATTCCTACTTCTCTTCTACTCACTTCTTCCAATAATCACATTGTATGAATGGCATGCATCATGCATGTCTAAATCATATTAATACTAGTATTTAATTAATTAGAACAATTGTGAAGTTTAGGGATTTCCAGGTATGTTTAGAGAGTAGATACAAAATTATACTAGTATTTAATTAATTAGAACAATTGTGAAGTTTAGGGATTTCCCAATTAATTAAGATTAAGTGATAATGGGTGAAATGTTAAAAATACACAAATTCTTTAAGAAGAAGTGCTTTCACTTTTTTTATTTATAAAGCTTGACTGTAAATACACGAATGCGGGTATATATATACATTATGCGTAAAGGTCATAAATAGATAAAAGATGTTTTAGCTGAAATAGGCTCCTCGGGGACTGCTCCAATTCTCTGACACTTATCATTAATTTCCTCATTATTCAACTATCAATTGAATTCTATGGGCTTCCCTACTTTTATGTCTCAAAAATTTATCAAAATCATACAATTTTTTTTTAAAAAATATGTATATGTAAAAACAAAAATTTCGACTTAAATTTACATTTTATCCGCACATGTGATCCGATGGTTTTATACTTTCATATGTGAAGTAAGTAAATGAAACTCTTATATGGTGACAGTGACACTTTGATTTTAGTTCAATTATTAAATAGATTATCATTGCAGAAAAATGATTATTTGTAGCGGCCCACACACTGGACAGCTAAAAAGAGAACATAAAACAAAATAATCGAAAGCCTCTCGGAATATTACTGTGGTATTATTTCAAACACATTCAGATACTCAAGTCAATATCTAAATCTGTGATTTGTAGAAGTATGAAAACAGAAACAAAAAACAAAAAAAACAATTAATTAGATGATTGAGTTTTAAAGTCGGATAAGAAATAGTTCACAGCTTAATATACTATTTAGTGAGCCATTTATTTAGGAGAAAAATTTATAAATCAATATGTTTACAGTAATTGTTTATCTCTTGGATCAAATCCTTACATCGAAGAATATGAGTATCTATCTATACATAAAATTACTTCACCAAGGTCAAGGTATAGCATATTGGATCTTCGAGTTGGATTTCGAGACTGGACCGGTTCACATGGCTGATGATATTTGACCGCACCTGTCTAATCAAATGAGAGCATAATCCTCGATATATGGATTATATCAGGATGTGGCGTCATATATTTCAGTTTGTGTTTGGTGTTTATAAATTGCACGTCATTAATAAATATATAAAACTGCGTTTGAAACAACTGAATAGTATATAGAATACAAAATGTATTCTTTATTTATAACAAACAAGAGAAAACATCGTAGCCATCAAATTATTATAACTAATAAAAGGAAGGAAAAGAGAGTAAACGACGTCATTTCAGCTACATCAATTAGGACCGACCGTTTTGGACACGAGTCTCTGACTTACCCGAATCAGAATCAATTGCATCTGGATATCTATCAATGCAATGTTCCCAAGGACTATTTGTCGAAGCCTTGACATTGCGTAGAGCCACCCAAACCGCACTATTACACTTAAACCCTGACCCTAAAGCAATCTGCCAAACTTTGTTCCCTCTCTTCATCCTTCCTTTTGCCTCTATGTACGCCAATTCATACCAAATTGAGCTAGACGAAGTGTTCCCAAATCTATGTAACGTTGACCTAGATGCCTCCACATCGATCGGCAATAGACCTAAGTTCTTCTGTAGCACATCGATCACGGCTCTGCCTCCGGCATGAATACAAAAATGGTCGATAGCAAGCTTGAAATCCGGGACGTAGTAATGTTTGATCTTGTCTTTAAAGAGTTTCTTGGCGATGAAGGTAACGAAAAAAAGAAATTTCTCGCTAAAAGGAAGAACCAACGGACCCAATGTTGTTATGTTTTTCTGAACAGTTCTCCCGGCAACACCGGTTATGTCCTTGGACAAACACACCCCGGTTTTACCGCTCTCGTCGTCTTCTTGTTGCACACATCGGAAAGACTTGTCGTCAGCTCCGGTATGCGTCCGAACCGTGTGAAGTAGCTGGTACTTGGACCGTCTCCGGTCCCTCGGCTTGTTGGAGAGCAAAATCGCGGCCCCACCAACACGGAACAAGCAATTCGAAACCATCATGGATCTGTTATCACCAGCATAAATGTTGTAAGTGATGTTCTCTGTGCTCACCACAAGAGCATAAGTGTTTTTATGGACATGCAACAAGTCCTTAGCCAGATCAATGGCTATAACGCCGGCACTACAACCCATTCCTCCAAGATTAAAGCTTCTGATGTTGCTTCGGAGCTTGAAAGTATTAACAACCATCGCCGAGAGCGAAGGAGTCGGATTAAACATGCTTGAGTTCACCACAAGTATACCAATCTCTTTAGGGTTAACTTTGGTGTTCTCGAATAGTTTTTCGAGCGCACCGATGATCACTTGCTCTGTTTCTTCACGCGCCGCGGCAAAAGTCTTCCGTGGAGGGACCTGAAGCAGTCCCTCGGGGCCGTGGGTTTCATCGCCTAGACCAGACCGCTCCTGAATCTTCCTCAAGAAATCAAGCCAGGACGAATCATCGCTTGCCGCGTTCCGTAAAGGATCGGCTAATCTTACTTGATAGAAGATATCCATGACCTTAGAGATACTGCTTCTAAGATGCGATGGTGGAAGGTAGCAGGAATGGTCAACGAGGTAAACCGGTTTGGGCCGGGTTACGATGTAGAGAGCCAAACCGAAAACGGTGAAGGCAAAGAGTAGAGATATGGTTATTAGGTTGTGTTGGAGATAGGAATAGTAGAAGTGGTGAAGATCGTTTGTGGTAAGCCGAGAGGCTTTTCCGGCAACGATCGCCGCTAACGGGAAGAAGCAAAGGTTGAAAAAGTTGGTGATGACGTAATGGTAAAGGAGCTTAACGTTAACGGACGTCATAGCTCTGTTTGTGGGGGAGGATAACAGAGGAAGCGACGAGATGTATTTGTAAGGATCCTTTTTTGTGGTCCGTTACGTTTTACATGCATGTATATAGACATGTGTATACTCATGCTCATGCATGCATACACATTGAAATAAACTAGTAGTCCAATGAAAGGTGCCAAAATAGGAAATTAGTCCGATGAAAAAAAAAATGTAAAATTATTCCGAATAAAGAGTCTATGAAGTTTCTGTCTCTAAGCACTAATTCTTTTAATTTTAAAATTTCCACTCATAGTTAAATAGCATTCGTTATTAAGTATACATGGATTAATAAATGTTCTAAATATGAAACATGGGTATTAAATTGAAGAGGATTGTTGTAGTTAGCATTAATTGGCTGAATCCCCATAGCATCTGACTAACTATGGGATGATCATTGTTTCTCGGGAATGAGTTTTTCAGTCTGGAATATACTAATTTGTATACATCTAAGAAATTGAATTTTTGAGACTCTAAAATTACAATCAGGACCTAGAAGACTTGTTAATTGCGTCAAATCACTCAGATTAACCTAGAAATATATGAATAACTACTAAAGCATGTGTACATTCATTGTGAACTTTTTCGACTACACACTAGTACACATTACTTCGAAGAAACAATAATGCTACTTAAGCACCATTTTAAATAATACTCTCCATGTTGTCTAGTGACATTGACTGATTCTTAGGGAAAAAAATCAAGTTGCTGGGTATCATCGTAAAGCTTGACTGAAGATGATAGTGGTTGTGAATTTGAGTGCTTTTATTCGATTTTAAGGTGCGGAGTTCGAATCCCATTCTTGAATTTTTTGGGACATTTTGTCTGTAGATGGGGCGCAAGCGCAGATTTCTCTTAAATCTTTTCACCAACACTCGAAAACCATTCTGGTAAATTTAAGTGGTACCTTTATATACAACACATACACTGTACATTGATTTCTTTACCCATTGCAAAGATATAAGAGCAAGTCTTGTGGTACAAGGAAGACTAACCACGTTTCCAGACCAACCCTAAAGGTTCTGATGAGTTCAAGGTTCGACCTTAACCGGATATCTATGGATGCAATGTTCCCAAGGATTGTTAACCGATGGCTCAACATCACGAAGAGCCACCCACACGGCGCTGTTACACTTAAACCCGCTCCCAAAGGCAATCTGCCAAACTCGATTCCCTTTCATCATTCTTCCTTTAGCTTCTGTGTAAGCCAATTCATACCATATAGAGCTCGAGGAAGTGTTTCCAAACCTATGCAGTGTCATCCTTGAACTTTCCACATGTTTTGGCAAAAGTTTTAAACTCTTCTCTAGTTCATCGATCACGGCTCTACCTCCCGCGTGGATGCAGAAATGATCAAAGGCAAGCTTGAAATCAGGTATGTAAGGCTTCTTCTTCTTCTTGGCATTGAAAAATCTATTACCAACAAAAGTCGCAAAGAACAAAACCTGCTCGCTTATGGGAAGAACCAGAGGACCCAAAGTGGTGATATTCGTCTTGAGAGCTTCTCCAGCTATAGCCATTAGATCTTTAGACAAAGAAACTCCGGTTTGCAGAGCCTCGTCTTGTTCTTGGTACACACATTTGAATGCTTTCTCATCAGATCCTTTATGAGTCCTCACCGTGTGAACAAGCTTATACTTGGATCGTTTCCGATCACGAGACCTGTTCGAGAGCAGAACCGCGGATCCACCGAGCCTAAACAAGCAGTTAGGGATCAACATTGCTTTCTTGTTACCAAAGTACCAATTCTGAGTGATGTTCTCTGTGCTAACCACAAGAGCGAACGTGTTTCTATGGATCTGCAACATGTCGTTCGCTAGATCAACGGCGATGACACCAGCACTGCACCCCATTCCACCGAGGTTGAAGCTCTTGATGTTTTCTCTGAGCTTATACTTGTTCACAATCATGGCGGATAAAGAAGGCGTCGGGTTAAACAAACTGCAGTTCACCACCAGAACACCAATCTCCCTAAGGCTGATTTTGGTACTCTCGAAGAGGTTGTCGAGTGCGCCGAACATCACCTGCTCCGCTTCCTCACGCGCCGCCGCCATAGTCGGACGCGGCGGGATGCAGAGGATTGACTCCGGGAGGTAAGTTTCTTCGCCGAGACCGGATCGGTTCAGGATCTTCCGCTGGAACTCAAGCGACGATTCGTTGAAATTGTCAACCAGTTTAGAATTGTTCATGAATCTCTGGCGGCTAACTTGGAGATTCGACGGCGGGAGGTAGCAGGAGTAGTCGAGGAGGTAAACGGATCTAGGTCGATACATGAAGAAGAGGGTTGATCCGAAAACGGCGACGGCGATGAGGAAGATGAATCCTGCGAAATTGTATTGGAGCTGGAGATTGAGACAGAGCTGGTTTAGGCTTAACCGGGAGACATTCGTGACCAAAACCGCCATTGAAGGGACCAATAATAAGAGCTTCGAGAAGTGAGAAATCACGTAGTTCCGGATCCGGATCTGTACGGATTCGTCGTCCATTAGGCGATTTCCACAGCAAAAAGTGGAGAAGAAATCAACAACGAAATTTGTTGCTGATATGGTGAGAAACTTAAACTCAATCTGGGTTTATATACACATTGAGAGAGATTGAAAGAGAAGAAATCGTAAGGGTTTGTGTTTATTCACCATTTCTCCTGGTTGGGTGGAGTTTGATGATATAACCAAAAAGCAGAGAGAAGTCGCCATTAATGAATACGTGGAAGAATTTGGCATCCGGAGAAAAAGATGGAGTTTTTTTTTTTTTTTCAGATGAACATGAAAACAGAGAGAGTTACGTTAGATTTGAATTGAGTAGGATTTCGAATTTTCAAATTGCAAGCAATCCTTTGAGGATTTGGATTTGTTTACAAATATCATATATCTTCTTGAATTCATCCTATCGGGGCCGGAAAAGATAAAAGGAGAGATGAGAATTGAGAAGAGAGGAGCTGAAGTGATATGGGCTTTTTCATGAGAATTTACAGTTCCATGTGAATTTAATTTGATGTGCAGTTTTATTGCATAGAATCGGCCCATTAATAAATTTGACTTTCTCGCTAGAGAAATGAGCAGATATCTTTTCCCGAGGTATTTTCAAGAAATACTTTAAAATAGCTCTACTCAGACGTATTCTTCTTTTTAGATCCCAAAGAAAAACTAAAGTATTATTGTCCAATAATATAGGTCGGAGCAGCACCAACATTATATGCTAAAACACTAAATAATTGATTTTGATTAGCAGCGGCGTAAGATTAACGATTTTAATGGAATCCAGCTATTACAGGTTATATATAACTCCTACAAATTATATAAATCAAATTTTTTAGTGTTTGTTTTTTCCGGTCAAATAGTTTAGTCAATTTATAAATCGTACTAGTGTAGTGTAGAGTAGTTAATGTCCGGAATTTTCCTTTTTTGGCAGTCTGTGGTTAATGTTTTATGCTTAAGCTGTAACACTTGCGTACCATTTACTACTACTTGGGCTTGGAGCCATAAGCGACTAAGCGTGCTTGGTGGCATTTTCGTAATAAAACGCTAATGGCATGCCTTAAATTAAAATACTCAATTTCTACCCGTTGCGGTCGTCTTGTCTCAATCACTTGGCAACATTTTTGTTAAAAGCTATCTGCTTCTTCTGTTTGTTTTTCTCCCAACGTTTCTTCTCTTTCTTTCGAACTATCTCATTTTCTTCATACTAAAATTTAAAAACCAACACTTCTCATAGTTGCGATGTCGGATTCAGGTGACTCGTCGGGTCTTCACAAGCTTTCAACGAAATCCGCCGTTTTCGGGCTAAACCTCTACTTAGTCATCGCGATTATATCTGTCTTCGTGTTACTGATCTCACTCTTGATCTTCCTCTTCGTCTGCTTGAATCGCGTCTCACGCGCCCGTCGAATGCGCGTGAAGCACAGCTCCGGCTCGATCCCGTTGGTCTCTAAGGAGATATCGGAGATCAAGACGGTCGGGAAGTTTCTGGACTGTGATGATTCCAAGGGTAAAATCGGGAAAGAAGTCGTCGTGGTCTCCGGAGCGAGCAAAGAAGCGAGTGGTGGGTTCGATGATTTGTCGGTGGCTTCGAGCGGCGACGTTGGTTCCGAGGTAATGGGATGGGGAAGGTGGTACAGCTTGAAAGATCTGGAGGTTGCGACACGTGGCTTCTCCGATGAGAACGTGATCGGAGAAGGAGGATACGGCGTCGTTTATAGAGCTGATTTTCACGACGGTTCTGTCGCCGCCGTCAAGAATCTACTTAACAACAAGTAAGTGTTGAAAATTTTACTGAATTAGATCATTCTGATAATGAACCAGATTGAACTTTTTTTGTTTGGTTTGAATATTTTGAAAATTTTAGATCTTATCTGAGTATATTAAATATTTGTTCCTCATTCTGACAATTCTCATTTACTCCATTTCACGGACTCCGTAATTCTTGGGTCAAGGCTCCTGCATTGGTACTTGATTTAATATGCTTTAAAATGTTGTCTTATTTCGCTGCTGACCAAACATATTTTTATATTTTATTCCGACAAGTGTTTGTTTAAACAAAAACATTTTCTCCGCATTAGTTATATTATGAGATTTTGACTTGAATATCATATGAAATGATTAAGTAATAATCATAATCCGTTTTTGTTATTCTTTCTACTTACTACATTTCAAAATTACAGTCGCTACTCGCTACTCCCTAGTCCTGGAGGCATTAAACTGTATGTTGCTGTTTGTTTAGGTAGGTTTTGTGGTGAAACTAAACAAAAGGACAAAATTAATTCGTTGTGCTTTGTTCTTTATTCTCTAATAATTTTGTCTTTAATCTTTTCCTTTTATTTTTGTTCTTTTATGTTTCTCTTTTGTTTTAGTCGTTACCTTTAAGGTATAAAAGTTGCTGGTAATGAGATGCCACTGAGTCAAATAGCTTGCAAAGAATCTGCTAAGTTTGTTATCTGTCGTTGGTCCAACTTTTGATTTTATGATTAATAAAAATGGATAAATCTTCTGTTTAGGTAGCAAGATTGTAGAACTATATTATATTGACTGTTAGGTTGTGCAGATTCATGTTGTTGGTTGCAGCACAACCACCGGAAGTTTGATGCCATTTGATAATACTTTTTTTTTTGGGTCCTTAGGCATGGATGAAACTTTCTATCTTCTTGTTTACTCTCTCTCATTGTATTGATTTATAAACAACTTAAGATTTTGATATATTAAATGAATCTACTAAAATGATTGGTAAAACATAACTTTCTTCAGGGGTCAGGCAGAGAAAGAGTTCAAAGTCGAGGTAGAAGCAATCGGGAAAGTAAGACACAAGAACTTGGTTGGTCTGATGGGATATTGTGCTGACAGTGCTCAAAGGTGCCAAAAAGACAAAACAAATTCAAATGAATTAGTAAACTCAAATTCGTACTTATTCAAACAAAACTAATTTTCTTTCTCTCTTCCTTGATTAGGATGCTTGTATATGAATATATTGATAATGGAAACTTGGAGCAGTGGTTGCACGGTGAAGTAGGTCCCGTGAGTCCTCTCACGTGGGATATCCGCATGAAGATTGCCATTGGAACAGCTAAAGGGTACAATTTCTACTGTTTTTTTTTTCTTCTTCTACTTTTCAATCCGTATTTAAGCTGCGTGATTGGCCTTTCAAAACCTTGGCTTTTGAATGAACAGATTAGCCTACTTACATGAAGGGCTTGAACCAAAGGTTGTGCACCGTGATGTGAAGTCTAGTAATATCTTGCTTGATAGGAAATGGAACCCGAAAGTATCTGATTTCGGTTTGGCCAAGCTATTAGGATCTGAAACAAGCTATGTGACAACGCGTGTGATGGGAACTTTTGGGTATACATATATATATATACGCTCTCTTGTTTCAGTTATTAGACTCAAGACTGTTTACTTTACATCTTAATTTTCTTACATCTTCTTAACTTTCTGCAGATATGTTTCACCAGAATATGCAAGTACGGGTATGCTCAATGAGTGTAGTGATGTCTACAGTTTCGGTGTTCTGCTCATGGAGATTATTACAGGCAGGAGCCCTGTCGATTATTCAAGACCACCTGGCGAGGTAAGCTCATATGCTGAGTACTTTAAATTATTAACAAATCCTTTTTTCCCAAAGAAACATGTGTAAATCTCTGTTTTTTTTTTCAGATGAACTTGGTGGATTGGTTCAAAGGAATGGTTGCAAGCAGACGTGGAGAAGAAGTTATAGACCCTAAAATCAAGAATCCACCGCCTCCTCCAAGAGCTCTGAAAAGAGCTTTGCTTGTTTGTTTGCGTTGCATAGACCTTGATTCTAGTAAACGGCCAAAGATGGGACAAATCATTCACATGCTTGAGGCTGAAGATTTCCCTTTCCGTCCTGTAAGTTGTCAGGCGAAAATAATATTGCAAACATGCAAATAATGACCTTTAATGTTGATCAAGCTGTTTATGCTTTTAATTATATCGTCTTATTGAACACAGGAACACAGATCAAACCAGACAAACAAAAATGCTCATCACCACAATGTTTCGGGGAGACCACTTAAGAGTTGAAGCTATTTGCTACACAACCAGATTGATAGATGTTTCCACGTTTGTTCTATATTGAGTATTACATAGATTGGTATGAGTTGAAGAGAGAAAAGTTAAAAGTGAAATTAGATATATGAAGATGGAGTTCATATTTTAAGAATTGTAATTTGTAAATAGCATATATATATATGTATAATAAGTAGTGAACCACCCAAGAGAAAAGTTACATTTCTCACATTTCTAATCTTTTGGTTTTTGCTTGGCCTGGGAAATAAATCGAACCAAACAAAAACTTTGATTCGGTTTGGTTTTTAATGAACCGATCGACTCTGTTTTGGTAAAATTTTGTTTGGTATTCAATCTAATTCGGGTTTAATTGGTTCGGGTCAAGCAGTATTCGAGCTTGAACCGAGTTCCGACAATCCACGACCACTCCACCACCTGCGATTAGTAAATTATCCAAAATTCGCCACGTGTCATCACATATTCTCCTACCATCATGAAACCCACAAACACAAAAATACCCCACGCAAGAGGAAAAATCAAATCCAACTTTTAAAATTTTTGCAATCGATTTAATCCAGATCTGGTGCGAACTCTCTCTGTTGTTGAGCGAAAATGGAGGAAGGTTTGATTAAGCGCCTGGAAGCTGCGGTCACGAGGCTCGAGGGGATCTCGAGCAGCGGAGGAGGAGTTACTCTTTCCCGCGGAGGAGATTTCTCTGCCGGCGCCGGGACCGATGTCGCGGCGTCTGATCCATCGATTCTGGCTTATGAGGACCTGATTTCCCAATGCATAGGCAGGGCTCTGGGTGCGGCTGAGAAGATCGGTGGACCTGTTCTAGATGTGACGAAGATTGTCGCGGAAGCGTTCGCTGCGCAGAAGGAGCTGCTTGTCCGTGTCAAGCAAACTCAGGTTAGTTTCGAATTTTTTGATGGAACCGAAGATCGTGCTACTGGGAGTAATCGATAATGTTGTCTTCTTCGTGGGTCCTCGTGGATTGGATTGATTATTGATATTTGGATGTCAATTTTTCGAATGAGCAGAAGCCTGACATGGCTGGGTTGGCCGGATTTCTCAAGCCGTTGAATGAGGTTACGATGAAAGCTGATGCAATGACTCAAGGAAGGAGGTCGGATTTCTTCAATCACCTAAAGGCTGCTTCCGATAGTCTCTCTGCATTGGCGTGGATTGCTTTCACCGGAAAAGATTGTGGTAAGCACTAAGCAGAGCCATCATATTGGATTTTGATATCTTTCAGTAATATTCATTGTGTGATGTAATTTCGCACTTTGCCCCTTTGCAAGGTATGAGCATGCCAATCGCTCATGTGGAAGAAAGTTGGCAGATGGCTGAGTTTTACAATAATAAGGTGTTAATCTTCAAATCTCTCTCTTTATGCTTTCACATGTTCCTACTGAAGTTAAACGCATAGCCAATATTTTAAAGAGCTTGTTATGATACAGAAAATCAAAGACTTTATAGTGGCTTCTTTCAGATTGCAGAAGCTTGAATTGCTTTGATGTTATATGCACATTGTTTATTCTATGGTCTCAATGTTCTTCAGGTTTTGGTTGAGTACCGTAACAAAGACGCTAATCATGTGGAATGGGCTAAAGCCTTAAAGGAACTGTACTTGCCTGGTTTAAGGGAATATGTGAAAGCTCATTATCCCTTGGGACCTGTATGGAATGCATCAGGGAAACCTGCCAGTGCTCCTGCAAAAGGTCCACCTGGCGCTCCTGCTCCTCCACCAGCACCATCTGCATCCCTCTTCAGTTCTGAATCTTCAAAGCCATCATCTTCGTCCAACCAGAAACAAGGGATGTCTGCTGTTTTCCAGCAGCTCAGCACAGGTTCTGTGACCTCAGGTGAGTTTTTTGAAGTCGTGTATGTCTTCATATCTCGGGACCGTGACTGTTTGGAATTTGAATCACAAGGAGCTTATAAATGGTTCTTTGCTTTCCAGGTCTTAGAAAGGTGACAGATGATATGAAGACAAAGAACCGTGCTGATAGATCTGGAGCGGTTAGTGCCATTGAGAAAGGAGCTCCTACCAGTAAACCAGCGTTTTCGAAAACTGGACCACCGAAACTGGAACTTCAAATGGGTCGCAAGTGGGTTTTACAAACAAATAAATATATGGTTCAAATTCAAACTATGGTAGCAGTACTATAATATGATCATTGGCTTCTACTGAATTATCAGGTGGGCTGTTGAGAACCAAATTGGGAAGAAGGATTTGGTTATCAGCGAGTGTGATGCCAAACAGTCTGTGTATGTATATGGTTGCAAAGATTCTGTCTTGCAGATACAAGGTAACTTTGCGCCATTCCTGTTTCACTGTGAAAGTTGGATATCTGCTAAAAATTAGTTGAGGCCCTTACTGTTGTTCCGTAATTTATAGGAAAGGTGAATAACATCACCATTGACAAATGCACCAAAATAGGTGTTGTCTTCACGGTGAGTGTGGAATAATATTTGTTCCTCTTACATTCCACAGTATACAGTTCTGTGATTTCCAATAATGGAAAATGTAAAATGTCTGTATAGGATGTTGTTGCTGCATTTGAGATTGTGAATTGCACCAACGTAGAAGTGCAATGCCAGGTTTGTTTTCTATCATCTAAAGCTTTCCTAATGGTGCACATATATCTTCCCTAAACACAATCTCTTTTGCTTTTCAAACTTATGATGTAACTCTAACATCTGTAAATATTTCGCAAACACTAATGCTCTTTCTTTGTCTTTACTTCATCTATGGCCGATCCAGGGTTCAGCTCCCACAGTTTCTGTGGACAACACGAATGGCTGTCAGTTATATCTAAATAAAGACTCATTAGAGACAGCTATAACAACAGCCAAATCGAGTGAAATCAATGTAATGGTGCCCGGTGCTTCCCCTGATGGAGATTGGGTATGGAATCTCTCTCTGTATCCATGAAAACCTTTTGATTTCTTCATGTTCTTCAGATTTATACATCAAGCAATGAGAAATTTCCGGAGTCTGGTTACGTTTACAAGTGTAACCAAGAGACTTGTGTATGTGGGAGTGAGAGGATACTGTCCATTGAAAGAATGATTCTAATAGTGAATTTGTTACAACTGTGTAGGTGGAACATGCGCTGCCTCAACAATACAATCATCTGTTCACCGAAGGGAAGTTCGAGACAACACCGGTCTCGCACTCAGGTGCTTAAGCTAAGGAGAAGGTGGTTTCATTATGGGTTTTGATTGAATATGAGGTCTTCTTTTTTTTTAGTCATATACTTGGTTTCTACAGATTATAATAGAGAGAATCTGTTTGTTTGTGATTCTGTCTCTATTCCCCAATTTTGGGTTTGGAGGTTCTTTTGTTTTTTTTGTTTGTTTGTGTGATCTGATCATCTGGGCTTTCTTCGTCCTTGGGGTATTGAATTGGATTTGGGTTTCTCGTTTTTATTTTTGTTCGGTCATTACTTGTTCTGAGTTATTGCGGATGAAAATGTGAACAAATCATTATCATGGATAGAAAAAGTTGCAGTCCTATTTTTGGAATATGCAATTTCTTTTATATTATCTAATCTTTTTTTGTTTAGATTTTTCTTGTTCTCTTTATGATGTAAGCGTAGTAAGAAAATTCTTGAGGAAAGTAACGTATAAATGATTTTTAAAATGCGAATAGAAGCTTTAGTCAACATAATAAGTTGAACAATGTGGTATCACCAAAGCTAAAATTATTGGTGGTGGTGGGGTGAAACGTGAAGAATGGGTTTATACACTTATGGTTGCTTGGAAATAGCTTGGAAAAGGGGGAAATACTGTCCTCTGCTTTATATCTAGAAATGAAATTACAATTATATATCATGAATTTTTTTGTTAGGCTTTCTACAACAACACAAATTAATTGCGTATGTTCACACATTTAGCATCCCATTCTCTGTTATTACGATAAATGAATAAATGTCCCAACCAATTTTGTACTTTGAGTCCTACATCCCAACTAATTTGATCAATTTTCAACCACTAACAAATGCTATTGCAGAAAAATGGTCTCTTATGAAATCTCTCTGCAAAAAGTGTGCTTTTGGGAAATTGCCATATATTATTACAATAGGAGACCGAGGCCGAAGACCTTAACTCAGGAGACTCCAGACTAAGAAATACAAGTCAACACGTGGAGTGTGGAGAAACTAGCACAGACGTGTCTTCTCTACAGTGTAATATAACCGTTACAGTAAAAACCTCTTATTTAATCAAACAACACTTATAGAACTCTCTCTGTTTCTCCTTCTTCCCCTTTCTCTCTCACCATCATGGCTATCTCCATCCTCATCTTCCTCTCTCTCCTCCTCATCTTCCTCTCTCACTTCCCCTCCTCACGTAAGTATCTTCTATTATACGACGTCGTTTTTTCTTCCCTCTTCTTCTTCTTCTTCTTCTTCTTCATCTAACCTTTTTCTTCTTCCTCTGTTTTTGTTTCTATTTTGTCGACAGATGCAGAGCCCTTCATCGGAGTTAACTACGGTCAAGTCGCCGACAATCTCCCTCCGCCTTCGGAAACCGCCAAGCTCCTCCAGTCAACTTCGATTCAGAAGGTGAGACTCTACGGCGCCGATCCCGCCATCATCAAAGCTTTAGCCGGAACTGGCGTTGGAATCGTCATCGGCGCTGCTAACGGCGAGGTTCCTTCGCTTGCCGCCGATCCCAACGCCGCCACTCAATGGATCAACTCCAATGTCCTCCCGTTTTATCCCGCCTCCAAAATCATCCTCATCACCGTCGGCAACGAGGTCCGGTCTGATCGTAAATTTGTAATAGCAGTTTTCCAATTTTCCAGAGAGAAATGTCCCGAATCCCAGTCTGTCGTTACAGGTGCTGATGACGAACGACCCAAATCTGGTGAATCAGCTACTCCCGGCGATGCAAAATGTCCAAAAAGCACTCGAGGCGGCGTCGCTCGGCGGGAAGATCAAGGTGTCGACGGTGCACGCGATGTCGGTGCTGGGTAATTCAGAACCGCCATCAGCCGGTTCGTTCTCCCCCGGTTATCAAACCGGTTTAAAGGGAATTCTGCAGTTCCTGAGCGACACTGGTTCGCCTTTCACCATAAACCCGTACCCCTTTTTCGCGTACCAAAGTGACCCGAGACCCGAAACGCTGGCGTTTTGCCTCTTCCAGTCTAACCCCGGTCGACCCGACTCTAATACCGGAATCAAGTACATGAACATGTTCGATGCGCAGGTAAATTAAATTACAGTTGGGACCACGCTTTTACGGGTCGCGTCCAAAGTCCAAACTAATCAATTCAGTCTGGTAACTAATTAAAATTTATAATTTCGCAAATTCTGAAAAATCACCTAATCTCTCGTTATGAATTTGGTGGACTATATTATATCTAATGATTTAGGTAAACGTCAAAAGGCATAGTTTATCTGAGTCGGCTAGTTTCAAGTAATTTATTGTTGTGATACACACAAAGATCAGAATTATAGTAGTAATCACGTGGACGAATCTCTATAGTTTTAACTTTCGGTTTTTATATATAACTTTCTTTGCACTAGATTGTAGCAAGGAACTTGTTCTGTCTCTACTTTTCCACTTTGAAGGAATCTTTATTCGTATTCTTATTATGTAGAAAGACAGTTGTTTGCTTTAGATGATCTGTGTCGATAAGTGCCGTATGTGTTTGAATCTACAATTTCTTTTAGTTTCACACACAATCTGTATAAAATAAAATAATATGCTTATTCTTATGGTTCTTAATTTTCTATAGTACAACATCTGTTTTGTTGTTAATAATTATCTTCTCAGGGAATAAGTATGCGTGACGAGGACTTGTCGTCAGTCGTTTACTGGTTTTCTGACAGGCTGGATTCGCACTAGTTTTTTACTTATTTTAGATGGTTCTTGAAACATTTGTTTGCACTCGTCATCATTAATTCCACGTAAGCATCGTCGACCAAAACCAATAAATTAACTTAAATAAAATAAAAGAGAAAACAATGGTGACGTCTCAGGGGCATGCCATTACGTGTTTGTGTCTTCGCCCAAAAGTAGTAGTATCGGAAGTCTTTTATCTTTGCTTGCAACACACGTTACAGTCTCTCTGTTTCATCATGATAGGTCGATGCGGTTCACTCGGCTTTGAAATCGATGGGATTCGAGAAGGTGGAGATCGTGGTGGCGGAAACAGGCTGGGCTTCACGAGGGGATCCAAACGAGGTCGGACCAAGCGTGGATAATGCTAAAGCTTACAACGGAAACCTAATAGCTCATCTAAGGTCCATGGTTGGAACACCTCTCATGCCTGGAAAGTCTGTGGACACTTACATCTTTGCATTGTACGACGAGAATCTAAAGCCTGGACCTTCTTCCGAACGGGCCTTCGGGCTTTTCAAAACCGATCTTTCCATGGCCTATGATATAGGCCTTGCCAAGAGTAGCGGTAGTAGCGGCAACAGTAGTAGTCAGGTTTGATATATACTCCTAACGCCAAATGATTAAGACTGCGATTGTTTTCTACAAATTAACTCAACAAACACTTTGATGACGTTAGTGTTGTAACTAGAAAAGTATTTTGTTATATAACATGCAAACGAATATGCTAATAATAATGTAGGTTTTAGTTTATGAGGCTAACGTTTTGATGAAAAAAACAGCCGCCATCGGGGAAAGTGACGTCGATGGGGTGGTGTGTAGCAAGGAAAGGTGCGACGGACGAGCAGTTGCAAGCGAGCTTGGATTGGGCTTGTGGACAGGGGATAGACTGTGGGCCGATACAACCAGGAGGAGCTTGTTTCGAGCCGAACAATGTGGCCTCACACGCAGCCTTTGCTATGAATATGTATTTCCAAAAGTCTCCTAAAAGCGCTACAGATTGCGATTTCTCTAAAACCGCAACAATCACCTCACAAAACCCTAGTAAGTTTTCTCTCCCCCATTGCGCTTTAGGATTAGTTTGAGCTGGTTTAGTAAAAAAATACGAAAGAGACCACACATTAATGTCCTTTTTAGTATACTAAGTTTGCTAATAGCAAACATTGGTACTAATTTATTTGTTCTTATATTGCATTCGAATTGTTGATAGGTTATAACAGCTGCGTCTATCCGGGAGGAGGAGCAGGAAGTGCAGGAGTAATGAACAAATATGTGAGGTCAGACAAATCAGAGAGAAAAAAGAATGGAGCAGTTGAACCAAAAGTCTCTTCTTGTCTATCTTTTCTACTCGTCTTTATGTTCCTAATCCTCCATGTAAATATGTAGTAAATGCCCCAATTAGCTTTCTCGAGGGGTTAGTTAATTAACTTATTGTTTTCCTCCCTCCTTTTATAATTGTGTGATCAAATTGTTATTAGTTTTTATACAACTAGTAGTTATCACACATTCTATGATAAATTTTTATTTGTAGTCTGCAACGGCTACTTCCCACTAGACTTACCTCTAATCGTTTTTCATGATTAAATTCCATCTCAAGTCGGCAACTTTTATATTTCTCAGTCTTTACCAACAAGCAGACACACTTTATAGAATCGAATTAAAATAGTTACAATTTGATTTCCATATAGTAGTAGAAGAAGAAGAAGAAGAAGAATTGTGATTGACATATAAATGTATATACTTAAGGCAGAGTTGGAGAGAGTGAAGGTTTTGTAACCTTAAGCTCACCACAGTCACTAATGAAAACCGTCTTGAGAGGTCTGTTCCACAAGGATCGTGCGTTTTGAGCTCTTTCATCTCCCAGAAGCTCAGCAAAATCATTAAACTGTCTAATGTTCTCCGACGGCTTAAACGTCGGAACCGTAGCTATACTCGTCACCACATCTAACCCTGAAGAGATTCCCAAGACTCAGATTTTTGAAATTAACTGAAAAATTGGGAAATTTCGTACAAAACTGACCTTCAAGCACAGTTCCAAAGACGATGTTGCCGCCGTCTAGCTGCGGACAAGGACCAGGTCCTGTAGTGATTAAAAATTCCACGTTTCTGTAGTTAGGGTCGAGTACGGCCTCGTCGTCGTCGTCGTTTTCGGATAAGCAGAGAGAGACGAGACCAGGACGAGCGTGTGGGAGGAGGAATGACTTAGAATTCACAACGTCTGTGTTTCGAGGCAATTGCTTGAGGGGAGGACCAACCTCCGCCGTGTATCGCCGTAATCCTTGTCTTCCGGCGAGGAAAAACTGGCCGGGGAAGATTTTGTGGATGGGAGTGTTTTTGTAAGATGTAGAAGAGGAAGTACACATGAGTTTGAAAGTGGAGACAGTGAGAGGGACGTGACGGCCATATAACCCGAGAACGACGCGGCCTAGAGGAGTGGAATCGGAGCAAGGTGTGGTGGAGGCGAATGTGGCGGAGGGATCGGAGCGGAAGTAGGTGGGACAGAGGGAGAAATCGAGGAAGACGCGATCGGTGATCGTTAAGTCAGGGGAAGGAGTGGGTTGAGGCGACGGAGAAACGGTAGCGATTGTGGTGGAGAGGAGGAGGTTACGGCGGGTGATGATGCCGGCGGAGAGAATCGGAGGGATGATAATGGATGATGATGCCATGGTTGGATGATAACAAATTAACACTGTCTCTCTCTCTTTCTTTCTCTGCCCTTTCCTCGCTGTATACGAACGGCGTCGTTTTGACATTGGGAATGGGGTCCACTTTTGATATGGCAAATGAGAACAGTCAATCGTCGATTGACTCTGGCTACCTCTTCTCTCCTCTCTGAATCTCTCTCTCTCTCAGGTCAGAGCCATCAACACCAAGCAAGCGTGTCTGACTGCTTCAGCTTTCATCATCTCCTCCTTTCCCACGTAATTCCCCAAATCCACTCTTTCTACGGTTCGATCTCCCTCTCTCTCAATCATGAACCTTCCTCTCTTGTAGACATTTCTCCACCCACCCCCAATATTTCCCCTCTCCTAGTTTCTTTGATCGGCGACGGAGAAGTCTAAGTCTGAAGCGGGAATGTCTGTTTCCGAGCTCAAAGAACGCCACGCCGTCGCTACGGAGACCGTTAATAGCCTCCGTGATAGGCTTAGACAGAGACGCCTCCAGCTGCTCGATACCGATGGTTTGGGATTTTTTTTTTGTGTGTGTCTCTTCTTCTTCCTCCTCTTCACAGTCCAGTTTGCTGTTCTTAGATCTGTTTTGCTTCTTTGGGGTTTGAATTTTGGCAGTGGCAAAGTATTCGGCGGCGCAGGGTCGTTCTCCAGTCAAGTTCGGAGCGACGGATCTGGTTTGCTGTCGTACTCTTCAGGGACACACGGGAAAGGTGAGTGAAAGTTCGATCTTTGCTTCTATCTTACTAGCGAATACTTGATTCAACCTTACATAGCCTTTCCGTATAATTAACGAACTGGAGCTGCAAAATTTGGTATTATTATCCTTCAAGTTTGCTTTTTTTTCTTTTATCTGGAGATTTGTAGCTTGTGTTAAAGGGTTTAGGGAGTTTTACCATTCTAGGGGAAGCTAAAAGTTTCTATTTTGGAGGAGTTTAGGTCGGAACCAGTTTGTTATTCTGTCGCTGAGGTCTATAAGTGTTTAATAGTTACCATGTTTGAGGAGTAGAGGCATTTTGTATGGTAAATATCCTGCGAGATATTGGAATGTTAGTTGATACAGAAATTCAGATGAGGTAGCTTGTAACTTGAACATGGTGGAATTTAACAGGTTTATTCATTGGACTGGACTCCGGAGAGGAACCGGATCGTCAGTGCATCTCAAGATGGGAGATTAATCGTGTGGAATGCTCTAACGAGTCAGAAAACTCATGCCATCAAACTCCCTTGTGCGTGGGTTATGACATGTGCCTTCTCTCCGAATGGTCAGACGGTTGCCTGTGGTGGATTAGACAGCGTATGTTCCATCTTCAGTCTTAGCTCAACCGCGGACAAGGACGGAACTGTACCGGTTTCAAGAATGCTCAGTGGTCACAGGGGTTACGTTTCTTGCTGTCAGTATGTCCCAAATGAGGACGCCCATCTAATCACCAGTTCAGGTGATCAAACATGCGTCTTATGGGATGTAACTACTGGCCTTAAAACTTCTGTTTTCGGTGGCGAGTTTCAGTCTGGACATACTGCTGACGTACTAAGGTATGAATTGTTGCTTCCCATCTGCTTGGCGTCTTGGGTTCGGTTTGTTTAATCCGGTTTCTAAAGTAGCTTAGGATTGGGAGTTTTCATTTGATTTTGTGTACAAAAATTAGCATTGATAATATATTGCTGCAAGTTTACACTTAAACTCATGCTGTTTTACACGGGTGATTCGTGCTCCATCTCTTCCAGTGTCTCAATCAGCGGATCAAACCCAAATTGGTTCATCTCTGGTTCATGCGATACCACTGCACGCTTGTGGGACACTCGCGCTGCAAGCCGGGCAGTGCGAACGTTTCATGGGCACGAGGGAGATGTTAATACCGTCAAGTTCTTTCCGGATGGGTATAGATTTGGGACTGGATCAGACGACGGAACATGCAGGCTGTATGACATTAGGACCGGTCATCAACTCCAGGTGTATCAGCCACATGGTGATGGTGAGAACGTACCTGTGACCTCCATCGCATTCTCTGTCTCGGGGAGACTTCTTTTCGCTGGCTACGCAAACAGCAACACCTGCTACGCTTGGGATACTCTCTTGGGAGAGGTAAGCTAATAGATATTAAGTGATGAGGAGTTGTTTTTCGCTCATTGTGATTGTTTGAATGTGGTGGGGGTATTCTCGTGCAGGTTGTATTGGATTTGGGGGATCTGAAGGATTCACACAAGAATCGGATAAGCTGTTTGGGAATGTCAGCAGATGGAAGTGCCTTGTGTACAGGAAGTTGGGACTCAAACCTAAAGGTTAGTATCTCTAAGTTATAGACGAAAAAACAAATAAAAACATGAGAGTTGTGATTGAGATGATAGAATCTGAGGAGTATTTTTCATTAAATTACACAGATATGGGCGTTTGGAGGGCACAGAAGAGTGATTTGAAGAAAGATGAAAAGTAACGTAAGAGTCGTGTCTCAGCTCCATCTCCAGTTCGTGTGGTTTGGTTAATATATTCTGTAGTCTGGAAGTAAAACCCGGTACGGTCGGTTTTTGCTTTTAAATAGTGGAGTGGTTAGAAGGATGAAACTTCCCCCTTTGTTTTTAGTGTGCTTTTGATTTATTAATTCTTCATTTGTCTTTACTAAACCATAAACCGCATTCACTTGTTATTTGCCCCCTCAATGTGAATTCTCTAATCAATTGTGTATCCATCAGTTGTTACTACCATCTCTTGACCTTACACAAATTTTAGCCCCACAATTCTTACATATTAAGTTTCCTTTTGCAACGTGTTAAAAAAAAAAGTTTTTAGAGGTATGGTCGCAAAAAAGAGACTAAGCAGTTTTAACTTTAAATCATCATATCAAATCAAATCATAAAAGAAAAGAAAACCTCCACAGTATATGACAGCCAAAAAGAAGGTAACTATACTATTAAAAAAAAAAGATAAATGTATTTCGAGGTTGGTGTAAGTGAGGATTTTTGGCAACAGGAAGAATGTTTAATTCTAGTCTCGAACTTATTAATAACAAACATTCTTTGGTACTTTTGTAGATACGTGGAGAGTTATTAGCCGCTGGAAACAAGATCGTGAATGGCCTCGGCGACAGAGACGTCCTCAGCTCTAACCGCAAGTTTCATTGCAATTTCCTTTGAACTGTCCATACCAAACTGTGCCCTCACCAACACTTTGACGTTCCCAATGTACACACCTGACAATAAGCAAGTGTGTGACCTTGCATTGCTTGGAACTGTCTCCGTCCCCTGCAATTTTGTTTCAAATTTATCTCACCAAACCGGTCGTGTACTTAAAAAGCTTGACCCGGACACGAGTATGAGAGAAAAGAGACTAACCTCGCAAGGCTGCATGCCAAGAAGATCGACGACAGCCTTTACAGCTTCTCCCAAACTCTCTCTTGGGCCAAGGCCATATTCGTCTACGTGCCCAAGATCTTCATCCATGCTTTCCCACGCGTTCCTGAAATTGGAGACAGCCACTTTCACCATGTAATCTGCAGCTACAACCTCTAGATCCTCCAGCTGGTACTCATCTTCTACCCCATCATCCTCTGCTTCACCTGTGCTTGGGTCAACCTGTTACAATCACATTTATAAATCCACAAACAAACAAACAAACTAGTCATATTGTGATTAATGAGAGTCATTCTAGTACCTTCCACTTTCTCTAACATAAAAAAAGATGGAAATGAAAAGCAACATGTACCTCCTTAACAACAAAAGTCAATGTGTTGGAAAACTTGCCAACAGCAGGGACACCTGCTGGCTTTTCAAAAGCAACAAAGGTTTGACCAGGCGAATCGTAAGGAAGTGAGTTCAGGGCCTTTGAAGTTATTTCACTGAATTCCTCTGCTTCTGAAGCATCTACAATGACATTTACCTACAAAAACCATGCCAGAATAATGAAATGAGGAAATAAGGCAATAAGATATGCTTCACACCAATGTTCTAGACCAATGGTTCAGTACCCTCTCCAACAACTGCTCTGGTATTGTGTTTGTGCAGTTGTACTGAAACACCACATGGTTGTCAAAGATATGCTTTACAACATTGACGGCGTATTCTGTTTCTGCTTCAGTTAGCTCCACAGGTGATGAAGACTGAAAAAGGAAGTACAAGTTAAAGCAATCGAGGTAGGCTAAATAATTATAGACTGAAACAGAAGAAACTTCAGCCCTAACCTTGAAAAGTTTTCCAAAGGCGGCAAACTCTGGAATAGATGAGAGAAGTCTTTCATAGCCATCAAAACCAGAAGCAGGTGCAGCTAGTGGCGCACCAAGACCAGTGGGCTTTTTACCCTGGGCTTTCTTCTCTGCAAGGGGCTGGGATTTTACTTCCTTAGGCACGGAGTTGATATCAAAAGCTTCTTCAGAGGGATCCTGGAAGATCCTAGATATAAGATTACTGATTTCCTATGAAGCATATGAAAAAAAGAAAACCGAGAAATGGAATGCTCACATAATTCTTCAGACTAGTTTCCATGTTGACCAGGGGAACTTCCAGAGAACCAAATAGAAACTCCTTGCTATCTTCATCAGTGTCAACAGTACCATCACCAACAAGGACGCTCAAAAATAGTGTTGCTCTATCACGGACCTTAAGATAAGAAGAGGTCGTAACTCATGATCAACAAAGGAATCACCAAACAATTTGCATGTATCACCTCAGAAAATGTTTACAAAGGCAAACAGCTTTTCTAGACTAAGACTAGGAACGCACCTCATCATCACTGTCATAGATGCAGCGCTTCAACAGAACGGTAATCCGGGGCTGCCGAGCATCCAACGATTATAATCCTCACAATCAGTAAACGAAAAAAAAAAAAAATTGGTTAATAAGATAACTAGACATACCTTCAAGGATTCAACCATAAACCCAAACTTTGCCAGTGTCGAAACAGCAGCAGCTCGGACAGTGGCATTTTCCAGATGCACACGATTATAAATATATCGTATATACTTGCTTGGATCTGAGGTGTTAGGCCCTTCAATTCCCAGAAAATGAAGGATCTGAGCGACAAACACACATTTAAATACCACATACGCATGTTTTAATAGCAACACCAGATGGACGATGGAAAAAATAATTTACCTGTGTTGAAAGATATGTGAATTCACAATCTTCAATAAATTCACAAAGATGAAGCAATCCACTTTCCTTCGCATCAGGGATATCTCTGATAATGGTAACAATAGAATCTACTATTGCTCTTTTATACTCAAATCCACCTTCTTCCCTAAGAATGTTGCTTAAGAAGGTCATCCTACAAATGAAAAGGTGACAGAGATTAACCAGACGCCACAATGCTATAAAAACACTGCACCATTTTGAAGTCATTTCGAGAAAACAGCAATGTTAGAGACCAAAAGTGCAAATAAAACAACCTCAAACTTCACTTACAACGATCTGTACTTCAGTGGAAATTTCACACACAACGATCTAATTGCTTCCACGACCACAATTTTGAACTCATCCGCAATATCGGACATAAAGTTAGTTATCTGCTTCATCAAGCGTTCTACACTTGATTCGTTCCCCGTTTTCAGGAGAGTGGTGATTGCGAGTGTAGCAATGCTTCTATTCTGATCAGAGATTAAACTCTCCATATCAATGTTGCAGTTGGTGACAGCCATAGGATGAGTCATCGCAACCTGTGGTTCAAACTTGCGTTGAGTGTACAGTGAAATATCTATTTATCCTTGATATTAAAGAAAAATGATGAAGCTATCCACAAAACTATAAGTCCTTTCGGTGTGTTTCAATAAACAAAGAAGCAGTGTAAAACCTTGTTCAGAGTTCGGACAGCAGCAAATCTCAACACTGGCCTGGGGGAACTCAAAAAGAGCTGCAGAACAGTGATTGCTGGAGTCAATTCTCGGCTTGTCACGCCATCAAGCTCAGTGATCGCCCTGGCAGCCTCAAGGATCACCATTTCTGCCTTATGGCGCAGGCAACTCTCCAGAAATTCATAGAACGGACGTTCTCCAGACTGACCGTGGTTGGACATGTCACGGATAACCTGAACAATAGATACTATAACTAAATCACACAATTACTTTCACCCACATATCAGATAATCAAACGGCATCGAGGACTAACCTGACTGGTGTACCGTATCAAAAGACACTGAGCCAAGGGAGAGCGGACAGATCCCCTGGTCAAGCTGACAACCAACTTGCTAACAGCCAAACGATCATTTTGGCGTATCTGAACATGATAATTGATTGTCAATATCTATAAGATCAATTCTCACTACCTTTATAAACAAAACAAAAAATGAAAGCACATTGTGTTGGGAGACTTTTCAAATCAATGTAAAAGCAGCGATATATATCATTTGCTAGCCTAACAAGTTGCAGATGCTATCAGAGACAGACTAAAAAAACCGCTGAACCTCGCAAGAAAATAAAATAGTTGGAAATGACCATAGTAGAGACTAGAGAGCTATGGCTGTTTCATTAAACAAAGAACAGAAAACATGAACCAATTTACTTCAGCAATAAAATTGCAACAGACTTACCTGATGGAGCAAAGCTAGGGCATGAAACTGAACGAGGGCTGATCTGGACTGAATACCTTCTTGAACCTCATTGCTCCATCTTTTAACAATTTCTGGGTTTGTCTGAAAACAACAATAGAAGTATATAACAATATAAGAATAACCTACCAAATAAGAAACAACCTAACAGTTTCAGTGTGTAAAATGTACCTTTAGCAAGTGAAGCCCACTGACCAAAGCTGCACTTGAAACAACGGGATTCTTATCCACAATGGCTTGTTTCAAGTATCGCTCAATTTGAGTGAGAAGTGTTCCGTCTATAATCCGGCAGAGGACACGGATAGCATTTGCTCGATACATATCAATTTTACTGTTCATGTCCTTCATAAGGGAGCTAGTTACAATGATAACCTATGGGAGAAAGACCAAACACAACTTATCAGAAAATAGACCTACAACAAGTACCATGATTTTCGAATTCAAAATTGAGTAAGACGGCAAACCTCATCCGATGATGGAGATAACTCCTTTATGATCAAGTAGACCATTCTCCTCAGACCTGTGTCTTTCGATTGGAAAAGCTTTGTGACTGAAAAGAAAACCTCGGTTGCTTCAACCTGCATATGAAACAGAATAAAATTTCATGGAAAATGATCATTTCACCAACAAAAAGGTTATTTACACCATATGTGCTAGTAAGCATGAAAGCGAATCCGCATAAGAAAAATTAAAACTGACCTTGGTGAATGACTCCCCTTGGTTAAGCAAATAAAGAAGCTTGGTGATGACCTGTTGAAAGATTATGATCACCAGCAAGATAAGTACCCAGAGAAGAAAAAAAGGCAAATACAGGGAAAAGAAAGCTTGAAGACAGAAAAAACGTAGCAAGTACCTGCGAGCATCTTCTAGGATCAACCTGAGGGTCATTGAAGACTCTAGCTTCTTGAAGTACCGCTCCTTTCTCAATTCCCATGAATGGAGAATACTCCACTGAGCCAACAGAAATTTGAAATTGAAATACGCAAACATTATTAACATCGGATCCAAATGTGGTAGCAAATCCAGAATTGATCAAAACTAAACGTTGTCTATTATTATCACACCACACCAGTCTGTACAGTGTATAAACAAGTAAAATTTAACGCAAAGAACACAACCGGACTTGAAATTATAGATCTACACAGCCAAATGTACAATACACAACTTTCAAATGATATCCAGAATCGCACAGATCTATAACCTTAACATCTGATCTGCAGCCTTGCACAAAAGCAGATATCTCGAAGATAGAATCCTAAATTATAACCAGATTAAGGTAGGATGACATACATTCATCGTCGTGATCATCGTCTTTCTTCACGAAGGGTTGCGCCATTGATGATCTCCTAAAACTCCGATCGAAATTACGCCGTCGCTCAGATCTCGGTTCTGCCTACCTTTTAGCTACAGATGCAACAGTCAAAAATGCAAATGCGGGAGAAGGATCTATGTTTTGAGAGTCGAAATTCGGAAGCTGTGGGATCCAAGGAGAAGGGAGGTTACTCCGAAGCGGTAGAGGAGCTCCGATCTGCTGCGTCGGCGTCACAATTTAACGCTGAGCTCTGAAGGCTATGATCTTACGAGAGACCGCCACGTCATATCAGTGTGAGATTTCGCAGTGAAAAAAGTTGGAGGGCCCCAATTGCAAAATCGATTATCTTATTACACAATGTTTTCCCTTTTGGGATAAATTATCAAAGAAATTTATTATTTTCAAAATTGGTTGGATTTTTAAATTCAAAATACTGTAAATAAATACACGATAACCATATAATAAAAATCTTGATTATGCGTATCCATTATAAAACTATAGCATTTGCATGGCTTATTAAGGATTTGAACTATACATTTCAGCAGAACACTATAGTCTCTGTGGTCAAAAATCACTCCTAAAAACATTATAATTTGGACTTTTTTCAAACTGCAATGCTTTGACGCAGAATGAAACAATCAATGGAGCAAAGCCTTAAGCAAAAGATGAAAAGGCAGAGAGAAGAAAGTGAGAAATGTGTGTGTTTCAGTGTTGAGGATTGCGTCTCATTGAACCTCTATGCATTTCTTCACTACTTGAAGCAGAAGGATTTAAGCCATACTCGCTTGTTGCACCATATTCACTGCTTTGATACTCTTTACTCTCTAATGCCAACTTCTTGAATTTTTTCATGTCTGCACTGTACGAGCTCGCGTCATACTCGGAGCTCGCGCTTCCAGGGCTCAGATACGTGTTTTGTCCTCCTCTTCCTCCTTCACTTAGATCGTCCATTGATACATCTCCTTCTAGCGCTCGTACAATCTTTATACATGTTCCAAGATTCATAAGCATTTCTTTAAAGATATAGTGAATTGATGATAAACATATTAGATAACGAAGTGTTGTTTGATTTTACGAACCTGGCTCATCTTAGGTCGTCTTCTTGCTGAGTGTCTGATTGCTGCAGCTGCACAAGAAGCCATTCGAGCCATCTCTTGTTGATCGTAGTTTGTCTCTAGACGCGGATCTGCCAATTGACTGTAATCTCCATCTTGAGCTGCTTTCAAACACACAGGCCTTGCCTGCAAAAACAAATGGTAACATCATTAGGGTTCTTTGCTTGTTGCAAGACATTAAACAGGTGAACCGAAGACTTACCCAATCTACCAAGCTGTCTTCCATTTCTCCGGTTAGATCCACTGGAGGTCGTCCGGTTATGAGCTCAAGAAGCATTACTCCAAAAGAGAAAACATCAGATTTGTCTGATAACTTGCCGCTTGAGGCATACTCTGGAGCTAAATATCTGAACCAAAGAAAATGTTAAGATATGATGAAACAGAGCGGATGAATTAAGACGGTTTACAAAGCTGTTTACCCGAAAGTTCCCATAACACGAGTGGAGACATGAGTGTAGTTGTCCTGAGATAGCTTAGCTAATCCAAAATCTGCAACCTGTGTATATTACACACAATAGACTGATACACAACACCTACACAGATTCGGAGAAATGAAAGTAAAATCAGTACATACATACCTGAGTTTCAAAACTGAAATCAAGAAGAATGTTTGCAGCTTTGATATCTCTATGGATAATGCGAGGATGACCTATCATTGATGTAAAATATACAATCTTTCATTTCATATAGAGAGAGCAAGAAATTGAAAGTCTTATCGGTGTGAGATAAAAAAATTCTTACAGTCTTCGTGCAAATATGCAAGGCCTCTAGCTGATCCCAAGGCAATCTTCACTCGTATAGGCCAATCCAAAACTGGACGACCCTTTCCTGAAATTTCATAAACATACTATTGATACAAGGAAACCATTACTTATAAAAGTGTTGGTTCAGGCAAAGATTCTGTTAGATGAAGTTACCGTGAAGATGGAATTCAAGAGTGTTATTAGGTAGAAACTCGTAAACCAAAAGCCTTTTACCACCAGAGATGCAGTATCCGACAAGAGAAACGAGATGACGATGATGGACACGGCTAATGATCTCGACCTCTGCTTGAAACTCGCGTTCTCCTTGTCCACTTCCGAGTTTAAGACTCTTGACTGCAACTTCTTTGCCACCAGGCAAAACCCCTTTGTGAACATACCCAAATCCTCCTTGTCCTAGCAAATTTGACTCAGAGAAACCTTCTGTCGCAATCGACAGCTCATCGTAGGTGAACGTGCTTTGGTTGTGACCAAGAGTCACGGCTGGAGGCGACGGTGTAGCAGCGGTTCGACCGGTTAAGTTGGAACTGCCGCTATGAGGACCGGACACAGGTTGCTGTTGTCCCCAATTTCCACCACCTTGAGAAGCCATATTCACCACATGATCTTGAGGTGTTCCATTGCTATAATAACCACCATTACCTACACTATGCAACAACTCCTTTTAGCTTCTATAAAGACTAATTCTTTTTGCACACTACCAAGTTTGATGCAACTAGTATAAACCACTAGACTATGATCGTTGTGCAACTTAATCGGTCGATTATGTTAAACATTTGGTTTTACCTGTGGGTGCTCCAAAGGGGCTGTTGTTGTAATAGTGCATGTGGTTGACTTGAGGAGAACGTTTCTTCTTCTTCTTGTTGCAGCAGATGCAAATAATAACTAGAAGTAGAAGCAATAGCCCTGCTCCTACAAGGACTCCAATAATCAATCCAACGTTGGCTTGTTGCTGATGATTCCCTGGTGGTAATGAGGGGTCTGATGAATCTCCACCATTCCGAGGAGGGCTTATTGACCGAGGCGGTGAAGGTGAGCCACCGTCACCGGGATTTCTGTTCCCTGATGGTGGAGAGGGTACGGAACCGTCTCTGTTGTTGCCATTGCCGCCATTGGTTCTGTTTCGGTCATCATTGGCACCAGGAGAAGTAGGAGCTGGTCTTTGTGAAGGCGGTGCTTGGTTCGACGGTGTTTGAGGCGGTGCCGGTGGCGTTCCCGGAGATGAGCCTTCAGGCGAAGGTGGAGTAGGATTTTCTGGAGTTTGCGGTGGCGGATTACCTACAGCTGGCGGCGATGATGATGCTGGAGGAGGTGAGGTTTCCTGGCTCGGTGGCGCAGGCGGCGCTGGAGAAGCCGAGTCGTTGTTATTTGGCGGGGGAGCAGAATCTGGAGACGGTGGCGATGGAGAGGTTGGTGTCGGCGGAGATGACCCATTTGAAGGCGTTGTCCCATTTGACGGAGAACCTGCATTAGGGGTTTCCGGAGCAGGAGGAGAATTCCCCGGCGAGTCCGCCATTATGATGTCTTTTTCACGGTGAAAGGTTTCTCAACGGCGGAGAAACCTTCTCCCCGGTGATCCTTGACGCAACAGCCTTGTTTTCCAAGCAAAAGCTTTATGCGATTGGAAACCCAGAATTTTGGAGAAATCAATACATGGTGAACAAGATTTGGAAAGAGAGACCGAGAGAGAGAAAATGAGATCCTGATAGTTTCTCTTGTGTTTGGAGAAATAGCTTCCCCTACGAAGGAGGAGCAAAGTTTTAACTATAATTAGAAGAAAGCGTCTCTGTTTCTCTACCATCTATCATCTATATTTGCTCCTTCAAGAAACCGAACTCTCTCTCTCTAATTTGGCCTCTACTACTTTTTGCATGTGTGCCGTTTGAAATTTGAAGAACATTGGTACCATAATATAACCGGTTTGACATTGGAGATACATAGTGGATAGAGATTAAAAAGGGAACCAAGTGTACCAAGTACTTGACATTAAAGCAATAAATCAAACAAGAGAAATTGGGAGTAAGTGATCTGATCTGATTCAAAACATATTTAAAAGCCGTTGTTAAATCCAAACCGAACCAAAATAGAAATTAACCAAACAAAAACTTCAATTTTTTTTTTGAAAGTACAGATATACTGGATTTAAAATCAAAACAATGCATATATACGCTTTTTTTTTTGACAAAAGAATTTTAATTAACATATATATAAGTTCATGTTACTACTCTTTTTCTGAAAGTATAACACTGAAAAACCAAAAAAAAATCAAACCAAAATCCGGATCAAGCAAGATAAACAAAAGAACACAGTTAAAAGACTTGAATTGAGCTACGAGCGGTTTGCCTCAGTTTTATCTAACCAAACCGAACTTGTATCGAGCAAACGACAAAAGAAAGAAAATGCTAAGCTCACGGCGTAACTTATCATCGGACACTCTTACTAGTTACTACAAATAGAAATAAATGTACGCGTTTGGGTATAAAACATTCCCACCTTCTGCGGAATCACATATATTTCTGTTCAACGTTACAGTTCACTAAAGTTCAAAGAACCATAAATAAAACACATTCACAGATCTCCAAATTGTTCCATTCAACAGTTACATTAAACATTAATTGACGGGTCTAAAACCCCTAACTAACTTCGTCTCCTACATAAGTCCGATAAATCTCCAGAAAATAAACCAACCTCAAGAGGTTGAAAGATTGAAGCCGCATAAGGTGGGATAATGTACCTGGGCTTAACAAATATAACATCAAGAGCTACCCCGCGAATCTGAAAACTATGATGTGGAACCACTAAACCGAAGAACCATTGTCTGAGCCTGGAGGTGGATCTGAGCTTCCGGTTATTGCTGTAGCAGCTACAACTGAACCAGGAACAGAGAACGATGATGTACCTGGAGGCCTTGGCATTGGTGGCCGTGGAAAGGCCATACCCATGAGAGGTCTTTGACCCACATTGGCAAAATTTGCAGCGATTCTGTTTGTTGGTAACGATGCTTTTGAGGACATTGAAGGTGGGACACCGAGTCGAGCTGCTATGATCTGTGCTCTTTCATGGTATAGCCGTTGCCTTGACCTTTCTAATTGCTCTTTTACCCTCACTGTCAAGCTTTCAGCATCGTTGAAGATAGATAGCTTCGCTTCTAGTTTATGTAACTGCTTAGACATACAAAAAAAAACCGTCATTACTATGTTACAACTCTGAACAATACGGCACCAAAACGGAACCTAATCAGCATGCACTTAAACAATATTTCACCTGCTTCTCTATCAATGACCCAGAAAGTTGTCGGATTTGATCTTCTTCTTGCTTCGCGAGATTCTTTGCCTTTACTGCTGCAGCTGAGAGAGCAGAGATAGCTGCGCGCTTAAGCTTGTCAATATGTTTGTCTTTTGTCCCTTCACAAACATCCTTTTCTTTATTTCCTTCTTTATTTGGATTTTCACCTGCAAAACAACGTGTAAACAACAAACCAGTAAGATATCAAAGAATCATGCAGTGCAGGTTCAGTTTCTAGAGTGTCAAAGAGAGAGAGAGAGACAATCAGCTGTTCCATTTTCCGGAAGAGAAGCTGATTCAATGGGTTGCTGTGCAGCAGACGTGTCTGGCATACTAAGAACATCCTTCGCGCCCTCCTTAGCCTGTTCAACCTCCTCTCCTACTGTTTTGACCATATCTTGAGGATCCTTCTCGGATTGTAATGTATCCTTCATCTCCACATCTTTTGATGCTTCTGGCTGAGAAGCATCTGCAGCTGACTGGGAGACAATTGCTTGAGAGGCGTCTTTATTTTCACTAGGAAGCGTATTTCCATCTTTCGAAGTTTCTTGAAGCTCCTTCCCCGAACATATGTCCTGCGATGGACAGACTATTTCTGCTGCTTTCTCTGAATTGTCAGTTGCGACTGACTCACTAGATCTTTTTTCTCGTACAGCATCTGGATTTCTAGCAGAATTCTCAGTTTGAGAACCAGCTTGCTTTTCTTCAGAGACTGAATCCTGATCCTCTTTGCCTGGATCAATATCTGGCATTTCCCTATCATCTGAACTCAAGGAGACATCTTCTGCTTTCTGGGTTTTTTCTTCTGGCTGCTCATCTTTACGGGCATCATCATCATTCCCTGCTGCATCCACACTGCAAATGTTTTACACGTTTCAGATCTACGAAATAATAACCAATATCTTCAAAATATTGAGAGCAGAACAAAAACACGGAATGTTAAAGAGATATTATCAGATATTCAAATAAATGTGAAACCTTTTTGATTCAGTTGAATCCTTCTTGTTGTCTGGTGGATCTTCAAGAATAAAACAATGTCTTGTAGCGAGCAACAATCCAGAACTACTCTGAAGAGATTTTATGGAAGCCCGGGCTGAAGCAGTGGCAACGTCAGTTCCAGCCAATCTCACCAGAAAGGCTGCCTATAGAATTTTAAAAAAAAAAAAAAAAAAAAAAGAGGGTTGAATTCAAAAGAATCTCCTCTCAATCCTGTTGCAGTAAATTTCTGTCTTACATCGAAACTTACCAGTCCCATGACAGGATTTCCTAAATCAGCAAAGGAAAGAGACGATTCAGGTGTAATGGGATAACCAACGTCTTCAAAAGCTTCAGTCAGAGCTTTCAGAGCAATGTTTTCATCAGCCTCATCTTGACATCTTTCATCAATGACGGTTTCTGCCTTGGGCGTTTTCTGGTCGGTTTCCACTTCATTAGTTTCTTCACTCGCATCTCCAGGCTTCGAAGATTCCTGAGAAACTTTACCTTCATTTTCACCTTCTGGTTCTGGAACTTCCTTCACAGTTTCAGCTTCATCAACACGATTCTTATTCTCTGTCTCTTCGGGTGCATCTTTTAGGACAGGTTTATCGTCTTTAGACACAGCTAAATCTGTAGTGTCTTTTGTAGCTGGATCTTTGTAGTCAATTTCATCAAGAAATGCATCCTCGATTGGCATTTGAAGGAAATGAAGCATACACTGAGCTTTTGTTTTTGTAGCAACATGCTCTGCAATCTCATTCCAATTTTCCTTGAAGATTTCTAAGGCTTCAAGGAGAAGAAGAGTCTCTTGATCAGTCCACTTCCCACTACCAACGCCAGGGGCCTCAGCAGAATCCATTAGTATAAAGTCAGAAGTCGACATATCTGAGCTGAACTTGCCACTGTTAAAGCATTCCGTACACAAGTCAAAATCTGCCTGTCAAAATCTCAATATTAGCACATAAATTTCAAAGAACTATTAAAGAGAATAACAGAAAAAATGAATATTGGCACAGGGTAATAGTTAAATTCTGTATTCCTTTCTATCTCAGAAAGAATAAGATACACATATAATAAAGTAAAGAGACAAAACACCTGCTTGGGGCAGTGGTAGCGCTTGCGAGAGCAATCAGCTGAACAGGAGTTGCAGTGATATTCGACCGCTGGACCCTCTTGCTTCGTCAAGTCATCAGCAGCCAGCGGATCTGGGAACAACCCTGATGGCGTAGCCTGCGCTGTGAGACGAGGCTTGTGAACAAGAGCAGGGCAAGCCTCATCTGCTTGAAACCGATATAAACTGTTAAGAAGTAACTCCTTATCCCCTAAGTCATCATGATCAACGGCAGTAGAACCAGCATCTACTGATGGGAACGGGTGAAAATTGATTAAGCCCCAGTAGTCCAAGAACTCCATCACCTCCTGCTTTGCTTCAGAGTCTCCAACCTCGAGTTCTGTCAAGTCTTTTACTTCTATTTGCGTGTTGGGATCAGAATGAAACTTCCTCATGATCCAATTCCGTATTTCCCTATATACCTCAGAAGTGCGACTCTCCGACTTGCCGTTGAAAAAAGAAGGCAATGAACGCTCCTCAAGCTGGTGGATCTTCTCCCATGAAAACCAACCTTCAGAACAACAACCCGAATTACAAAATGTTCTTTTTTAATTATCAACATTGTATGGATGAAGATTGAACTACAACAATAACTCGAAACCTAAACTCCAAAATCAAACAAGTTTGTATTAAAGTCTCCTCCTTTCTAGATGAAGGGGGTCGATAAAACCTAGAATTTCACAGATTCCTTACATCACCTACTTTGGAAAGTCTTCGTATCAATTTTCAAATTCGCAAATCAAAACAGTGACAAATGCGACAATTTAGACCCAACGAGCACAGGAAGAAGTAGAACGAACCGCAGTGATTAGGCACCACATGAACATTGCTGTCGCGAGATCTGATTGCTTCGAAATCAGCTTCGATCTTAGCCTCTAGAGCCTCCCACTCACGGATCGCTTTGTTTCGCTCTTCCTCCTCCTTCGGCTTCTCGCCGTCAGTACCCACCGCGGCATTCAACATCTCCGACTTCACCCCAGCAACCGACGGCATGTTGCTCGGTGCCTGTCGAGCTCTAGTTAAAGGCCCGTTATGTACCGGCGAAAAGGACGCAAGCATCGCCTTCTCGCGCGTCAACATCCTCTTCGACGATGTGGAAGAGGAATTGGAGGTTCCGAGAGCATTTGCTTTTCTCTTCAAAGCTCCGCCGCGCCGCCGCGTGGTCGGCTCAGATGCCGGAGAATCTCCAGAGCTACCGCCCGCAGCTAGGGTTCCAGCATCGCGTCGTTTCTCCTCCATCTCAAGAGACGGAACAATCTTCGGGGTTTCCGTCTCAGTGTATTGGGTTTGCTATGCAGCTACAACTACAACAACAAAACCATTTTCAGGCTTAAGCAAAACGTTGCTATTCCCAATCCCAATTTTGCTTTTTCCCCTTCACCGTTTTTTTTCGCATTTTACTTTTTTCCTTTGGGGTGTGTGAAATCAACAATTTGTATGTGAAGGGGGAAAACCGAAACATGGTAAATTGGCACACCACAATTTAATAGCTTTAACCGGTTTTGTTTGGTTTAAATCAACCACTTTGAAATTAGCTTTTTGATTTGATGAAATATTCGGTTTATTCAAAAATATTAATATTACCTTAACATTTATATGCATGCTTTGGAAATGTTTTGGTATATGCATGCGTTGGAAATGTTTTGGTATATATCATTAACATATATACCAAGTTCATAGCAGTTCCAAACGTAACATATGAAAAACGATGTTGAAATGAATATAGGAATTAGATTCTAAACAACAACATTAGCATAGTTTCAAGTACACAAACATCAGCAAGAAAAAAAGATTGAATAATTGAAGAGATACCACCGAGTTATCATCTTCCTGGACTCTTGATGACCCATGACCAAAAAAATTGACACATTTGATGAATTACATACCTTCATGTATTTGTCTCTACATGTAATATTTAACTCTCCTTGAAAACTATAGAATACAATATCATTGACATCTCCACTATGTGCCTCAATCTGAAAAAGTTTGATTTGTTAGATATAGCACTTTGCTGCATAAATAACAAATAGTTTGATACAAATTTTAAAGTGTTCCTTTGTATGATCAATCTCTGTGCAAATATAAAATTTGAAATAAGTTTTTATAAGAACTCACATTTGAAAACAAAGGAGAAATATTAGCTAACTGATATATTCCTATAAATTATGAAAATTGAGATTTAACTAACTGATATGTACCATATTTTGTGTTTTTTGCCCATATAATCCAAGCCATTGCTCTAGAGGTTCATCCTCATATACCTATAATCCTTGGTAAGTTGTGTGTAGTTTGTTTTCAATTCATTTTTAAATTCTTTTTAAAATTAATAGTCATGTTTTCTTATTTCAGTTTGCTCAATGAATGGTGGCATTAAATTGCATGATTTGGCAAATTTGAACACTTCTTACCAAAAAGACTTTAAGATTTTGAAGTTTAATACATTCTGGCAAGGTTTAAAGACCTATTATGAGGGACAAAAGAAGAAAACTGCAGAAGCAAATTGTGTTGCTTGTGGATCTCTCAAAGACAACACATATACTATGGTAAAGTTTACTAATGTTTGTTTATTTGATATTATGCTAATATTGTTTGATATACTATATTTTATTTCAGCACCTTTTTCATCGCATGCATATTAACGCTAGGATGGAATTCAAGCTGAGTGGCGATGGAAAAATGTGAGGTTGAATATAAGTCATAAAATTGTTTCAGTTACATATTACACTAGTTAATCTCATTCTTTTGCAACCAACAATATTATTGGCAGATTGTTTTGTTGCACCTCTGGTTTTGAGCTGGTTTTGAGCCTAACTTCATAGTCGTTGGGGATGAACACAATGTCAAAGTGTGGAGGCTCGACAGTGGCATTGTTTTTGATACGATCAAACTACAAGAGTCCACATTCATCGTAAGTTTAAAACTAGTTGGGTTTTTGTTGAAGCTTGTTTGGGTTAGTTTATGTTTGAGACTTTGGATCTTGGAATTTGTTTGAGATTTTGCAATTTTGTACTTAGTTAGCACACTATTTCTCTCTTGGCGATGTTGGATTCTAGTTTGTTAATCCTCTGTCTCAAAAAAAAAAAAAAAGTCACGAGTGATGGAAACTTGTTTAATTCTTCTCTTCTCAAATCTTCCAATGAACGAACTAATACGAGCATTTTCTTCTAACAAAGTACCATTATCAATTTCAAACATCAATATACAATTTTATTTAGTACTACATATTTGTTATCTTAATTTCAAAAAACTAATTTACATGTTAAATTGTAGTAGTATATAATAAACATCCTAGACCGCTTTTCGCAGTGGGCTTAGCTCACAAAGTTTGTTTTTTCGGCTAAAATTGTAGCTTTTTCTCTCTTTAAAACTGAGCTGTTTTAGCCTAATCAATGTTCAAGTTTTATTTGTTCTAACTAGCGTTTCCAGATACAAAGTACGAGAATTAGAATTGATATTAACTTTGCTGGCCTAGCTAATTTCTTAATAATATTAGAGGCAAAAACCTTTCGGTTACTACTATCCATATACAGAACTGTGGGAAAGGCTGTAAATGAAAGCAATAATAATAAAGAGAAGATGCTCTCTAGCAATAAGAATAGCTACTAATTAAGAAACATTAACGTTTATAATTAAGAAAGAGGGAAGAGAGATTGGTGGTAGGTAGCAAGGAGGTAACTGTGGAAGTTGGGAGCAAGGCCAAAAGGTTGAATGGCGGTGGGAAGCAAAGTTTGAATAAGAGCATCGTATTTGAGAAACCTTTCCTGCAAACGCAATTTGTCACTAGGGTGCTTTATCAAGGACCCCAAGCTCTTACCTTTGATCAACACCTTTCCGTAGCTGTAGACTTCAACTGGAGTAACTATCTCCATACACGCCACTCGAAAGATGTTTAGATCAATGGAATAAATCTTGTCCCATGCGGCTCCTTTTCTGTCCATCCTCCACATGTCCAAACTCTGATCATAATCCAAGAACAATCTGGCTTTAATCTCGCTCCAATCCAGGACCACTCTGGGATGAGGACGAGGACAATGGCTTTGCTCTACAATCCACCGTTGATCCCTAAGGTTCATGAGCTGGATTCTGAATGAGGGCTTCGTAACACAGAAATCACGAGGGTGAGGGACCGCGCGGAAGCTCTGTGTGTGAAGATCGAACGCTACGATCTTGGCCTCTGTTGAATACTCTGATGCCTCCGTCTCCCACACGTAAGCGGTGAACCAATAGATGGATCCGTTAACGCTGGCTGAAGGTTGGCAGGCAAAGCAAGGCACAGGGACTTGGCCTACGTATCTCCACTCCCGAGTCTTGAGCGAAAACAACTCGCACTGTGTGCATACCGTCCAAGTCTCCCAGCCCATATTAACTAATAACCGGACAAGTTTATAGTCACCGCTCTCTCTGTCTCTCCCAAACCCTAACAACTGATTCCACGGATGAGTATTCACTTTCGGACCAGGTGCACGGGTCCCTGCAACAAACGAAATTCATCTTTTAACATCTCGTTTAACGTTCCTAGAAGAGAACGTACGATTTATCTATATATTTGTTACTTACAATAACTGTACCAAGCAAGTTGTTCACGGACCGTAAGGGGCAACCGCAAAGTCACATCTGGCTGAGAGCGAAGAGACATAGTTACTTTGGTTTCAAGTCTCTGACCCGTGGCCGGATTTATAAACACAAACCTGTTTTCAGCTCTCACGGAACAGATGATACCGTCGCATGAGAGACAAGGAAATTCAATATCATGATCCATCAAATAGGAATGGTCTAAATCACCGTCTAACAACTGAGGTTCCCGGTAATGTTCACTACCCTCGCTGGTGGTAGCAAGGATCTTGAAACGGTGTTCGGATTTCTGATGAACCAGAAATCGAAACATGGTAAATTGGCACACCAAAAATTTATCCATTTAACGGTTTTCTTTGGTTTAGATCAACCACTCTGAAATTAGCTTTTAGGTTTGATGAAATCTTCGGTTTATTCAAAAATAAATTATTATGGCTGCTTATCTGAAATTTTACCATAACATTTATATTTATATGCATGCGTCGGAAATGTTTTGGGATATATCCTAACATATGTACTAAGGTTCATAGCAGAGTGAATTAGCTTTTTGGTTTGATGGAATATTTGGTTTAATCAATTCATAAATTTTCATTGCCGTTTAGCTGAAATTTCACCCTAAGTCCTAACATTTATATACATACGTTGGAAATGTTATGTCATATGTCCTAACATATGTCCTAGGTTCATAGAAATTTGAAACGTAACATATGAAAAATGATGTTGAAATGAAAATAGTATAGGAATTAATCAGATTCTAAACTGGCAACATTAGCATAATTTAAGTTCACAAACATTAACAAGAAAAAGAGATTGATGATTGAAGAGATACACCGAGTTATCATCTTCGTGTAGTGCAAAAGAATTCAAAGACTTTTGATGACCCCATGACCAAAAGATTGATCCATTTGATGAATTCCATACCCTGATGTATTTGTCAAAACTATAGAACGCAATATCATTGACACATCCACCATGTGCGTTAATCTAAAAAATATTTGAATCTGTTAGATATAGCGTTTTGCTATGCATAAATAACAAATAGTTCAATACAAATTTTAAAGTGTTGCTTTGTATGATCAGTTCCTGTGTAAATATAAAATTTGAAATAGATTTTCATAGAAACCCACACCTAAAAACAAAGGAAAAATATTAGCTAATTTGATATATTCTTATAGATTATGAAAATTGAGATTTAACTAATTGATATGTACCATATTTTGTGTTTTTCCCCATAGAATCCAAGCCATTGGTCTAAAGCTTCACCCCCATCTACTTATTATACTTGGTAAGTTATTTGTAGTTTGTTTTTGATTCACTTATAATTTTTTTTATTTAAGATTAATAACCATGTTTTTCTTATTTCAGTTTGCTTAGTGAATGGTGATATTAAATTGCATGATCTCCCGAATCCCAACACTCATAGTGTCACTTTGTGTGGAGCTGACAATTACATCAAGATTTGGAATTTACAAGATGGGTCAAATATATGGTCATGGGAGCATCAAATGTCTTTGAACTCTCTTGTGCTGCACCAAGATGGAAACTCATTGGTATCTCTTCAATTGCCAAACTCATTTTTCTCGCTAATGTTTGCTTGATAGATATTGTGTTAATGTTGTATGCTATACTATTTTTTTTTTTATTTTAACATCTTTTTCATTAGATGCCTATGATACTGCTAAAAGTGCTTAAATCTACACCATAACCTATGTTATTTGATACACATCATGCCTTTACTAATACGTTTCTCTAACATTTGCAAGAGTGCCTAATGACCAGGTTTAGTAGAGAAGGCTCTTTGTTAGCAGTTGTCTCCAAAGATAAGGCGACGGTCCTATTAAACTTTGAGACTTTGGATCATGGAGTTTGCTTGAGACTTTTGCAAAATTGTACTTAATTTGCACACTATTTCTTTCTTAGCGATGTTGCACTCTTTGTTTATTTGTTAATCCTCTGTTTCAAAAAAAAAAAAAAAAAAAAAAAATCATGAGAGACAAAGACTTGTTCAATTCTTCTTTTGTCAGGTCTTCCATTGAACTAAGTAATAGTGAAAAGTGAAAACCAAGTAATAGTTAGATTGCAATAAGACTAATGGTGGGAAAAAAGAGGGAAGAGAGATTGGTAGCAAGGAGCCAAGTGTGAAGTTGGGAACAATGCCAAAAGGTTGAATGGCAATGGCAAAGTTTGAGTAGGACTATCGTATTTGAGAAACCTTTCCTGCAAATTGTTTATCAAAAACCTCAAGTTCTTACCTTTGATCAACACTTTTCCGTCTCTTTCATTTACTACAAAAGTAATATAATGAGAACTTAAAGATCCATGCATGCATCATTTTCTACCACAAAGGCCTTGCGAGCACATATGACCTAATCATATGGGAAAGAGACACCTATGGCCTAATCATATGGGAAAGAGACATCTACTTTTTGCAAGCGTCGTTACTCAAATAAGTTCAAACCGCCTAGTCATATGGGAAAAAAGCATCTACATTTTGCAAGCGGTTGTTACTCAAATAAGTTTAACTGCGCCGCGCGTACCAAGACGCTCCACCTCCGCATCGCTACCGTCCTGTCTTCCTCTATTTACCGTCGAGTGGTTGTTTTTCTCTTCTACTTTTGTACGATAAATGAGGAAAAAGCTGCGTTTTGTGGTTATTATTAAGGTTGAACAAGATTTAATACTTCATTGAACAATGTTTGGCCAATGAAGTTTTTTACTTGAATCTTCTTGAGTCAAATAATCTTTATAGGGTCAAGATTGCAAAACTCACAAATGGCCATGAATGCCGCGGATTAAACCAAAAAATCAAAATCGAATGCGTGTGATCAAAATTTTCCTGCTGATATCTACAAAACTTAAAAATCTTGCCGTAAGAAGTTTTCGAAATTGGTTCCTTTTAACGTGGTTTGAACTTCTTCCCAATTCTGCACATGTCGTGACAATGAACCTCGATGAATCTTCACTTGCCGACTCTTTAACTCACGTTTTGGGACCTTAAGAAACTCCTGTACATCATCTAGTCTCTGCATTAACCAAAAAAATAAAATAACACATATATAAGAAACGAACAATCGATGACTTAGTCTAGTTTAAAAAAGAAGAAGAAAAGATGTGATTCATCACCATGCGGTTCTCAACAACATCTTCGTAGTAGAGAAGGATATGTCGAGTGGTATTAAAGTAAGCCAGTGCCTTCAATGTCGAGTCTTGAATCTGCTTCAGCTCCGTTACCAAAAGCGTTGTGTTGATCATTGGCTTGTAACCCGCCAATATCTCAGCCTCTTTAGGGGAATGGACGTGAGACTTGTGAGTCCCGTTTAGTAGCTTAGCATCTCTGTCATAAGAGTTGGCGAGTACTGATATCATACGCCGCAACAAGTTTCTTCTGAAGAGAAAAATTGCACAGACTCCTCGGGTTTTGAAGTATTCTACTATTTCTTCATGATGTTTCACTAGACCCTGCAATGTTTACAGTGCAAAATGATCCATCATAAGCTATATAGTCAATGAGATGTTCATCACAGACTCCTTCACATGAAACTTTTTATTCAGGCCGCTTTCTTCAACATCAAACAATACCGCACAATGAAGCTCCCTAAATCAAACAGGTCTCTTTCACTTATGATATTAACCCATTTTGTAGTGCAGTTTCCTAAATCAAACACGTTTCTTTCTCAAATTTAACACAAACAATGCAGCTGTTATCTTTCTGATCACTTTAAACTCACATGTAGTTTAGTTATAAGCAACAAAGTAGACAGGGATGGGATCTAGCGATCTCTTTGTGCAACCACTCAAGTGGAAACAGAGCAGAGTCGAGAATATACATCGAATCACAGAGTAAGAAAGAAGAGTAAAGATGCGTCACAATGTCACTGACTTTTAAAGAACTGTACCTGATTAAGCATCCACTTGAAGCCAACAGCGGAAGTGCACTCGTTCTTAGAGGCACTACTCAGCCAGTCCAGATTATAGACTTTGTCAAGAGTCTCAAAAATGGTGGAGACATTAGCCCTCCTATCTTTCACCGAAAAGATCTCTCCGTTGGAGCTTATGTTAGTATGATTGTTCAGTAAAGTCTCAAACCAGCCACTACCAGATCTCTGCATCGAGATGATCGCAAAGTACCGAACCGGTTGACAAGAACATTCATCCCTAAAACCATTTAAACCCCACAGAAAACGCTTATCAACATAAAGCGTAGACCCAAGAATCATAAAGGCTCAAACTTTTTTTTTTGTTTCCTCTCGATCTTATGTTACCTGTTATACGTCTTTGGCTTAGGGTAATGCACAAATGGAATGTCCCATGGTTCGATGTTAGGCTCAGGACAAGGCCTCTCAAAGACTTCAACGTTCAAGAAACCAATATAGTTGGGACTGACACTGACTCCTATTTGCTTCAGACAAATCGAGCAAATGTACACAGCGCAGACCATTACAAAGAAGAGAACGACCATTCTTAGTACAAGTGAGGACTTTTTCGGAAGCTTCAAGACAAAACTATCCTGCAAAACAATACATTTATATCCTCGTGTTAATTAGCTTTGTTTGGTTGTTTGAGTCAAATGGAAACAAAAACGGAATAATCAAAGAAAGTCCTTTATGTTTTTTTAATTCGCCAGACCCGGATGGTCAAAGATTCAGTTTTTATTTGATTAGTGTAGAGAAATTTGAAAATTCCTAAAAAAGTTAGGAGCTGGGCTTGAAGCTACTGGACAGATCAGCTAAAGATTGCTCCCAGAAAAAGAAACCCGAATCAGATCAGACCACTCCTAAGCAGATTAAAACTGGACAAATCGTAAAATCTAAAAGCTTAAGCACAACGAAATGTACCTTGGGGAGGAAAGAAGGATCGTCGGCCATGGCCGCCTCGATAGAGAGAGAGAGAGAGATGAGAGATTAGAAAGGAACAGAAGAGAAAGACATTGAATTTTTCAGACAGAGGAAAAATAAACTATTTTAGTATGCCCCAAAAAGAAAATCGAAAAACTTTGGGAGATTTTCTTTAAGAGAAAAACGCAATGATGAGAGAAGCCCAAGACCGTTGTTTTTCTCCTTTTCAGTTCGCTTGAGTTTGGTTTTTCTTCGTATTCACAGATATCGAGTTATTAAACATTAAAATGCGCCATTGGAATTTAAATGTTCGTTTACAGAATTGCAGAGAAGAAAACAAAATATAGAAATTTCGGGAAACCGGAAAAAAAAAAAAAAAATAGATATCAGCGTAAACCCCGAGAAGAACAAGTCAAGCTGAAAAACGATGTCGTTTGCTTACATGCACCGTGGTTTCTTTTAAAAATTTAAATTTGAAAATGCGTATTAATATATTTGGAATTTTTATAACCATACGAGTTTAATTCGTATATGACAAATGCCCATTTTCCTCGGTTTGACTTGTGCTTTTGTTATTCAACTTATTCGATTCTAGGGATATATATTAACGTGGATCAAGTTAATATTAATTATGTTTTCTTGAAGCTTATGGAAAAACAGAACATTAGAAATTCAAAAGAAGAAAGAATTCTTCAACCGCAAACAATTTTTACATCATCAAGGAACAGTGAAGAAGTAGAAAAAAAAATCAAACAAAGGAAACACATTACAGACCCAATTAGCAATACAAAGGCCCTACGAGGACAAGAAACCCAAAAACAGAACATAAAAAATTATCAAAAGAAAATCAATGAGTAGCTGTAGAATTGCTTCTAATGGTGATAAAAAGAACTTCTCTTGTGATCTTTCTTGGACTTCACGAATCCTAGCCCTAATCTCTCTCTCCACCAACCACTCGACCCTTTTGATTTACTTACCGGTGAATCATCGTCTTCTTCGCTGAGTTCTTCCCTCAGAGTTGTCATTCTCTTCGTCGTGTCGGCTTCTTCCTTGAGAGGTAAGATCATGCCATCGAAGAAGATTTCATCTGCTGTGATCATGGAAAAGTTCTTGACACCGAACTCAAAATCATCCGAGGACACAGGTGCCTCCTTGTACTTGATCATCTCGTTCTTAGTCGCTGCGAAACCGCTGGAGAATGAGATCCTTGGCTCTGCGTATGCACCATACTGATGATGTTGCTTCATGTTTGAACACTCCATTTTTTATCTTAGTTTTCTGTCTCTCTCTCTATCTTTCTTTTTGTATTCTACTGTATTTGTTGCAGTCCCTATTGGTAAAATGTCTGTATTTATATGATACATGTTGGATTCATATACTTCTTATTTTATATAAACATATTAGGCATAGATAATACATTATTATTGTGTATGATGTCACAGGCACACAAAGGGACAAATGTGTTGTCTCTTGGAGTTTAGAGATCTAAGATTAGATTCTTAATTGATTTAAGTTATCTTGCATGATAAATTATAACCCATTTTAGATCAACAGCGGGAAAAAGTTGAAGCTTATAGTCTCTTGAGACACACGAAGAGGCAGTTATGATCACCAAAACAAATACTACTACCATATTATTATTAGAAGATAAAACCCCAAATTAACGCAAAGGGATGTAGTAAGCACATGTGTAAGTTTTAATTTTATGCACATGCGCTTTCAAAATAAAATTCTCATGCAAAGTCGGACTTCTGAGAAATTTCCCAAACTGAGTTGTTTTATGCTTCTAATAGAAATGGGGAGTAAAATAGTAATACTTCGTTGGCTATCCGAAGTCTCGAAAGGTTACACGAAAACTATTTGTTTAAAGCATATACTTATTTAGAACCTAGAATTTCCTTATAATAGATAATTTAAACTGGAGTCTGAGTATTTAACAGTTTATTAATTAATATTTGCAGTTATATACACATCTCAAAAGACCCATGCATGCATGTGATAATGATAGCTGTTATTGGCTAATTGCACACACTAATTGGCTAATTTGAGTTCGCACGCACCCGGGTTTCCGACAGGCCGTTAAAAGTAATTACATAAACACACTTTGGTCTTCCATCCTCACTCCAACAACCAAGAAAACCCATTTGCATAAACCAGGATTTGAGAGTTACTACGAAAATTATACATCAAAGCAGTATTATCTGACTAATTAAGTGTATATCTTATATGATTTTTATGTTATGTGACGTCTGATTATGCATAGATATATATAAAAATTGGAAGTGTGTCTCTCCTATGGTCTCCCATATAGTGAACAAACGTTGTCTCTTGCAGTTCACGAAATCTGAGAAAGTTTTGTCGTGTTGTGTGATTGATGCATCAAACGCATTATTATAAAGTAACAAAAAGAGAGGCTCGACGTACAAGGTCGGATCTTGGATTTGACTCTTTTGCAATATTTAATGATAAAAACAAGGTTCGGTGAACTTCGTGCTGCTTTCCACTTCCATTTCGTACACTAAATCCAACATCGATAGTAAATGTCGGTGTTTTCTTATCGCGGTAAGTGCTAGCTCCAATTATGGATGCCCGGATGCGCAAAACTATCCGAAATATCCAGCTCAACTTTGGGGACAGGACAACTAATATTTTATAGAGATTTGAATCGTAAGTTACTCGTTTCTTAAATACGCGCGAGTAAATGAAATTTAGTATCCTCTATTGCTCTATCACAGGATACATGGCAAACATCTATAAACTTTAGAAGGAAATTCAATGTTCTAAAAGAGGCTTTGTGCACTACTTCGATGAAAACATCTCTATTGTTGGTTTGATCGCTATGTGTTTGACTTATTGTTTGATGTTCGTTTTGATGAGCCTGTTATTAAGGGTGGTTGAGTTTGACTTTGTATTCATATATTTGATAAATCTCGTCGTGTCATTTGTTGAGGAATACACACCATATATATTTATAGAATTGGATGGTTCATATATTTAGAGATCTGTACATATAAAAACTATAGGAAATCAAGTAATGAAGATTACACAAAAGTTAATATACGGAATATTATTGATATGGAGATGTAGGCGCGTCAGATCTCATGTATCACAATGATACAGTATCATTTCTTTGAATCCATTTGGAGCTAATATGTTATACCATTGATTTACTTTAGAGTATTTGTCATCATATCAATTAGAATTTCAATAGTAATAAAAAAAGAATATTGTAAATATTAGAATGGTATGTCGTCTGGACTAATTTGTTGTAATGCATTTCTCTCTATTGTATATCTAAATATTTAAAAACATTTTTGGACGCAAGGAGCGCCTGTAGCTCAGTGGATAGAGCGTCTGTTTCCTAAGCAGAAAGTCGAAGGTTCGACCCCTTCCTGGCGCGTTAGTAAGTTTTTTTATTGACCCTTTTCCTTTTTTTTTTCAATTATTTTATGAAGAGAGAGAAAAAAGGTTCTAAGGGGAGGGTTTATCATCGTTGAATAGTCTTGACTTGCCGGATCTGTCTCTCGAATTCCGGCGGTATAAAACCCTGATTCCTCCCAACTTTTCGCAGCCGATTCCGGCTATGAAGGTTTTCCATCTCGACCGTGGAAACACTCTCACTGTTTCTCTCTTCTCCGATGTCACCAACTCCAAGTACTCTCTCTCTCTCTCTCGATTTTCTGGGTATTTTGTTTCCCTCAATAAATAAATGTGCTGTCTTTCGGATTCTCTCCTTTTCTCCATACCCTAAGCAATGCGTGATTTGGTTATCAAAAACAAATTTTGCGTCTTCGATTGTGTTTTGTGTTATTGGTCAGATCCTTACCGGCAATTAAGCTCGAAAGTTAGTCAGAGACTTAAGGATTTACGGAAACTCTGTTTAGTTAATCTCTACGCAGCTGAAACATGTTGAATCTTCCTTGTTTTGCTTCAATTTTCTGGATTTTGAGTTGTATTGAAGAGACCCGAAACAAAAAAATTGGGAATTTGTTGTGTTTCAGTGAGCTCCTGAATTCGATGCTAGATGGAAGTCTGAAGCTGGAGGTCTCATTTCTCAATGCATCACTTGTAAGTTACATTGTTTTGCCTCCACTTTCAAATGCTTAACCGACTTATGATTTCTTCGTCTTTAACGAATTGTGTTATCAGATACCAGACATCTTTCCTCTCTTAGCTGCTGCTCAGAAAGCACTCGTCTCCAAATCACGCGATTCTTTATCAACCCGAACTCTTCATTCTGAGCTCGTCTACAATTACTCGGGATCTAAACATGTAAGCACCAACTTTGCCTGTGGTTCTTCTTAAAACCGTTCTTGTCTGTTTCCCATATGCAAAAGACACAATGGGCTTAGGTTCTACTATTGACTCAGTGCAGCAGAATATAGCTGTTATGAACTGGTTAGAGAGTCCCTCGTTAATCAAGTTTCTATGGTTTGGTGAACTTTGAAATAAGATTAGCAGTTTAGCAGTTTTTTCTCAACTTCTCTAATGTTGATGTTCATTTTTTCCCGCAACTAGATTACAGAATCATTGAAACGATGTGGGATTTCGGAAAGCTCTACTTACATTCTAGCTGCCCGTTTCAATGCTTCTCCTCTTGAGGTCATATCATCTCTTTAACCATCTAAGATCTGACTTTTCCATGTTGTGTTGCTTTTAGAATTAAAGATACAAAAATTCAATCATGACATGTTTAAAGATTAAAACCAGATGGAGGAGGTTGCGAAATTGATCAACGGAAAGGAAATTGATTTGGAGGAGTTGAAGACGCAAGCTAATCAACCCCAAATACTAAAGGTAGTATGGTTTTGGTAACAGTTAAAATCCCTTTTAGTTAGCATCATCCTATGTTATTAGAAAAATATAATAATCTCATACATTGAATCTTTCAGCATTACAAGATAACCAGCCAAGAACTCGTGATTTCCTCTCTCGGAGATGCGATTGTTTGCCGGATCGCTGCACGCGATGCTCTGTAAAACAAGAGATATGTATTTCTTTCTCTTGTCACACCAGCTATAGTTTTATTTTTCCGTTATGAACAAAGTTGACACTTCCGTTTGTAATTCTTTGCATCTTTCAGACCAAAAGTTGGTTTTATAAATTTTCTTTTAACTTCTTTATTTCCTTTTGTCACATACGTTGAACTCAATATTCTACGAGATAAACATAGAATTGACTAAAACACAACACTGAGACTACTAATTACATGTCCTTTTTTGCACAATATACTCAAAATACAAGGCACATAAATTCAAGAATCTTGCTCAATTCGAACAAATCCAGACCAGTGTCACCCTCTTCCTGCACTTAACTATAAAAACACGCCAACAAGAAAAGAGCTCAATTTATATGAATCAAACAAATTCCCTCAAAGAGTAAGTAAACTACGTCTTTGTAATCCCTTCCTCCCAAGAACTAACTAGTGGCAATTTGTTCTGAGAAGAAACAATTTTGTATCACTGGAACATATCAGCAATAGTGTTTCCTGAATCCGAGGAATCTCCATTCCCAAAATCCATCATCATCATATTCAAATATTCCTCCATATCACAGTCTCCTCCTCGCCACTGCTCTGCTTCTGCTGAATCCGCCGCGCTGGCACTCACGCTCGCATTCGTTCCGATATCGTCGGCCGCAACAGGGGAAGAAGTAGATGAAGTGTAATCCACAAACGGGAAGTTGAGTTTGGCGCGTGGCCCACGGAATCCAATAGCCGCTCGATCATAGGCTCGAGCCGCATCCTCCGCGGTTTCAAAAGTTCCGAGCCAGACGCGTGTCGCTCTCACGGGATCCCTGATCTCAGCTGCGAATTTTCCCCAAGGTCTCTGTCTCACTCCTCTGTAACCGTTCTTCTTGTTCTTCCTCTTCCTGATTTTCCCGCCTTCCGCTTTCTTCGTCGTGCTCGCAGAGCTCTCTCTTCTACTGCTGCTAACAGTAATCCCTTCTTCGTCTTCTTCTACTTCTACTACATTTATTTGTTGAGTTTTTTCAATTCTCTGATTTGGCGCGAAAAAGTAGTTGCAGCCGAGACATCCTTCGATCCTGCACACTTGGCAAGTGTCGGAAACCGACCGAGGCATTCCCGCGCTAATCACTGTGCTATCGCTGGAGAAACCCTGATACGGCGCCGTTTCGCTTTCACCTGAGATGACGTGCTGCAGGGCGGAGACTATAACCGAGAGTTCTTGCTCCGGCGACAGCTGCTCCTGCTGATACGGGTACCGGGTCCGCTCTGGGACTGGAGCTCCGACAAATCCGGGTCTGTTGTCTGGGTAATGCATTCCCAGATTCCTTTTCCTGTTAATTTCGATTTTGGATTTTTGTCGACTCTGTGAGTGTTGAAGCACCTGGAGTATGAGAAAAATTTGGTTTTCTGGTTTTGTGTTGTGTTTGGGGGAAACTGAAAGTGGAAAGAAGCTCTTATATATACGGTTCCGTGTTTTCAAATATCTATGTGGCTTGTCACTTGCCAACTGGCACGCTCTTCAGACACGCATCGTCGATTTAGTCATTTGGATATTGGAAACACGTGCGTTATTTTTTCCAGAATATTTTAGATACTGAAAATGACATTTTTTTGATATTTTTATATATTTCAATGGATTGGGTTTTTTTTTATATGACATGACACACATAAAGTTGTTATTTAAACATAAAGTATATGAATCATTTTCATCATGTGTGACGCTTTTTAAAAACCGCTTTTGTGTTAAGTTGTTTAACTATTATTATTTGTAGCGCTTATGTTCGTTTTCACACTGCTTACAATTAAATTTAAACATGATTAATTGGTTAAAGCATCTTAGGTACATTAACTTAGAATAAATCACGTGCTGTTTTAACCTATCATTTCGCCTGTGCTAGTTGAGCAATTGTCTTTCACATTCATCCCTACATGGAAAGATCAATTTGTCTTTCCAGATGACTAGATCCATCTTCTCAAAACTCAAAAGCATATCTATCTTTTGTCGTTTTATACTCTAGTACGTCGAATCAATCCAACAACATTTTTTTAGACTTATGCCAATAGACATGTGTAACATTGTTCATTTTATTAGCATGAATAAAAATAGTCGTAGTGAACTTTGCTAAAAAGTTCACTTTTTAACGAACTATACTTTGATTACCAAATTGATTTTCTATGAACTTGATGATTCAACGATGTGACTTTAAATCCTTATAATATCTAAATTTCTAAGTTTGATTTATCAAGAATTTTCTATTGGAAGACGTAAATTACTAAAAATAAAAACGTAAGTCAATTTATTTACTGTCAATTTGGAAATTCATCAAACTTAACATAATACCATGGCCATGTTTGGCCCGGATATTGTGTATTTGCCGAATTTAGAATGGTGTTCGACTCAAATTAAACTACAAAAATGATCATCCTGATCAGACACATGGAAAAAAATGTTATGATGAATTGGTTTTGAATTGAAATTCATAAAACTTAACATTATTATACATTGTCGATATATAGGTTTTACAACATTAAAAATTCAAGGTTGTCTTTAAGATATACGTATTATCACCACTCTTTGGCATATGCATCCACTCTATCTTACTTCAAATCATAGTCTTTAACCTAATAAACTTTTTTTTGAACTTTTTCGTAACCTAATAAACTTCAAACCAATGTTTTGAAAACCATAGTCATACATAATTATTTTCCGAACTTTTCAATTGGTACAGTTGATTTATGGTCAATAGTTAGTCAGCTATGTATATGAGTTTTCAAAAGTTATTTACATAAAAATCAGGAAAAATCATATTTCGAAATACTTATATTTGTAAGTTTACATTTCCACTTACTAATTAGCATACTTTAATTCCATGAAAGAACAATGAATAATAACAAACAATTCAGTATATTTTGTTCATCATAGATCCATGAAATCGAAGTTTAAAGTGAGAGAGACTATATGGGAAATTCAACTAATATGAGAGAAAATGACTTTATATGGGAAATTCAACTAATATGAGAAAATGGAGTGGAACTTGTCAAAAGTAGTGAATGAAAGCGAAGGGTTCGACTGTTTTTCTCTCAGATACTCCAATGATTTTATAATTTTTGGTGGGGTCAAAGATTTCAATGATTTAGAAGTTGAAGTGGATATCATGACGCTGAGCTGGCATGTGGATTCACTAAGCTCTTACGTCACTATGTCACTGTGTTGACCATTCTCGACGCTGACCCACCACGTCTACGCTATCTAGACTCTAGACTCTCTTCACGCTGACCTTTGATTATTATTTTCTCTATTTGGTCTTCTTTCACTTTGTCCCGTAGCCAATAAACTACATAATTGACTTACTGGATATCAAGGAGCCAAACTAATATATACTGCACTTTTTATATATATAATATATATAGAAATTATGAAACTTATCTTATTTATTTATAAAATGTACAGTATTTTATTTAGAATTTTGTTTGTTTGTTTGTTAAAATGTATATTGAAAAGTTATTTCAAACCATACTTTACCAGCATGTTGACTTATCTTATTATAATTTCGGGTTATATATTTTTTTTTATAAAAAATAGAATTCTATCTACAAGTTTTAGTTCACCTAGCAAGTAGTATATATCTTGTACATGTGATCTCAGCAATTTGACACGCACTCAGTTTCATTATGTAAGATGCATCAGAAGATTTTTTTTTTTGTTTCATTCTATTTGATTTTTTTTACAAATTTTAATACAAAGTAATATAAATGTAATTTAATTTAATATTTGATGATCACTGATATTCTTCAACATTTTAATTGATTAAAATATACTAATTAGATACTAAAATGACATTTTTAAGGTAAAAAATATAAAAAAATATAGAATTTCTTTACTTTTAAAATCTCCGCTTTTGAATTATAACCAAAAAAATTTATATAGATTTTAGTATAGCATTTATTGTCCCGAAAGTTAAGGCATCACTATTTTCTTCTTTTCATATGCCTGAGTTATCCACTATATATTATTTGAGAAGTAACATTATTAAAAATAGCTGACTTGTCAACATTATAGCAAAAGTTAGTGCTTTTAATTGATGACATGTAAATGTGACATGTCAAACTTTCTAAAATAAATGAAATGTTTTGCTTGGTTGAATTAAAATTAAAGAACTTATGAAATTAAAACATAAAACACTAGATTATACTTATAACATTAAAATTAATAAATTTTAAATTAACAGAAAATAATTATTATTATGATTTTAATATTTTATATATATTCATAATTTCATAAAATATAACTAAAAATGTTTTCAACAAAAACAATATATATATATGAAATTGAAAAAATAATACTAAATTATCTAATAGAATAGTAAAGATTTTATATATTAATAATGTTTGAATTATGATATATTTTTATTTTGGAAAGTTATTAATTTACAAAATATAGTAATAACATCTAAACAAGTTTTAAATAAACAAGCTATTAAATAATACAATTTCAAATAAAATACAATCATGAGAAAAATAATTTAAAGAATAAAATGTTAAAAATAATAAAAATAATCAACTTTTATTGAAATTTTAAAAAAATGTAATTTAAAATAAATTTTCTTTTCAAACCAATATTTACTAAATGAATAAAGTATATACTAATTATTATTTTATAATATAAATAGGACCATATATTTTTATAAACTTTTATCACATTTTTATTGTTGTTTTCTAAAATATACATAATTTATATCACCATCTCATCTTATCTCTTATCATATTTTAAATATAAAAAAATTATATCATATTCATATATATATTCGTAATTTTTTATTGTATATCAAAAATTTGAGATCATAAATGAAATAAAAAATAACCAAAAAAATAATAAATTAAAATAAGATAAAATAAATATAAATAAGAATTAAAAATAAAAGTGTATAAAAATAAATCTCTTGCACTTTGTTTTACAAAGTCACGTAAAAACTTTTTAACATGTAAGAGCCATATTTCGACTTTTTATAAAATATGCGTACATACATAAATATTAATTGTGCATTAGTAGAAGTCACATGAACTTTTTGTGCATGTTAGTATTTGTTAAGCTTGATTACAGTCTAATTTATATTTTAATTTTTATAGTACAATTTATTTTTAAAAAAAAATCTTTATCTATTCTAAATGTAGTGAGGTGGTTGGTATCCCCACACATGCATGTCAACTATCTATCCGCTTTTAGGATAAGTAAAAATGGTAAAAACTATTTAAGTTTAATTTATAATAAAGAAAAAAAATACCTAAAAATATATTATATATGTATTCAAATTCATATTATGTAAGATGTAAAAAATTATTGTAGATTGTGTAAGGCAAAATAAAACATATTATAAATAATATTCAAAAATATTATAAGAATTTAATTATTATTTAATATAACTTTTATATATTTGATTATATATTATTACAAATTTCATAAAAATAAAAAGTTTTTAAAATACATTAGTTTCAGAAATAAGTTATGAAATACGAAAACAATATATATATATATACAAACATACTAATGTTTTAACTATGTGTATCAAAAATATTATATCCGCACATATGTACGGGCCAACCACCTAGTTACTCCTATAAACATTGATGTCTGCAAAAATATTCAAAAATTTGGTTACTGTGTTTGTGAAAAAAAAACAGTTTTAGTGATTTTTACAATGTACAAAAACTTTTTTTTTAATTACGAATAAAAATACGTATGTATCAAATGTACGCAAGTTTGTGAGTTAGACGGCAGGCTGCGATACAAGCTAAAAAAACAGATGCATACAAAATAGGAACGAGAAGTAGAAAGCAAATCTTTAGCGAAAAAAAAAATACAAAAGAGAAGTAGAAGCATTAGCCACCAAAGGCAGAGAGGCACGTTAAGCACGTGCATAAATGATTAGAACACGTTTTTTGCGCTGACCAATGTTTCCCTTCATAATCTCGCCGCGTCATTACTTTTTCACTTTATCTTCTCTTCATTTTTTTTTTGTTTTCTCCTTCCACTAACCAATTAGAATCTATGGATTAGTACTAATCACTAATCTTACTACCTTGATATTTTTAATTGATAGCGATCCCCAACTCTTTAACCTTTTACCTTTTTTTTTTTAAATGCATTTTTCATGGCTTATGAAAATTCATCAGCTCTGATTTATTAAATATTATAAATACCTCAGCAGGTAGAAACCGTCCATTTGAGATGAACGAATAATAAAATATGTGGATCGAGTACATGTAAAGTATGGTAATCAAATTTACTATCCGGAAGTATTTTTTGTGGATCGAGTCTCTCTTCCTTTCAGCGAGTATCATTAAATTTCTTAAAATCTATCACTCAGTTAGTTGAGATTGGGTTCGACATTTTACATCCAATCTATACCTTTTGCAGTTCATGATCAAACTCCAAAGCAACAAATGTTTTTTTTTTTTTTTTGTTGAGAAAGGATTTCAAAACAACAGATGTTGGAGGCGCATTCTTCAAGAAGATCAAACGTAAACAAACAGATTCTATTACACTAGTTTAACATTTCATTCGTTACTAGGAAATGGATATATAAAAGTATCTGCTGGTAGGAAGAAACTACAAACATACACAAACGTTTTAAGATAAATCATAACCGCACTCATAGTCTAACAGACAATATAAAGTCAAAATATAAAGTTGTTTGAAATCGACCAAGCCAGGTTCTCTCTCACATAGTTCTTAAAAACGTTTATAGATCCTTTTCACGTACGATGTGAAGTCTCACAGCGTAAACCAAACATCCTTTTCGAAACAGCTCACACAAGACTCGATCCCTTTCCTTCACTTTGTTCCTCTTGCAGATGCGGAACCATCTTTTGATACACACACGCTTATCACCCCACGTTAATGCACCCGCTACAAGATTCCCCTCTTTGTGATTGTCGATGTACTCAACTTTTTTTTGAAACTCCAAGGAATAATCCTTCACCACTTGTCTACAAACTATCTGCATTAAAGGTACACAAAGCAAACATAAACGTTAATTTAACAGCCTTAAGTTATAAAAAAAAAAAATATATATATATATATATTATATACATATAAAGAAAATCTACTGCAACTCTTTACCAACTCAGATTTCCTTTTCTTCATGGCTGTCTCAAAATATACATTCTTTGGATTATCCAAATATGACTCCGGATTTTTGATCTTGGGCCTTACTGTAAGGATAAAACATTTATGTGTAAGCATCACACGAATTAATTAATGACCTAGAAGAGACAATTGCTGAAATTAGTCATTAACTCTCGAGTTACCTTTCTTCATCCTTGTTGAGCCTCCTGAAAAACCTCAGGGCAAATAGCATTATTTTAGATAAACACAAGCTGATTAAAGTGGTGAAAGCTGATAATTTTGTATTTTACCTCCCTTCTTCAGATTCTGAGCCTTTGGTTTGACTCCAGTGGCTGTGTCTTTGCTATCCGAAGCATACCAACTCTCACTGTCGGAACTTTCTTCTAAATCCAAGCGATCAAAAGATTCAACGTAATCGCTGTCACTGTCTTCAGCAGAAGACTCCACAGCTTTCTCTTTCTTCTTTCCTGAAAAAAAAGCTCAACAAACAAAACAGGGTTTTGTCTATATCAAGCAATCCTCATAAAACAAGCCAAGTAGATAAGTACACTGACGAATAATGCGTTGAACCTTTGTTTCTGATTCTCGGGATTGTTTTGGCCACCTTCAATTCAGAACAAGAGTCTGTTTCAGTTTCAGTTTCAGTGTCAGTGTCAGTATAAACACTGTCTTCCTCGTCGTCAGACTCCTCCACACCACTTTCGCCTTTCCTGGAAGAGAGAATATAACTGCTTCTGTGTGTATAGTAATCACATAGACAACGGCCAAAGGGATGACAAAATAAAGCCAACAAACCTTTGTTTGTGTCTCTCACGACTGTTGTATCTGTGTCATCATCGCTGCTTAGAGACACAATACTGTCTTCTTCGACATCCTCCACTTCAGTCACTGCTCTAACCTCTTTACATCCACTAAGGCCATATATGCTGACCTCGAAAATACGGTCTCCATCATAGACGAAGGTCATAAAGTCTCCGTCGATAAGAGAATTGTCTTCCACGAACTAGACCCAGCCTTGTCCAAAATAAACCTCATCTTGCTTCTTTATCATCGCCACGTTCCATGAGCAACCACCGGTTCCTTGAAGAAGTGCCGTTTTGGGCAAACGGCGTGGGAGCTCGTCGTAGTAGGAAATGGGGATTAGCTGCTCAGCAAAAATGTTTTTAGCAAAAACTGTTAACTTCCTCTAAAACCATAAACACTCTGAGAGATGAGCAAAGACACAAAGGTAGAGACTTTAAAATCCAACTCCGAAGGAAACCTCTCTCTGTAACAGAGGCTATCCACAACAAAAAGGTTTGGTTTTTCCATAACAAGAATTACAGTCTTTGTTGATCAATCCGTAGGAACAGTTAAATTGTTCAAAATAGGTAAACATTTTAATCAGCCAGATAAACTCACATTTAGCTCCAATAAAAGTAAGCACACAGACAAAGCTTCAGAAACCAAAACATTTGAATATCTATAATATCTCAACAGATACACTCATAAGCAAATCTGACTAAAACTACCATATTTTAAACATCTCTAGTGCAAAAGTCCACGAATGAAACTGATTCATGTGTAAAAATAACATCTTTACCTTTTTCCCATAACTAAAAATTGAATAACTTTAACAATTAGAAGGAGAGCAAAATGGTTGAAACAGAGCAAATCCCATGGAAGACAAACAAAAACAGAAAAGAGATATCGATACAAAAGCAAGCAAAAAAAGAAGCCAACGCAATTCATTTGTACATATTTATGAACAGAAAAACTAACCAACGAACAAATCTGAGTAAAACTACCATATTCAAACATCTCTAGTGCCAAAGTCCGTGAATGAAACTGAGTCATATGAAAAATAACATATTTGCTTAAACAAAACTAGAAATGTAACAACTTTACCACACAGAAGTACAGAACAGAAGAAAGCAAAAGGGAGAGAAACTATGTTACCATGGAATCGGAGCTGAAATCGGAGATGAAAACCTTAAAGAAGCGCGGAGGAGTATCAGTGGCAGCCATTGCTAGAGGATGTTGGAACTGTTTGAAAGAGAAGATAGATTCTTCAGGGAAAGGTCTGTGATTGAAAGGAAAAATGGCAACAGAGAGAAGAGGGAAAGAGAGAAGGAGAGAAGAGAGTGAGCCGTGTGAAGGATGCAGAGAGAGAGAGAGAGGTGATGTTTTGTTACAATTTGACCCCCTAGACAATTTTCAGAAGAAACTCATAATTCCTAATAAATTACGGTCAGAGAAATTATTTTTGTTTGCTTATCCTCTGATATGATGTTTCAGAACCAAAAATAAAGATAGTAAATTATTTAAGCATTCATGTAATTTTTATGCATTTACTGTGACACATCTACCGAGCCGGTTTAAACAAAGTTATTTTAAAAAGAAAGTATTTATGTGAAATTTGTGTTTTGTCTTGTCTTGGATTGGCCAAGGAAAGAAAAACCCTGTATTTGTTTTCGTTCGTCAGACTCAGACAGAAACCCATTAAAATACTATTTCCATCTATATCTTCTCTTTTTTGGTTTTGAAAAAAAAATCATTTATCAAGAACTTATTTTTCCTAGAGACCTTTAAATGCAACTAGATATATGCGCGGGGGATAGTTTTCATTATTCATTTGAATGTTTGATTATTCATTTGAATGTTTATCACTTTATTTCTCCTTTTTTCTTTTCCACAAAAATCAAATCACATGTATGTTGTTCCTTCTCCTCCTACACGCACGCATCATCATACAAACAAATTACATACACTCACACAAATTATGTAATTCCCACAGTAAAAGAAAAGGAAAAAAAAAGAATTTTCAAATTTGGAAGAATCAAGAGGATAAGCTGGCGTCGATGCTAGTAGTGGACATCTCTTGGAACATGGAAGTTTCATCAACATGCCACTTGAGAATCTCTCTCGCATACCTCAGTGCATTGTCCACAGTATCACTCTCCAAGCTCACTTGAGAAACAAACAGCTTCGGCTTAAAGGTCCTCCCACGCATCGAAAAGGGTCCCACGAGCGAGTCATACAGTCTCTTGAACTGGAACCCGATGTAATGAAAAGCACGCTGCGCCATCGGAGGGTTGTGTCTGCTCGTCTGGTTCTGGCTGATCAACGGGTTGAAGTCTTCGAACCACTCACAGGTTCTTAGAGGAACCTCCTCGATTTTCTCCTCTAGGAGATCGAATTTGGTTAGAACCAGATGGAACCTTTTGTTAGCTAGGCTAGGGTGAGTCACCATGCTCTCAAAAAGCTGTTTGTTTGCAATCATCTTGTTCACAAGAACCCCGTCACCGTCTTCTATGTACTCTCCATAATCTGTTAGTGAGACGCAGAATATCACCAAGTCAGCATCTTCAAACATTTCCAGCCATTTCCAGTTTTCTCCAAGGCTTCTTGGATTTAACCGGATGAGTTGGCACCTAGCGAGAGAAAGAGAAGGAGAGACAGAGTAAGTCCAGCGATTTTTCATATACAGTTGGAATGCAAAACACAAGGAAAAAGAATAGAACTAACTTCATGTTTGGATCGTGCTGATAATCGGTCTCAAGAGAGTCTTCTTGAGAAGTTGGTGGGAATGAGAACTCCACGCAAGAAAGTCCTTCCATAGACGAAAGTCCTTCCGCTTGCAATATGTCCATATCAGAAGGTTCGTACTCTGATCTCGATATCTCAAGAATCTGATAAGTAGGAAACAAATTCAAGTCAGCCTTCTTTCTTCCCCCCTGATAGACAAGAAAGCATTTGATCTAAAAGAAACTCACTCGTCCAAGAAAATAAACAGCGTTTCTGGGAAGTGTATCACGAAGTCTTTTGTAGGTGGCTTGAATGGCTGGTACTCTCCAGAGATCTGCAACGGTCTGTGCATTCTCGCGGCTTGATGCTGGAAATATCTTCAGGTTTCCTTCTTCCTTTTCTTTCAGAAGCCAATCTGAAAAATGTTTCAGTCTCGGGCTGATTGAGCTAACTGTTTGAGCGCTGATCTCATCTACGGTATTGCCTAAATCGCAAGAAATCGATCAGTGTCCCTCAATAATCAATTTTGTTAATCGATGAGTTTGTACGGTCTATAACTGTACCTGTTTGGTCCGAGGACTGGTTATTGTTCATCTCTTCTTCAAATCTTTCATGGGCCTCAAGAATCATCGCCAGATAAGCATACAGATTTGTTTGGATTATGAATTTGATTCTTTCACGCTCTTCTTCAGAGAATGGGACTTCATAGAGTGACCTTGCCTGAAACAAAACAAGTCAGTACCAGAATCTCTACTAAATGTGAAACATTCGAGTGTGTGGCATTAAGATGAATAATATTACTTGTTTGTACATCGTAGTGGCGCCACATTTCTCGTTACCAATCAGAAGAAGTTTGTTAAGCATTTTCGGCTTATAAATATCTTCATCGTTTGATTTTACTGCAGATGAAGTCGGAGGAATAGGAAGAGATAAGACAGCACAAGCAAGCCTAGCTCTGACCTTCTTCTTGGTAAGTTCCATCTTCTTGGTAGGTTCCTTCTGAATTGACCCAAAAATGAGGCTTTCCTTCACAAGCAAGCACAAGCAAACCTTAGGCTTCGAAAATCATACCTTATTCCAAATGTTCCCCATGACACGGTTCTGACCTTCTTCTTGGTAATTTCCATCTGAATCGACCCAAAAATGAGGCTTTCCTTCACACTGCACCCCCACCATCTACACCAAAGTAAAGGGGCATTCACATTCACATAATACTTAAATGAGAACGATAACTCTAATGAATGCTTAAGGTTGTCCAGAAAAAGAACCTTGAGCATCATGAGCTCTGACTTGGTTATTTGCCGGTTGTTAATGAAAATCTCCGTGTCACCATTGCTTGCGTTCTCCCTAATGTTACTACCTCCTATGTTAATGTGAGGAGTTATAATCTGGCAAGGTTTCTCTCCTACCTGTAGTGAATACCTCTGATTCAGCTGAGCATTCAAGATAGAATAAGCCTTAAAATATAATAGACAGAGAATTATAAAAAAAATTCTACCTTTCCCCAATAGCCAGCAACCTTATCATACCAATAGTCCCCTGGTTTTAGCTTTTTGGGTGGTATTGGACAAGTCTGCAAAGTGTAAAGCTCTTCTTCACTTAAAGGCTTGTCATTGACAGCAATGAGCCGCGAAGGCAACTGATTCGCCTTGCAGGAGGTCTCGGCGCTCATGACTTGCTGAAGCTCTGAATCCGTGAGAAGGCGCTTCAGCATTCGTGAACACTTCCCTAGGCTCCCTCTCTTCGACTCAATGATTCTCCTTCCGATGCAAGACTGACACTTTCTTCCTTCGGGCATCGCACCCATGGCTCTCCGCACACAGTTGAAGCAGTACTTGGCATCGCACACAATGCAGACTTCCTTCTCCATGAACCGGTTCCCCGCCAAGCATCGGTAGCACGACCCTCTTTTGCCTTTCCTCTCGGCTTTAGGCGTTGCAGCTATACTTTCCCCATCGGAAATGTAAGAGCTTTCATCGCATTCACTACCCTCACTTGGCACAGCGAACTTCACACGGTTCACAGGTTCGTCATCCGCCTCCACACCATTAGAACAATCAGAAGCTCTTAAATCATCTAATGCATCCTCTCTTACTTCTGCGAATGATGATGATGAAGATGGTGGCGATAGCGGTAACTCAACCGAGCTCTTGGCTTCTTCTGCTACATCCAACCTCTTTGAAGACGATGATGATGATGACGATGAGCCGGAAACCACATGACGCCCTTTCAGAACCACACTAGAACCAGCTGCGGAATCAACCAAACCGTTCTTCTTCTCGGGTCCAGATTCAGGTGGCTTCTTGCTAACCTTATTAGTCCTAACGAAGGGTTGTACCACAGGGTAAGAGACACCACGGGACAGTGAAGAGAACGAAACGGGAAGAGCCGTGGGAATCTCATCAACTTCGACGGGATTAGCTCGTGGCACATTAGCAATGTAAGGGCCTTTATACTCGTGTGCGAATGAATAATCAATTTGGAAACTATTGCTATTTTCATCACCATCTTCACTATCGCGATTATCCTTTTTTGGGATCGGTGACGCTAAAGGTAGAAACTTTCCAAAAACTGCTGCCATCTTCTTACCGAATTCAGCACAATCAATCACACACAAAAAAACAAACCCCTAATTCCTAGAAAATTCCCTAAATCGGAAACTATTTATCGCAGCAATTAGAGAAAAATCATGAGTTGTGTTGTGCCCAAGGGAGTAAGATTAAAGACTTAAATAATCAATCAGTCACAAACCGCGTGAACGAGAGAACCCAGCTCCATAAATAAATTAAATTGATCACAGAAAGCTCCTTTAGCTAAAGAGACGACATTCGAATTTTTAATACAAAGAGGAAGAGATTTTCCGAGAAAGTGGTAACGGGAGAGGAAAAAAAAGGAACAAATCAATTTCGCGGGGAAAGGAATTGAAGAAGTGAACAAAAAGAAGAAAGACAGATGGTTGGATCGTCTCCTCACTGGTAAAAGACGAAGACTGGACAAAAAAAGGAAGACTTTCTCTTCGTCTTTCTTTTCTCGGTACCAAAAGAAAAATTGAAGTTATTTTCCGGGAAAATTCTCGCCGTCAACGCGGGTTGAGAGTTGAAAACGATGCGTTGCGAAAGGCGTTGAGAGGGTCAAAGAGAGGGTATTTTCGTAAACCGTCTTCATTCGCATAATAATGTTCGAATAACCGGAATTACGCGCGGTTAAGAGGAAACCGGAGGACTTTGTTTTCTATATTAAAAACTTTAAATTTGTTATGGAAATGTTTTCGGTTTAGTGATTGATTCCGAAATTAGTATAATCCAGAATTTAAGTTTTCGAATTTGGGATTTTTGACAGAAGTAAATCTTCTTTTTGCCGTGTTCTATATATATAGAGTTGTTCACTATGGTCCCTAGTGTTAGGAATCTGATAGGTCTACATGGGGTATAGGTTTCAACTTTCAATGATTCAGTCGTACTCTTTTTGCAACGTATAAGCCCAAACAAACAAAAATCTACAAATATTTCTTTTTGCAATAATTGTTGTAGACTTGTAGTTAACCATGGAATAAAGTTTATATGATTAATTAGCTAGTGATCACATGAGTGTATGTCAGTATGTGTACAGTGTATATTAAAGAGTATGTTCTCTCGTTTATCATAAAGATAGATTTAAGGTCTAAAAGGTAACTGCAAATTCACAAAGACTTTGGGTGGATATTTGGTGGTGAACACTTGTTAATATAAAAATATATGCAGATTGTTTAAAAGATATTTACTGAAGAAAAAATAGGCCTATTGGTTCAATCACCACGAAACACACATAGTTATATATCTCTATATGTCGGGAACAAATGATGCCTTGAACTTAGTTTACTTAAGAGACATTTTATATTTTGCTCTCTAACATTAGAATTTCTACAAACCTCTTACAATACGTTATCAAGATCTGGTTGCCGAAGAAAAAAACATTTTGTTTTATTTTATCAAGAACCTAGAAAACGACTCAGCAAATTCCAAATTATAAAGTTGCAAGCAAGCACGACATAGAATAAAAAGGTAAGCAAATATGTTTGATTCATTCTTTGTTCTTGTTTATTTTACAAATTTAGGGAAAAAATAATTGATACAATTTCGTTTTTAAACATTTTTTTCCATTTAGGAAAACAAAAGATGCAAAACTCGTTATACGTGAAAACCATCAACCCCACATTGACTCCATCACCAGCTGACATGGCACAAACCTGTTCGTTGACTTAGTCATAAAATTGGAAACAATCATTCGACTCTTTCACCGGCGTGTAAGACGGTCATCGTGACTGATCAACGACGGGACATTTTTCGTAAATAATCACACTATGCTCCACCATCTCTTTTTTTTCTTATTTCTCCAACTCGCGTAAACTCCACGCGCCACTCCCTTCGTGCGGAGACGAAGAGCTCTTCCGCCCAGAAGCAGAAGATGCTCCTGGCTCGTCCATCTCCTTCCACGTGGCCATCCTCTCCGACACGCGCCACACTTTCACCGACTTGTCCAAACTTCCGCTGTATATAATCCACTTCCGGTCTCCCTCGGCGACAGAAGAGGCTTTTGCTCCCTTATGGCAAGCTCGTTCCTCCTCCACGGCTAAACACTTGACGGGTCCCATGTGGCCCGTCAACACAGACAGACACTGATGAGATCCGTCGGACGCTTCCCGCCTCCAGACACATATGTTCTTGTCGGCCGAACCACTCAACAACAAGTTCCCCGCCACAGCGAGGCATAGCACGGCGGATTTGTGCCCTTTTAGTGTTCCGCCGACGAATATACGCTTTGAACGCTCCCAGTAGTTAACTAGTCCGTCCGAGGAACCGGAATATACGATTGAAGACTTTAATATTACAGCCAATGCCGTGACCGCGTTTTCTTGCTTGAGCAAAATTTGAACCAACACGTGCCTCGTTCCTTTGCCTTGCATCTCACGCTTCCACACTTTAACCGTGCCATCCGCGGATCCCGTGAACACAAAGTCATCGAAACCGGACATTACCGAGTTTATCGCGTCATCGTGCGCATGTATCGATTCCAAACATTTCGAATCCGAGATTCTCCACACTTTGATCGTCGTGTCCCAAGAACTAGAGTACAACAACCCAAGCTCCACGTCTAGGCTAAGACTAGATACGGCGTCGTTATGCTTCGTCTTCACGGAGTTTTTGTTGCGGCGTACCTCCATGAAATGTTTAGGGTTTACGGAGCTCTTGACCATAGATTTAAACGTAGGCAATGTTCCAACCCGTTTGTGCTTTCCCGGTTTTCTCTTCGAAATCTTCCAAACCCTGATCTTCCCGTCCTGGTGGCCCGTAAAGACCCGGTCTCCGTATATCACAATGGCCTTGATGAGCCCACTACTTGATTTAAACCCCGCGTAATCCTTCAAATTCTTCCAAACCCTAATGTTCTTCGAGTCCGAGCCCGTGTAGAGAAGATCACCAGAAGCGGCTAGCGAGTATATATGCCCTTCTTCACGTACGATAGAGCCAATGAGGCCATTGGTCTCGAGGACATTAATGTCTTCATTGAAATTATCAGCCCAAGGAGGCGACACGCGGGCCCAAGGCGACATTACGCAAGGAGAACCTTCTCCGCTGGCCGGACCGCTGCTCATGGTCGAGGCCGAGACGCTGCTAAACCGTTGGTGAGTTAAGTTGGCGTTGACAATGATGGGATCTTCGGGAGGGAATATTCCGTCATGGTCGGCTTTCAAGAGATCACCAAATTTAGGCCTCGGTTTGTGACCATTATCGCTAAGGTCGTGGCTGAGATTATGGCGATGGTGATTGTTGTTATATGGACCCGTTTGGAGATCAACGACCATGGTACCACCTGTTTCGTTCCTCATCTCTTTCTTCAAATCTTTGTCACAAAAGTCAAATGCTTGGTTTTTTTTTTTGAAAGAAAGGTTATAGAATAATGATAAAATCTCTCCTTTCTTTTTCTTTTGATTTAGGGGTTTTTTTTGGGGGTTGTGATGGCTATGAATAAGAAAGTTGAGAGATAATGTTTGTTTGTAGATTTTGGTTGGCAAAGAGGTACAGAGATTTTTATGGAGATTTTAACGGGAAATTGGAAGGTCTAGAATATATTTTGACTTTTGAGAAACAAAAAAAATTGTTACGTCAACGACTCTTGGGGAATTGTTTATGGGTTGAGGATATTTGATCTTATAAATGCACACTTATATACACAAACGAAATATCAAAAGATTGGTGGTCGTTATGTGATATGTGGCGGGGTGCTTCACACGTGGTTGTTACTAGAGGAAGCTTCTATGATATATCTCAAAAGTATATTATACTAAGCTTACGAACTACTATTATATTTTCTCTTCAAATTTTGTTTTGTTGGGTTTTACTTTTACATATACTCCATTGTACATTGAATTAGAACGTTATATGAGGTTACAGATACATCGGAATATTGGGCACGCAAGCCGAAAGGTACTTAAATCTCCTCCATAGCTTTACTGCCTAAAAACACCTTTTTGTTTTTGTTTCGTTGAACGAATGTACCGTATCGTCAAGCATTTGTTGTCCTTGTCCCGTAAGGCCACAACACTTTAAATATATCATCCATTCATATAAATAATTCTTATTAACGAATTTTAATAATCAAGCATATCAAGAGACTATACACACCACTTGATATGATTAGGCAAATTGTTTTAGGCATGTTTCCACTATTTATTAATTGTTAACTATATGTATATGCTTATCTTCATTAAATTGGCCTTTTACATAATAAATCGCTCTTTTGTTCTTGCTACAAAGCTGCTTCGTAGTATTATTATAATGTCTTTGTAATTTGTATCCTTCTAATTCAAAATATTGAAGTTGTTAACAATCGTAGTTCTTTTGTGGGTAATGGTTTTTTCTAAATTAAAATTGATGGAACACAAGGATAATTGCTGAATTTTCATTAGCTATTATAAATTAGCGACAATTAGCTCTCTTGATTTGCAAGTTTACATTTGAAAGGCATTGAGAAGCACCTGAGTTCTTAGGCTTATACAGAGATCTCTATGTATTAGAAGTCTAGAACAAGGAAAAATAGGCCTTAACTAAAGTTGTATAAAAAAAACTAAAAACTAAAAGAAAGAACATAAATGTTTCAGTCACGAATCTTGAGAAAGATTTCGCCAAACCCTTTTTGCTATGTCATATCATTTGGACAAAACAAAACAAAAAGGATTTGCGTTGAGTTTTGACCGTCAGTTTTGGTCGATGAAATCAGGTGGCAAGTTCAAGTCCAATAAAGTGACTTTGCTGTTTAGAAAACTTCCATCTTTCTTGAGACGTTTCTGTGAAGAAGAGCTAATGGTGTCTTCCGAGCTCCTTGATCCAGAAGCTTTCTCAGCCCTCGATGTCTCTCCTGTATAAAGAACACAACAGCTCACTGTGATTTGATTCACTTTTTCATTACGATACTAATGTTATGATCAATCACATAATCAACCGAGAGTTAAATTACCGCTTGTACCACCACCACTACTATCCAAAGGTTTAGAATTCCAGGAAGCATAAAACTCAGCTGCTTGTTCGATCCCCTTTGATCTGTAAGGTGCAATGTTGTGAATGCCGCATTGGAGAGAACCGAGCAGGTCGTTCTCGATGCACTCGTACATCTTCTTGCAGAGGCTATCGACCACAGCAGACAAATTGATGATGTGAATCCTTATACCCACGACTTTGTCCTCGCTGAATTCATCAAAGGGCTCCTCCAAGAACTGTGAAAGCTTCTCAACGTTACCCTCAAGCTGCTGCTGCTGATCCTCAAACAGATTCTTCTTAATCTCTCTCTCCTTAGGGCTCATCTCATCTTTGAACAGCTCCTCACCAAACATGTAATACGCGAAAGCATACGAGTATGAAAGAACCTGTCTTGATCTGAATAACCGGTTGAGTCCATTGGTGACCCAGCTGAAGTCTTTAACCTCCAACTGCTTCCGTTCCAACTTGGACACTTTTACACGGATGGTATCCCTAAGTTTATCCTCTAGCTTTGATGAATCCATATGTGCTTTGTATCTGTGATGATAATGTGTATACCTATCTAAATCCCTTTTCGCTCTTTCCATCTGCTTCTCTTTGTCATCTTTGTACCGACCACAACTGTGACCAGCGATACTTCTGTAAGTGTGGCTTATTCCAGTAGCTCCACCACATAACCAACTGTACAAAAAACAACAAGCAAACATGAGACACGCTTCACCATTTAACAATTACCTTGGACAAATAAAGAGAAAGCAAGGCTAGAGTTCGTACCAAAAACACTGTCCACAGATACACCTTACGAGATTGCATCCGCCATTCTTTTCCACAGGTTTGTAACATTTGGGACAGAGCTTCGTGTGAACGGTTATCCAGTTCACCGTCTCCGACTCATCTCGACACTTCTTTCTCCACATCTCCCACATCAAACAGGAGCATGGGGAGTGGGCTTGGCACATACAGCTGAAACAGAACTGATTACCACAGGAACACTCCACTTCGCACAGCTTGTCATCCTCGGCTCGTATCGCATTCCCACAATGGGGAGCGCTTGGACACCACTTGACCATTTTGTTGTCTTCGATGTATGACTCGACAAGGAAACGGTCAAACTTCTCAGCTAGGTCCGGACGCTTTTTACTCACTAGCGTCCTGACAACATCCTCATCACAAATAGCATTGCATTTATGAGCCATGCATCTGATCCTTTTGCTCTGCCCTTCGTTTATCTGCACAGTAAAATGCTCCGTCCAACCTAAACCAAGCAAAGAAGAGCGTCAAATCATACATCCCACCTCTGCGATAGTTAATACAAACCCCAAAGACTTTGACACTCACAGTTATTGCAAAAGCAATGGCCACAGTCCATTCTCGTCATCTGATCACCTGGAACATCCTCTATGCAGACATCACAGCTCATCGTTGAAGAGCTAGAAAAGGAAGAGCTGCCACATTGATGATAGTCGAACACAGTAACACCAGCTCCAGAAAACAAGCTATCCTTTCCTTTCTCAACAAACACAGCGAACAGCTTCTCCACATCCCACTGGTAATGAATGAGAAGAGTCCGCGCATGGTGCTCCTTGACCGATAACAGTTCCATCACCCTCTGCAAATCTTCTCTCTGCATCAGGAAGAAAAAAACAAAAACCCAACCAATTCAGAGTTTTCAAACCGAACACATAAGAAGAAAACGTTCTGACAAAGAATCATCTCTGCCCATTTACCTGTGCTGCCAGAAGCGAGTCCTGCGTGATGACCTGCAAAAAAATGGTTGATAGATTTCAACTGATTAAAGTAAACTGTAGCTACAGAGAAAAAGAACCCTAATTTGAAACAGAGAGAAGGAGAGACCAATTGTCCAATGAATACCAGATTTCATAATCCTATACAAAAGGATGAAGCTTTGAACAAACTGTGAGAATTCAGATGATCAACCAATACCGCGAACCCACAATTGCAATGAAACCATCGAAATTCACTTATAAAAAGTTCAAAAAATTTCCCCAACACAAAAAAATCCGGTAGAAAAGAGAAGCATCGATAACAAATAACAAAGGACTGAGAAGAAAAGAGATGGTCGAAGCGAACGAAGGAAGGAGAGTGTGTAGGAGAGAACCTGAGTGGCTGATCTTTGGGAAGAGAGAGGCTGCAAATCGGACTCTTCGTTATCAATTCCGTCAAAAGACTCCTGATCGGAGGAGTAATAGCAATCCTCTTCATCCGCGGTGAAATAATCATCCATTGATCACAATTATGGAATCAACGATTATGATGAATAAGTTTAATAAGAATCAAATTATCGTTGTAAGCTCGTCTAAAGAAAGGCGGAGGCGATCAACGAGGGTGAATGAAGACAGAGGAGTAGAGACGAAAATTCCGGTGAGTGAGATCACAGAGAAGTTCCGGTTAAAAGAGTAGGCGAGAGAGGAACCCGAATCGCTCAAAGATTCCTCCTATCTCTCCAACTTTTTTATGCCTTTTATGCAGAACGATACACTTGCGCGACGTCGTCGTTTTGGACCGCAACGAACTCGACGATGTTGTGAGTTTCGTTTTTTTTTTTTAGTTTTTGTGTTCTCCTTTTCTTTGGCAATGATATTGAAAGGTTTTTTTTTTTTTTATATAGCAAATAGAGAAAACTGGAGTTATTCTATATAACACGCAATTAATGATATTTCTATAAAAAAAAACACGCAGTTAATGAAATTTGTCTCTATTAACTTTAGGACCATTCAATTCTCATTTTCTTTCCAGTTTCTTGACCATCAGAGTCAATTTGAATTGCGAGTTTAATCTTGGATTTGATTCGGTTTTAGTTGGTTTCTTGGAAGTTTTTGAAGATTAGTAGGCAAAGTCAATTTGAATCTGTATTATGAATAAGTTTGTTAGGATTTTTTTAGTTTCAGTTCAGATTTAGTTTTGGTAATGAATCTATCATATTTTTATTTCTATTTATCTTGACTATTTAAATAATTCTTTTATTTTATTTTACTATAACGAAAAAAGTTAGTCAAATATATATTTTCCACATTATTTGAATTTTTTTTATGTTGGTTAAATAATTTGTACGGGACATGTATCCTCTGCTGTATGATCCTGCATGCCTCGAGAAGAAGAAGAAAAAGGCGTTGTACTGTATGTGATACTTGACTACTTGTACACGGCCGAAAAAGCAACTTATAATTTCAGACACAGAGTTTATTTATTAACCCCCACACGTCCATGACATGTACTAGTTAACTGTATGTTACGGAAGAAAAGTGGTTCAACTCCATTTCTTTGGTTTCATCCTTTACTTTGTCCAAAAAACCACCAAGGCTGATTCTAAAAATTACAAAATAAAACATTACACAGCAACTAATCTCACGTTGCTCTAGTCCTAATCCTCGTCATCATCGATGTGTGTTCGGAAGAGGTAGTCTTCGCCTTCAAGTTCATCTTGATACATGGATATTGATGGATCATTGCATTTCTCATCTTCTTCTTTCTCTTCATCACGTCTCTTTCCCTGACCAAAAAATGTCAACATATACATTCAGAATCACACTCATCACAATCAAACTCAATTTTTTAGACTATCCTGTTTAGCCTAAATGGTTTTGGAGAATTAACTCGTCACTGACTACAATCTGTCAATCTCTATAGAAATACCTAGCTTTTGATCATTAAACTTGGTTGAAAATAGCACACTAAACCCTTCCTGATCAGATTTAAGATCTTTAAATTCATTTTTTCGGCATTCCAGTTCAACTAGAAAGAGGTTTTGTGATTACCAATATTCAGCTTTAGTAATCAATGTTAGGATATAAATAACTTGAAACCAAGCTCAATATCTTTTTGGAAATAAGCAAGACTTGTTACTAAGAGCCTGTGGAGATTTGCTAAAGAGCTACCAAAAGAGAATTGAAACGGAGAAAAAAAGCTAAACCTTTGAACACTGACCTTTCTTAAAATATAGAAGAAATAATGGAACCCATCACCAAAAGTGCTGTACTCCATGGACCAATTAAACTTGGGATCCATAAACAAAGGACGTCTGAAATGCGGCTGCATGGCAACAAGTTTAGAGCTTATGATTGAGTGAGTGCAAGGATATGAATATCAGATATTCGCTTTTAATACCTGGCCAAAGGTAATGGAAATGAAAATCCCGTCTGGTTTCAAAACCCGGTGAACTCCTTCGAGAGTTGCCATGACTTTGCTTACAGTTTCTTGACGGGGATTCCATGGATCACCAGCATCCACAAACAGCACATCCTTCACGAAATTGGTTTTTTTTACAAAAGGAGCAACTCATGAGCTTTCTCTAGTTGAAATTCAAGAAAATGTACACTTTCAAAACCACATTCACAAATCTCAACTCCGAAAAGAAAAAAAATGGACCGAGAGGAAAGTTTAGTTACGTTACCATGGTCCCTTTCTCAATAACCACATCAAAACACTCGCTGTTGAATGGGAGGTCTAGCATGTCAGCTTGCACCACTTTTATTTCTGAATAGTATATCAAAATTCTCATGTCAAATATTAACACATCGAGCTTAAGATCCAATGAAATATTTGCTTCAACCAGCTAAAGAAAGCGGCAGAAACGAATGAAGTTCTCAGCTTTCCAAAGAAAATTGGCAGCTATAATTTAGTATAGACTATAATTCAGAAGAAGAAAGTAACGAAATCATCTTTTAACTCTAGCTTTTGGTTACAATTTATGCCTAAGGAAATACTTAAACAGAGTATAGTCTAAAGCAAATACCTTTGTACCCTTTCGACACCACTCGGCTCTGCATCTTCTCTACGGCAACCGAAGATAAATCAATGCACGTAATATCAACAATCCCATCCTTGTACAGCTCTTCACACAACAGAGAGTTCCCACATCCCAATTCCAAGACCTTTATCACAACAAGCAAAGCTCAAATCACAATCTTTGCAGTATAAACTTAAGCTTTCGGTCTGGAGAATCATCCATCAATGTGGGCTTGTGGCGTACAAATTAGAGATTAAGCAAAAACAGAGAGAAGAGGGAAAATGTACGGAAGAAGAGGGTTTGATGTTGGCATTGATGAGATGCTGGAAATGAGAGTAGTCCTTGAACCATTCATAGTGTTCCTCGGACGAGAACCTCTCGTCCCTGCATTTTCCGGCGACATTCAGAAACGAACAGGAAAGAGAGAAGGAGAGAAAGAGAGAGATTGTTCTAGCTGAATGCAATTCCTACCAGTAGTGAGGATCGAGATAGGTCAGAGCAGATGGAGGACCGACGGAATTCGTCTCCGGGTTTAAATTTGGATCCGACTTACGATGGGTGGGTCTAGACTCCATCGCTGGAATTGGTCGATTCTCGGTATCAGCTCCGGTATAAACCCTAAACCCCTTTCACTAATCACTATTAGTTCTTCAACTTGGAAAACAAATATTAAACAGAGGAAAATTTGTCAACGAACTTCTTATGGCTTAAGTGGACTTGTTATATGGGCTTAGAAAAACGGGCTCATTTTGTAAGCCCATGTGAAGCTATGCGCGTTCTCCTACGCTTCGCAATCTAATAAATTTTATAATCAGCATCATCATCCATGAACATGTCTAGGTAACGAGATGACAAACTGTGAAACAATCTAGAATCCAAAATCCAAATTATAATCACACCAATCACATAAATTTGCAAACTGCAAGACTTCACTTTCGTGAAATTTGTGGCGTAGATTTACCCAATTATTTTCAACAAAAACGAAATCAAACCTCACAACATAAGACATAAAATTACATGTCACACGTGGTTGGCTGCATTTTACACGAATTTCGTAATACACTATCCGTTTCTATTTCTGTCAATTTTTCCAAATACATTTTATTTTATTTGAATTAATAAATTAATTAATAAATATATGGAGAGGCTAGAGATGAACCGTGTCCTACCATCCATTAGAATTTACAGTCAACATCGTCGTTGCCTGTGCGTTTCTCTCTACTCTCTCCATGGCTGCTGCGCTCCAGTTCTGCCGATTATGCGTGCGACCGGATACTTTCGTGCTGGAGAATCATCTCTCCGGATCAGGATCACTCCGGCGCCGGAAACCTTTGTCAGTCCGGTGCTCGTCTGGAGATGAGAACGCTCCTTCGCCATCGGTGGTGATGGACTCCGATTTTGACGCCAAGACGTTCCGTAAGAACTTGACGAGAAGCGATAATTACAATCGTAAAGGCTTCGGCCACAAGGAGGAGACACTCAAGCTCATGAATCGGGAGTACACCAGTAAGCTCCCCCTATTTGCTGATTTGCGTGTGCTCTGTTTTTGGTTGTCGAGAAAGTAAATAGGAAAATAATCCATTGATTGCTTGAGCTGCAATGGAATTGATGATTTGGGTTTGGTGCTGAAAAAGGTTATGGGCATAAGAAAATGGATAAGATTTGCGAATTGGAGTTGTGAACTTACGCATATGAGATTAATAGATTGGATTGTTCTTTGGTTCCTCTCAATTCAACTTCCTGTATTTTGCTTCTGCAAGCTTTTCAGTTTCCAGGAATTAGTGAATGTTTCATTGAGTCCTGTACTCTCTAATTTTAAGTAAAACATGTGAAATTGATGAAAGTGTTTGAATCAGTGTCACTGATGAGTTTTTGCTTCTTCCTTAGCTAATAACAAAATAGACGAAGCTTTTCTTTTTCGGTTCGGATAGATTAGCTCTTTATGGTGAAGACTAAAAAGTTGGGGTTTTTGGGCCCGGAAACGAATTTGGCAAATCTAACAAGACTGAAGTGGAAAAAGTTGTATCTTTGTGTGGTTTATAAGAGATTGTTATAGTTGTTCTGAGGAACAAGAGTCAATTGGATGGTGGTTCATCTTGTTATTGTATTTGACACTCTCAGGTGATATATTGGAGACTTTGAAGACTAATGGATATACTTATTCATGGGGAGATGTTACCGTAAAACTCGCTAAAGCATATGGTTTTTGCTGGGGTGTTGAGCGTGCGGTTCAGATTGCATATGAAGCAAGAAAGCAGTTTCCAGTGGAGAGGCTTTGGATTACTAACGAAATCATTCATAACCCGACAGTCAATAAGGTCTGTACTCGCTATGCTCTAAAACCTTTGTAGACCTCGTCTTTTTCTTCTTTTACTCTTCACGTGCGTTGCTATACCTTCGTTTGGTTTAAACCTTTTGATTTTTATGGCAGAGGTTGGACGAAATGGATGTTAAGATTATTCCGGTTGAGAACTCAAAGAAGAAGTTTGATGTAGTAGATAAAGATGATGTGGTTATCCTTCCTGCGTTTGGAGCTGGTGTTGACGAGATGTATGTTCTTAACGATAAAAAAGTGCAAATTGTCGACACGACTTGTCCTTGGGTGACAAAGGTATATATTTCTTCGAGTCGGCACAAATCCGTGTTATTGTTTCTTTCTTCTCTTGGTATTGGTTTCTTTGTTTCTGACATTGTGTGGCTCTAAAGGTCTGGAACATGGTAGAGAAGCACAAGAAGGGGGAATATACATCGATCATTCACGGTAAATACAGTCATGAAGAGACCATTGCAACTGCGTCTTTTGCAGGAAAGTACATCATTGTAAAGAACATGAAAGAGGTGTGTGACCTTTTGTACACTCGAAAACTTTTCTTAATCGTAGAATTTTTGCAAGACTGTTGCTGATGGGGTACCTGATTACTGTGCACAGGCGAATTACGTTTGTGATTACATTCTTGGTGGTCAACTCGATGGATCTAGCTCCACAAAAGAGGAATTCATGGAGGTAAAAAAAACTTATCTACACATTTTAATGTCTTTAGATTGATGATCTTCTGTACAATCTCCAGACGTTCTAATATCTAATGGTGGTGGCATTGTAGAAATTCAAATATGCTGTTTCAAAGGGTTTTGACCCTGACAATGACCTTATCAAAGTCGGTATTGCAAACCAGACTACGATGCTCAAGGGAGAAACAGAGGAGATAGGTTAGTTTTAGTCTACTACAATCCCTGGAATATATAAAACAATTTTATAGCCGAGTCTCATCCCCAAAAGATACCCGCAGGAAAATTGATTGAGAGGACAATGATGCGCAAGTATGGAGTGGAAAACGTAAACGGACATTTCATCAGCTTCAACACAATATGCGACGCCACTCAAGTACATTTCCCAAACTCTCAAACGCGTGCATTTAAAACTTAACTTCTGCTCTTACTCATAAGGAAGTCTTTTTTGTTATTCACCAATCCAAATTTTCTTTGCAGGAGCGACAAGACGCAATCTATGAGCTAGTGGAAGAGAAGATTGACCTGATGCTAGTGGTGGGTGGGTGGAACTCAAGCAACACTTCACACCTTCAGGAAATCTCAGAGGTCCGTGGAATCCCATCTTACTGGATCGACACTGAGCAACGGATTGGTCCTGGGAACAAAATAGCCTATAAGCTCCATGTAAGTTCATATTCACACAACATACTAACTCTCATTCGTACCCGAATTGCCTTCAACGATCTGTCTTTGGCCTGATAGTACGGAGAGCTGGTGGAGAAGGAGAATTTTCTTCCAAAGGGGCCAATAACCATCGGAGTGACATCAGGTGCATCAACCCCAGATAAGGTCGTGGAAGATGTTCTGGTGAAGGTGTTCGACATTAAACGCCAAGAGTTGTTGCAGCTGGCTTGATCCACTCTTCTTGTGCTTTGTCTTCAAATATGTTCCCTTATGTGAAGAGTGTGTACTAAAGTAAATGTAGTTCTATGATTTGGAATTTTTTAACTTATGCAAAGTGGTTTTGTAATTCAAAGTCAATAATCCATCTTCATCCTTGCTCCACTGAATGTTCTTCCGCACTGTTTAGACCCTTTTTCCTCAAATGAAAATTCATTACCGTAATCAGACTTCTAATACGAACGCTGTTCACTGTAATGAAAATTCATTACCGCACTGTTACCGTAATCGCAACTAGAGCCTTTATCCCTCATATATTTGTTAACATATTAATCATATTCAATATACATAGATCCCATTTTTATATAATTTTAGTATCTTATGAATATTAGTTTTTCGAGTTTTTGGGTTTTGTTCAAATAATTATCTATTTTTTCAATTTATTTGTTGCCAAACTCATTAACAAAAAAAATTGGGCTTGAAGCAGAGGTCGCTGGCTATATAGATACAGAATTCTCAAGACCCATCATGTCTCCTTCCTAACGATTCCTCTCGCTCTTCCTTCCTATTTTCCGGCGCTCCGTCGCTAATTTTTAAGCTGTTGACGGAGGCAAAATCCTCTGGACGACTATTCACCGGTGGCAAATGTGGTCCGAGCGGTGAGGAAACCCTAATTTCAGGGAATTAGAGCGATATTTCGAGCAATGAGCGCCGATAGAGCACTAGAAGGTGATAGAAAGGATCCGGCTTCTTCCTCCTCAGGCTGTTCCGACTCCAACGAGTTTAGCCACGCCGCCGCCAAAGTCGCAGTAGCTCAGGTCTGCGAGAGCGTCGGGTTCGAGCATTTCAAGGATCCAGCTCTCGAATCCCTTGCCGGATTCGCAGTCCAGTACATTCTTCAGCTAGGTAAAACTGCTACCTCCTTCGCTAATCTAACTGGTAGGAGTCAGTGTAACGTGTTCGACATCGTTCTCGCCTTGGAAGATTTGGCCGGCGATGCCGTCCAGGAACGAATCTCGTCTGAGAGTTGCTCCGCGGGGCGTTCGGTCAAACTGAAGGAAATCATCGATTTCGTGAACTCGAGTGAAGAAGAAACCCCTTTGATGCAGCCATTGCCGCATTTTCCTGTAGCTGTAAGGGAACGGATGATTCCAAGCTTTGTTGAGATTGGTGAAACCCCACCGGGGAAACACATTCCTCTTTGGCTACCAGCTTTTCCCGATCCTCATACGTACAAGGAAACGCCAATGTGGATAGAAAGGGCTCCAGATCCTAGAGGAGACAAGATTGAACAAGCGAGGCAGAGGCGGAAGGCGGAGAGAGCTTTGCTGAGCTTGCAGAGGAAACTCGTCTGCAAGGTTTCTTCAGGGAATCACGCGTGGGGAGATATCGATGGTGTGAGAGAAGCTGAGAGTGAAATGCGTTCTGTGTCGCCTTCGACGTCGGGGGAGAAAGTTGAATCTTTGAACAGAGATGGGTTATCGGTGATTGAGGCGTTTGCTCCTGCCATGGAAACTGCAAGAGATGTGGTTTTCAGTGAAGCTGACACTGACTGGAAGAAGAAGAAGAAACCTGTTCTTCTCTCTAGGCTCAGAACCGAGAAGAAGTTTCTCGGAGAGCCGTTGGATCTAAGTCTGCGGATGAAGGGTGAAGATAGACCCTTGTCCTTTGTGCGTGAGGAGGATAGGGATGACAAAAGGAGGAGAGCAGAGTTCATTTTGAGACAGTGCATGGAGAACCAAGTGGACCTTAATCAGTTGTAAAATATAAAGTGATTCATTACAGTCTTGTGTAGCCTAGTTTTTCAAAATTGTGATCCTTTTTCTTTACAGGACTTATGTTGTGATTACGATTTTTTTCTACTGAATGAATGAATTAGAGTTTCTAGAAACCGGAGATGCTTGTTTCTTAGTTTCAGTTTCATGTCCCATTAGTGTGAGGCAGGATCAGTTTTTCCAATGAATTGCAGTTGAGAGGGAGAAGAAAAGTCATGTTATCATCAACAGCCCAAACCAAGCAATCCAAGGTAAGTAAATTTTCTCAAGTTGGCATCTTGTTCATAATGTAAGATTAAGCTTTAAAGCCTTTAGCTTTCACATAATCAAAACATGGTAGACAACAATATCGTGGTTGTTTCTCTTGTGATAGTTTGATAAGGTGTTCTTGTTAAGTCATCTGTAAGTAGCCTAGGGATGGTGCAGGAAAGTGTAGCTGAGCAACAGACCTTATGTCGATTAGTTGAGAACTGAAGGTTAGAAGGAAAGCTAGGATATTGGTTTGGGCATTGGTTTGAGAGTTAAGAGACTTGACTCGTTGATCAAATCAAATGTGAAAAATACTTGTCTCCCAATTGTTTTCAATCATCAAAGAATACAGAAAATGCAACGGTAATCATGAACAGTTTTTGAGTTATCGAACAATTGAAATGAAAGAATCTATATACTATTCTTTATCAGAGAGTCTTGGAACGTTTCATTATTTGCAGCAGGAAGCTGAATAAGGGAAACTGAGTTCCTTTTTGTGTGTGTTTTCAGGTGGGATGTTTGATGATCCTCTGGAGAATCACAGTCCTTGCCCTTCTAATATCTCTGCTACACAAATCAGCCTGAGTCCCCAACTCCTCTACATTCTTCTTGAACACCTCAAGCTTCTTCTTGATCTCTTCGATCCCAAACCTGACCGCTTCATGCTCCACCGCGAATTCAGCACACTTTACCATCCCCGTGATCTCAATCTCCAGCCGTTCGATCAAAACCCGGATGTTATCCAAGTCCTTAACCGCCACATACGTGCCCGCCTGCATCGAACTGATCACTTCTTTCTGCCCTTTGAGCGCATTCTCGTAGTTCTTCCACAGCGAATCGATCCATTTCCCCATTGAGCCAAGCGGCACAGCGGTAGCTGCAGCCAGAGCCGCGGCCACGGGAGGAGCCGCCATGGCTGCAGCCACGACGGAGCAGATGAGCACAGTGGCGAATGTGGCGACGAAGATGATGCTGGAGAGTTTCCTCCAAGTGTGGATGGATTTGAGCTTCTTGTCAAGCTTGTTCTTACGAAGCTGTAGCTTCTCAAGCATCAGCATCTGCTGTTTGTAAACGGATTGGAACATCTTGAAGAAGTCCTCGTTGAAAGGACTCTCTGCTTCTTTGAAATTCTTCAGCTCTTCAAGTGTCTTCTCGTATCCGTTCCCACCTGTGAATCAACAACACAACCAAAGATAATGAGTGTTACTCAAAAGTCAATTCTTAATAAATTGTCACTAATGATTAATCATCATATTACCAATTAAAAATCTAATCAGCGTTAAAAAATGATTAATCATATTACCAATTAAACAAGATAATAACACAAAATGGTGAATTTCCGTATTCATTTTCAAACAGGACTTGAAAATTATAATTTTTAGGTGAAAATGCATTTCATATCACGAGACAAGATGAGACTTTTGTCCATTCCTAATTAAAACCACGAAAAAAAAAAGAAAAAGCATCATTACCTTCAACGAGGCTCTCATCTTCAAACTGCTGAAGAGCAACAAGAATCAAAAGCTGACTATCACGAGCTTTCCTCAATCCTTTCTCCAAGGCAGCACAGAAATCGAGCGTCTTCAAGCTATTCTCAAAGTAATCCTCAACGAGCTCGAATAGATCTTGGTTCTTCCATATGTCTTTCTTGCAATCCAATATCACTTTGACCACTTCTTGATTCATCTCCAGCAAACACTCGGTCACTTCTTTCAGGGAGTCGAACGAGAGCGCTCGAACCTCTACACCCGTAGCTAGCGTGCTTATCACGTGACTGGTCCGTGCCTGCATACTCGTGTCGAAAGACTGCAGCTCCGTGTCTGCTTTACACGCAGCCTCGTACGACCTCAGCTCCGTTGTGTAGTGCATGCTCGTCGCCGTTGCCTTAGACGATGTCTCCTGTGACTTTCTGCTTGTTTGGTTTCCCATCTTCAATCTCTTTTGAAACTCACCGAATTCGTTTGATCTGAAAATATGAATATTAAAGAACTTCTTTAACATAGAAATGCGTACTTTTAGACTCAATTGAAAAAGGTTAATACTTTTAAAGGGAGATCGATTGAGAGAAGTCGAAAAAGAAATGATTAGTGAGAAAGGGATATACTTGGTCGGGCTTATCAGGATTCAGGAGGGGCAACAACAGAGAGAATTTTCCGGGAAAAGAAAACAAAAAATTGGGAAATAAAAAGGAGAAATTTATTAATTAAAAAAATTGATGAGGGAGAGAAAGAAGAAGCTTGAAGAGAGTAAGAATGAGAATCGTTAAAGGAAATGGAAAATAGCTTGCACGCATGATGATGATGAGAATTAGGGCATTGTATAACGCGGGAAGCAAACGTTTACTCTCTACTTAGCCGCCTTTTTGCCTACGCAAATAATTTATATTAATCATTTTTTATATGCTACTTTTTGTTTTTATGTGCGTGTCAAATTTACTACGTATTCTATAACTGAAAGAAAAACGTTTCTTAAATTACGCTTCACAAACTTTTATATATTGACACCATCAGTCTTTTGCGTTTGTAATGTAATGTAAAAAGTACGCAATTTATATATACCACGTGTGAATCATGTACGGTGTATTACCCAAACTTTGATTGTAATCTACAAAATATCAGCGAACTTCTAATACACATTCGTTGAATAGTTGTAAGAAGAAAAGAAACAAAAACATGCATGACATATAAGGATAATGACTATATTTGTCCACAACATTCCAAGGCAAATTAAAGACACGAAAGGTTTTAAAAGGAACATTCAAAGCAAAAGACAAGATACAAATTCGATCCTCTAAATTCTTAAATATACCATAATATTGTAATGGCTAAAAATGTGACGTGCTGGTTTAGTTGTTCATGCTTTGGTCATAGATATGCCGTATGCGATGCGTCATTACTCATTAACTTATTAGTTGTAACTTGTTAATATACTAATGTACTTATAGAGTTTAATTATAATTGTTCTTCTGATCGTCTCAAACGTGATAATAATAATCGATAGGAAGATCTGGATTATGATGATTAAACTATATATGACCCTACGTGAACTGTTATGTGCGTACAAGCACGTACACGTTAAGTCTCGCATTTAATTTGTGTTGACTTGTTTTTTTGTATAATGTATATGTGTATTAATTCTAGATATTTTATTTCAATGCAGCCATTGGATATAGACGCCCTATGTTTGTTTCTCTCTCGCTAGATTTTCTCATTTCCTAACAGTTTAAGGCAACAAGGCTACACGATCGCCGCCTACACATTACAGTCCATCTATAAAAAAATGTGTATATTTAAGCCAAAAATGTATAAATGTAAATTAAGCCAAAAAATACAAGCATGCAAGAAAAAAAGCTCTTGTTTGAAGAAACTATTGGCCAATATCTGAATCAAGAAAAAATAGTGGTTCTTTTATCAAATACGCACCCACATTTGCATTCATATGATTTTTGCGTCTTTTTTTTAATTATGTACTCTTTTAGTTAACAAAAAACCGTGAACATGTTATATTGCACATGATTAATGATATGCTGAAATAGTTTTCGGAACTTAAACCTTAAGAATTAACAAAATAAAATGTTTTTTTTTTTTGACAAAATATGCATAATAGAAAGCAATGACATGTAGTTCCGTAATAGGTTTACCCGAAATCGATGTGTGGAAAAGAAAAGAAATTTATCACAAAATAATTATATAAAAGAAAATATTATGATGGACGAGTAACAGTAAGTTTGCTTAACAAGCTTCCACCTTTTTACCAAAAAAATAACAAACTTTAAAATCTAAATATGTATCCATTTCTTCTCCTTTTCTCCTCTTTTAGTGGATTACTTATAACGAAAACTACACAAGCAACCTGCCTTTAATTAATGTATGTAACCACATATGAACTATCTATTAACTAGTTATGTCAAATCAATTTGTTAATTCCTTGAATTCTAGAAAAACATCAAAACTAATCATTACCTCAATAATCAGAGGTGTTGAGCATGCTGCTAAATTTTTCGTCTTCTACTATATTACGTGCGCACTTTAAATCAATTTGTTAATTTCTTTAGTTCTAGAAACATTCATTATATTTTTTTGTAAAATCAACATAGAATGAAATTAACACATTATTAACTAATCATTACCTCAATAATCAGAGGTGTTGAGCAGAAACGAAACCTTAGAGCCTTTCTTCTATCTCTTTCCGCACAAAAGCGTCTCAGTATCAAATTTGTTTCCTTACCAGCTTCCCTTTTTATACTTAACGAGCTCTTGCACTAACCAACTTGGAGAACAAGTCATTCAACAGCTATCTCTCTTGGCATTTACCAAAATACCCTTAATCATGCTTTATTTTTTTGTATTTCATTTAGAAATTGCAAAAGCATTTCATGCATAATGAAAAATATGAGTGTCTCTAGTTCTATTGAACCGTTTAACTTTCTTTATCATTTTTGGGATGATGACATACATTGATTTTTACATGAGGATGTAACAATTAACTAAGATTAAGGTGAAACTTAAATTTTCGTATTTATATTTGGATAGGTTACCCAAAAAAAAAAACAATCTGACGTCAAAAGTTACAAAATACTCCAGAAGACCGATATAGTGGCAATTTAGTAATAGCAGAAAAACCGGAGGGGGTTGTTGGAACTGAGAAGGGAGAGAGAAAAAGAAGAGGAAGGAAACCTGAGACACGCGTCATATGATTATTGGGTATTAACTGTAAAATATTCGGAGCTAAAAAGGAGTGGGAAAATAGCCACGAATACGCTACGTCACGTCACGTGCTTCTGTAACGCGTTGCCTTGCTACCACAAGTCACGTGATTTATTTATTTTTGTTTGTTTTCTGTTATACAGCTGCTAAATACAGTACTTAAAAGCCTCCTCGTTCGATACTTTGTCCCTAGCAAATTGATATTTTCTTCGTTACTAACTTAATTGTGTTAGCTGATCATAAATTCAAACTATTAATCTAAGTAACCGGTAAAATTGTCAGAATTTTGTTTGGGGTCTAAAAAGTAAAAACAATTTCAGTTGGGTGCGTTGCAACGTTGCTGTTCTTGTTTTCTTTTCTACATAACATTCATTTTGGTTTTTCTTTTGTTAGAAACGTTGTTATTTACCAGCTTGATTTTTGACTATAATTTATTTAATGAAAAAAGGAAAAATGTTGCTTCATATTATTATAAAGTTTTGTTACATGTAAATATTGAATGGATGGAATCTTTATGAACAACGATTTGGCCCCTACAATCTAATCATTCGAGAAATTTCCATTATTGACCTTTTTGTTTTTTACCACTACACATTTAAATGACAAAAAAACATCTGGATTGACCCTGAAAATCGGGATTGGTATTACTTTAAAGGGTTGTACAAATGAGAGAGATATAATAAATGTAATGGAAAAGACATTATCTCACTTTAGTAATCATTTATTTCGCCATGTATGATTTCTCAATGTCATATAATCCGAATACTTCATGCTGAGCTCATAAAATAGACAGATTGTCAAATACTAGCTTCTAACCACAACATATCGATTAAAAAGTACTACACACGTCAAAAATTTGTACCAACGAAGAACACAAAGAGAAGAATGCAAAATGGAATTATTTTTATGTACTTCTAAGCGTAGTTCATTAATACAAATCAAAGAAGCTAAAAAGTATTTTTATGTACACAGAAGAAACGAAAAACTCTAGTCACAACAAAGTTGTACTTCAATTAGCACAAAGAATCTTGAGTAATGTTCCGTTAACCTAACCGACCGTGGGCTTAACCATCAATCATGCATCCCAGATTCCGGTTTAACATGAGGTCTTGAGCGCTGGGAGCTAAGCTTGCGAAGGAACTGCAACGCCTCAGTATATGAAGGATCTGAGCGGCTCAGTGGTTTACATGAATTGATATGGTCTGTCGACTCCAACACCTGATTCATTTATTCAAGTAGTAAAACCAACAGTTTCAGAGGTTGCAATTTTATAAATTAAGGGATTATATACGTTACCACCACTACAGATGGAGATACTTACGACAAGTTCACCAAATCCTGGGTATGCTGATTCAATTGGCACGATTTCCATCCGAAAAGCCCATCCTCCATAGCCTTCCACTATTGGGGTTACTTTTGTCTGCAATTATTATATGATAACCAGTCACCACAACATTCTTCTAATTTTAGAGAGCTCCTAAAGTTACATAATCTAAATAGATTCACAAGTGTGTTAGAATCGATCAACAACCTCACAGAAACTAAGGACTTCTACAATTCCTTTCTTGTGGAGCTGGCGAAGCAAGTCATTGAGCTCTACCAGTCTTGGAGAACCACTTCGTAGCTCCCCTATCTATATCACAATTCATCATCCATAAGGTTCATTAGATATAAGAAGACCTGGAGATGGATTGAAATCAGCTCAATAACGACATTGTATTACTAACAGATGGAGCCGGGCGCAACACAAGACCCATTCGCCAGGGCATATCTGCTAGTTTGCTTCCAAAATGTGGGCAACTGTAGAATACCTGAAAGTGAGAGGAAAGAGATATTCACATTGTTATTTCTTTAATGAGCTAATTCGTTAAGACAAAGCCCAACATATATGATTCTTAAGAGAATAGGAAACCAGAAATGTATGATGCGTACAACTCCAGCGGTGTTATTCACTAGTTTATCAAGTTTTTCTTCCTTTGCTTTGTGTAGAATCTGCTTCACGACAAGTCCTCCCATACTACAAGATGAACGTTGCTTGATCAGAAATTTATGTATTGATGTTCTACGAGACTGTATGTCAATTCAGTGAAGTAATTTGTTACTGAGAGAAAACACCAAGATTTATAATAAGCCTTAGCTGATAACAAATCAGCAAGTATTTCAAATAAGTTTGCATTAAGAAATATCTTTAGAGAGGCACTCTGAGAGACTTCAGACCTGTGAGTCACAAAAACAACAGGTCGGTCTCCAATGCCTGCAGAGACGAGCTTTTCCAATATCATAGAGCTAACTTCCTGCAAATTTCCAAAAGTCCATCATCAACAAACAGAACTGCAGGCTTACTGATAGTGAGATCTAGTAGAGTACACAAACGGAATGCTATTTGTAATCAATAATCACTCATCCAGCTCTCGACCACTTTTACAGGGGAAAACCAACAACTGTCCAACAAAGCATTATTCATGGCAAATAATCCTAAACCTCAGCAGTAGTATATTCAAAATTTTGCCCATTACATTGTCAAAGACTGTAGCCTGTCAGGCCCTATAAGGTAAAAACTGCAGATAGCTTGTAACTTCCTAAAATAATTCATAATGAAGAACGTACCTGAAGAGGCAAGCTAGCTCCAGACCATTCCGTGAGGTTTGTCTGTATTAAATATTTAAATGAGAATCAACTTGGCAACCATCAATGCACCAGGGAACAGATAACTACACAACATATAGATCAAACAGTTACAAAGAACCGCATAAGACTCAGACATACCTTGTATTTAAGGGTAAACAAGCGAGCTTGAGGGAAATCATTTGAGAGCCACTCACTTGGCCAAAACGTTCCCAGCTTTCCTGCTTCCTGGTCAATTTTCTCCACTAAGCCAGATTTGGTAGAGGACTTATCCTCAGCTATTCGCCAAGTTTTAAAGGGTCCCCCACGCAATCCATGAAGAAAGATAACATCAAATTCAGGATCTTGCACACGTGAACCACTACTGGAAGGATCCATAGAAGTAGACAGATCGCTAGAATCAACATGATCACTGACTGTAGAAGCAGCATCTGTCGGTTCACCTTCACTTGGTGTTTCATTTTTCTTACCATTTTGATGTTCCTTTTCAGGACACTTCCAATGGGGCAGTCCGGGATTAATTAGAAATATCATGTCTCCATAGCGGGGGCAGTTACTGTTTATGTTTGAGATGTCTGGCTTCGAACTGCCACTGTTTCCAGATCCCCTATCATCTTGTTGATTGCAATAGACATTTAACAGAGAAGCCCTCGCATAACTTTGTGTCTTAGGGTCATTGCAACCGGAAATTTTTCCTCTTGCGCAATCATCAAGCCATTTGCACCATGTCTCATCAGCTAAAATGACCTTCTGCACTTGAGGGAGAAGCGAAAGAATGGTTAGCAATCTAGCTGCATGCCTTCGGATGTGTGCACTAGCTGGGACTCTAACACTAGATGGATCCTGCGGATATGTGATTGAAGATTCACCGAGACTATCTGGAGCACGCTCTCGAGCCTCAAGGGCTCTGGATGCATCATAAGCTTCTATTGCACCTAGCTTTTCATAATCATCACTTAACAGAAAGCGCCTTAGCAAACAAAGAATACCAAGATCAACTATTTTGTTCTGGCATACAGAATCGTCAACACAAACATCAGTCAGTGACTTGATTGCCTTAAGGGTTGCCAATGCAGACTCAGCAGCATTAAATTTAGGGGGGATGTCCTTCTTTAAGTTCTTAATCGGTACCGCAAAAGGCTCTGAAAGGAGCAGATCTGCCAGTGGAACATTATTGACAGAATCTGGGACTGTACCCAGTTGAGCCATGGCAAGACTAACAACAGCCCCTGCTAGCTGATTGGTTGATTGAGTAGCAGAAGCAACTTTTGACAGATCTACCTGTAAATTCCAAATAAAATAGCTATTATTAACTAAAACCGAAAAGAGGTAACTAAACTAAAATAATTCTCGATTATTATATGTTAAGATAACAAAATTCAATGACCATAAAATTTTACGCACCTTTGGTTTCTCAGATTTAGGTAGACTGGCTCCTTTAGCTGACAACTTCTTGCTGTGGTTCAAAACCTCATTCATTATAAGGGTTAACCATCCCTGAGAAATCGGGATAGACTGTGGTCCATAGTCTTCAAAGGTGCGTGAAAGGATTCTTCTTGCTGAAGATTGAACAGTGTCAGATGCAACCTTTCCAAGAACCCATGAGAGTAGTATGCCGGACCATTTCTGACTCTCTTCAAGAGATAAATGCATCTCACCAGCACAGAGTAATTCTAGAGCCTTTGACAAACCTTCTTGTACTGCTTTATGCTTTCTCGTTTTCCTAGCGCTATCTCTCATCAGATGAAGACCCTTCTCCATTACCATCTTCTGTGCTTTGTCACTTCTGTCAACAGAAACTAAAAAGGCGGACAGCGCAACTTGAGCCAAAGAGATATCCTCAGTTTTACAGGCATGTGAAACAGTGGCAAGCAAACTCGAACTCCAGTCGGAAACAGAATCGCTTAATGGGAGATTGGGATCCTCCAACAACAGCCGAGCCACCAAACTTCCATGCCATTTTACAGTCCTCTCTGGTGCCATTAAGGCTGTCATGACAACTTGCCCATCCCGATCAAGTTCTTGAATATGAGATCTATTTGTATCAGAAGCCATTGCCCAGTTTGCCAATGCCCACGCAGCAAATGGGACTGCGACATGTTGACAATGTAAATCATCCCAAAGGCCAGGAATGACGGCAGATGACAAATTAGCTTGGGAAGAATTGTCATGTTTACTCAGCAATGCAAATGTTTTAGGAGTTCCCTCTCCCGCATTAGCATTAAGGTCACCCAACGGCGCAAGCCCACTGGTTCTTGACAGCCCCAGAACCGTCGTTCCTTCAAGGATCTTAATTCCAATTCCCTTAATCCCACTTCTTCCATCGTCACTGTCATCATCTTTTTCTGGCTCATCAAAATACATACCACCTTCCTCAATTACTTGAATCGCTGCAGCAATATCTCTCATCTTAGCATTTCCTGGCAATGATGACTTAAAAGGTGTCTTTTCTATTGTATCGCAGTTGGAAGTGACGATATCCATTATGGCAGCCACAAGCATGCTCCTACCTTTCAAAGAATCAGAAATATCGAATGAACTACGTCTTGAAGGCTGCTCCCAAAGAAAAGCCATATATCAATGGCAAGACACAACCAGAAGACTCAGAAATTTCAAAAAGCTTATCAAGTGTTTATGAGAATGACCTATCTCCAACTTGACACTGGATAAACAACCCCAGAGATTCATTGTACTTGCTTATCATAGAAATGCGCTTAGATTCTTCCAAATCCTAAAATGCTATGTAGATTCATATCAGCTGGCTCTAACCTGAACAACCATTCTATCATCTCCTGAACAATTAATAGGCTATAGCATCTACTGCTTTTCCACTAGTACTGTATTCATTCCAAACAACAAGTGGAAACAAAACGCACCTTTTTGTTTTTTGGTTGACAAGAGAATATGAACTTCAGCAACTTAGGAACTGCATCGGGCCTTGTTAGAGCGTCTTTCCGCACCGTTGGATCAGCAATAAGATAAGCCAGAGCCCTAGCAGCTTCGTCCTGGGCTCCAACTCTATCACCGGGGATGGCCACCGTCTCCAGCAACCAATCAACCACCGCACCACTGCCAGCTCCAACGAGGGCGGCTCTGCGAGCAGCATTCGCGGACGCTATATCGGCTAGAAGAGCAGCGACCCGCAGCTCGAACCCCGCACGCACCTCATGATTGGCTGAAGAGAGCACAGACCTGAGCGACTGCCACAAAACCGAGGCCGCAACACCGGTTTGTCTAGCATGGTGAACCACTCTCCTCAATGAATTTCCGGATTTCTGAACCGCGTGCTCAATAGAGTCGTAAATACGGCTGTTTTTGCTAGAGTTGGCATCTGATTGGCCATGGTCGGAGGGGAAAACAGCAGCGTACGCAACAGCGGTGGATAAAGCGGCGGCGGAGAGAACAAAAACGGATTTCTTAGAGAATGGGGAAGATGGAGAGACGGTGTAAATCGAGGGAAGATGACCTCGTGGTCGGTGTGGCGGCGGAGACGGAGAGAGCTGTGGTTCATTGAGATTCAAGGAAGAACCTGACGGACCGCTAGATGGCGGAGAAGAGGAGGAGTAAGGTCGCGGGAGACGGTGGAAGAGACGACGGTTACAAGATCGGAGAAGATTGTAACGGAGACGAAGCATTCTCTTGTTAATTTTGACTTGCGTCCTTTTCGGAATTAAAATTTGTTCTCACGTTTTTAAGAATTAAAGATGGAATATTTGGATATGCGATATCGAAGGGAAGATTCTGGCGTTGTTGTTTGTGCCGGTAAGAAAGAAATTATAAATTGGTATGGCGGTTAAGAGAATTTCGGTTTACTAAATTTTTCTTCAATTCAATCACAGAGGAGGAAGAAATCGAGAGCTTCAAAGTAGTTTATCTTCAGATTTCAAAAACGTTGTGTTACCAATTAAAAGGCTATTGTAACTTCTACATTCCAAGCGCAGTTACAAATATTCTTAGAAATTCCAATCAATCGTTGCCTTAAAGCAAAAGAAATAACAAAAGGAAAGCAAACAGAATCTGAAAACGTAACAAACTACAAGATTAACGAAAAGGAAACAAGAAGTACATCGGATTTAGGGTTTAGTGTGTGGAGAAGAGCGGGGAACTGGAGAAAGAGAGAACTTCATGTTGTGGTTGCAGCCGTTGTGGTCACCACTGGTGAAGTAGTAAGTCTGACTCTTACGGAGAAGCAACTTGAACCCTAATGATGATGATGAGCCTCCTCTTGCGGCTAGCTTCTTGCCTCTGCCCACATCACATCTCTTGAAGCTCCTCAAATCTGGGAGCAAGTAGACATCGTTCTTGTTGCTGTGCTTCGCCTTGGATTGGGTTTGATCATTATTCTTGTACTCGACAACAAGTACATCGCCGACGTATAAAGGTGCTTGCTTTGAAGACCATTCTTGGTAATCGAATCCGTTTTTCCACACGGTAACCTCAATCTTTCTTCTAGACGATACTGGAGCCGTGTGGTTGTGGTGGCTTGTACCGCTTGAGTGGTTTGATGGGGACGTGTGGTTGTGGTGGCTGTTGCTTGTAGAGCCAGTGCCGCTTGAGTGGTGTGCGCCGGAGCTGCTTCCCCAACCCCAGTTTGTATCGGTTCCGTTGGAGCTCCAACCCCAACCCCAGCTCGAACCACCCGAGTTTGAGGCTGAACCACCTGAGCCTGAGCCAGAAGATCCGCCAGAGTTGTCGGAGCCCCATCCCCAGCCCCAGTTCGAACCGGACTGGCCAGAGCCCCAACTCCAGCTCCATGCCTCAGCACTCCCGGAGAAGACACATGCAGTGATCACGAGGACCAAGAGTAGCTTGCGTGCCGCAGATATCCCCATCGCTCTCTTCTTCTCGTTCTTTGATTAAATTGATTGTCTTCTTCTTCTTCTTCTTGTTTTCTTTATCGTTTTTTCTTGCTTTTGTGAGCTCTTGAGAATTGAGAGGTTCTCTTTTTATAGATCCCTACTGAGCCAGTTCCTAAATTGGATTGGAGATATGTATTTTGATTATGTCGTCTACAAAATCAATCATGAAAAGGATTTCCTTTTTCCCGCTTATAATCCTATATCGTCTCAAAAGTCGATCATGAGAGAATTTCCTTTTTGTTTTTACACTATCGTATTATCATTTGCAATTTTAGATATAAACAAGTGGATATCTTCGATTCAGTTAAATTTTAATTTAATAATATCTCTTATTCATATAGGATATTGCTTCGCTTGCAATATCTTTTTAAAATTTAGTTTATGTTAAACGAATTTTTTTGTTGTTGAAAAAGTAAATAATATGACCGATGCATAAAAGAGTTGTTCAAGTCCTAAGACAAAAAAAGAAAAGCAAGGAGACACATAACCAACAAAAGATATCCTCCAAAGGCTTATAACTACTTCGTTGCATAAAACTTCTTAAACCCTAATTTTACTAATATATAATCTGATCTTTCATGGCCTTTCATACCTCAGCAAAACATAAGCCAATTGATTGTCTTCTCTCAGCCAGATTCAATCAGAGAAAGTGAGGACCGATGAGCTTCGCAATCTCCAAGAACCCGACACGGTCTTTGCCTTCGAATATCTTCTTCAGCTTCTCGTCGCAGATTATAACCTTCTTGTTTTGTGGATCCTGGAGAAGCAAACATTACTCGTATTAGTCACCAAAGTTAACACAAGTAGATAGAATATACATGACTGTTATCTGTTCATTATGTTGAAAACTTAGCACTAAATGCCGAGGAAACACTTGAGAATCAGAAAGTCTTAAGGTGAGCTAAACCAAACCTCAGTGTCTGCAAGTCTACATTTGTTTCGCTTTTATACAGAGCTAAAAGAGTCATTAGACAGGTCAAGAAGGAAAAATCCCAAATGCATAAGTAACATATGACGATCAAAGAATCCTTCCCAAAACATGTCAAATCAAAAGGAAGTTAAAACTCCCAAATTCAAGCCAACAATCCGATGAAATCCTTTTAAGTCTATATCACCACAACATGGAGGAAACAAGCTCAATCAAATACAGCCTAGTCAAAAGAAGCTGTGTCAGATATCTAAACTAAACAGTGTTTTTTTTTTTTTTTGAAAAGATTTAACTTTGCAGAGCAACACCACAAGAAAACCTTATCCAAAATTCTTAGAAGCTGTCTCACGGAATCCATAAGTAATTACAAAGACTACTGTATGTTAGGGATTAAGCCAACCAGAAACCCTAGAATTTCAACCACTTTGACACATCAAAAACCCCAAACCCTCTCAACCCTGAAGAGAAATCCCACAACAGAGTGAATAAAATTCGAAAAGCAAAACCAAATTAGAGCGCTTGCTTTGAATCAAGCTGAAAAGCATTTCAGAGAGAGAGAGAGAGAGAGAGTATACTTGAAGGTCGTGTTCCTTGATGTAGGCCCAAATGCGCTTGAGAGCCTGTGTGCGAGGGATGACCGATTCGCCGACGACATCTTGCATCTCGGGGGACACTGGGCGAGGCTTCATGATGCCACGTGGCTCCCGAGTCTTGGTGGCTGTCGGCTCGGAAGGCGCCGTCGCGGAAGTCACCGCTCGCACCATGCGCAGGTTAGCCGGATGAGGGGACACACGGAAGGACGAGAGAGACGGTGAGCTGCGGAACGGAGCCGTTTCAACGCAGAGAAAGGTAGAGAAGATTCCAGAAGAAAGGGCCATTGTCGTCGTTGTGTTGTGTTGTGTGCCTGTGTGGTGGATTTTGGGAGACGAGAGGTTTTGCGTTATCCTTTTCTTCTTTATTTGTTTGGGTCTTCTCAGGTTCTATAGTGAAGAGGACACGTTCGACCTAAAACTACGATTTTAATAAATAGAAAATGAAAATCATAAAATTATATTTTGCCTAAAACTACGATTTTTAAAAATAGAAAATGAAAATCATAAACTTTTTTTTTTAAAACACCGGACCATGTTGTCTAATGTCAGTCTCCTACGCTTATTTTATTGATCGTATTCTTCTATATTAGTATAATACAAACAGAAATTACATGCCTCAACCAAAATCATACAGTTTCAAAGCAGGGTTTAATAAACACAATAATTACATTGGTTTATGTAAAGCAACCAGAAAAAGCCTAATTGTTTTCTTTAGCCACCCATGCTATTTGAGGGATAACAACGAAAACCATGAGATTGTTCCCCTATAGAATCTCTTGATGCTAGCAAATTCACCTGCAATAACATTTTTGCCATTTAACTGTATTAAAGAACTGGGAACTTTCTTCCATCAAACAAAACAATACTAGTGTCGTTTTCAATGTACCTTGACTATTTCAGACACTGAGCTCGGTCTCGTGTACGCAGCCAAAACACTCATGTTAAATTCCTGCAAGAGATCAACCATACTCAAGTCTTGAAATCCCATACAGCCATTCTTAAAATTGGAATTCAGATCGGTAAACAAAAAGATGTAAACTCACTCTGAAGGGGTCACCGCGTAGAGACTGAACAAACATCATGGAGAAGTCCGAGCCGGTTCTCTGCAAGCCAAACCGAGTTCACATAGTAAGGTCATGTGCTCTCTACACATAGCAGCTCACATTCATGCCGTTATATATATAAATTACCTCTAGAGATACATCCCTGAGGCGTCTTCCCGTTTGAGCACAACAAACACGGACCATACTCTCATCGCAGCTTCCACTGATGATGTAGTCATTACCATTCATGTAATACGATCGAGTATAGTTCATGGAGCTTCCTGTTGGCACTATCTCGAAATTCAGATGAAGCCTTCCGTCAACTGTCAAAAGCTGCTTCACCTGCGAAAAAAATGCTCAATGGATTGCTCAATATCAATAGAAGAAAGCTTCATCAGTAAAACTAATTGGGTCCATGAGAGTACCTCGTTGTCCACGGCTGATGTTAGAAGATACCGATCATCTGGAGAGAAGCAAACCATCACGTTTCCTTTGGTACTAGAAACCGTGTAGCATGGTCGGGATGGCTCTTGTCTCAGATCCCATAGCTTAACATCTCTGTCGAAAGAAGAAGTCGCAAAAAGAGATGGGGAGTGGTTCGAAAATTTCACCACGTTAATGTGCTCTTGATGCATCTCAGCAAAAACTTTCAAACGTGTTCCGCTACCAATGTCATACAAAGCCACGTCCTTTGAGTATCCGCTAGCAAGAAACAGTTTGTCCGTCGAATTAACATGAACCGAGGTTAACTGGTCAAACGCATCAAAAGTAACAGAACCAGAAGTGGAGTGACTGCTAGTAGTAACTGTGGATGAAGCTTTTTCAATGTCGTACAACTTCAGTGACCCGTTGGCTGAGCCAGCTATAACCTGAAAAATAAATAAACACAATTCGGTAGGTAATAGCTAACATAACCGAAAGAAATAAAGGCAGGCTAAAATGTTTAATCATACCATAGATGGATAAATCTTGAGCCAACAAAGTCCCAAGATACTACTCTGAGATCCATGAGATGGGATGTAACGCACAATTTTCCCGCTTTCGTGATTGAGAACAACCACCTCGCCGTCCAAAGTCCCAAATACCATTAGGCTAGGATCCAACGGATGGTATTCAAACTGCCTCGGACATAATCTCGTGTTTTCATCTTCCCGGTGATTCCTACTGAACGGAAGCGAATGCATGAGAGGCCAAGCAGAAGATCCCATCCTAGCCGCACAAAGAGACCTTGTATACGAATTCTGAGACTTCCCTTTGCTTGATCTCGTTTCACGCTTCTCCAGGACTCTGACTACGCTTTCCTTGTTCTTCCTCTTGTAAGGTAAATGCTCAAAGTTTGAGGAATATGTTTCAGTGGCCCTATCTCTATCACTCTCCCGGATAGCCAAATTGTCCAACACCTTTAATTTGGGCAGAGACTTTATCATGTACATCCTGTAATGCTTTTTGAAACATATCGGTGATGCTTTTGAGGATATATATTTCAACCCAACGTTCCCATGTTGTCTTGTGAACGAACCAACGGGTGAAACATCGTTGGTTTGGTACGGCTTCTTCCATTTCCTAATCTGCCAAAACGGTATAAAGAAGCTTTTAACCATCCCAGTTGTTTTTGTCTCATTGGTCCACATACAAACAAGAAGAAAGGTTTATGTAATTTTTACCTTCTCCCTCATGAATATGTCTCCATTCAACTCTGAAGACACGGAGATACGTGAATCCAAATCATCTTGCTCAGGAATTTTATACGAGAAATCCATGCCGTCAAAAGTCTCTTCAACAAGTAAATCTGCTCCACTGGAAGAGTTTGATTCATGAAATGTGTTTTCATCATCCCGGGAAGAAGATGGCTGCGATTTAAGTGGGCTAGAATCACTGCAACAAATCCAATCTTGGAAACGGAGCTCCTTAAGAGAGGGGAGTTTCGAGAGAGCAGCACTTGCTGTCCAAAGATCCGACACCAGAGTGTCGCACATGGAGAGATATGTCAATTTGGGCATGCAAGAAAAACAGTCTTCCCCAAAAGCATGAACACGGTTTTCATCGAGTATAAGGGTGTGCAGCTGTGCGAACTCTCCTACGATGTTAAGCTTACGGAAATGTAAAGACCTCAGATTCAAAACTTGGCAGCTCAACCCTTGAAAGAACAAATCCCTGGGATAATAATAATAAAAAAAAAACAATCACCAAACTAAAATGGAAACATTAAGAAATACTGCAAGAAAAGAAAGACCATTGCTTACCGCCAGAATTTTTCCCCGAAAGAATCATGAATATGAACAAGTCGAAGTTTTTGATTACCAGAACGAGCTAAGGACAATACATAATGATCTTCCAAAGAACAAGATGATCCCACAAAGAGATCAATTCCTTCTACCACAGATGCGTTGATCTCATTGCATAGCTCGAGAAGCGGGTGAAAGTCATCGTACTTTACTCTGTCCACTAGAAGGTTCATGATGCATTTTTGATTCCTTGACTTTTTATCCTCCGCCTGATAAATTCAGCTCAATTGTAAATTTTAACTCAGAATTACACTACTAAGATTAAGCTAAACAGAAGCAATATAAGCATACCTCAACGAAGGTAGATAAAATGGAAGTGTTGGGTAGGATTCCATGCTTCTTGCATAATTCAACATACCTTAAACCAACAAAGATGAGTCAAATCCATTAACCTGAATACTACTAGTAAAGGATGAATTAATCACTTGACACACTACAGAGCTCATCCAGAAACTCTACTTAACGGCCATCTAAGAGATCTAATCCAAGGAATTACCCAGAATTTAAACAAATTAAACCCTCTTAGAAAGCACCCTGGAGCAGATGTATTTTTTAACAAAAACTTCACTTCTTTGATTCCTTAAGAGTAAAACTATAGAACAGAATAAAAAACTAATCCTTAATCTAAGAAGAGGCAGAAATCCAGACAGATTCTTAGGAAGAACACCAACAAAAAATACTCAGAATCAAAACAAAATTTAGATTAACTGGGAAAAAAAAAGCTGCTAAATTTGTTCCTCCAAACCAAAATACTGAGAGGAGGGAAGAGCTCATCATTTCCCAGAAAAGAAGGTACCAGGTTTCAGACAAAACCCAAACGTACGATCACATCTCAACTTTTTCTGTCTTAATTCAAAAGATTAGATACACAAAAGGGGTGGAAAAATAAAAAACAGAACTCACTTCTGCTCCAGGGTCGCGATTTCCGTGAGCATAGCCATTCAATCAAATCTTAAGAATGAACTCCAACTACTTTTTTCGATGTGATCAGAAACTTTTCTACACGAAAGCAAGTTTTGGGGAAGTTTAACATCTCAAGAGACTTTAGCACCCAAATTTGCCACCTGGTGTAGAAAGCTTTTACAATTTTATGCCTTTTTCTTTAAAAATTTGAGTGAGTGAGCAGTGCACATAAATTAATTTTGACCAAAAGCGGGTCTAACTTCTAATAAAAAAAAATTAAGGGTCTGATTCTATTGATTCATTTCACATTGATATGGTCTTCATATACGACATTCTGTACTAAATTTTGCTTTCATTCTTATTTTGGGTCGAAGAATCTTATTAAAATGCTTGTATGTTATAACGAAAATACATATTCTCTTTTCGAAAATCTGTTGGTATGGTTCAGGTCCTAGACTCCTAGTGGACCATATCTACAAGAAGAACCTTATCTAGATGTAAAAAAAAAAAAAGTTGCAGAAAACTCGTGTAATTCCAAAAGATCCGGTTTCTACGGTTCGGCGGTTCGGGCTGGTTCACCGGCTTTCAGCGGATTTACTGATTTCTTTCATAGCCGGTTTTCTGTGGAACGGTTTCGTTTCGTAGAACCCCAGAACCCGAGATCTCGCTTCTCTATTTTGTGCATCTTTGTCTCTCACATCTCCGATTTCCTTCGTCTCCTAATACTGAATCTCTCTTTTGAATTCATATAACGAGGATCCGTCCAGCAGATCTTACCGCAGTTTCACAATGGATAATCCTATTCAAGAGGTATTATTTTGCATTTTACACTTTTGATGCAGCATTGAACTGCGATGGATGATTTTCTCAACTATTCTGGATTGGATTTGTAATTTTTGTTTTCATGGCAGATTCTGGAGAAGCAACTTTTGACGGTGGCGAAGGCTATGGAGGATAAGCTTGACGAGGAGATCGCGTCCCTGGAAAAGCCTGACGAGGACGATTTGGAGGTGCTGAGGGAGAGAAGGTTGCAGCAGATGAAGAAAATGGCGGAGAAAAGGAAACGCTGGATGAGCCATGGACACGGCGAATACTCCGAGATCCCATCCGAGAAGGACTTCTTCGCCGCCGTCAAGGCCAGCGAACGCGTCGTCTGCCACTTCTACCGCGAGAATTGGCCCTGTAAAGTATGATTTCGAATTACCTTGAGTTTCTCTTATTTGCAAAAGTTTCCGAGTTTCTCGTTCTTTCTGCTTAGGCTGCATTCGAATTTTGGGGCTTCTGTTCTTATGATTCTGGCCTTCTTTAGATTTCTCAGGTTTCAGTTGAGTAGTTCAATTTCTACTAAATTTTGCTGGGTTTAGCCTTTTGTTTGAAAAGTTATCCTTTTTGGTTTAATTGCTTGTATTACTACGTTAGGTTCATGAATGATCTTGATAAGAGATGTTAGGACAGGTGATGGATAAACACATGAGTATATCCAAAATGGTGCTTCTGTTGGCATATCAAAGAGTATATTTTTATAAACGGAAATGTTTTTTGCAGGTGATGGATAAACACATGAGTATATTGGCAAAGCAGCACATTGAGACACGTTTTGTGAAGATCCAAGCTGAGAAAAGTCCATTCTTGGCTGAGAGGCTCAAGATTGTCGTTCTTCCAACGCTTGCCCTCATAAAGAACACTAAAGTGGATGATTATGTGGTACAACAATAATAATGCTAAAAAATAACAAGAGTAGGAAATATAAGCCAAATCTTTGCATCTTTGAGAAAATTTGATGATTTGGATGTTGTTGATAGGTTGGGTTCAATGAGCTGGGAGGGAAAGACGATTTCAGCACAGAGGATCTGGAAGAGAGATTAGCTAGAGCTCAAGTGATCCACTACGAGGGAGAGTCATCTCACAAACCAAAGTCTACAACACAAACCAGGAGGAGCGTAAGGCAGAGTGCTAATTCTGATTCTGACTCGGAATAAGTTTTTTTAACAAAGGTTCGCTCGTCGGCTAATGATCCACACTATCTTCAGCCTTGTTTTTTTTATTGGTGTCTTTGCAATGCAAAAGATGAATATGAGCGAGCTTGTTCCGGAGTTGTATCGAAGAAATTATGTTGTGGTTTGTAATGCGAAGCAATTCAGTCGTCTTTTTGATGATCTAATATAGTAATATGCATGTTGTTTACGTTTTCAAAATGTTTCGAGCATAACATACTAAAAATCAGAGTGAACCTTCTTGTGTTGGGAGAAACAGGCCTGTCCCGGTAATTTCTATGGTAATTCCGATATACGGCCTAATTAATATAAAAAATTATGATTAATGTACCCAACTAAGTGACAGAGCTGTCCAAGCCCAAATTGAATAGGCCTATGTTACCAACATAAAGCCCATCAAGTTCTTAAGTCAATGTCTTAATATAAAAAATTATGATTAATGTACCCAACCAAGTGACAGAGCTGTCCAAGCCCAAATTGAATAGGCCTATGTTACCATGATAAAGCCCATCAAGTTCTTAAGTCAATGTCTTGGATAGTTTGTTTCACCGGTTGGTCGCAGAAGTAAAATCGTCGGAGGAAAGGAAGGTGCCAATATTTGCCGGCGATCCAGATGGAGACGGAGGTCGATAAAGCGATTCTTAAGTCTTCCGGGGCGGAGCTTCTTCCCGACGGACGTCGAGGTCTGCGCATCCATGGCTGGGAGATCGAAACCCTCCGTGGCACGATTCTCACTTCTCTCGCTGTCCAGGAGTACTCAATCTCTCTCTCTCTCACCTTACGTCTCCATAACACACAGTCATCTATGGATTTTTTTTGGGTGTCTATGCATTGTTGTTTACTTTTCCACCGATAGTTGTGTTAAAGATTTTGTATCTATGCGTCGTCAATTCGAATCGGCCTGATTGATTGAGAAACCTGAGTAGCCCAAAGTAGCATCTTCTGTCTTTTGATGTCAGCATGATAACGAATGTTGTTGTTTGATGGTAACACAGGTGGGAAGAAAAGCTTCAGACATCTCACTTACCTGAAATGGTGTTTGGGGAGAATGCATTAGTCCTGAAACACTTGAGTAGCCACACTAAGATTCATTTCAATGCATTTGACGCACTAACGGGCTGGAAGCAAGAAGGGCTTCCACCTGTAGAAGTTCCTGCTGCTGCACAATGGAAGTTCAGGAGGTAAGTTTATATGGCCGGTTTAATCTGATTCGATTGATCTATGAATCTCTGCTTCGTGCGTAGTTTACGAGTCTGGTGTTATTGCAGCAAGCCGTCCCAGCAGGTGATACTGGATTATGATTACACTTTTACAACGCCCTACTGTGGAAGTGAAGTCGTTGAGAAAGACCAAAAAGAGGTTCGACTTGCTCTCATGTTCACCCTTTTTTCTGTCTGTCACATGATAATCTGTTAAGTGTAACTTTTTCATGCTCATTGATGTATGCTGTTTTTGATGTGAAGCAGGTTGAGGAAAAAGCGAATCCTGATGGGGAAGCTAGTCTTCTTCAGTGGGAGAACTGTGAAGAGCAGATTGATTTGGCTGCTCTCTCACTTAAAGAACCTATTCTGTTCTATGATGAGGTTGGTCCTCTAAACGATACAATCACAAGACATTTACTTTCGTCTTCTGCTACAGTCTTTGATGTATATATTCTCTACTCCTTCAGGTAGTTTTGTATGAAGATGAACTGGCTGACAATGGAGTGTCACTTCTGACTGTGAAAGTGGTAAGATATCACAAGTCTTTTTCTTTCCACTCACTTTCTTTCATAATACCGTGGATCTGTTCTGAGTTCTGTGTTAGTAACAAAAGGATAACCTTTGTGTGCCGTTCTGTTTGTTTTCTTCAGAGAGTCATGCCAAGCTCATGGTTCCTCCTCTTACGATTTTGGGTAAGTCAAATAAGGAAAAACCCTTGAGTCATAATATAAAATCACTATGCACTAGTATGTGGATCTTCATTGACTGTTAACAATGCTTTGATATTCATCATCCACTCGGTTGCCTTTTTAACAGCTTAGAGTTGATGGTGTGCTTATGAGATTGAGAGAGACGAGAATGCATTATGTGTTTGGCAAAGGTGAGACACCCACTGTTCTTCGTGAAAGCTGTTGGAGGGAAGCAACATTTCAGTCTCTATCTGCGGTTCGTTTTTCTTCACTTTTAAACCAGATTACTAAATATCGTTTCCATTTCAAATCTTTGCTGTTATTTAAATCCATCTTTTTCCATTAAACGTAGAACGGCTGGCTGATGATAGACCTAACCATTTCCTCTTATAGATCATCAAACAACCACAATCTTTTAGTTTGCAAGATATGTTCTGCGATGTTTCTATGGTTGGTGAATATAAAAGGTCCCTCTGATTTAACTCTTGATAATATAAATGCAGAAAGGGTATCCAGTTGATTTAGCAGTCTATAGCGACCCGAGCTCCATCAGTCAGAGGCTTCCGGTGGTTAAGCAGGTGACACAGAAACTGAAGATGCCTCGCAAACTGTAAGCTGTTCATAAGGTTGTGCAAGTTGAATCAAGAAGACGGAGTTGACGAACTTTTTATAGATTACAAGTAAAACAAAGTACTTACAATTGAGTTTGTTAATGTAAGGAGTTACTTAACTGATTCGTTGTGGTGGATTACATTTTCATGTGAACACTGGAACCCTTTCATGTTCGTACATTCTCATTGTTCCCAAATAACTTTCCTCCTGACCGTCGAAAGTCAATGAATTGGTTTATCACACAAATAAGACGTATATCAAATCCGTGTGATATTCATCAAATTTTGAATACAAAGCTTGTAAAGAACCTTTTCTCTTATTTCCTTTCAGTAAATAATAACCCTAAGTTCAACATGAAACAAAGATTATTCAAATTATACTGAAAGATCAAACCGAACCTACCCTGAAGTGTCCAAAAGCCATTTGGGCTTAAAAACAAGAAATATGAAGAAAAATCCAAATATTGTCACAAGAGGAAGACCAAATAATGTATTTAGCTTTTGATTCCTAATTGAACACAACACAACACGACCAATGAGTTCTTCTTGGGACACCCCTTTTTTAAGTCTCCATCTACTTCAAGATGATTGATGCACCCACTTTGTGCATTCAAGTACCTGCCATCACCAAGTCACAGTTAAAGCTTTGAATCAGAATCAGATCTTCAGACCCAACTTATAACAGCCATTCAAAACAATAATCTGTTATACAAGTCCATATATGAGCCGCATAAATGAAGTGTTCTCTTTTGGAAGGCACCCATGGATCTAAAAGGCAGGATCTTTATGCGAAAGCAGAGGTTTGTCATTTTTCAATGCATTATAACAGAATAAACCACTCATATCTTAAGACGGCGCAACACTTCATTGGATGTTTAAAATGGATCAAAGTTGAACCAGATGTTTATACCTATGGTTGAAGTTTAGCTGTATTGTTTGATTGCGTACGAAAACACAGTGAAGAGAGATAAAGGGTCTAAATTTTTTTAAGTTCCTAAACATAAACACACAAAAAGCAAAATGGACAAGAAACCTACAAAAGCAGTAGCACCTCTCTTGACAGCGACTGAAAATCCACTTCCATCACCCATCTTTTCCATTTCCTATCAAATCCCAAGCCCAATATGTTTCTTAACACAAAAACTTAATTACGAGAAAGAAAGAAAAGGGAAAGACCAAATCCATTTTTATTCCATTTCAAGACGAAAAGAGTAGCACACAATGACAATTGTTCCAACAAGAAACTCAAGGAAAATAAACTAGTTTAGTTTGGTCTTTGCAATGAAATCCTAAAAACAGCAACACTCACAAATGGAGACAAATTAGCGATCTTGACAAGTGCTTGGGAAGGTACCGTTAGAGAGTTCGCAGAAAGCTCGCACGTTAACATTAAGGTGAGACGTGAGTCGAGCTGAAGCCACGACATTGTGCAGAGGCAATAAAGACTGTATGCATCCAAGCTCTCCCAAATTCCTAAGCATACAACAAAAAAAACAACACAAGATTTACAAAACTTGTTTCCTTTGAAAAATCATCATATCTCAATCTGAAAGATTAACATTTTCAATTCTTCTCGAATAGTGATTTACGCTGCAATCATCTAGCAAAATTGTTCAAGCTTTGCAAATCTTAGTTCATGTCATCTAGAAAAAAACGATCTCCAACCTTTTGAATATGAATGTCAAATGGCAAATAGGAGCACAATCCCGAAAATTATTCAGAGGATCAACAATGAGAAATGGAGGCGAAAGAAATGGTGAAACCTGGGATTTGTGAAAGAGGCAAATCGGCGGCGGGGCAAAGAGGACTGTGAAGGACGGAGGCGCGGAAGCGCTGTTGCCGGCGGAGATCGGAGAGACGGAGCTCTAGCGGTAGCAGAAACGAAGGAGCGGGCAGCAGATCCTGCACTGCGCCAAGCCATTGCTATCTACTGGTAGCAGAAACAACAAAGTAATCAGATCAATAACGAACGAAGAAGAAGATAGTGGACTCAGATGATGAAGACGGAACGCGAGGCACAAGAAGCCCTAAACGAGAGAGAGAGAGAGTGGATACCCGGTTCGGTTTGGTTTATTTTATTCACTTTAAAAAAAGTTTGTTTAAGATTAACAGTTTTCGATTTGGTCCGGATCGATTTAACGCGGTTTAAAATTGGTTTATTGTATTGATTCGGTATGTTAACATAGAAAGTCTATTGGATACATGTGGTGTGGGTTACATTTTGCACGATCTGATAACTCGTGGAAAAACAAATGACAAAAGGAAGAAGATGAGAATCTTCGATCTCGTCTCTTACTTCCATCTATAACTTGTCAGTGCGAATGCATCTCAAATCTTTGTCAAAAGTAAAAACTTTCCCTGGCAACAATGTGGTAGCCGCAGAGGTTCCTCTGTACACTATTCTTGTGGACACAATCTGTTCCGACCAAAGACCAAACTCCACAAGTTTCCCTTCCATCCACCTTATCCTAACCGTCACTCCTCCTCGTGCCCTTAGCCCTTTCGCATTACCGTTAGGCCATTTATCCGCTGGAAGTGCAGGGAGCAAATACAGATCCTTCGTCGTGCTCTGCACCAACATCTCCGCTACCGCTGCTGAGAATCTGCCCAAGACAAAACCACAAACCATGTCTATGTTAAGACCAGTCATCAAATTGTTCATCATATGTTATAAGAACTTGCTGTAATGGTAAACATCCCACATGTTTAAAAGGTTAAGTATTTGCAACAAAACGGTGCTGACATACCCAAAATTGGCATCGATCTGGAACGGCGGGTGTGCAGTGAACAAGTTGGTATAGAGTCCTCCTTCGTAGTTACGTTCGTTTAACGGATCCACCAGATCAAAAATATGCGTAACCATGCGATACGCATGCTCGCTATTGTGTAGCCTTGCCCACAAGGCGGCTTTCCATGTGGTGGACCAACCTGGTCCTTCCTCTCCTGCATCGATCCACTTCAATGTTATATTTATGTATATACATTTCCGAATAGGAATAAGAGAGAAGATAGATTTACACAGACCTCTCTTCTTGAGGGTTACTTCCACGGCTTTAGCAAGTTCTGGAGACTTCTCAAGTGTGATTGTGTGACCAGGGAAGAGACCAAAGAGATGTGAAACATGTCTATGATGCACCTCTGGGTCTTCAAACTCTTCTGCCCATTCCATTATGGAACCATCCTTTGATATTCTTGTGGGTGGGAGTTTTGCCTGAGCAGCAATGACTTTCCCTATAAGAGTCTCATTCGTTTTCCCCAAAACCTGTTGATTAACCAGAAAACAGAAGCTCAGTAATCGATGAGGCGATGTGATTTCTTCTCGTTGCTTCATCGGTCTTGTTACCTCTGATGCGGAAACGATAGCAGAGAAGACTTCTTTTATGATGGCAATGTCCATGGTTGATGAGTAGCTAACACTGGCGGGTTTGCCATCAGGAGCGGTGAACATATGCTCAGGGGATGTCGATGGATTGGTCTGGAGATATCCGTCTTTACCTTTGATCAGCCAGTCCAAAAGAAACGATGTACATCCTTCCAACAATGGATATCCTTTCTTTTTCAGAAATTCCTAAAGATATGAATAAACAAGTGAAGATTGAAAACATCAAGTATCAGTAAAAGGAACTGAATGTGAAAAATCAGCAAAAGTTGGGGGACCTTTACCTTATCCATTGTGTATGTATAGTGCTCCCACGCATGAGTGCAGAGCCAAGCCCCACCCATGGGCCAGAGAGCCCACACTGCCTCACCTCTATCCGGTGATGTTTTGGCCCATATGTCTGATACTTGATGTGCCACCCAACCACTTGCTCCGTAGTTGACCTATTTTTCCACATCAAAATGATTCTTAGACTAATGATGACTCTAGTGATATGAAACACAAATACATCCCAAAGTATATAAGTTTCACACATTGATGTCAACATTGTAACGATCATCATTACAAAAAGGATAGAAAAAACTTACTTGCGCTGTCTTGCGGCCATTGATTGCTAAAGCAGACATGTAATCAAACAACGGTTCCTGGCATTCCCGGATATTACCAGGAAGAGAATGCCAATAGTTCATCTGGAGATTAATGTTCAGGTGAGGAGCACCACTGCAGAAGAGAAGATCAAAAGGGAGTTAGTCAGTTGACACATCAACAAAAGTGATGAAAACTCCAAGAAGAAAAAAAAATGAAAGAAAAGCTTAAAACGCACTCCCATGGCGGCTGAATGTCCCTGTTCCATATACCCTGCAAGTTAGCCACCTGAGTTCCTGGTCTTGAAGAAGATATAAGCAGGTATCGACCATACTGGAACAGAAGTTCCACCAACGAAGGATCTTCATTGGTTCTAAACGATCGCACCCTTTCAGCAGTTGAAGCTGCTTGTTGCATGGTTTTATTATCAGAGCTGCCAGAGAGTTGCAAAGAGACCCGGTTGAAAAGTTTCTGATAGTCGCTCAAATGGCGAGCATAAAGATCAGAGTACGAGTATTTCTGGATCGAGCTGATTCTGTTGACGCATTCCTTCGCAGGGTCTCTCTTGGAATCAACGGGCATCGTAAACGGACCGTCGAAGTTAGATGAAGCCGAGAGAAGCAGAACCGCCCAGTCAGCTTTTTCAACGCTAAGTTTCTTGCCACCTAAGGAAGACACAGAGCCACCGTTGCTTACCCTCACTTCAAGAATGGCAGCAAACTGCAACCCTTTGTGATCATCATACGGTATATTGGTCGCGTTGATAATCTTGCTCAAGTTCACAGGAAGACGCTTGGGACGACAACTTCCTTTCATCAGAATCTGATTCGCCTTGGTGTTTGTCTCCGAATGATGGTGTAGTTCGCTGTCAAAAGATACCGTAAAAGACAGAGATCCCGGTTTGCTTGCAGAGATCTTGGCTACAATGACTTGATCCGGATTAGAGGCGAAAAACTCCCTTGAGAACTCCACATCCCCAACCGAGTAGCCTACTTTAGCTACTGCTGTTTCCAAATCGAGTTCACGGCTATAAGAGGCTTGAGTGTACTTACGATGTGAACTGTCAAAGTCTATATTCAAATCTCCCACTAGCTGGTAAACCTACAGAGAAACCAAGAACAAAAGGTTATTTCTTTACACATGCTCAACAAGAATCAAGAACAAAGGATAATTCTTTACACATGCTCAACAAGAAGAATCAAGAACAAAGGATAATTCTTTACACATACATCAGAAGGTTGGCCTGATAATTTGACAGCTTCTGAAGTAGCTTCAGCGTATTTTCTGTCATCGACAAGCCTCCTGACTTGTGCCAATGCCTCTGGCGCATTCGTGTTCGTGTAATCTGCTGGAACTCCAGTCCAAATCGTGTCCTCTATCAATAAAAAATTCATTGAATTTATAACACTTCAGATCCACAACTATTCATAGAACACACAGCAGAGCAGAAAAAGCAAGAATCAAGAATGTCTTCTTTTAGCCAAAGTGTTTCGCTTTTACGCATTTTATATCACAAAGTCAAACTAAGATATCCAGTTGGTTATTACGATTTAAGAATATGTCTCTCAAGTCAAGCATGATCCCCTGTTCTATTGCTTTCAGTGTCGAAAGCATTTATGTCATTAAATGTCTCCGAGAAACAAGGTTAATGATCAAAATCTGACATAGCAGAAACTATAGAAGTGCATTTACTACCTAAATCCAAGAGAGAGCAAAAAAAAACGAGAATGAAGAAGGGCGAGAAGTAGCAAACAGAAGACGACGCCGTTTTTAAATTTACCATTGAGGTTGAGAGTCTCGGAGGAGACTCCGCCCCAGATCGTGGCTCCAAGACGGCCATTGCCGATGGGAATGGCGTCAGTCCAATTCCGAGAAGGCCCACCAAACGTCAGCTTCAGAGGCCTCGAACGATCCTGGCCGTCCATCAATAACCTCTCCGATGAACGACGCATCGTATTCCTCCCTCCCTCGCAACATGTTATGATACTCAGTAGAAGCAAAAGAAAGCTGAAATGGACGAAGAAGCTCGACTTCTCCGCCATTGCTGCTATCGATAGAGTTGCTTTCACTACAGAAGAGGGAGAGGTTTGGTTCTCGATATAGAGACTGAGAGATAGTGGATGTCAATTATTTTACGCGTTTTTTCTATCAAAATTATCCAGTCGATCTAATTTTATTATATTATTACTAAACCAGGAATCATAAGAAAATCTATTATTTTTTTTCAAATGTCAACAAAGTAGTTATTTTATATAAAACTAAAGTATTTTTTTTTTCTTTTTTTTTGACGACAACCAATGTTTCAACAACTAACAACATTTTATTATTAGACGTAGTTATAATATAATTCTATTTTCAAGAGTGTCACTCTAATTTCAATTTCATTTTGTAATGAGATAATCGAGTATTTAGTAGTAATATTTTTTAATTAATTAAAACGATGGGACTTAAATTGAATTTGAGGTGGATATATAGAGTAATTACTAATTACAAACCAATATTTTAATTTACGTTTCATTTATTACTAGTAATGATGACAACCGAAATAACGAGAGACCACAAATGAAGAGAAAGAATCGAACGTGTCGAATGTACCAAATAAGTCCATAACTAGGATCCAATAAAGGATTTTGTCCAATATCTTACAGTTGTTGGAGCAAATAACGAGGATGAAAGAAAAAACAACAATTCCATTTGTTTCATAATAAATGTTATTTTGGAAAAATGTATATGCATTATAACTGGATATATTTGGATGTATTTTAAAATTAATACATTCAATTATAATGCAGATACATTTTCTCAAAATGATATTTATTATGAAATAGAGGGGGAGTAATTTCAAACCAGTTTTTTTTAACCATGCTACAAATTACGAAATACGAATGAGAAGACCAAATTAACTAACCATAACTTGAGCGTTTAATATTTTCTTAACCACGGAAAGCAAAAAGAATATAAATCTATTTTTTAACCACCGACTTTCATTTTTTAATTAATCTTAGCATCTAAGAAAAATATTAATATTTGTACTCGTTGGTACTAAAGAGTTCCAATAGACACATGAGTTCGACGATATCGTTTCTTTAAATAAAATGAAAAAGATACAGTCATCTCATCTAGGACGTATATTACGATGATGCATGTATTGGTTGTCCAAGATATTGATCTCATGTGGTATATATATATATTGTGATTTTCTTTAATGATATGAAATAATAAAATAAAACCAACTAGGTCGTCTCTTTTAACACACAAACGCTTACGATGATCCATAACATGAAAAAAAAAAAAAACGCCCGGAAGATTTGAGGATGGTTTAAAAGTTTCGAAGACGA